TTTCACAGCTGCTGAACGTAGTTTAAGAGCAGTGAAAATGGAAACTATGAAAACCTGAATATTATCATGCCCAGGCCAAATCAGAGCCACCAAATGACACTCTGCGTAGAGTGCTTACTTTGCTTGCTGGGTGTGATCAGTTTTGGCAATACCTTAAGGGAATGGAGTCCCCTGCCAATGGAACAGCTGCCAGAAATGTCCTTACCAGTCTCTTAAATAAGACACATGGGCCATTATTTGGAAGGCCGCACTCTTGGTTGATCTTCAGCATCACATTTACTTTGGTCATCTATTCACATAGCCTGTTCCAGCCTTCCCCAATCTGGTGGCCACCAGATGTGTTGAACCATCACTCCCATTTCCTGCCAGCATGAACAAAGTCTTGAGGTTGTAATCTAACACATCTGGAGGGTCCCCATGAGGGAAGGCTGACTTACCAGACAAGGATAATGTATTTAGCTTGCTCATTCTTAGTTAGCACTGTCCCTCATGGACTGCTTAACATCACTGAAATCTTATAGAAGATGGAACAGTAAGATGAAGAGGCATTTGCATGTAAAAGACTAGCTGACAAGTTTATGTCTCCAGTTGCATGATTAATGGAAGTCCAAGGGAGTTTGGAAAAGAAAAAGGAAAGCAGTATCTGTTGATGTATAGAATAATGATTTCTTTTCTGTAAACTCTCACAGACCATGGGAAGATAGGAAGAGAGTCAGTTTGTGGGGTTGTAATATAGGCTATATTTGTTTAAAATTCCTTTGGCAGTTTTGTCCACATTAGTTATATTCTGTTTATACTAGTTTTTTCTATTCTACATTTTTCTATGTATTTGTATATGTTAAAAATAAAAAATAGAAACGTTTATGTCTCCAGTGAACATTCACACTGGAATTTAAGCTAGCTTTTCTTCCTATGAGATCTATCCTATCCACTGAAGAACACTTAAAGAGGTTTGTCATTGCATGCTCTCTTACTAATGGTGGCTGAAATCTAAAGGTATTCTAACAGTGGAAGGCATTGCTGCTCCTGAGATGTGAATCTTCATTTGCATTAATTTCTCTCTCCTGCTGGAGACCTCATATCACATCCACAGCAGTTCATCTACCTCAGGGGTAAGGAATGTTTGACTCTCCAGATGATGCTGGACTTCATCTCCATCAGTTCTAACAAGCACAGCCAAAAGTGAGTGATGATGGGAGCTGTAGTCAACCAGCATCTGAAGGACACTTGCTCCCCATCCCTGTTGTAAGGAAAGCACACCCTGTGCTATGGTTTCTGTCTATTAACCTGCACTTTCAGTTTATCAAGTCAGCAACTCTTGAAATTAGTCAGTTTTGCTTTCCCTCTCTTTTTATTGGTTAGTTTCTGCATGCATTTGCGTAGATGAAGGGAAGTTAAATAGGTAATTGCTTATGTAGCAATTTTATAATATCAGCCCTTAAATTGGTGGTTCAAAATTTCAGTGAAAGATAGCTGCATTTACCACTCAAAGATGATAACTTGGTTAGGAAAAAACCTCAGATGACTGTGAAATCTTCTTTTGTAATACTCGGGAGGAGTAAATCTTGCTGAATAAATAGAATGCATGCTAAAGCATTGCAGAAGAACATATTTTAACCAGAAATGAATTACTTTTGAATATTGAAATCAAACCTTTAGAGTTAGGGTTTGGATAACTGAAAATAACTAAGCGTTACCATGTTACACTAAAGGAAATGCTGAAAATGAACTTGAAGATTGTTTGAAATCAGTAGCAATTTCTAGTATTTTACACATTAACTTAAAATCATCCTCTGTTTGGAACAGTGTATTTCAAAGAAAGTTTCTCAAAGCTTCTGTTGTTAATCGCTCTTATTTCACTCGCATTCATACAGCATCTACAACTATATGGACTGCACCACATGCATAATTTCAAACACTTCTATCACATCTCGCCTGACTTGCCTTTTTATAGATCTGGAATTGGCTATAGCTCCCCAACAATTGTTGCTGCATATTTAGGGTGTTTCCAGAACCTCTGTGCCCATGGTGTTAACGATTTGGATGACCACTTACCTGTGGTTTCCATTTATGGAGGGGGTAGGGTTTGCTTTCATTCCATTGTTTGACTCCAGAGCAGACATTTTTGTTAGGTCCTTAAATGGCCAAACTATGATTACCTCTGCCTACTATCTGGCATAGGTGCTAATCTCTGTATGTCTGCTTTTTAGCAGCATTATCAAGCACAAAGCAGGAGAGCTGCCACCTGCAGTAATACACAAACCAGCCCTGGATGTAATGTGACAAGAGCTGACAAAAATCCCTTTCTCCAGTCTCGTCCCTCTGTCAGAAGCACAGCCACCAGAATGATAAAACGATTGCAAGCCACTGAAAAAGATGCCATGGAAGAAATTTCTGGAAGCAATTGAGTGCACTATGGATAAATATCTCATTTGACTCTCTTGCCAAAGAACAGCTGAGCTGTGCTACTGGTTACCTACTGTTTCTTATGGTCTGGATCAAATTGCCTGCTCAGGGTATGTGGAGAGAAAAGCTGACAGATGGTAGAAAAGGTGATTGACCAGAGGATCAGTTGCTCCTTCTGACTCTTATGATTCTGAAAAAAAGAATCACAATTTGGAGGGGTGCTGTGGGGTGGAACATTGAATTTTGTATAATATCACATCTCCAGATTACTGGGAAATTCTGTGTAAAGATCCATAAAGAGGAATGCATTTTAAATGTAGAAAAACAGGGCACAATGAAACATTTTCCCTTTACTTTTGCCAAATTCCACATAAGAGAAAAATAGTGATTGCTGTAAGATCTGAGTATGCAGCAAAATGTAGGCTCTTGCCTTAAAATAATAGTCCTATTACAGTTTGTGATGTACACATTATCACCTCCCGAGCCTACCATAAATAATATGACACAGATACAGTCTTACCTTGATCCTCAGCAACTTCACCTGGTATGTCGATATCTCAGGGTCTGATAAATGAGCCTACTACTTTGGATAGCTTTAAAAATAAGAAGAAACCCCGTTCCTTCATTTCAGCCTAGCAGTTTGTGCTACATAAATGGTTGCTGTGAGCCCATCTGAAGTACTGTGCATAGCATTTGTTATACAAGTGATTTCTTCCTTTGACTTCTTCTGTCTGATCATTTTGAATCTAAAGTAAAACCCAAATTCATTATCATATCATTCATAAAGGATTTCTAAAGCAAGAGTGAGCAGCTTCTGTCCCTCCTATTTTGGTATGTAACATCCATCAGCCCCACCAATAAAGCTGATAGGGGATGATGGGAGTTGTAACCCTCCACGTTTTGGCCTACAAGTTGCCCACCCTGTTCCAAAGCATGTGCCTCAGGCTCTCTTAACAAACTGTGAAGTCATTGTTCTATGTTCCTTTTTCAAATTCTCATCAACAGTACCCAGGGCAACAGGTTTGCTTCTTTTATTCATTAGATGTGAAGTACAAATTCCCCTCTACTCAGCACTGGTTGGGCCTCAACTGGAATACTGCATTCAGTTCTGGGCACTACAGTTTAAGAAAGATGCAGACAAGTTGGTAAGGGTTCAGGGGAAAGCAACAAGGATGTTCCAGGAACTGGAAACAAAGCCCTGTGAGGAGAGATTGAAGGAACTGGGCATGTTTAGCATGGGAAAGAGAAGACTGAGAGGAGTTATGATAGCACTCTACAAGTACTTGAAAAGTTCTCATACAAAGGAAGTCTAGGATCTCTTCTTGATCATCCCAGGATGCAAGACACAGAATAATGGAAGTTACAGGAAGCCAGATTCTGGCTAGCTATCAGGGAAAATGTCCTGCTAGATCAGTATGACAGTGGAACCAATGACCTAGGAAGGTTGCGTGCTCTCCCACACTTGGAGGCATTCAAGGTGCAACTGGACATCCATTTGAGAGGGATGGTTTAACATGCAGTCTTGCAATGAGCAGGGTGTTAGACCTGATGCCCTCTTGGCCCCTTCCAATTCTCTTCCAATTATATGAATTTATGTATATCCCACCTTTTAACTGCAACTGTCCCAAGATGACTTGCATAATCTTCTCCATTTATTCTCAAAAGAATCTTGTGAAGTAGGTGAGTCTCAAAATCAATGACAGAGTCAGCGAATGAGTTTCATGGCTGAGTGGGGATAAAAACCCAGATCCCCAGAGTCTTGGTTCAACACTCTACCTATTATGTCACACTGGCCAGTTGTTCTAGCCTATACTGTTAATTTATGTTTCATAGCATAACAATACTCCAAGGATTTTTTTCTGAATGGTGTTTGAAAGAGAAAAGAGGACCGATTTGGAAACAGTGCTTCTGCAAAAGAGGAGGGTGTGGGTGGTCAGACACTTTCTAGCTACCAATGAGCAGAAAGGGTGAAAGAGGGAAAGAATGGGAAAGAACCTTGAGAGTAAAACCACAGAGGGAACTACACTAAACTAGGCAAAGGACTGCTGTGGCTAGGTCTGAAGAGTAAGACCTACATCTCAGCAGTCCTAAACTAGAGAGCTAATCTAGGCTGGCTATGTAGTCACTGTTAATAAAGTTGTTATAATAGCACTTCCCAAGACTTTGCATTCTTTTTGGATTACGTATATACACTTTAAATACACATTATCTTGCTTAGAAAAAAAGGCTGAATTCAGAACTTCTGAGCTAAAAGCAGCTAGAATACATAACATTAGCAATCTCTTGCAAAAAATACATTATTTTGCATCTCTTCCTGACTGAGTCATTATCTGGTAGTAATTTCTCTTGCAGGCTGCTCAGTTATTCATTGCAGTCTGGGGAAAGAAAGCCTACAGGGAGCCTGGTGAAAGGAACAGATCAGTGCTGACCTCTTGTGGGAGAAAATACTGTGATACCAACTGATTGCTGTTTTTTCCATTTGCTTAGAAAGAACCAAACACCACATACCTTCACTTCTTTGTACCATGATATTGAAACTCAGCCTCTGAATTCTAAATTAGATCCTCAGGAATGGAAACACACAGAAACATTAGTCAAATAAACACATTTGCATAGATTTATATATTTAGAACGGCAGCTTTTATAGCCATATACATGGCAGCTATCTATAGAACAGCAGCTTTTATAAGTTTAAAATAGGCAAACCAAGAACTGCATTCAGAACTATCTATGGTTAAGAAAACAAGCCAGGATTGTAAACAATGATATGAAGTTGGCTTGTTTCTCTGAACCAGAGTTAACATTAATCCAGTTTGTCTGAGTTCAGGCGTTAATAAATAATCATAAAATGAAAAAAGGAAAAAAAGTTTCTCATCTCTTTCTCACAGCTGCCCCAGAAAGCAAGTGGTTAAAGAGCAGAAGGAAAGCCCTGAGGTTCACAAGCAGAACAGTTCAGCTAAATTACAGTTTAGAATTATATGCAAACCAGGTCCATCAAGAAAACTGGCTGTCTCTGTTAAGTCTGCATTAGGTGTGAGGGAAGCATGCACGCCTGAAAACCGCCCTGGCTCCTGCATGAGCATTAAAATGTTTTAGCATTAAACACAAATGTGATTCTAGATTTTACCACAGGTTTTGAACAATAAAACAGTTAAACATTTTCAACATTTCAATAGCACACGATCAACAATTTTTTCATGTGATAGTTTCAACTATAATTTGATCCCTTCAAGATGTGAAATTGCTTTGATGAACCATTCTGTTTCATTTCATCAACTAATAACCAAGAATGGAGAACAGTGTCAGAAAACCTAAGATTCTGTTCTAATCCCATTATAACATAACCCTCCTCTGCTCTTTTTTAAACAGAATTGACCTGCTATTGGAGTCCAATGGTGGGCATAAAGGTATGGTTTTATTCCAAAATTACCCCAGTTTAACTGTGGTGTGGGGAAACAGGGTAGATTTGACCAGAATCACATTCCAAATCTGTAGTCCAACAAAAGACCTGCAGGGCACATTGGACTCACAATTTTAAACAGAGGAGAAAGCAAAACAGCAATCAAAATGTCTAAAACTCAGAGTAGACAACAGAAAAGGTCCAACATTAAGAACAACCTTATAAGGATTTCCCCTCATAATAAACCATTACAGATAAGTCAGTGTTGTCATTTTGTACTATGAGAGTGTTACCTTCTCTGCCAAGAAAGCCAACTGGGAGCAAACTTAACTCGCAGGATAAAATAACCTTCCATAAGGTATACAAAGGAATAAATGCAAAAAAATATGTTACTCTGGTGCTCTTGAACTGAATCACATACAAATGGGATCTATGATGCAGACATTATACTATGTTTTCTCTACCCCAGTGGAGAAGTTTCTGGGGATAAGCTAGAGCTTGATTTAGTAGTTTCACTATTCTATTCACTTCAATAGAAGCAAATCAGAATTCTGATAGCTTAGCGGGTTTAATTAATTTATTTTTTAAGGTGAAACACAAGAGTAGAGGATAGAAAAAACACCACAGAAGTAACACCAGAATTATTGAGGATTAGCTGGAATATGAGGTGGTTCAGAGTGGCTAAAAACCACATTTTTACAAATATTTCAAGCTGAATTTCATAACAAATCATTAGCACTGGAGGGTTCATATTGATATGAAGTTACTGAGAAAATCCTGTTGTCATATGACTCAGGAAAACAAAATTTGGATGTCAACCCAATTTTGGCAAGGAAGTTTAAGAATTTACACAGGCCAAATCTGAATACAAAGAAGGTAAGAGTTGGTGTTAGCTGTGTCTCTGGATCCAAAGAGGAGAATTGCTTATAGGCTGAAAATTCACATACTACTTGCATATTTTGTTGGGAGCCATTGTTTTGTTTCTCTAGCTTCAAACACTCAGGTTTTCCATGGCACATTTCCATTCAAATGGCAGGACACTCAAACACAACTCACATCATGATGCAGCAAAATTTATTCTGGAAAGTCAGTCTTATTCAGGCCATGAATAAGAATGCCAGTGAGCGTTTATATGACCATAGCCCCTCTCTTGTAGAACCATTTCAACCCCAAATGTAGTTAGGTAAAGAAAAGGAAGACCATGTTAAACTCTGTCTAGATTAACCAGAGGAGGGTGGGAACAATTTTTACTTGGGCAATTCACAAGCAAAATTATAAAACCTTTATCACTATTGGTATGTACACAGATTGCCACCTTCATTGAAAATGATGACAGCAACAGTTTAAAAAATGTTTTTTAAAGTCATCTCTTTTCCATATTGGTTCATATAACTGTCCAATTTATGCAAAGCCATTGCTTTTTAAAAGGAATCTTCACTCTGATAGATTCTTTTGCGTAATCAGGATTTCCTTCTCATGTGCTTCAATTTCTTTAAGCAATTCTTCCTTTTCCTTAAAGTAATCCCGGAACCATTCAATGTGTTCCACCTTTTCTTTAACACTTAAGTATGGATTTTTTGAAAGTCCACAAGTCACAAGCTCCATGAAATGGTGAATTGGTCCTTCCTTAGGAAAGTCTGCCAAGTATTTATCCAGAAATACATGCTCATAAAATTCAGCGTCTTCTTCAAGTCCTAACAAAATCAACAACAACAACTGTCAAACCAGTGTAAAGTTTACAGTTAACTGTTTTCCAGAAAATGAAAATGAACACAAAAGAGGACTGATAGCATATCAAAATATGCCAGCCCTCCTCACTAACAATTGTCCCTATGACTTTTCTGCCTAGAAAAGATTCTGAATGTTTGCAGCAACAACAAATAATTATTTTATTCAGTGACCCACTTTATTCTCATCACAGAATGAATTTGCTTCACCAGAACTTTATAAAACAATTTATCATCATTGTTATTTCATTTCTATACCACTCCATAGCCAAAGCTCTCTCTTAAAGAATTTAGCAATGCATTAAGCAAATAATTTTATGCAACAGAATTATAGCAATGCATTAAGAAATGGCTTAACATCATATGTAACCATATTCAAATTTGTACAGTTAAACAACCTTGATATTAAAGACTTTAAAAAATGCAAAACTTTCAAGAAATGAAAATGTCTGGCTAGGAGGATCAGGGGATGAAAGGCTCTAGGTGTTCCAGCCCATTGTAGATCCTGAAGAACAAATTTAACATCTTGGATCCTTTTGCCCAGTTACTATCTCTGTTGATACAACTGAAAAAGGTGAATCTGGTAAAGCCAAGGGAAAGCTGAATGCTCAGGATTCAGTTGCAGCTGAGACACTGCCAGGCTACTGGTTATTTTGATATTGCTAAGCTGTACCATCTCCTGATCATGCACCTGCCTACCCCTGGCATGCCTACTGCTCGATGGCTCATCAGTTTATTCATGACATGTTTACTGTGTTTGTTTGGAAATGCTTTATTTTGGGCTGGCAATAGGCAAAACAGACATCCTATCTGCATTCACAGAGGAACAAAAGGAAGTGATATTGTTGCAGTCAATAAGCAACTAAGGCATGAGTGTGCCCGCCATCTCGCACTCCTACCATCACCATGTATCACAGACTTAAATTTTGAATACCTAGACAAATGTCCAGGAAGAATCTGGCAGCAAAAGCTTCTGATTTCCCTTCCAGCCAATGCTCTGCCTGTTGCCCTTGGACTTTCCCTCAAGTCAAATGGGACTGGGAGACTACACTGTTTCCTATGGATACCAGTCTTCAAATAAAGGGCTTGGAAGTATCAATCAGAGGATCTGAGATTTGCTTTATTAGCAACTATAGGGTGAAATCCAACCTCTTCTCCTCCTCCCCAGCAGCCCAGAGAACCAATTCCAGTTAAACTGGTGTGGATGAACTTTTAATTATAATTATTTAAAAATCAAAATACTATCCTCAGTTGTGGATTATTATGATGTATTTACTATGATGTATTTATTGGGTGACTTATTGTAAGCCGTCCAGAGATGTACAGTAATTAGAAATATCCCTATTAGAAATATAAATATTATTAGAAATATAAATAATTGAAAGCAGTCCAAAATAAGCCTTAAAATAATGTTAAAATTGCAAGAGTGATTCATCACATCCTTGACTGTATTATAAATTATAAGCTGTAGGAAGCAAAACTGGGCAAAGACCTCTTTAGGATACATACCGGCTTCATTGGTAATTGGGAACTCCCAAAGCTTCCCCTCTTTTGTCCACTGTATCATCTCCTCAAAAGCATTCTCCAGTGCTTGCTGGCTGACTGCTGCAATTTCCTTAGCAAGTTCCACATCCCAAAGTGTTGGTGTCGTCACTATGTGCAATTGTAAACAAAAATAATAAATGGCAACAAGGCACTGGCAAAAAACACCACAATTGCCAATGGTAACAAAAATAGAAGAGTTGCAGTCTCAAAATGCCAAAATAGCTGCTTCCTTCTACTGCTAAAATACACACCCATGAGTATGAGTATTATAAAACCAACTTATTCTCAGTACAGAATATTTTTACAAGGCAAGTGCTATTTCACTGCATCACCTTTTCTTTTAATTTTCCACATAGATTTGGATGTCATTTACTAACTTTAAGACTATGCTAATAGAAATCTCAGGACTTTCATGATTTGGCATGAACGAGAATGACTGCTGATCCCAGTTTGCTTGATATTATTATTTTTAAGACTGGACACACACTTTGTATAAAAATGACTTAAAAGTCATATCCGTGGTATTGCCACAAAATCTTAGGCCACATGCAAAGATCCAGACATAAATGTTCATCCACTGTTGTGGCAAAATTATTTTACTGTGTGACAGTTGTAGCAGGATTTAAAGATCCATATAGAAATTTTCCTTTCTAGCTACACACAGACACATCAAACAAACAACTTCTATAGGACAAACATGAAGAATCTTGAGGCATCTGGAAGATTAACAGATTTATTGTGACATCGGTGAATTTTTATATTACGTTATATTATTGGCTTGTTCCTAGCTACAGTTTCTTTACTAACCTGTTTCAGGTGTCATCTCCATTTTAGAATGAGTGAAAATACCAAGTCTTTTTGCTGAAAATAGTGAGACTCTAGGTATTAAAAAAACAGAGAAAATATACTTTTGAAAAATGAATCTGCAATTCATGTGGAAAGACACCAAACTATGCAGGGCACTGAATCCTCCCTTAACAACTGGATATTTATCCAGCCCTCTGGTTCCTGAGATTTCAGAAAACACTGAAATCCAGATCATCTTTCAGCCATAAAAGTTAGAAATATGTATGTCTGGTGAGGAGGCAGGTAGAAAACTAAAACAAAAAACTCAAAATATTATAAGTTACTTGCTGAGAGGATATTTTGGCATCATATTCAGATGTTCATATAGGTATCTGCAATAGTGCTTTATAATACTATCCCATTTCAGGACTCTATTGGCAATATACAACGAATGGTGATACACAGTTTATACTGATATAAATACAGTTTTATGCCTGTACTTGCATTACCTTCTGTTCTTAGCTACTATGCTACTTCATCCCTAGGTTGGCAAGCGTCATGTCCACAAGCATGCATTTCCACCCTTCCTGTTCCATCTTTTTCTTATATAGCCAGCCTAAGAAAGAATCACATTGAGCACAAAAATTTGCATATTGGATTTTAAAAACCAGCTGGTCTTTGGAAAGTCATTAACTCTGGTTTTTATTTGAACAACTGGAATTATCAATTTTTCAGTGTTTTAAAAACTGCTACAATTGTTTCGTAAGTTATCATAAATGGAAAAAAAATGTGGGGGCTGACCCAGCAGGCCCGATGTTTTTGATGATTGATGTTGTTTTTAGTTTTTCTTTGTTTTTAGGACTATAAATTTTGAATAAAACTTATTATGAAAAAAAAGCTGCTACAATTGTTTCAAAAGTTGTTTATGCAGAGTGTGACTAGGCCCTACTTCTCAGCAGAGGACTGAAGTAGCAAAAGTGCTTAGAATAAATTCCCTGGAAATCACACACTCTCCAACATAGCACAATCCCCATTAAGCAACTTAGGCTTCATGTGTGAAATGGAATTTAAATATCATTGCATAACCCTTTTATTACAAAAATGGATCATATGAGGAGGAGGAAGAGGAAGGCAGCAAGAGAAATACCTTTTTGTTCTATTACTTTTAGAGGAAAAATCTCTTTCAATTGAATAACCTCGTCCATCTTCATCAAACTGAATGTCAGATGCCCTACTGGTATCTCGTGAAGGCCTTCTCCCAATCTTCATGTTTACCACAATGTTACTGAAATTAAGAACATCAACATCTATTAAACAGGATGCTCGGTACAGACAACAACACAACAGCAACTAAATTTATTTTAAAAGTTGTATTTACATGAATTAACTAGTACCTCAGCTTCTTTATTTCCCTCTTCCTCCCATGCCGCTTTTCCTCTTATGCAGTGCCCATGCTTTTTTAATTGTAAGCGTAAGGGCAGGGCCTGTCTTCTTATTTATCTGTAAACTGCTCTTGAAGTCTTTTCAGCATAATTCAGTATTAAACATATAAATGAATTCAACCTCTGTTAACAGTTCAAGGTCACTCACAACAAAATTGAAGCACTGTATGATATTTTAAATCATCAAATGGAAAGTTACAACATTTAAAAACCCACTGCAGTGATGTAATTTTGTCCTTCATCCCATGAAAGGTGAAGAGAAGACAAGAGAAGACAAGAGAAAGCCTTCCACATCTTTCTGGAAGTCAGTAGGGACCAACACATATAAATGTTTCTCTGGCCAGTGTTCCAAAGCACTGGGGCTGCAACTCTTCTGTTCCTACAATTCCATTTGCAAACAGTAGATCTGAACAATGGAAGAGAAAGTCTTCAAGATATCATGATACCAGGCCATGGAAGACTCTATAGGTCTTGGTTTACTAGCACCGTGGGTCAAGCCTGCCTGATGGCACAGCTAGCCTCAAACACTCAGTCAAAACGTTCTCAAGGGTCATAAAAATAAAAGGGCAGGAGTGACAAGCAGGTGATGCTGCAGGCATGGACTCCTGCTGAACTATGGCTTGTAAAACCTGCAAGTTACTCCACCTTGAAATGGAGCAATCGAGGCAGAAACAAGGTACTGCATCACACAAATGTTTCCAGTCTGCAGTGCTCTGCTGCCTGCAACAGCAATGAAAGAGTAAGCTACCCCGGCACTGTTACCATCACATCTTACCTTAAGTTTTATGATGCTTTTCCTAAAGCTCTCTACCTTCTCATTTCCTTTGAATAAAATGGGCCCCCTGCTTGCTAAGGTACAAGGGTCCAATCAAGGGGAGTGTGTGTCGGGGGGGGGGGGGAGTGAAAGAGTATAGTCTTCACTCCCTTAACCTTGCAGGAAAATATTGGTAGGTGGTTCAGACAACTACTGTTCTACCCCTACCCATTCTGAAGCAAGATGAGAGGAACATGTGCATTTTCCTATGTGGCCAGAAAATATTCTGAAAGGAGCAATAAAGAGTAGCATGCAAGCAGTGACTAAAGAGTGATGGGTGTGATGCTTAATTGCATTGGCTAGAAAAAGCAAGCATACATGGACTGGGAAATGGTCACCCCAGAAGTAAAATGGAAGGGTGAGGGGCCACAAGGTAGAGAATAAAATGGGATTAAAATCAATGCCCCTGATTCACTGCTTAAGCCACAAATGCCATCCCTTCAACAGACTTTCTGGGGATAAAGGGAGGTCGTTTCTCCATCTCCGTAGTCAGGAGAAGGCAAACAACAAACCATGAAACTTGTCAATTGAAGACTTAAAGGCCTTCAAATGGGTAGACAAGGAGCAATTTTACCACTTAATATAAGATGAGCCAGTGTCAATTAGGATACTAGCAGAAATCTTGAAAGTATGCTGAGGCAAAAGCATCACATTTAGGTTAACCTGGCAAAGACATTACAGTTTACTTTCTCTATGATGTGCCTAGCCATACACCTTCCCTTGGCATCCACACCAACAGGAAGAGCAAACAAATTCAAAGGAGCTCTTCTCACCACCAAGCAAAATGTTTTTCCTGCGATATGCTTAACACCTTGTAGACAGTCTACTCCTCTGAGCCAGAACTCAACAAAGCCTGAGTTATATATACCTGATATATTCCACACATGCACACTGTTGGAAGATTTACTAGATTGTTAAAATATGCTAAATTAGCATCTAAACAGTATCTCTTTCTTGGAATGGCAGTAGTTCCCTATACATTCCAAGGTTGGGGCACTGAGGATATATCTTTATTTTAGATTTTGTTCAATTGGTGACAAAGTTCAACCTTTAATATGTTTTAAAGCAGTGCCATAATTTCCACTGAGAGAAACCACAATCCATCCCAAAATTATGTACAGTTGTTCTTTCCATTTAGCAAATATTTAGTTTTTCCTATATCTGCAAAACAAACTGATAGATGAAGATTCTGTAGAGCAGTGACATCCTCAGGTCACATTATAGTACTACAAAGAGAGAATAGTTCATATAGTCCATGTAGTCAGAAAACCATGCAGTCAAGAAATGCAAGAACATATTAGCTATTGGATTTATATCTCATACCTTTCCACCAAAAAGTGATGCTCAGGATGACTAGCCACATGCCTTTACCTGTTAACCAAACTAACAGGAAGAGCAACCTTGTTTGAAAGACCTTTGCTCTTTTCTAAGAAAAGGTTCTTATCGCCCTGCAAAATGCCCAAGTTGTAGCAGTGATCCACTTATTTCTATAATTCGATTATTTATTTAACTAGTTTTCTTAAAGAAGTCTGTGCAACAGAGCTAATCTACTTGGACAGAACATTTGACACTTAACAGTTAAGTCTCTGATAGCTCTATGAGAAGCATATACTTTGACTGGAAGGTATGGATATTAGTACAACTGTATGGTTTAGGAAGGAACAGTTCAAAGGGATAATCACAAAGGCTTCTGCTAACAGGCAAAAATATACTTTGGAAAAGAGTAACCTGTGAAGTTTGAAAGAAGTTTTGGGGCCTTTCCATAATTTTTATTAGTGACAACTGGGAGAGTATACTGATGAAATTTACAGATGGCCAGTTACTACTAAAACTTCCAGAGGGATAATACAATGGTCAGTGTCTCAAGTGCCAGAAACAACTTTTCTGTATTTACTGCTGATTTAATGTAGTAACTAAAAGACTAGGCAGGATTAAATAAATGATGACAAACTGAAGTAGCAGAAATGGAATGACATTCCATAGTGCAAGTGTAGTCATATATTTAGATATGGCTACTGTTTTCATAATTGCAGTCAGGATGAAAATGAACTTAGGATATTGGATGATCACTAAAGATTCACAAGCATCAAATGACTCGGCAGTGTATGGTGGCTGGATATGTAAGACCACTTCACATGTTAACAAATAAGTTCTAAAGAACCCTGGTTGATTGTGAATGAGGCAGGAACAGCTAAATATACCACAGACTTTCCATTTTTTGTCTGTTTACTATAATGTCTGAACCAGAAACTATGGCTTGTCTCTTTCTGGAGAAGCCAAAGTCATAAACAAAGAAAAAACCAAAGTGTTTTACTCTGACTTGTCTGGGAAGGGATGAAACAGAATTCCCTTTTCACATGTCTTAGCAAGCAAACCAGTTTGTTTAGTTCTTCCCACTTGCAGCAGGAGTGATTGGCAACAATTCCATTCTATTACTATGTGCAAACCACACCAGAGTGAGTATTTTCAAGTTGTGACAGGAAAATATTAATCTCCTTCCACAAAATGTTTGTAATATATCTGTGAAAATATATCCAGTTCTATTAACCTATACTAGATAAGCAAGGATTTGAAATGTGATGAGTGGAAAATATGATTCAAATGATTACAAGGATGCAGAAGCAAATTAAAAATATTCTGTTCATTCTGAAAAAATAGGTTACAAAAGGCTACATCACTCCATAGACATATCACAGTGGTTAACACAGTTAATAGAATTGAGCTGTTTATGTTCAAGAAGAATTTTCCATAATGAAAAAATGATGCATGCATTGGCTATTAATATCATTTAAGGAAATCTAATAAAAATTGATTCTAAGAAGTGAAAAATGCTAGAACCATCTTCCACTGGAAAAGCAAATTACTAAATCAGTTGGCACAGAATTTCTCAGATGCTATTTCATCAGAAAGGGATTCTCTCACTTAACGTATTTGATAATTGTTCGACTAAACTGGTTTACTTATCCTGCATGTGTCACTTTAACTTATCAGGGATCAGTAGCCCAGCCACACCCTGTGTCAGCTTGCCAATATTGCACAGGGGCAGCATGGATGAGGGAGCGCTTTTCCTTCAACAAAACCCAGCAATTTAAAAAGATCACTGCATTTCCATCTGCAATCTCTAGGTTGAGCCATTCACATTTGGGTCTCAATGTATTTTATGGCTTCCTGCTTCTCCCACATTGCTTTTTGGTTAACATAAGCTGCTCTGCAAGAGGCTGGCTCAGAGGTGGTCCTCCTAGGCTGTTTTGACAGATTTTTTGGGGCAGGAACTGTTCAGCAGTTCTAGTATGAATTCATCTTACAACTTCACAAATTATTCATGTATTAAGCTTGTTAGTTACTCCAAAGCTCCTACTATGCGACATTTTACCACAAAGATGCTCATTATTACTGTTGTTACATATCCATCTTTCTACTCTTGTTCTGAACTTACAGAAGTGGCTGAAAGTAGAATGAAAAGCACCAGTGGTGCTATACTCTTTGTCAACCTCACAGAAGCAGGTCAGTAAGAATCACCAGATTCTGATGTAAACGAAGCTATAGGATCCTTCAGACTCTGGGCAGGGAAGGGCTTTTCCTAGAAAATGTCCAGCTCTCCCATTTACCTACCGCTGGGGCATTTTCCTTGCTGCCTGTATTAAATGTTGAAGGACAGAACCAGATTCTTGCAAACATTGCATGACTCCAGGAAATGCTGTTTTACTGATTATTGCTTACTGAGATTTATGGAATTTTTCCCTTGATATTATACCCTGCTTTGGAATTACTGGATCATGAAAAGCAGGTAATACATGTGATAATTTCTAACTATGCTCTTTGGATAGTTCTAGCTTAAGACAGGAACTGCCCAGGATCTCAAAATGCTTGGGAACTGCACCACAATTGATATTCAGGTTTTGCCTCTTTGGAATGTTTTGCAAAGACCTAAAGATGTAAATGGGGAAGCACCATATCTGTAGAATTTAAATCATATACTAAAATGACAACATTCCATGCACTTTGAATGCTTCAGCTACAAAACTAGGGCACACAGTTTAAAATAAACATAGCAAAACAAAGATTAGCAATTGTTTCCATACTGTGATGTGATAAAGGTCACAATGCAATGCTGGGAAAAGCGTTAAGTGTACAAACCTTATGTCAGTGGTTTCTCCACTTCTACGAGCCTCAGTGATTTCCTTGTGCTGTCTCAGCATCTGAACCAGTTCTGAAACTGTCCTTTTCCTGTCAAAAGGGAGTGAAGATGCAACAGCAGAGGCTGCTGCCACCAGCTTCGGACTGATAACTGCATCACTAGAAGAAATGGATGCAAAAAACATGCCCATTTCTCATTGCTTCTTAATTCCCACGCTATATGAAAAGTCACAAAAGCTGCAGTGATCACTATGAAAAAGACAGCATCACTAGAGTATGACTACAGAATCATTATCAAATGGATTTTTAGAGGGCCTAACTTTCCAATAAGGATTACAATAAACCCATTTAACACAATGCTCCCTAATGTATTTCTTCCAGATACTTTAAACTACAGCTCCCATCAACCCCAGGTAGCATGTCCAAAAGCAAAGAATTGTGATCTAAAATATATGGAGGGCATCCTAATAGGAAAGGCTGCAATACAATAATAAAATTTCAAATTTAGAATAGCAAGTAAAATCGAAGAACAATATTAAAACAACAACAGCAGATAAAATGGTTATTGAATATAATTACCATATGATCACTCTGATACAGACTAAGATTTTTTAAAGGGGGTTTCTTAAATAAACCAGGAGGGGGACTATACAGGTCTCCTTCTCCTCTGCAAAGTCTTGGTATTCATGTAATTGACTGGGAGGGCACTGCAGAGAAATGAGAGGGGCCTGCCCCAACACTCACCAACCTCACTGCCTTTGCCAGTGAACAAGAGAACAAAACCTCAAGTGCTGTTTCTAAAGCTTATGGGTGTGGGTGTAAGTGCAGGTAGGCTGAACCCAAACCATTTAGGCCTTAAACATAAAATCTGGCTCAAGGCAGCCAGGTTTTCTAAAATCAAGTTTATGAGTAATGAAGATGGCCATGGAGCCAAAAATGAGAAAATGCATCATACACAGAAAGCCAAATAAGGGCATATATTTGCAGTACATTTGCATAAGCTAATATATAAATAACTTTAGTTTAAATAGAAAATGGATAAATATCACTGAATTAAGAAGTTTGTGACTGGTTGATCTGTGAGCCTGCTCTATATGCTGCTGTAAGGAATGAAATCCAAGCAATGACGATACGGGAGGCAAAGTACCAAGCAGCAACAGTTTAATACATTCTGGCCATACCAGGCACTCAGCCCGAAGGTAGTGCACTGGAGGAGCAGTTTACACAGCCTTTTATTCCCTACTTCACATGCAAAGTCCCTGCCTCCTTTCTCCCACTGGCTGGGGCACTGGAAATTCACACTCTTCCCATCTGCCTTCATCATACTACTCCTTGGTATGTTACCCCCACCTGCTCATATGTCCCATGTTCATGTTAATAACCCTCTGAGTCATAGTAGGAGGCACCATTAATATGCATTAGCTAATTACGGAGCCGTATTTTGGGTTCTAAGTTCAAAAGTTTAATGCCATGTCTACCAATTACATCTTGTAGTCTATTAGTTTGTGCTAATCACAATAACTTTATTAATCATTAAGTGATCTGTATAGCTTTACCCGTTCTAGTCCGTTAATCACAATACCTTTATTAATCACTAAGTGATCCATAGCTTTACCTGTTCTAGTCTGTTAGTCACAGTAATCTTCTACTTCTCACAGCTGCCCAGCAATAACTCTGGATGGGCAAATGTGCCCCCCCCACACCCCCATTTTCCTGGCATTTGGCCATTTCCCTATTCCCACCCAAATTCTAAATGGCTGAGATGCCTTGCCTAAGCCTTAGTTACCAGCAATAGCTAAGCTAAAATATGCTACTGAAACTAAAATATGCTCATATCTCTGTATTTTTTGCTTTAGCCTCACCCAACACTGGAATCCAGCCCACAAGCGTGTTTCCAAAATAGAATATGGTTCTTGGATTGAAAGAGGTTTAAACACATTTATCCTAGAATCACAATGTATGTGCACAACAGAGTGTAAGATGGTAAATCTCCTAGTCGCCCTTCACTTTTTCAAAGCTCTGGGAACATATACAAACTTTCTTCCTGAACTGCACTTATTATTCAATCTATTAACATTCTATTAAAATTAATCAATTAAAACCAACAAAGCTTCATTACTTTTCATTAGTTATTCATATTTTTTAAATGACAGACCAGCCCAATTTGTACCCAGCCTTTGAATTGCGGTGCTGGAGAAGACTCCTGTGAATCCCTTGGACTACAAGGCGATAAAACCAGTCAGTCCTGGAGGAGATCAATCCTGAACTGCTCTTTAGAAGGCCAGATACTGAAGATGAAACTCAAATACTTTGGCCACCCAATGAGAAGGAAGGACTCACTGGAGAAGAGCCTAATGCTGGGAACAATTGAGGGCAAAAGAAGACGGGGATGGCAGAGAATGAGGTGGCTAGATGGAGTCACTGAAGCAGTCAGTGTGAGCTTAAGTGGACTCCGGGAGATGGTGGAGGACAGGAAGGCCTGGAGGAATGTTGTCCATGGGGTCGCGATGGATAGGACACAACTTCGCGACTAACAACAACACTACTACATCTAACTTTCCATCCTGCTTCAATGTTTTACTTAAGAGTTGTTCACACTTCCACAGGGATCTACACATCTGAAATAGTTTTGGTCTCCAGACCTCCTCCATGTGGCATGCACACAGACTTAAAGGATAGCTCAATCTCCAACCATGGTGTTTTTGTGGAAGGTTTATGCAGGTGGGTCCTTTCTGCACTGCCAAGATGTGTGAAGATCCCACAATCTGGCTCTTTAATGCAGCAGCATAAGATATCATCATCATCATGGTTGTCCTATAATCAAGCATTCCTTTTGTTCTTGGAGTGGATGACATCCTTCACAACACCTCTGAGTGAATCAATATAAATTCTAATGTCCATGATACCTGCGGACAAAGTACCTGAAAACATGCATTCAGAACCTTACCTCATTGCTTTGGTGTCTGTAACTACCTGAAATGGGTTACTTGCACTCTCCACATTTCCTGGACTTTCCCTTGTTTCTTCCTTTGTCTTCTCAGCTTTCAACCTCTGGAGCTTTTCTTTCATACTTACATCTACTTTCATCTTCCTAACAATATCCAACAAGTTCTTTACAGTTGGTTTTGTTTTCTTCTCTTGGTTGGGTATAGTCTTTGTATCAGTGCAGCTGACTGACTCATCTTCCTTGGTACAGAAGACAGGGCTAGTGCCCACAAACCTGTGAGTCTTACTAGAAAAAGATATAAAAGTTATAGACGTATGGCATATGCTAGTCCCTCTGAAATTTTACTGTATAAACCAACTTCCTGTGAAGATGTTCCTAGCATCATGTGCAGCAGGGCTGTGACGTTTCTGTGTCCTAACAAGACCTTTAATAATATTTATTGCAAGTAATTTCTGGGCTTTTATTCCAAAAAAAAAACCATGGTCTCAAAATGTATTGAATACACCTTATTTTAGAAAGCTGCAGCTAAAACTTGGCTAGGCAGTATATGTATCTTTGCTTCCTTCTTCCCAAAAGCTACTGCAGTACACTTTTTTCAGCAACTGGCCCCTTCTAACTCTATGATTCTGAACCAAGAAGGCCATCAGTGCTCAGTGCAGGACTCCAAGTTAAACCATCCCTCTCAGATGACTGTCCAGTTACATCTTGAATGTGAGTCCACCTCTCTAGGTCATGGGTCCTCAAACTACGGCCCGGGGGCCAGATCCGGCCCGCCATGGCCATTTATCCAGCCCGCCTCAGAGGTTTTCAATGTGCCACCCGCCTCACTGCCTGCCTTGCCCCCCCGAGCAGGGAGGTGGAGGCTTGTTCACAAGATCGTTTTGGACTCACTCAGAGAAAATGCTCTCCAAGCAAGCAAACCGCTGCATCGCACCCCCGCCACTGCATTGCAGCGCGAGCCCACCCCTGCCTTGCTTCACCGTGCGTGCCTGCCTCAGCCTGTGCACCCCACCCCCCTCCCACGCCAGCCTGCGCACCCCGCCGGCACCACCCTTCCGGCCCGTGCCCAGCACCTTTCAACTGGTTCCCTGGTGAAAAAGTTTGAGGACCCCTGCTCTAGGTCATTGGTTCCATTGTTGTACTGCTCTAAAAGTCAGGTGCCTAGAACCAGATGCAGTACTCCAGATGAGGCCTAACCAGAGCTTAGTAGAGAACTATTACTTCAGTTGATTTGTAAGTGATACTTCTATTACTGCAAGCCAAAATAGCATTTGCATATCACATTCTCAGCACAAATTCTGCTTATGATCTACACTTCCGAGTTCTTTCTCATTTGTAGATTTGTTGAGCCAATGATCCTCCATCTTGTAAGAATGCATTTGGTTTCTTTTTCCTGGACGCAGGACTTGGCATTTCTCCCTATTGAATTTCATGCAGTTGATTTCACTCTAGCACACTAACCTATCAAGATTGCTATGAATTTTGTTTCTGTCTTCCAGGGTACTAATGATCCCAACCAATTTGTGTCATCTGCACGCTTTGTCAAAAATTTTGCTGACCTTAAAATATATTATATCCACAGCATTCCCACAGCCCCCCAGGAGGATTATCCAATCAAAAAATGAACATGAGAAGTGGGCCGCTGTTCTTTACTCTTAGCTGGGAGGGTTACAGAAGGACACACGCACACCTATGCGCCTTGCAAAGAGGGAAAGGAAAGGAAAGGAAAGGAAAGGAAAGGAAAGGAAAGGAAAGGAAAGGAAAGGAAAGGATCCTCGCCCGCAAAGAGGATGCTATGGAGGAGAGACGAACACAACGCGCTCCCCTTCTCGAGTGACTGACAAAGCCGGGCTGCCCCTGAAGGGGGTAGCAAGCTGGCAGAAGCGCGACACTCTTCGCGGAACGAGGCAGGCTTCCCATCGCCCCTTCCTACTGCTGTACCTGTCCGGGGCCGAGAGTCCCCTCCCATGGGCGCCGAGGCGGAGAGCAGCGCAAAAGCCACCGGGGACGCTGAGGCTCCTCCGCCACATTGTCCTCGGAGCAACGCAGAATCAAGCAAAGCCTGGCCGGTCAGTGCACTTCAGTGCCCCCCCCAGAAAGCACTTCCGCCGGAAGGTCCGCCGCGCATCAACCGCGGTCGGAAAGTAGAAGCCCGGCTCCTTGGTTCCGCAGATAAGGAGCATCTTCGCTTCAGGGGAGGATGTTCCGCGGGAAGTGGCATCGCGATCGGCTGCAGCCGGTCGGGCTCCTCTCAAACCCGCCCCTGTTTGGCGCCGCTTCCAGAACGGCGGTAAAGGGAAGGCAGCGGCTGGGAAATCTATCCGTTGCAAAGCTGCGCTAGCCGAGGCGTTGCAGATGCTGGACGCCCTGGCCCTCGTACATGTGCTTTGGACTCGTCGTAGGCGTGAAGCCATCAAGCATGATTATTTTTTCATACTTACATTTTGCATTTCCTGCAAGGAATGCAAGGCAGCGCATATGATCCTGTCCTCTCCTGTACTCACAATAACCTTACCAGATAGGGTAAATATTACAATGTCTTGCTCTATTTTTCTTTTAAGCATTTGGTTCTGGGTTAATTGCACGTTTGGGGACATTTTCTAAATGAACACTTCATGGATCCATCCAATGCGCTAACCTAATAGCAAAGAAGTTGACAGGCCAAGCTAAGGATGCATGTATAGATAAATGAATTGATCCAGTTAAAATGAGCTATTGGGCCTGTAGGACCAATAGCAGTGGTATGTTTTTAAAAGCTTGCTTCACCTTTTCTCGCTCTTTTTCCCTCCTGTTTTATTTCTTTGCATACTGACTTGCCCTTTCTGTCTGTCCTTCTGTCCCTATATTTAATTTCTTGCTTGCACTTAGAAAGAGTTCTGTTTATGGAGAGTGAGAGGGAGGTTTTTATTGTGCAGATATACCTTGTAAATCTGTACAAATTTAAAGAAATAAAAACTGTAAACAAACAAAAAAGTTATGGAACAGTGGCATAGTTGAACGTTCTAAATCACTGTAGGAAACCCAGAGTATTTCCTCAACAGACGGCCTTCTCATTTTTGCTTGAAGACTTCTCCAATATGCTTATAGCCAAACTTGCACTTGCACCTGAAAAAAGAGGCTCATACTACTGCACTTCCAGGGAGATGGTCATTTGCACAACCTGATAATTACTCTGTCTGCTTGCTTAAACAATCTACAGTTAGCAAACCATTCACTATTTGTGAGCACATGAGAGCAAGTAAGCATGCCCACCTCTGCTTTCCAAAACAGCCCAGGAACATCCCATTTCATGAACTGTTATTCTTGTAATGAAAATGCAATCAAATGATAAAGAACAGTAAACTTGGGAGACACTGTTTATTTTTAAGTTGGCAGAATACAAAAGGCTCAGTCCTACTGGGAGAAAGACATGGCATTCAATGAAGCACATACTGTGCAGACAAGTGCTTATTTGTGCACTCTGGGATTCTGGGACCATTAATTGCATGCCATAATATTATATCCTCTAGAAATTAAATATTCATATTTGATCAATGAGAGAATAGAATAATTCAGCTTCCTGAGTTCTCTTTCTATATTGTCATGTGACAGAGAAACCAAATACTATTTTAGCAGAGATTCAGAACTCTCTCTCTCTCTTTATGAAAATGCTATAATTATTCAGTGGGAAAGTACTGAAAAAAAAAAGAATTCAGCAAAGGCACCTTGTTTAAACAAGGGGTTCCATAACTGCCTTCCAGTTTAAATGAAGCTGGTGAGATAGTCTGCAGCATTGCATGCCACATTACTCATAGTACCTACAAAAGAATGCTAGTTTTAATGAATTTATGGAGCAGGTGCTGAAGAACCAGGTAATTGGGAATGCAAAATGCAGTTGCAGGCAGCGGTGCACTAAGGCTGGACACCCAAAATGTAATCGGTGATTGCCAGTCAGGGCAATGGAAGCAGACATTTTATTCCTGCACTCATCGTGTTGCTGTAACATAAATGGATTTCAAATGCATGAGAATTGCAGGTGCTTAGTGTTGCCGTTTTTAATCAGGTTGTATCAGGAATGCTGCAGTTGCAAATGTGACGGTTGAAGGGCTGAAGAGGGATGCTAGATGTGCACATGACTATCTAAAGCTACACAATACACTAAGACCATTAAGTCCAGAGTCTAAAATTATCTGGCTTCACCACTGGCGGCAAAAGTTACCCAGAAGTGGCAATTGATCCTTCCTTTATAAGCATTCACGGGAGGAGGCAAGATTCCCACCCATCCCCGATCCCGACAGCCTGAATCCCTTAGAAGGGCTTATAAAAAAAGGAGCGCTGAATAGTAAAAACTAAAACTTGGGGCCGGGGAAAGGCTGGACGTTTCTTTCAGGGAAGGCACTGTCCCTCCTCCTGTTAACGGGGCCAAGCGAAAAGGGGTCGCCCGCCCACCTATTTGCCTGTCTTGCCTCCTCAGGGCGCTGCTGCTCTTGCCGCCGCCGAACTAGTTGCGCGTCCTCCCGCTGCGCTCATTCTCCATTCGCGGGGCGGGCTTTGGGGACCTCCAGTTCCGCTTCCCTGGCGGAGCTTCAGCTCCTCCTCCTCCTCCTCCTCCTCCTCACTCAAGGAGGACGCGCCGGGTGCGCGCCTCCTCGGCTGTCTCCGCTGGTATATAGCAGTGGCTGGGGCGGGGGCGACGGAGCTGTCCGGGACGGGCAATGCAGTGGAGGCGCCCGGAGGTAAGCGGCCGAGGGAGCTGGCCCGCCGCCCACGTGGCGAGCAATCGCTTCGGCCCCCTCGGAGAGCAGCTGCTGCTTCTCTTTGCCCTGCTCGGCTTCCCTGACCGAAGCGGGGCTGCTGGGCTTGCTTCCCCCTCAAGCTCCCCCCTCGCTAATCGTGCTGCGTGTCCTCTTCCCCATTCACCCCCGGAGTCATAGGAACGTGGGAGGTTGTCTGATCAGTGATTTGGGTGTTACGTGTCAGTAGGCTGATTTAGCGCCAGGATGTTTGTGTTATCAGCAAAAACTGCTAAGTGAATAGCAACTCTTAATATTGTAATTGACACTGTCAGTATTTTCTGCATTTGGGGAAGCCGTATTCAGTCTTTGGTTTATAAAAGACATCGATTCGAATGAATGGAGTTTAAATTTGCTTTGACTAACTCAAGTCCGATGGCTAATTTGAGTCTCATTCATTTCAAGTAGTCTAATATAGAACTAGCATTGCATGCTAGCCCTAATTTTCTTCTGAGCCCTGTTTAAATATTCACCCCCTCCATGTATATCATGTATATACTTGAAACACCCCATAATAATGTATACATCAGAAGAAGTGGGCTGCAGTCTTTGAAAGCTTATGCCAGAATATTTTTGTTTGTCTTTAAGGTTCCTCAAGGTAAAGCTGTATGTACTTAAGAGTTAAAGGATTCTGAGCCCAAGAATTTGTTTTGAGTAGTTGAACTGAACAGAACTCACAACCCTCCCCCACAAAAAATCATCTTCTGCTTTATTTCAACTGCATAATTTAAGGTGAGTGTGTAATTTTGTCAATGTCACTTTTGTTAAGGGATTCAGACATATGTGAAGATGCATTGTAGATCACCCAAAGTGCTGCCATTCAATCAAGATCTACCTTCTGCCTATATGTAGGCCATGCCCAGAATGGGCAGAAAGTTGATTGAGAATATCTGATAGAATTCTAGGTGATCTCTGTACGAATTAGAAACATGGACAACAAAATCAGCTTACCTCCCATAAGCTAGGCAAGAAAGTCTGGGACAAAAACAGGAGATTTACATGTAAAGGATTTGTGTGCAAGCTCCAGTTCTAATTCTGGAAACTAATTCCTGGACTGAACACGTGCTTGGAAACACCTTATTCTACCAGTCTATGTCTTAAGTTTCTTGAGCCACCATTTTGCCTCTGGCTCCAATTGGTGGGCAGGGGGCTATTGAGCAAAACAAAGTAGGTCCTGTAAGCCTAGACTCTTCCCATCCCTGGGCAAACAGAGTGGCAGCAACTCTCCAGGTCAGGTCTCTCCCAACTGTACCTGAGAGGTGTTAGGGATGGACCCGGAAACCTCTGGTCTGTGAAGCAACTGTTCTGCCACTGAGCTACATTCTCCCCCAGTCTCCTATGTGCAGTGGACCCCATGTTCCCTATCCCTTAGGGTGGTTGCATGGCCGGTGCCTTGTTCCATAAAATTTGCTATCCCAGGAGACCCTTTTCAGAAGATGGGGACAAAGTTAGCTCTTTTCCAGTCGTCTGACACCTCTCCTGTTTTACAGGATTTATTGACAATAATAGACAATGGTTCTGAGAGTTCCTCTGCTAGCTCTTTTATGACTCTGGGATGGATTTCATCAGGTCCTAGAGATTTGAACATATGCTAGAGATTTGAACACATGCTAGTCTCCTGCTTTAGTGTTCCTGACGCCATCCCTGCAATTCCTTACTATTTTTTTATATTCTTCCCTTGTGGCCTAGCCCTGCTTCTACCTCCTGTACATGTAATTTTTTCTTTCAGGTTGTCACTTAACTTTTTGTGGGGCCATTGGGGCTTCCTTTGCTGTCTTCTATACTTTTTTCTTTTTGGAATTGTTCATAGTTGTGCTTGGAGAATCTTTTTTTTTTTTTCAAGATTTTTCCATCCCTCTTGGACTCCTTTTCCCTTAAGAGTGAGTTGCCGTGGCACCTCACTTACCATTGTTCTGAGTTTGTTAAAGTTGAATTTCTTGAAGTCCAGGGTCTGTGTTTAGCTGCAGTTAACCTTTGTCTCCTTTATAATTGAGAATCCAAGTATCACATGGTCACTTTCCCCCAGGGTTCCCACGCCTGCTATTTTGTCCACTAGGTCATCCTTGTTAATTAGTATTAAATCGAAGATAATTGTTCCTCTCATTCCTTCTACTGCCTTCTGCTAGAGAAAGTTATTGGCAGTGTATGTCAGGAATCTCTTGGAGGGGCCATGTTTGGCAGAAATGGTCTCCAAGCATATATCAGGGAAATTGAAGTCCCCCATGATGACTACATCATTATTCTTGGAAACGCTGGCAAGTTGCTTTTTGAAGGTTGCACCCTTGTCCTCTTTTTGAGTAGGTGGTCGGTAATAGACACCAATAACTATGTTTGTCTTATTTTTTGCTTCCTTTAAATTGAGCCAGATGTTTTAAGTGGGGCTACTAAGTTATTTTCCTTGTATTTCTGTGCAGATATGTGTATCTCTCACGTATAGTGCGAGTCCACCTCCCTTTTTTGTCCTTTCTGTTTTCTTGAAGAGTTTGTATCCATCAGTTGCAAAGGTCCAGTCATGTGAGCTGTTCCACCAAATTTCAATTATTTCTATAAGATTGCAATTGCCCTTATGTACTATGAGCAGAAGTTTGTGTTATTTCCCATACTGTAGGCATTAGTGCATAGACATCAAAGTTCATTCTTGTGCCCTGGTTTTCCTCCTATGTTTTCTGGGAGACTTGGTTTTAGGCCCTGCTTGAGGTTTTTTCTCCCTTGAGATACACAAGTCTTTGTCATGTGATGGTATGTTGTGCTGCATGTGTGTCTCTCCCCCCCCCCCCCCGGTATTTTTCAGTTTAAAGCCCTCTTGATGAACTTTTTCATGTAGTGGCCAAACATATGCATTCCATTCTTTGTGAGATACAGCCCATAATTTGCCAATAGTTGGTTTTCCAGGAACCTTAACTTGTAGTCCCAGAATCCAAGTCTTTTTTTATGGTACCACCATTTTAGTCATTCATTCACTTGAAGGATTTTTCTTTCCTTAACAGTTCCTCTTCCACATACTGGTAGGATCAGAGAGAAGACTATCTGGGCCCCAGTGTTATTGGTTTTCCTCCCTAAAGCTTCAAAGTCTGATGTTATTCATCAAAGCTTCTCCTGGCAATTTCGTTAGTTCCCACATGGATGAGAAGGAAGGTATTTGTCAGTGGGGCATATTAGATGCTTGAACTTACTGGCTATATCATTAATCTTGGCTCCAGGGAGACAGCATACTTGGTGATCCTCTGAGTCATCACAACATACATATTTTTTTCCATCTTGCGCAACAGGGAATCCCCCACTACTATCACTCTTCTCTTGTTGTGAACTTTGGTATCTTTTTCCTTACTTGATTGACCTTTTTCGGAGTTACTCATTGTGTCGTGTAGTTCTTTCACAGTGGGATTCTCACTTGTCCCTTCCTCAAGTGACTTAAAGTAGTTTGAGAGTCCCACTGCTTCCACTGGTGCAGTGTGTCTTCTAGTTCTTCTGCATCTGGCACTCTTGTCTAGGGAGTTTCCTCATTTTCCCTTTCTGCAAGGTTCTCTTCTTCTGGCTGAGCTTGTTGATGCACTTCTTGCTTCTGGACTACACTTAAAACTGTTGCAGCTGCCCCACTCTGTCAAAAAACTTTTCATCTTCTTTTATTACCTTGAGGGTGGAAACTCACTGCTCCAGTGCTCTCTCACCTTTTCTTCTAACAGGGCTACCAGCTTGCACTTGCTACACATGTAGGCCATGTTGCCCTCAGGTAAGAAAACAGTTGTTACAGGTCACCACCTCTGTGGAGTCTTCATGGTCCATTATTTGTGCTACCTTTGTGATTCTGTCTTGAGGGGCAGTTGTGACAACTGGTGCTTTCTCATGTCTTCGTGGAAGGTTAGCAACACATTCTTACTAGTAAATGGGAGTATGTTATAAGAAGGAAAACAAGTGTATTGTGGGGGGAGGGAACTAAGGGTGCAGAAAGAAAAGAAGGGGAAATAATAGGGGCCTCCCCATTGACCTTTCCTGCCAAACTCCACCACCAATCTCCTGTTTGCTCACTCTGGTCTCTCACTTCCTGGGAGCTTGGCTGCTTGTAGCCCAGAGGCCCTAGACTAGCTGGGGCAGCTTGCTCTGCTCTGCTAGGAGTCGGGAACCAGTATGTTTAAGTAGGAATGCTCTGTCCTTTAACTTAGAACTTGATGAGCAGATGGTTTCTTTCTCCTGATGTTTTGCAGATAAGGTTAATCTTACCTGCTGCTGGAATATTTAGCTGGGATGGGGGGATCAATCCCCATGCATGATTTATTGGAACCATTTCCCCTAAAAATTAACAGACTTGTAGGTTAAGTTTTAAAGCAGGATGGTGGATATTTTATTTTATTAACTGTGGATATTTTATCTGACACAAATCTAAAATGTCAACCACGTGTCTTGCTTTTGAGGATGGTACTTTTCTTTGATTATGTAAAATAGAAGTGGAAAGACTATACACTGTATGTGCTACAGACTGTAAGCATGTTCTTCACTCCCAAATCAGTGTAGAAGAACCCTTCGCATCTCTCCACGTGTTACGGAACGTATCCTGATTTAGAGCCACCGCAAAGCAAGTGAGAAAGATGAGAACAAACCCTGCCATCCAAGCTGCCATTGACCTCACAGCGGGAGCTGTAGGTAAGTGTTAGCCAATCCTGCTTCTTTCAGAAATGTTTTGAAACTGATACAAAGAGTTTTTGAGCTTTAAAAGACACCTTTTCCCAGATGCTCAAGGCAGGACCCACTGACAGCAAGGATGCTCCTAAAAGGTACACTGATCAAAAGGTGACACTAATGGGAGATAGCCCTTGCTGTGGCTGATGAGCTTCCCATGTTTTGTTTCCCTTTAGCAAAACCCTGGCTGTGGCTAGAAGGTCAATGTGTAAGCACTCTTGTGTAATAATTTTCTAACTCTTGCTTTGAATTCATTTAGGGTTAGATTTCATGCTCACATGAGCATTTCAAAATACGTTACAAGTAAAAGTTGAGCAATTAAAGGAAACGAGGGCTGAGATAATTTTTGTTTTCTTTTGTTTTATACTCTTTAGCTAATAGAGGGTTGGTATGCCAAGCAATTGTTCACCTGTTTGTCGTCTGTGGTCAGATATTTCAAGAGTGCCACTGTGGGGTATAGCAGCTTACCATTTAAAATGTTGTGGTGCCAGTTTTTAGCCAGGCCAGGAGCAAGCCCTGCTGGGCTAGGGCTAGGGCTCAGGTCTTCCTCTGCTAGCTGTAGCTCCTGCTGAATAGCAGGCCCTTATTTTGCATGCAGAGGGTCTCAGGCAGTTCCAGCAACACTGGGCTAAAGGAACCAAGGGTCTGACAGGGTCAGGCAGCTTCCTGTGTTCCTAACTGTAGGGTCTTCCAAACAACAGCACAAGTGGTCTTCTGTGCAAAGTCAAAATAGGACCAACAAGACCCAGACTCAGACCTGCACTCAGCCATGAAACTCATTCAGGGATGTGGGGTCAGCCACATGTGGCCGACCTGACTGTTCACAGGTTTGCTGTGAAATTAACCTTGGGAGTGAGAAATGATGGACATACCCTCAGTTCCTTGAGGGAAGGACAGAAAAATGTATACAAATTCATTACTATTACCCTCCAGGGAGGACTTGCTGGCCACCCATGTCCCTATTTGGATGAATGAAGCCTTGCCACAGTTTTCCAAGTTCTGGTAACCTCTCGGCTGGATGACTGTAATGTGCTGCATATGAGGCTGCCTTTGAAAATGATCTGGACACTCCAACTAATCCAGAGCAGAGCAGTGCAGCACCCTTGGGAACACATTCTGCCTGTCCTCTTTCGACTGCACTGGCTGCTCATTGAAGTCCGGGCCCAATGCAAAGTGCTGTTGCTAATCTACAAAACTCTAAATGGCTTGGGGCCAGGCTTTCTGGAGGAACACCTGTCTCCTTACATCCCCACAAGGTCGTTAAGCTCTTCAACAGAGGTCCTTCTCAAATAGCTGCCCTCCAATGAAGTGAGGGGAGTGATGGTTAGTGGGAGGGCCTTTTCTTTGCTTGCATCCTACTTGTGGAATATATTTTCCCGGGAGGTTCACCTGGCGCCATCACTGGTCTCTTTTTGGCGTCAGGCGAAGACCATTTTATTTTCCAGTGTTATTGTAGTTAAACTAGTTTTTAACATTCCTTTTATTTCTGATTTGCTTCATGCCTTGCTTTTATCTTCTTTTTGACATTAACTGCCAGATATTACATGGTTTTTAATTGCTTCTTATTACATTGTTATTATTTGTTTTATTGATGCATTGTGTATTTTATTGCAAACCACCCAGAGATTCCTCTGGGCTATGGGGTTGTTTATAAATGTAATAAATACATAACCTTCCAGTTTGGGGGTGAGGGGTTATAATTGACATACGTTTCAGACCTGTTGAGGATGATATATAAGCTTTGTCAGTGTTAGGAGCATAAAAATAGTTAGCTGTAGTTTAATATACTGGACTGTCAAATGCCTAGTCTTAACCTGCTGACATGAAGGTTCTGAACGGATAGGTCAGCACAGACAACTTGACTTCAGCAGTTGTGTTGGCCACTTTCCTCTGCAGAAGGGGAATTTAAACCTTCCCTGCTATTAGTAGTTAATATGGAAGAATCTTGCAACATTTTACAGTGCAGCCCTCACCCTCTGATGTTGCCTGGTAAAGGGGATTAGGATAGAATGGAGATGTGGGGTACTTGGCCTGTATGGAGGCACTCACCCCATATGTTAAGAGCACCCATGGTAGCTGGTGTAAGGCCTAAAAATGAGGTGTTCCCCAAGTTGGACCAGAGCGGGATCCATCAGCTATGCCTGCCCTGCTTTCCATGGGGAAGCAGGGGGTGAATCAGAATGATCCACCAGCTGAACAGCCTGGCTTGTCCCCCACATACCTCTTCCATCCTGGCTGGCAAACTCCAATAAGGCTTGGAATGCTAATAGCTTTACTGTCATGCAAATTCTCCTGAACTAACTAAGAGTCTACATTAGGCAGCTGTTCCCTTCAGTTAGCAGCTGCAAACTCTCTTGCTTTTACACACATGGGGGTGGGGGGTGGGGAGATGTAGATACAGGAGCCCAAAAGGCAGGGATTGTGCAAGCTCAGCAGGTCTTTGACACTTCTATGTAAAGTTCAAATTTATACAAGATAAGAACAGCGGTCTCATGCTGCCCTTCCTGTGAGGGATTTCCCTGTTTACAGAGCTGAGCTATGGACATCTAAATATCAGATCTCTCTGACATCAGTGAGAACAGTTAATGCCCTCCTGACTTCTTTGAGGGATGATCACGTGCCATCTTCCTAGCTACTTTGAGCCTCCATTGCCTCTTCTGGAATCCAGCAGGGTGGTGGCAAATTGTAAGCTAAAACATCTTGTGGACTACAGGTTGCCCACTCCTCTTCAGAAGCACGTTGAAGAGTCATAGAAACCATGTTAGTATTAGACTTGTCCCTGTCCTGGCCAGCAGCCACAGCACCAAGTAGTCCAGGCTTTGCTTACTCAAGGAGCAGCTACTCTCTCCCAGAGGGGCAACAATGCTAGTCAGTAGCAGCAAAAACAGCCAGGCCCATGGTACCTCAAAGACATTTACTCTGGCAGAAGCTTTCGTGGATGCTGCGCACTGCATCAGGTGCATGACGCATTGCCAAGAGCAACCCTGGAGAGCCCTCAGCATAGCTGATGAAATGGACAATAGTCCACAAAACTCATGTCTTAGTCTTTATGGTGCCACAAGACTCCTTGTTTTACTTCTCCTGGCAAGGCTGCTTTCCACAGATGCTAGCTGCTCTCTGGTTTTCAAAATGATTGGCAAGAGTGGGAGCAATGGTGGGGTTGGTTTTGGGGGGTTTTTTTAAGTGGGTGTTCCTAACAAATCCCTAGTCCTCATTGCATAAGTAGTTTCACCCACGGAAGCCTCTGAGAAACATTTGTTTTGGGGTGGAGCGGGAAGATGAAGCTCTTTGCACACGGGTGGGTGACCTGCTTAGGGTGGCAGAATTAATGGGCTAAGAACAAAGCCAACATTCTCTTCTCCAAATCAGGCCACTGTTCGTCACTCCTGGTCTTCCCTCTGCTTAATGATCTGAGGGATACAGTGTCTCCCTGCCATAGGCCCACCAGAAAGCTTGGCCTACATCCCTGAGCAGCCTTAGCCGACAGTGTCAGTGGTGAGGGATCATGGGAGCTGTAGGCCAGAACAGTTAGAGGATCATAGGTTGCCTCCCCCAATATAGGTCTCTAGGCACTGTTCACCCTGTTTATCCACCGTTCACTGTATTTATAGCCTGGCTGTTGCCACCAAATGGGAGTCTTGTGGCACTGGATTCAAGATCAGATCAAGGGAGTTGGGTAGCTGTGCAAATTACTGTATCTGTTCCTTGCATTTATATCCCATCCTTCTGCCAAAGAACTCAAGGCAGCACAGTGGAGTTATCCCCCCACTCTTTTTCTCCTTCTCTCTCTCCCTCCTCATGACAATTCTGTGATAGAAATTAGGTTAGAAGAAAGGAACAGGACTTCCTGGCTGAACCAGTAAATTTCTGGCCTCTGTGACTCAAGACCAGTACTAACTGCTGTACAATTTTGTTTCACAATTATGTGAAACAAATTAGTCCTAAGTCTTTAGTCCTTCTGTTGCTACAGAAAGAAAATAAATAGGGTGGGTTCCATTCAGAACACACATATTCATTCTGGCTGTCACTAATTGCAAGTGAGCCTTGTGGCTTTTTCTCACCCACGATTCTGTCTCTCAGGAGCTCGGTTCGTGCTGCCCCATGACCCTCATGCAATCAAAGAGAGACCCCAAAGTCTCAAGCGCTCATTGCCTTCCTTTTCTGGCCTGCAGGGGGCACCGCCTGTGTGATGACTGGCCAGCCGTTTGATACAGCCAAGGTGAAAATGCAGACCTTTCCTACCATGTACCGGGGGCTCATTGACTGTTTTGTGAAAACTTACAAGCAAGTGGGTTTTCGGGGCTTCTACAAGGGAACCACCCCAGCACTCGTTGCCAACATTGCTGAGAACGCGGTGCTCTTCATGTGTTATGGCTTTTGCCAAAAAATTGTAAGGAAGATCGTTGGACTGGACACGAAAGCCAAGCTGAGGTGCGTAATGACCCTTTCATTCCCTCAAACCACTCTGCAGGTGGAAGAGGGCTGATAAGATGTGAGCTGGTGGCAACCAACTTGGAAAGAGGTCTTGAGGTTGTGCAGAGAGCTTGAGGAAGATGCGGAGCTTGTGTGTGGCTGCACTGAAAAAGCACAATTAGGAAAGGGCCAATGTTGTACTGCCCTCATGCGAACCAGCAGTGTGCCTGTGGGCAGGACAGTGTGCCTCTAAGAAGGGATAGTGCAGAGCTGGGGAAATTGCAGGAAATAACAGCTAAAATGATCCAGGACTGGGGCACCTCCCCTGTAAGGGCAGGTTAGAGCCACTGAGACTGTTTAGCTGGAAGAATGGTGTATAAGTGGAGGCATGAGAGATGTGTACAAAATTACGCATGGCCTGGAGAAGGTGGCCAGGGAGACATTTTTCTCTCATTCACTCATAATACCTGGTCATCCAGGGATCCTGAATGGGGGCACATTCAAGCCAGATCAAAGGAAGTGTTTTTTCACAGCGTGCAGCATTAAACTGTGGGGTTACCTTCCACGGGGTGCAGTGATGGCCATCAATTTGGGTGGACTGAAAGGGAGATTGGACAAATGCATAGGCCATCGGACTATCAGCAATATGCTGCCTCCAGTATCAGAGGCAGTCTACCTGTGGCCACCATTTGCTGAGAACGAGGCAAGTGGGAGGGTGCTTTTGCGCCCCATCTTTCTTGTGGGTTTCCCTTGGTTGGCCCACTGCATGAGCAGGATCCTGGCCTAGATGGAGCCTTCTACTGACCCAGTAGGGCTCTTCTTCTTCTTTGCTTTGCTCAAAATATTAACAGACAAAACCAGGAGCACAGTCTCTCCATTCACTGTGCTGTGTGCACTCATGTTCTGATGGAATTTTGCTCCATCCCAGCAATTTTATTAGTTCTGGTAATTAATTATCTCTGTTTATCTTCTACTGTATTTACTGCACGTAAGGACAGTATACAACAACTGAACGAAAATGAATCACTTACATAGGCTGGAAGATGCAGGTGCCTGTCAACCACTTCCCAACGTTATTCCAGGTAGTTTCCTTACTGAGGCTTTGGATCAGGTCATCAGAATGCCAGAGGCAGTGCAGCCTCCCACTGCACATTTCCAAATGGGAAGTTTGAAAGAATAGTTTGCAAAGATGACTTTTTAATGTAGAGGGAACAGGTGAGGAAAACGTGATCTCAAGAATTTTGTCCTTCCTTCCTATATATGGAGGAAATGAAATTACTAGAGCTCCAACATGTGTAACTCAGAGCACTTAATGTATCTCTTTTGATTGCTTGGCTTGGAAACCAGATTTTCCCCACTCCTTTGCAAGCAGATACACAAAGGGGCTCCACATGGAAGCCCAGTTGTCCTTTCCCTCTGAGCCTGGCCAGAGTCTTTAATTCAAGCAGCAGCTAAGGTGGGAGAACTTTCCTAGCCTCTTTTTCCATCCTGTATCCAGTCCTGTCCCCAGATGAGATCAGCCTTCTGAGCCTTGACCCTTATCCCATCATTCCCAGCTATCATGGGAAGCTGCTACGTATGTGCTATGGTTGCAGTGGTGCAGGGGATGAGCCAAACACACGGAGCTGCTGAAGTACTTTGCGAGACCTTGTGCTGCTCCTGGATTTGGCCAGTTACACCTGTAAGTCATTCATTTTAGCCCAACACCATGATGAAAGGATTCCAGACTGGCAGGAGTCTGCTTAGTTAAGCAGGAGGGATCTGGGCCTACTCGATCCAGTAGATCTCCTCCCCATGTAATTATGCACTGGAGCTCTAAAGTCTTGATCTTTTGCACTAACCTGATCTGACCCCCACCCCATTGCTCTCAGCTGCTCCTCTGCTATTTCTGCACAGGGCAACCTGCAGGGAAAACCAGAGATCTTTGTGGCCCCGGCAGTGCTGCAAATTAAGGCTCTGGCTGTTCGTTGTACTAGATGCCCTTTGTCTTTCTTGCAGTGACCTTCAAAATGCTGCCGCTGGCTCCTTCGCTTCAGCCTTTGCCACTCTGGTCCTCTGCCCCACAGAGCTTGTGAAGTGCCGCCTGCAGACCATGCATGAAATGCAGCTATCTGGGAAGATAGTGCAAGGGCACAAGTAAGTGGCGTGTGCCTCCACAGAAACGCTGTCATTTAAAAGCTCCCTTTCCAGGCACTCGGTCTTGTTTGCATAATGCAAAATAAAAGCCCCTCACTGCCTCTTATCATTCTTGTTATGATTATATTAATACATCTCTTTGAGTCTTTAAAGCATTTCATACACATTTCCCATACAATGACCCTTTAGGGAACTAAGCACAATAAATAAATAAATGAACATTATCATCCCCATATTGCAGATGGGAAAACTGAGGCTTGCCTAGTGAGTTCTTGGCAGAGGTGAAATTGAATCAAGGACTTCTTAGGCATACATTAGTGCAATCGTATGCATGTTTCCTCACAAGTAAGCTCTACTGAGTTCAGTGGGACTTGCTTGCATTTAAATGTGTATGGATTTGAAACCTTAAGCCACTAAGGCTTTTGGACCAGGACTGATGTCTCCTGGCTTCTTGGAGAGCCCGTGTGGCACAGTGGTTAGGGGGCTGTGTATAGGTTGGGGTTTTGACTCTTTGAACCCCTCCAGAGCATTTGATTGCCCCTCTCCCTCATACACTTCCCCCTGCTTCCCTATTGTCCCACTTTCTTTCATGCCTTCTGTTTGTCTTCTCCCACCCAGAAGCACCTTCCACTGAGAAGACCCCTCTCCACTGGGGTTGCAGGAGATCATTGCAGCAGCAGAGGCTGGCATGTTGGGCAGGGCACACAGAGCCCTCGCTGGCCCTAGGCTGAGGCAGGGATGGCACTGCAGCAGCTGCCCTCGGGAAGGGCATGAAGGGCAGACTGGATTGCTGAACACTCTGCCTCTTTGGGAGTGAGGCGTGCTTGTGGGGGACTAGAGAACAAAAGAGGACAGGCCCTTGACTCCAGGGTCCAGCGGCATCTGCTTGGCTTTCTTCTATACTGTCAATACTTAAGAAGGCGTGTGTGGGAATGGAGCCCAGGGGCACCATCACTAGGAATGTATGAGACTTTTTTTCCATTTGTTTTTGATTGGGATTTTATCAAGGCTTCACTTGCTGGACTGAACATGCACTCAGATGCAATCTGCAATTGATGTCCATACATTTCTGAGTGCGCAGTGCAATTTACAGGGAAAACTGCTTTCAACAGCATGCGTACATATGAAAAATGCACACTTTTGAGAATGAGCACAAGCGTGCTTTAATGAATGGGAGAACATATGTATATTTCAGAAATGCACAGAACTGATGTATATGGTTAGATAAATAAGCATGGAAATATGCATGGATTGTCATGCCAAGGCCAAGCAAGATTGCCAACTGATATGGACTTAAGCCAGAATGAACGTTCAGTTGGAATTCAGAGAATTTTGACAAGCTTGAGTTTTGCTGATCGGCACTTCCCTGACTGGCACTCAGAGGTGCCTGTAGAGGACAGGGACAGCTGGACAGTCCAGAATCAGTACCATGCCCACAACATGGTTGGGCAGGTCTAACACATACCATAGCACAGAACAGCCTCCCATGCTAGCTGGGGATGATGGGAGTTGCATTCCAATACATATGAAGAGCCCCAGCATGGGGGAAGGCTGGTGCAGATTCGATGTAAGCAGAAGCAGGCTATCCCTATAAGAAAGTCCATTCAGGAATTTCCACTGATCCATTCTAATGACGGTAAAAACTTCATTTGCTTCCTTCAGAAGAAAGCTGATATGTTTTGTTTAACTGATGCCTGAATCTCTGCATAAAGCTGGAATTGATTCTAGAGGGACATAGGCCTTGATTTTAATTTTTTGTGTACATTGTGTTCTCTGATGATATTCCAGGACCAGGTGAGACATTCCCGAGTTCGGTTCTTCTGCTTTTAGAGAAATGGCACTGCTATTCCCGTGCTTGTCAACAGCAGGTCATTTAAGCCATCTAAGCACAGCCTATGCCTGACAGTCTCTTTCCTTTCCTAGTACAGTTTGGTCAGTGGTCAAAGGTGTTCTGCAGAAGGATGGTCCCTTTGGATTCTACCGTGGTCTATCTAGCACTTTGCTACGGGAAATTCCAGGCTATTTTTTGTTCTTTGGAGGCTATGAATTGAGTCGGACGTTCTTCTCATATGGGAGACCGAAAGAAGAATTAGGTATGTTTTGGCTTGTTAACAACATGCAGAAGCCATCCTTGACTTTTAAATACGTACAACCAGTTCTGATATAGCAACTCACCCAGTTCCTTGTTTCCCCAAAACATGGAAGAGGGAAACCGCAGTGCTTTAGTGATCACTTTGGCATAGAAAAATGCACCCCAAGAGTCCTTGTAGGATAGTTTACATTTCACCAAAACTTGGCACCTTAGAACTGTACATGCACTATTTTACTTAGTTCAGGGTTTGCCCTGCTAGTAGGCAGAAAAGCAACAGATTTAGGGTGGGAGATGAGGGCAGGGGGACTGTTTCATTGTGTTTCTACCATACTGGAGGTGAGGAAGTTTCACTTGGATGTTCTTCTTCAGGTACCCTAATACCTTAGACAACTGCTGCTTGATTTTATAGGTCCTGTTGCATTGATGCTCAGTGGCGGTTTTGGTGGCATCTGCTTATGGATCGCCGTATATCCAGTGGACTGCATCAAGTCTAGAATTCAAGTTCTTTCCATGGCTGGGCAACAGGCTGGCTTCATGGGAACGTTTGTAAGCGTGTTGCAGCAGGAAGGTCAGAACACAGAACAGCTGGGGTCATGGGCAGGGGGACGTTGCAGAATCTGACGTGCTTAGAACGGGCATCCGTGGCATAGCTCCCATGTCTGCATCGAAAAAATACTGGCCACGTACAGGTTGATTCTTAACAGCACCTGCGGCTGGTCTCAACCTCTGCGAAGGTACTCGCCATCCACTTACCATAAACATGCTAAGCGATCAACCAGTCACCACCAGGAACAGATGGGAGTGGAGCCAGCCCCAGCCATTGACCTGCCACATTGGATGCATCAATTATGCTCAGGCTTTGAGCGGCACAGATGGCCTTGTAATTGTGCCTGCATGGCTGGTTAAAAGCAGCAGTGGTTTGGGCAGGTTTTTTATTAGCCTCTTGCATTAGGAGCAGAGGAGCTGTCTTGTACTGAATTGGCGCGTTGGGCTATGTAGCCCAGTATTGTCAGCATGGACTGCCAGGGGCTCGCCAGTGCCCTCAGGAAGGAGAAACCAAGCATGGGAGAGATGTTCAGCCCCTGAGCTGTGGTCCCACCTATGTCATTGTGCCAGCTTTGCTCCCAGTACAGGGAGAAAAAGTAGAAAAAGTAGCTGGGTAAGAAAGGATGGTTGAAGCCGTAAGTGCATTAAGAGGGGTAACATCTCTGTTGCAGGAAGTGGAAGGAATGAATAGCCTGAATAGCCTGATATGGGCAAGGTGGGAAACGACCATCCAGACACAGCTCACTTAGGGCAGGGGTGACTGGGGACAGAAGATTGGAGCCTTGCTTTTGCTGCATCAAAACCTCTGACAGTGCCTGGGCTGTAAGATGTGTCCACTAGCTAGACATTTCCTTAGCCTGTTAATATTAGCCACACAAACTGCTCATCCCTGCTCTAAAATGGTCAGGCTGGGATAAGAGGAGCCTATTCTAGCCACACAAGTCTATGAAGCAGGTAAGTGCAAGAGCAGCCAGTAAGCTTCGTGGCAGAGATGGAGATATGCACTCCAACCGCACTGGCTCCTGGTAGATCTTCAAGAATGATTTGTCTGATTCCCCTGAACACATTGCCTTTTGCAAGCATGCTGCCATCACAGAACAAACACCTTGTCATTATCCATGTGATGCTACACTTGGACAGGTAATGACAAATTCTTGTTACCTAAGCATGGGACCTTTTCTTCCCATCACAAGTTCAGGGCTGAGCATTCCAGAAGTATTTCAGAATCTTTAGTCAGTTCTGGACTTTTTAAAAATGAAGAAACATTCATTCTGCAGCTTTAAAGGCATATATAGTGTCATTTGTCCTTTAGGGAATCACTGGGAGAAGAGTTCTAAAAAATGGCTTGGTTAACATATGACTCATGTTTACAGGTGTGTTTGCCTTGTATTCTGGACTGAAACCTACTATGATCCGTGCTTTCCCAGCTAACGGTGCATTGTTTCTTGCCTACGAGTACAGCCGGAAATTGATGATGAACCAGTTTGATACATAGGAATGTTATTGTAGACTGTCTGGGTGCAAAAATGACAGAGTTGTAAAAACCCTCATGAAACAAATTTAAAAGGCTGCAGTTTTGAAGTATCAGTGAATTTCAATAAACATGCTGTGTTTTCTAAACTTTGTGCAACCTGTGCAATTATATACCTAGACAACTGCAAACAACAGGATCCCTTAAATCTTACGAAAGAATTGACAGAGCTCTGCTTTTTTAGAAAGCATGACAATATGCCAGTTTTAATTATATGTTACAATAACTGAAGGCATCAGTGTAAGAACAGCAAAGTTAGATCCATCATTAATATGTTGGGAGAGCAGACAGTAGGCATTCTATATTCAGGCCAACATTTCAGATCTAAAAGCACACAAGCTAGACATTGAACTGCCCATAGGGGAACATTTCAATCCTCCAGAACATTATGCAGTAGATCACAGAGTCCAACAAAAAGCACATTCAATGTGAGTCTTCAACATGACGCCGCCAACTTGAAATATGTTAACAAATTTTGCATTGTAATTTCCTAGGGTCTCAACTGTCCCTAGGAATTTTAGTTTACTACTAAGAACAGGAAATGGTGCTTATAAGGAAGCTACTGGGAGGTAACAAAACCACTGCCACGATCTAAAGTGATAGGAGCAGACATCCTTAGATGGGTCACCTGAAACCACATTCCAGTCATCTTTTTACAATGGGCTACCATCAAATGCTGGGCTCTAATATATTGAAGTTATATCCCACCCAATTAAAAAAAGGCCTGTACAACATTGTAAATCCCAGAAGACAAGAGGGGCGGGTAAATGCCTGCAGTCTGTTCTCAATATGGGATGGACAGAAAAGTCTGGGCTGCTGCCAGGGACAACTGGGTCACCCTGGCAAAGATTGAATTGCTGTTGTCCAGGCCACTAAAACTCCGTGGATCACACATTTCCCAGTCAGTCCAAAATATAAAATTATAATGTGAGTACCTAAGCCCCTCCCAGTGGAATAGGGTTCATAGTCAAGTTACCCAGGACAGGTCTAGGCAGCTTTTAATGTCAGCTCAGTGCATGCAGGGATGGAGTCTACCCTGAGCCTCTCAACCTTGGGCATATCCATGTCCACACCAGATGAATCCAGGTACTGGTAACATGCATAGGATTATGTCCTTGGCCAGAAAAATGCCCTGGCTGGAGAATGTTGAGCATTGCAGAATTTCCTTCTGCCCAAACAAGCATGCAATTGTACTCTAACGCTCATCTTCTAGTTCCCAGTCCTGAGCTGCTCCTGGGAACAAATGGACAAACAGCAACTCAGATACTTCCTCCAGACAGCTCTGGATGATACAAGCAAGATCACTTGTGCCATTCGCAAGATCATTGTGGCTGGTTGGTCCACTTAGTGTACATGCAGACCAGTCACTTGAGATGGGTTGAAATGGAGCAGCAGGGGGTGGGGGGAGAGCGCAAAGCAAAAATATATTGCTCCTCACACATGAGCCATAGTCCATACTCCTCACACATAAACCAGCTGGCAAAATTGTTTTAATCATGGTATCAGGAACACACGGGATAATTAAGCAACCTCTGAATGCATCATTCAGTTCCAAGATGCTCCCATCTGTAGCCTATATCTCGGGGAAGGAAGATGAAGGCAAAAGCACTGCAGTGGCAAAGAATCCTGCATAATAATCTCTCACTGCTGGCTCTTGATTATGGCTCAGTGAAATTCAGCTCCACAGCAAAGTTTTCTCTGAACATCTTCCACATCTTTGACTTGTTCAGGTTATCAACTTCATTTCTGGGAATATAAAGTCTGGGGGCAAATGAGGAAAAGGGTCAAATAACGTAGGCCAAGCACATTCTTGTGCAGAGAAGAACAAATTGTATATCTTTCACAAAATAGGAAGATTATTCATAGCACTTTCTAGTAGAGGAGCAATGGCACCTCTACTTTTGTCTATAAACTATACTCCCTTCAGCCTTTCCATATAGTTCATTTTTAGCTCCCCTTGCTTGTGAAACCTTCCCTCAAGCTTGTGTACCTGGTGCTAGGCTTGCTCCCTGCCCCCCAGAGTATTAGATGTGGTATTCCACATGTGGACATTCTCTCCCAAGGTATTCGGAGGTCCACCAGCTGGAGTGGTCCCAGGATACCGACTCCCTCCCTCCCTCCACAACTCAGTAACATTAAGTTATATACAGGTACAACATGATGCTCAGTTTGTTGAATGGTAGACCTGTCTGCTGTTCTTCCACTTATAATGCCACATTTCTTGGAGAGCTCTTGTTCAGGTTCCAGTCAACTGTGAGTGGGTTCTGCCTGGGACAAATGGCTGTATATGTCCTAGCCAAAAAACATCCATTTCCCTGACAAAACTCCTTTTCTCCAGAAAAGGGGGTAGGATGTGTGTTTGCACTTTCCAAGTCTCAGAAAAATGTGCAAGTTGTGCATCCTGAGGATTATAGGAGCCATAAAAGAACAACTTGCATGCAGTGAAGGGGTATAAACCTTACCATACCCACTTTGCAAAGTTCACTCACACCTTGGCTTTCCCTTGACAGCTTGCCTTTATTTGGACCTCTGTCAGGAGGAAGCAAAGGAAAGAAAAAGCTTTCAAGTCAATGTCCAGTGTTGTTAGGTGCTGCACAGTGATAGTAGTTATCCCTGACCCAAACTGAGAGTCCTGATTTCCACACTCACACAATTGCAGTGCTGTGAAGTGCAAGTCCATCACAGCCTGGCTCACATTTTAGTCTGGCTCTCCAGCGCTGGGTTGCACTTTCATGCCACATTCTAGCTTACCTGTGGTCCTCTATAAAGGCAGTGTGGAACCAAAAGAAGAAAGCACAGTCATCGTAGCCTTTCGGAATGTCCTGTATTTTAAAATGGCAATAGGTATATGTGATGTGACTTAAACCACTCTATGGTACTTTCTTGCATTCAGAGTGCTTCATCTGCCCTATGATCTTTACAACAACCCTGTGAGTGGAGACAGTATCCCCATGTTGGGTGGAGTGCGGGAGAGGGCCTTGCCTGGTAATTTTCTGTAACAGGCAAGATTCAAATGAAGAAAACGTCAGTTCATAGCTTAATGTCAGAACCTTGCCCTACACAGCTCTCCAATTTAGGACGTAAGGTTCATGAGCGGAGCCAGCTGGAGCCGGAGGTCAGACTAGATGGCCCAGGAGACCCCTTCTGACTTGCCCTGTTTCTATGTTCTTTATTCTGTTCTTATAAAAGCTTTTATCAGAGAGATGATTGCTTGCTACCCCAACTGGTACTTTACTAGATTCATATACTATTCATGTTATTTCTACATTTTAAAAAAGTATCCATTTTAAAGCATTAAAAGAAGGTGATGACACAGCTCCCCCACAGGGCACCATAATAAAGAATGAAATAACTTCACTATTCATTACCTTCTCCTTTTTAGCTCAAAAATGACAACATATTCAGTTCTAGTATGATTTCACCACTTCGCTGATTCCCATAGACAGTTTCCCACCTTGTGATTTTTTAGTGTGTAAATCCCAGGTACTCAAAAGGTCTATCCACTTTTATAAGGTCCCCACAACTGACTGATCAAGTCAGCTCTCTACTTGAGATGGAATCAAGATTATTAACACTGAATTCAAGAAAAAGGCTACAAGTTGTGCAAGTAATAGAAGGAATCCACAATGTCTTTACTTACAGAAGAAGATTCAAATTTGACTTTCACATCATTGCTAATGACAGGGCAGCCTTCCAAACCAATGATGACCCAGTCATTTTCACCATCGAAGAACAACTGAAAGGAAGCAGATGGGTATCTTACTCTCACCTGGGACATATCTCTGAGATAAAATGCACAGCAACAATTTACTAGGTCAGCCAGAGTGACCTGCCTGGCTGTCCTCCTCTCCTGCACCAAATCACTGGCAGGGAAGGGACCGACTTGCTGCACCTCTCCTCCCACCTGGTGAATAACCGGACTCCAGACTAGCCTGTGTGGGTCCCCCTGACAGCTGGTGCACAAAGAACCCTGCTGGCTCCCTCTCCAAGAGTGGAAAGGCACCTTGGAGAGAGGAAACGGGACATGCTGGGGGATCAGGGAGGGGAAGAGATGGGGGCCTTCTATCTATGACCTATCAGTGCCCCAGCCTCCTCCTCTCCTACTCCCAGGCACTTGATCTAGAAGCCAAACCTGGATAGCAAGATACAGGGCATGACCCACCTCTTGACTTGTTCCTGCCACCAGATGCACATAAGCCTCCAAGTTCAAAGGTTTACATGCATCTGTTGTAGGAACAAAAGAATTGCATTCTTATATAAATACAGGAAGAGAGTTAGATACTGTAGAATTATGGTAAATAGTGGTGTTGTTTGCCACTACTAGCATCCAAGAGCCCACAATGCCTCTACAATCAGTTCCACGCGATTATAACAGCAGTGATGCATGAGAAGTCTTGCCATTTCCATTTGACAAACTTTGTACCTTGAATGTGCAAGTCAAATCTCCAGAAGAACCACCTTTGCAGCATGAATAGCAAACGCACCTAATGGCAACTTTCTCCAACCTGGGTTCCTCTAGGCTGGCCTACAGCTTGGATCAGCCCCAGCCAGCATGGCAAGTGGGCAGGAAGATTGGAGTAGCAGTCCCAAGCATATGGAGGGCAATGTACTGGGGAATCAGTGATCATGAGGGCCCTTTGATATACCACCTGTCGTTGAAGCTCAGGGCAGGAAACATTTCTACCAGAGACCTTCAGTGTTAACAATCCCTACCACCTGCGGCAGTGGTTCTGAGCAGGAGGGAGGGGTCAGAGCAGAAACCAAATACCTTGTTCTGCTCTCTGACAAGGGGGCAACTGCTTTGCTGCTTCCTGTATGGGCTGCAAAGAGCCTATATGACATGACCCAATGAGCATGAAAGAGAACCCAGATCTTCATAACAAGTGCTTCAAATTAATCCAAATAACTTCCTCTACCTTGCAGTTTTCCTGCGTTGCACAGATGCAATAAAATACTATTTGGTTTTCCATTATTATTTTCACTCTCAAATCACTCCCGTTGCCTTTTCCAACTCCTAAGGAAGAGAGACAGCAAGACAATTGCTAGTATCAGGCTCTGGAATTTAGGTCTGTGATCTGCTCATTGCAAGTTCTTCAAAAGTAATTCTAAGTTGCAGCAAGCCAGGAAATGCCATTCCAAATCCTAGAATGTTTTACTGGCATTTACCATGAATAGCGGAGAGCTTTATGCGCTTGATTCGAAGCAGCCTCACTGGTGGGAGCTTCAGGCCATACTTGAATTTCAGAGTTTCATAATACTCGACGTATCGACTCTGCAAATAAAATTTAGAAGTGTCTTAAGAAAAAATGTTCTATAGGCAAATATATACTTTCTCGGTGAGTTTGCGCAACAGACAGCAGTGGGTCACCAGACTGCTGGAATGAGCAGGAGAAAGAGGGCAACTTGTCTGCAATTTGCCCATTCCCACTTTTACTCAGCAACCTAATCTTCTCCTTCACTGCCTGCTAAGTTCATTACCCGAATCCTACTACTAGGATGTTTAGGGACTAAACAACCCAAATGTTAAATCATCAGCCACGATTTAAGCAGTGGGTCATTCAGCCCCTAAATAATCTCTAAATAACCTGGCTGACTGGGGGCTTGGATGATACACTCGACAAGCTTTGGAGGTGCCTAGTGGGGGCTCTGTGCCCCCTCTCTCCTGATCATACCTGCCAGCCTGATTTTTTTTTTTTTTCCCCTGATGACCAAACAACAAGGGTCACTTACTTGGGATTCTATTAGAGACACAAAAGAGGATCGAAAATATAAAAAGATCAGAATTTGTAAAGATAAGCCTGGAGACAGATGTTTTGATGCCAAAAATGTAGGTCAAGATGACCATGTACAAAAGTAACTGAATGTTTTCTGCTATGTTGTTTTTCTAATCACTGCAATCGCTAATCACTGCAAAAAGCTAAACGTATAAATCTGTGTATGACTGCGACAGTGGGCTTCAACTGGAGACGGTCTCACTCTCTGTTGTAAGTGTGTACCTCCAAAAAGGAGTCTTTTTTATATATAAAATTACTTCTTGTTGCATTTTTCTCTCACAAGTCAGGCAACAAACAAGAGTTACTTTTTTGTCCGCAACAAATTTGGAGACTCTGCTGGAACACGTCTCTCGGGCCACATATTTGGCTCTGAAGCAGCACAGCACACATCCTTCATTTTAGGAAGCCTTGCCCAGCATCCAGGACCCTGTGCTGGCGATGAGGTGTTGTCCATGAGACCTGCTCTTGCTCCCCAAAAAAAAGAAAAAAACCTGAACCCAGCAACATCACTCACCCTTTAAGTAGGTTGGTAAGATGCCTCAGTGTTTGTCTGCCTCTTCTGTGTATTTACTACACTGTGATTTTTTAAAATCAGCCAAGTAATCTCCAGGGGCTCCATGTGGCAGTAAAAGTCAATAGGATGTCAGCCCAAAACTGCAAAACTGATTTGTGAAAAGCAGGAAAAAAGTGCCACAGACATCCTGAGAGCAGTTCCCAGATTCAAGATGCACCTCACATTGTGAGATAGCACAGTGGGGTCTGGGATCAACTGGCGGGCAAGTGTACCCAAAGGGACTGTCAGGCAGGTTGCTTAGGCACTAGGAGGAGACTGCCCACAACCACACCTTATCCTCGTGGCTGTGCTTTGGGCAGGAAAGGGAATAGGGGTAAGAAGACACACTTGAATCCTGTGTGTGGCAGGTTGAAGTCCTGCCTACATGGCCCTGGCCAGATGGTGACGCTTGGGCTCAAGTCCCAAAGACATCTCTGGATTAGAGTTCCAGAGCCAAGCTGATTCCCTGGGAAAGGTGAAACAAACAGCTTTCCTCTATCCTAAGAAGAATTTCAATAGAAACATGGCATGGACTAAGTGCTTTTTTTCCCTTCCTGACTTTGAAAGCTATCATTTTTTTTATGGTGTGTAATTAAAATAGAAATGCTGCAGCAGTCCCTCTTGGGCCAATCCAGGGCTAAAGAAGAAAAGAGAGAAGGAAAAATGTTTTTGTTGTTATTCACATTGTTCTTGTGACTTGTTGTATGTTTTGGTCTGTTGTTTAAAACCATGGTGTGAACTGGTGTTTAAAAGGTGTTTCCAATCTGCGTGGGGTGGGTTCACATTAAAGAAAGAAACTGTGGATTCCTCAGGCAAAACTTACTACACAGCTGCACCACCTGTCTCCCCAGGCCCATCGGCTTAAAAGTGCTATTCCAATTTTGTATTTGTGTCTGTAAGGAAACTGATTCCCTTGTGACCGTTTCTCTTATTTAGCTAAACAAATCTGAGAGCTCAGGGAAGTCCCAGGGAAAGTTTGTGGAGCAGTTGAGAGAAACAGGCAAGTTTAAATAGGCTGATGGAAGTGACTGTGTCTGGCAATGAAAATAAAGGCCAGATGGCTGGTCCAAGGTCAGGTGTTTTTGAGCTGATGCAGGGACTAGACAAAGATACAAGATGGTTATGTAGACAATCTGAGCAGTGACAGGTGTTCAAAAGAGAAGTCCATCACTCACTACGTAGTCTCAGGGGTAGTGAAGGCGGGTGGGGGCAAGCTCTGAACACAGGATTTGCACCTTTCCTTCCAACACAGGGGACTGCTGCTGAAAATCCATTCTGTAAGGCAGGTAATGGGCTACATCTTCCATTTTTTTCCTTTGCACATTAGATTCTCCATTGGACAGGAAGCTCCACTCATGCACATGGTAGGCATGTCATGAGCAGAGCCGGGGGTCACACTAGATGGCCTGGGAGGCCCCTTCTGCCTCACTCTGTTTCTATGTTTCTAAGCTGTTTGTCTCTCTGGAATGCAGAAGAAGACTGAAATGCAATAGGAAATTTGATGCCTGGACATCACTAGTCTAGGGCTGGGACTTTGCTTGAGTGTAGATGCAGAGCTGGAACTTGTTCTTGCTGGCAGCATGTGTTAAAGACTCAGCAAAGGATTTCAAGCCTTTTGAGGTGTGTTGCTTCCCAAGACTGTTTGGCCTGGTGATTCTGTGAAGCGTGTAAGGTTCTTCGCATTTGTCTGGAATGCAAAGGGTGGGGGTGGGGCAGATGGAGCATGCGCTTGAAAATCTAGATTGTCGGAGTGCCTCTTGGTTGCTGGGGTGCTTGGTGTGCTGAAAGAGCCTGAGGTTCTTGGATAATGAGCTTGAGGGTTAGCATTTGAGAGTTTGGATCTTGGTCAGTGAAAAACAGCAATGTGGTACACATAAGGGAAAAACAGAGTAAAAGAATGCAGCAGATGTTGAAGAAATGGCTGGGAAAAAAGAGTTTGAGTGAAACTACAGGCTCCTCTGGAGCCAACCAAACTAGGAAAACTGTAGTTTGATCATACTGCTACAAAGAGTTGGTCTAGAAGGAAAAGTAGTATATGTGAAAGTTGCAGAAACGGCATACATGCTGCTGCTGAGCATGTGCAAAATGCAAGTCTTTAGGAGTTGGATTGGCTCTGCCCATGGCTTGCTTAATCCATCAGCTGTCATGTTGTGTGAACCAGATCAATATTTTCTAGCTGAATAGAGTCAAAGCCCAAAGATGACACTAAGTTCCCATCCCAATCCTGAGAACAGGCAGATTAACTGCTGCCTTTTGGTTGCAAGAGAATGCAGGCCTTAAATCGCGACACTTCAAGCCCTGCTTTACCAAAATGTGGGGAAACCCTGGACTTTGGATGTGCTGTTGCTTCAGCCCACAATACAATCCATTCACTAGACTGAAGACACTCTAGGATACCATCCAGATGAAAGAATGGTCCAGGAAAATAGCCAAAAAGATTACATTGCTCAATGGTGGCATTCTACCTATTGTGCTGATCTTTTATAAAATGGAACGTAAGAATAGCTTTTTACCTGGGATGGCGTTTCAACACCCTGAAACTTGGAGCTTGTGCTTTTATCCGTTCTCCTTTCACCAAAGTACTCCAAGCTTTCCTAGAAACAGAAGCATCATGGCACTGTAGCTACTAGAGTTGACTTGTAGTGTCTGTTTTTAAACTCAGGGGATATATCATGTTCTCCTAGATGCTCCTCGGTTCGCTTAAAGGGGAGCTGATCACCACCAACCCTTAATCGAGAGCCCCCTGCGCTGCATCACACAACACTTCCAAGGGTCCATGAACAGCAGCTTTTCAAAAGAGGTTTCAAGAGGGCTGCAGAGTGACTGGGAGAGCTCTGTTCAGTAAACGTGGAAGGAAATATAAGATCCAAGCCAGAGAAATCCAGTCTCCTAGTCAAAATAATGAAACTCTACTCGTTTCTAACATATTTAGACACTTCTCTCCAAAATTATGGATTTAATGCAGTTAAATGTAGGTTTCTGTGAACTGGCAGGAGGAATAGATGTGGAATTTGCTGATACATTCCTCCCCCTGTGGTGAACCCACACACTCCATATTGTTCAGGGGCTCCCAAACATTTTGGAGAAGATTTGAGGGAATGCAATAGGAAAAAGAATCTGGGAAAAATGCCTTCCCTTTATATTCATGGAGGGAAGGGTTGAAATCAAAAGCCTTCTGTGAACAGTAGGGGCTAACACCACATATAATGCTCTGAGATGAACAGTAAAATTCTTTCCTATGCAGCACCAAAGCAAAGTACTGCAGCAAACATTGCAGTGGTCAGAAGAAAGCAGCAGAAAGACCATTCGCCAAGGCAAGATAAACTACTCTAGTGTTCACATGTTGCTTGCTCCATAGTTTGGTCAAACATCCTTGACTGTCTTCTTGCACTCCAGTGGTGGAAATTGGTGGTGGCAGCTGGCACAATTATGAACCCCGCAACACCCTCCCAGCCCCAGGCTACAATTAGGCTGAACCAAGCAGCATACAAGAGTTGCTGTTATCATCTACATGGATAGCCATCATGTGGCAGCACTTTCCAGAAAGTGCCAGAAGCACGCTCACCACCACCATTTTTTGTACCTTTGCACTCTCAAACTGGTTGCTGTCAATAAGCCAAATGCAAACCATAGTTCCAGTCCGACCTACATAGAAAAGGGAAGAGCAAAGACTTCAGAAAAAAAAACCCATCCTGGTTGAACCCCAGCTGTTGCAACCAAAATAGAACCAGGGGAACACTTGCATTAGGTGACATGGCTCTGCCTCTCAACAGTTCTGAAAATCTCTGATCCTGCCTGCAGTTCACCTAGCGCACAGCGTGGTATGGCTGAAGAGCAAGCAAGGGGCAGAGGGCACATTGGCTTGGTCTCTCTGGAAGGAGGCCGGGCCAACAGACCCTCAATCCCTTCCCCCAGGGCATGGGAAAGCAGTTCAGGTTGGGCACTGCTATCACCCGGCCCAGATGCCTGCTCCTGCTCCTCCTCCTCAAAAAAGGGCAGCATGCAGGGCAGGCAATGGGCAGGAATGCCTCCCACCCTGTCTCTGCCTTTCCCTGCTGGGATGAAAGGGGAAGGAGGAAGGCAGGGGAAGGTGGGAAAGTAAGCAGAGCATCTTGTTCTGACCTGCCATTGCTGCAACAGAGGCAGCAGCAGGAGGGATCCAGCCCAGATTGCTGCAGAGCCACCTGCCCCTCCCAGGAGGCAGGCAAGCAGAACCACCTCGTCTGCACTGCTCAGCCACCATGTGCTACAGCTGAGCAGCTGGTCTGTCAGGCACAGGGAATTTTACCCACAGTGCACAGGTCAAATTCCCAGGAGTTAGTGTGTCGTGCAAGCCCTCCAAATACTTTCCCTCAAGTTCTGAGCTTCTGTACTCCCCACAGGAAAACAACAGCACACACAGGCATGGTCATGGCCACACCAAACAACTCAGAAGAGTCGCCACAAATGTTGAATCTGGGCAAGCATTCTGTGGCTTGACAATTCATTTCCCCTATTTTAAAAATAAGTTATTACCTGCCTCACTTTCCAAGTACTGATCCCAGAACATAAGAACTAAAGTCCCTTGATTAAAGTCTTCTATCCCATCTTCCTTAAAAACTAAATCAAAGTGGCTTACAAAGCAGTGAAACAAGCAAAACCCTGTCTCCTGTGGCTTGCATAGGGAGAAGCAGCTTTTGATTAACATGTGTTAAACAGCTCACAATTAAGAACTCTTTTGTGAATGGCCACTGTCAGTAACATCAGCATTCTCTGCATCTCAGTTCCTTCTTACTTCAGTTTTGAATACCCCCACTTTCTCCTGCATTCACACAAACACACTTCATTTCATACATCTGATTTAAAGAACTCTAGCCCACAAAAGCTAATGTCATAATAAATTAGCTGTTCTTTAAGATGCCATAATAATTATTTTTGTTGGAACAAACTAACCCAATTACCCCTCTGGAAACTTCATCCAAAATTGCAGAATGACAACCTGAATACAAAACTTGCATTCAGATGCCTACTTTTGAATTACTGGTGCAGACAACAAGATGTAGGAAAAGCTACAGAGTGATAATTGAAAAATATGACTTGGCAGCCATTTATTTTCTGGCAGTGTTGCATTTTTGTGCCTCAGAAAACTCCTAAAGAGAAATAATAGAGATAATTTAATACTGGAAAGTCAAAGAAAACCACATGCTGATGCATAAAACACTCTGTTTTGGAATAAGATGAACAAATGCGAATTAGAAGCAGGCTGTCACGAAATGCAAGCCTACTGAAAGTTCAAATGACATACGACTCTACCTGAAAGGCCTTTGCTTACCCTTCCCTCCTTTGCAGTGTATTGCAATGATATTGTTGCTGTCTTGTTGCATCCATTCTCGCACATTGGCAGTAAATCTGAGCATCTCCCTTAAAGGAAAACACAAATAACTCATTTATGATATTGTCCAATCTATTACACTAGAAAAACCCAAAATGCAATCTCATTCACTTGAGCAGGAATATTAGATTTCACCTAGCTAACATTTCCTATTATGGTGTCATTTATATGAGACACACCTGATGCAGATGTTCAGAAATTGTTTGCGTTTTTTTGTGGGGAGCGGGTCGCATGCTTCCATCTCACTTGACCCGATGTTAGAAGCAGGTTTATCTGACAAGTTTTACAGCTGTGCAGGATATCTGATGCTGGGGAGGGCAGGAACCAAACTCACGTACAAACTCTGGGCAAACTGAGGTTTAGGAGTGACTGGCCCCTACTTTCCTACATATTTTATGAAGACTTGATAAGATGCAAATAACACATTATTTGCTCTGAAATCATTTGTCATAGGCTAGACACACTTGCAAATTGGTGCTGGCTTGATAGGAAAGATCTAGGAATGTGGATAAGCCTATTTTACACATAGTACCATCTTGCCATGATCCTTTGTGAAGAAACTGATATACACTAAGGTAAAAATTTCACTAATGTGTTATTTTAGTCAACGAGGGTCTGAATGGGTTAACAGTAAAAGAAGATTGTATGCATTGTATTCAGGGCTTGTGCTTAAGAATTAAAATGTAAATAAGGCATGCTGGGAGCTAGGCTCTGCCTGTTTATACAGAAAAGTAGAATTGAAATAGGTATCATCTGATGGGGGAAATAATGGACATTCGAAAGACATCCATTGGTTGGATCTCCTTTCTACCAAGAAGGGGTGATAGAAAGCTGAGCACCTTGAGGCTGACTGGCTGGAGAGTTCTGACTAAAACTTTCTAAAACTAAAACCTAAGGAGCAACAGGAAGTCTGAGGACAGGGGAGTCCGTTAGGAGTCGTCTGACCAGAGAGTTGCTTGAGCAGAAGCTCTGGTGAGAGGTTGAGGAGCCCAAAGACATTGGCCAAAAAGAACAGCTGCAAGACTGAGAAGCCTATGAGGCAGAAGTGGAAGAAAGCCTGCAAGTGAGGAGAACAAGATTCCTAGAGCAGCTTTGGGAAGAAAGAGCTGAAGCCTGAATGTCGGCTGTGGAGGTCAGGGATGGGGGATGGAAACTGAGTAGCTGCTGGACCAGACCAAAGACTTTGGGAGAAGTCTATGGAACAGCCTTGGAGGTTTCAGGAGGAAGTCAAACCTGACCTTTCAAGCCCCGTGAGTTACAGGTGAAGGATGACAGGGGAATTGGATTAAGGGGTAGGAACCAGGCACCTAACACCTCTGGTGGCAAAAGCAACTGCAAAAAGCTCTGTTTAAAACTAGCAGATGCATTTTTAAATAATATACTTGATAAGAAATAAGATCTGTTTAATTTCCTTGTACTTCTGAACTGTTCTGTCTCATGCCTAATGGCAGATACCTTAATGGAAGATATATTTTAAATAAAGAGATGATCCTCAACATTGGAATGGGGTGAGGCACCCACTCCAAGGAAAGGTTCTCTGCATACTTACGCTAAAGTAGGAACATTATGGTCATCAATAAATATCCGCTCCACCCTATAATGGAAAAACTTCGGGTCATAGCCCTGCTCACCTGCAAGGAAGAAGGGTATATAAAAATTAACTTTTTAAAGCTACTCAAAGTTCCCTTAAGACCAAAAAACCAATATTTTGCTCAAGCTGGTCGACTGACATATTAGGAGCTGGGGAAAAGAAGACATTACTTGGCTGATGCCCAATTTCCTCTGTCTCCTCTGGTGGACTGAGAAAGGGCAGTCCTGTTTTGCAACAAGATTATGTTTCTTTGAATGTTAAGTATCCATATTATCAATTTTGTGGTTCAACTGCATCAAATTAGGAATTGTGCATCTTCCATTTCACCTTTGGTATCACTACAACTGGAAACAGACCTCACACCAAACCCAGGTATTGCAGGGCAGCTGCTGAAGCCCTGTTGGCCCACCACTGCTCCCACCTGCCCTGGCTCCTCTACACCAGGCAGCTCAGATTGGAAGCCTTCAGATTCATTTCCCACGTGACATCAGGTGGCCTGAGGCATTGTGGGAAACTAACCTGTTGGAAGCTAACCAAGGTCAGAGAGAGACTACCAGATAATATTTTGCCAGGGGCCTCCTTAAGAAAAAGGAGGGAAAATGAACTGTGCAGTGCTAGAAGCGGATGTAGAAAATCCATCGCAACATTTTTGCTTGAATTTGTGTCGAAACTGAGACTCCCATATGCATTTTGTTATCACAGTGAAGCCTGGCATGAAGTAGCCCATTTAGCAAATGAAACAGAGTACAGTTCAATTTTACATCAAGTTGAGGATTAATCAGCACTCTATTAAATATATTAAAGAAAGTAAAAAAGTACAGAAAATAAATTTAAAACAGTAAAAGCCGAAAAGATATTTACTGCAAAGGTTGTAGACTTTGTAATGGCCTTCATGTTTTGTATCCAAGAACTCTGCAACTTCCTAAAAAGACCAAAATATTCAGGAGCTCACAGTGTTAAAAGAATCAATATATTTTTATTATTCCTGTTTTTAATGTGATTTATCTTACATTGTTCACCACTCCAAAATCTCCATACTGGAATATGGGGCAGTATATAAATCGAATGAATGAATGAATGAATGAATGACACTGTATATTATCTGATTCAATCAACTGCAAGTTTAAGTAAATTGGTTTGCTACCAAATCCTGAATACAGACGTTTGAACAAAGGAAAACATCTTTTAACTTGTAGTTTATCAAGTTAACATTTTTGTTTGTTTGTTTCAGATGTTTCGCTTTCTCCAAGGCTTCCTCAGGAATGATTTTTAATTCTTTCTTATTAATCTTGAGTATAGAACTATACATAGGCTTTAATACAGCCATGTACATATGGATTTGAAGTTGGCATCTAACATGCCACCTGTTCAAATACCAAAAGTGTTGTAAGATCCTTTGTCCACTGCATTAAATGAAGTACTTCTAAGGATGTAATATCAGTCATTAGCAACCTACAAGGTACAAATAATCCATTTACACTGATGATTTGTTAGTTTTAAATTATGTACCTGCTTCATGAAAAGTATGTGTTCATCTGTAAATATTAAAGTCTGTCCCAGTCCAAAATTTATCCACCCAAAAAGAACCAACTACAGAACATTATCAAAACCTATGCTTAACAGAAGTATTAGTTGCATAGCAACACCAGCAGTTAGCTCAGTTCGGGGCACAATCCAATGAGGAATCCCAGAGCCCTCCAAACTTAGAGAATAATGGGCATCCAGTCAAGGACAGAAGGCTCCCAGAAGTAAGTGCTACCTCCATGCTTCTCCCACCCTGCAAAAGACTTAGAGGACTGATTTTGCCTGTTCGCGTGTTGGCACCTGTCAAGATTCATCATATCCCATGGAAGTCTTGCTCCTCCCTTCTCCTCCCTCCATGCCCCCACCCCCCGGAGATGAGCCTTGCAACCAACATGGCAAGAGCTGCACTGATTGCTAAGGGGGAGGGTGCTCTGAATCCAGGATCCCTGCTCTGACCTCAAAGCACGTTTCCAGGGTTGGAGCTGGGATTCCAAGTTCCCTTATGGCCAACCATACAGTATTGACCAGTCAAGGGATTGTGAACACAGACAATTCCTTATTAAACAGGCATTGGCTTGATTAGACCTTTTGTGGTAGTACACAATAGTTACGGAAGTTCTCAAATGAGTCCACAAGCATACCAATCCATTACGCTGGCTGCTTCGGGCCCTAAATTTTCATTGTTTGTTAGTCAAAGGCAAACAAAAAGTCAAATGTTAACTAGATGCATCATTTATACAAAGAAGACTCATAGCTGAGCACTTGAGAAAAGTCACAGATTCAAACAAAGCTTAGGCAATATCCCCACCTATCCTTTACTCTGCAACTTATCTCAAGCAAATAAATTCCCTTTTCCTGTGGCAGTAACACAACAATCTACCAGCATTTTACCAGAACCTGCAGTAATGGCAGGAAATGGGAGAGTGAAGAGACACACAGACAGAAAGAAGTTCAAAATAATGCATTCTGCAGTCTTTCTGAGTTTAAATTACCTGTATAGGATTCCTGTAGAAAGCCTGCTTCCCCGAAGAGGGAAATGACATTGCTATAACACGAGCTGAGAGAAACACAGAAAGTTGTAATAGGCATTCACAAATTTGAAAAAACAAAGATTTGCTAGTTTGTAACCCAAAGCATCCTGCTTAAAACAAGGATATTTGTACATATAAGGAGAGACCAGACAGTTACACTTCAACAGTACAAGATTATGAAATCTTGTACAAGATTAAGATTATGAAAAGGCAGCAGCAAGCAATAATGTTTTCCATGCCCACTTAAAGGCCTATAAGTGATGGAACCCATGAAAACAGCTGCAACATCACATCTCAAAGGTGTTGCAACTGCTAAGGATAGTTTCACTCAAGATTTGACTCCTATGCAGTGCAAGTAGCCACAGCAATAAAGAATTGAATTTCTGGATTCTGGATGCACAAGCCTCATGGCTGAATGAGATTTGCTTTACTTGCAAATTACTGCAACTTAATCTGTCCCTTTGGTGCTTTCCAGATGGAATGAACTGCAACTCCCATCATCTTCAACCAGCATGGCCAAACTCCTATCATGATAGGAGTTGCAGTCTAGCACATCTGGACAGAACCAGGTAGACACTGTTATTACTAATCAACTAATATAGGGAAGACTAATCTAACGCATTGCAATTCTTTCTTGTGTATCCTATACCAGGAAGTTCTCAGGGCTGCTCACACAATGAAACATGTTAAAAACAAATACTATTACAGAAAACTAAACACTGTGCAAGAATAGAAATATCTTAACACTGAGCCTCCACAGGCAACACATTGCATAGCTGGGGCATTACAGATCCGAAGACAACTTGCCAGGGTGGTTATATGCTGAAGAAGACATCACTTTGGACACCACTCAGGACTTTGATCTTTCAACTGGGCCTGGAAACAGAATTGGAGCCTGCACAGCTGACATACTTCTGGCTTCATTCACACAACTGTATAGTAGCCTCACAGCCTTATTTTGGGCTAACAGAAGTTTGCAAACTGTTTTCAAATGCAGGCCTATGTATAAGGCTTTGCAATAATCCATAGGGAGATTACCGCAACACAGATAGCAGTTGTAGAACATGGAGAATCCTCACCAGACTACCTCTACCCAGATGAAGTTACAGCTCATATGTCAGCAGATGCTGGTAAAAAGAGCATCAGGCTACTGAGTCCACTGGGGACAATGATGGATCCAGAATCACCCCAAGGTGTATGCCTGAGCCTTCAAGGGAGTGTGTGACCCACATCAGAACAGGCTGAACACCACTCAGCTAGGTAGATAAATCACTCCCTCACAACACTTCCATCCTCTTTGGACTTCAGTGTATTGACCCTCATCCCATGCATTACTTTTCTCAAGCTCTGATTTTGAGCATCCACTGCTGGCTTACAAGATGAAATGGAGTGATACAGCTGAGTCTCATGCATCCACTGATGACATTCCAGTGCACATGCTCAGAAAAACTGTCATTTCATGTAGATTTTGAAGAGCACAAGGAATAAAGCAGATCCCTGCAAAACCCAGTGATGTAATTTCCACAGAACACAGCCATAATCCCCCAGCACCACCTTCTGGAAATAGCTATTCAAGCAGGAATAGAACCATTTTCAAAATGTGCCCCCAAACTGATCCAGAGCAATGCAATGGTTGGCATCAAAAGGCACTGAGAGGGGCAAGAGAACCAACAAGGTTGCAGTTTCTTAGCCTCTTTCAGCCAAGGTCATCCCACAAGGCAGCCAATAAGGCAAATTCTGCCCTAGAACAGTCTAAGATTGGATTAAAACAGATCTAGAGAATTGGCTTTGCTCCAGGGTGCCTGGAGTAGTTGGACAGCTACAAACTCAAGCACCTTGCCCAAGAAGGTGATGTTACTAACCAGCCTATAGTTGTCCTCCACTTCTTGTTCCAGGTTAGATTTCTTCAGGAGCTGATCGGCTGATAGCCTCTTTCAATGAGGCTGGCATCACTCCCGCTCTCAAGGAGCAATTTATTACTCCATACAAGCAGTTGATTGAACTGGCCAAGCACCTTCCATGTATCTTCAGCATGAAGTTCCTCGGCAACTGGAACGCATCTAGTCCAACTGGACCAGACATTGCTCTGGATACTCCATTAATGGACCTGCTAATGGACCCCCTTTCAAGATCAGATGTTAAAATATCTGTCACCATGCAGAACAGTTCTCCTGGAGAACACTGCAAGAGAGAGAGGAAAAGAACTCCTCTTTTGCTACCCTTACCACCACAAACTAAGCTCAATAATGAGCCCTGAGCTCTTTAGAGGAAAGGATGAGCTACAGGTGTGAATATACAGGGTGTCCCAAAAAAATTGACATCATTCGTAGTCTAATAACATAGCCAATTGTCAAATTTTTTGGGACACCCTGTATATTGCTCTGAGATGCAACTTGTGGCAAGTGTAAGATTGTTTATGGATCCAGGAAGACAGATTCCAGTATGGTAGGAGCAACAGAAATCATAGACATTACAGCAAGCCCTTTTCTGTTCTCACTCCAGCTTTACACCCCAAGTAGCTCTTGCACAAAGCTGTGGTTTGGCATTTGAAGACATGCTCCCAAACAGTGGCTGCCCCTTTGGAAATTCCGCTGAGCAGTTTGCTCATGCAACTCTGGAAAAAGGTTTTGTTTTTAAGGCTGGATTAATGAATGATTGAATTCAGCACGGGAGTAGATGTCACGAGGTGGAAACCAAGCAGGCAGTTTTACATTTGCATTACTGAGAAACAGGAGTTCAGTTTTAACAGCTGCGGAAGAGGCAGGTAGCTGCCAGGCACATTTCTTCAGAAAAGGCATGGCTTTGCCTATATATCTATTAACACAAACAAGTGTGCAGTAGTAATGAACAGAATTGTTTACAGCATAGCACATCAGTAATGAAGAATGAGTTTAAGGAGAAAGTGGATTGAAGATGCTGAGCAAAAGATGTTGTGATATCCACAGGCTGTGCACAACTTTCAAGAGAGTTAAAGTGTCTTGGTCCAGAAGACACCAACAGCTGAATGCCTTGTTCCCCCACATGACAGATCAGTGCAGCACATCTGCCTCTTTTCAAAAGGACTGCCATACCAGAATTTTTAAAAATAAGCAGGGTTTGCACAGCTGGGGACCCAAAATGTTGGATGAGGAGCTCGCTGCTTTAAAAAAAGGAGCAGACAAATGTGTCAGTGAACTGTTGTAGCACAGCTTCAGGGCCATCCAGAAAATAAAACCAATAATGGGAAAGAAAATGGCAGAAGGAAGTGCCAGTCCATGCATTCCTAGTGCTGTCAGGTCTCTGTGGTCCTTATCAGTCAGAGTCTGAAACAGGTAACAGCAATGAGCTGAGGGAAGGATCTCATTTCCCTAGTGAAAGAATATGGGAAAGTGTAATGTTCCTACAATAGGGGAACATGTGATTTCTTAAAGCAGACAACTAACCACTGGGCAGACAATGGCAGACAAACTGCTGTGAAAAGGTCCTGTATGGTATATAATATGTATGCTGACAAACTACCTCAGAGTCAGCCACTGGTCTGTCTAGCCCAGTATCTTCTGCTGTACCTGGGCAACAGCACTCCAGGACCCTTGCAACAAAACCTGTATTCTTCTACTTCCTTGAGCTTTGCCCAAGGTCTATTGATCTATTCCCTACCTCCCTCTGCAAGGAGAAGGTGGACTTGAACTGCACCCATGGGCACAAACTAAATCATTTTGTACAAATGGATAGTTTGTTCCTCCCTCCTCATTCTGTGGAACCAGCTTTGTCAGGGACATCACCAATCCAACATACCAACATGTCACATTTAAAAAAACAACCTTTACTGTGGGCATTAGCACCTCAAGTTCATTCTGTCATTTACATTGGCCCTCAAGAGCTCATTTCCTCCTGCTCAGATGCAACTCATGTTAGTTTGGTGGATTTTGGACACATGAAAGTTTTGTTACGTGCCTCCTGCAGCTTTGGCCATCCTGCTGACGTGGTTAGATTTTAACTGCTCAGGACAATTGGCAAGACCTGTCTTGGCACTCATTCACTCCCTGTAAAGAAGCAACAGCTAAGTAGATGCATTGCCACATCTCCCAGTTAGTGACAGTCCTTAATTGCTAAGGTTGAGGGGAAACAGAGCAAAAGGTCCTGTGACAATCCTCTGTACCAGCACATACACTTTTCTCCCTTAACTTTGGAATGCCTGGAATTTTGCAGGTTCACACAAGAGAAATGTACAATACCAGCTTCCAGACATGCCCCAGTAAGTGATACAAACCAGTGATGTAAGTGAGGTCCAAATCAAAGCCATCTTTCATGTAACGCCTTTTATTTTCCGAGACCTGCCAGCAGAAACACACACAAGAAAATTAGAAGGAGAGAGATGTGGACCAAACTAGTCTGGGTGAACCTAGAAATAAATTGCATTGTCTTCAATACCAGTAGGTGACAAGAGCATTTCCTCAAAATCATCTCCAAGGTTGCCCTTATGCAAGACTTCCTTATGAATTGCAGTACAAGTCCTAAGCTCAAAACACATGGCTTATCAAGAAAAAACCAATTTTGTGCACACAGACTAATTTTTGGTCATATTGCAGAGTGGTAACACAGAATGGAAGACAGAAGAAAAGGCAGCCAGTGACAACACCCACCCCCAGACCACCTCATTTTGAGTCTTCTGTAAAAGACAGAGATTCACCTTCCGACATCTACGAGATGAAATATATTTAAAAGAGAGGTCTGAATGAATAATCTGATAGACCATTTGAAATGCAAGAGATGATAGAAAGGTATGAAAATAGTTGACACAGGTCATATTAATACCATTAAAATATTGTTAAGTGGAGGGACCGCGATGAATGAAGATGTGTTATCCTGACTAAACCTAAACTGAAACCTAAATTAGCTGAGCAAGACACCCAAAATCAGTGGGTGTCCTCAGATAAAGTGTTTCTTACACTACCAATCAACTACTTCACTGTCTTTTTACTTTCCAAAAGAAAAAATAAAGAGGAAGGAGAAGAAGCAATGTAAAAACATAGGAGGTTACAAGTGGGTCATTTTCTGACCTCCATAATATTCTTCAGATGAAGCACGGCAACCATACAATAACAGCCTAATCTATAAACACTCTACAGATTTGAGAACTTCAACTCATAAATCAAGCTTAACAGATTCCTCAGAAATTCTAGAATGAAAGTGTTAATAGCAGGGTACAATCCAACAAAGCACTAATTATATTGTGCAAACAGGATCTATCATTTTATACAAAGAAGATTTAGCACTTCATAGAGAAAATCCTGGGATGAGTAGAAGCACTGATTTTGGGTTGACCTGAAAAGGCCAAACTGGGTGGGAGCCACACACACAACAGCAAGGGTGGGCTGAAAAAAACCACTGTAAGCATCCTGATGGACTTTGTCCAAAGCTTCCTGATGTTGGGATAGTAGGTAAAGACCAGAAGGAAAGTCTGAATATAAAGGACCCCAAAAAGAACTTGCTATACCTGTGATCAGTTTTGGTTCTGCATAATGTTTGAGCACTCACATTCCTCCTTCTGGTGAGAATCTTTTACAGAATCAGCTAACAATATAAGACATTAACAGGATTCATTAAAAAGCATTATTAGAAAAAACCCCAATAGCCAGAATCAAACCCTTGACTCAACAAATACAAAGCCATTGGGATGAGCCATCCAGATCACCTCCAAAAGCAAGCCACGCCATCCAGGCAACAAGGGCCCTCCCTTGCTTACCATTCTCCGCGTCACTTTTTCAAGTCGTTTCTTCTCCGAAGCCAGTCGAAATACTCTTATTAGAATTATAACCCTTAGGATTCGAAAGACCGCAACTGTTCTGGTAAACAAAAAGAGATCCTATCAAGTTACTCAGCCATTTGTAAAATGAAGTATTTTCAGGGACAGAGTTTGGGAGCAACACTACTACGGGAAAAGAAAGGGAAGTGGAATGTATGATTTATTATAATATTTTGAAAGCTATTTTGGAGTGGTGCTTTTAATGGAACAATAGCATCAAGAGGGTTTTGTTTTTGTTTTTTAAAATAAGAGTTGGAGGCATAGTTCTAGAAAGCCTGCAGACCAAATGTGACCACAAGGTACCTGTTGGAGGACATTGCCTCCTCATATTAGGTACTAGAGTGGAGGCACCTTTCCTTTTTCTGGCCTGCTACAACTTGGTCACAATCTGTCAGGGTCCACTTCCCAGCACTAGCCATGGCCAAAACCCAAAGCAGCTGGAGCCACTGACACAAATAACTGGAGATGCACTGATCCAAGGCGAGAATAGCATTATGAAAATCCTGTATTAGCATCCTTCCCCACCTCATGCAGAGAAAAATTCTTAAGAGCTTTGCAGGTGGGAGACAGAGTAAATCAATAACTTGGAAAGGGACCAGTGAGGCATGTGGCCTCAGAAGAATACGGAGGTGCACATTTGGCCCATGAGCTGAAGGCTCTCTACCCCTACACTTCCAACATCACTAAGAGGCACTTTTGAATCCAGATGATCCACATGCTCTTTTCCATTTTGCATGCCTCTCCATTTAAAATAGACAACTGGCAACTACTGATAGGTGTGGAAAGGGAAATGGGAAGAAAGCATTCTTGTTACCTTGGAATTTGGCTTATCCCACTCAAGTCAGAGAAGGTATATACTATGTTGATCAACAGTGTGCCCACAACAATGATACAATCTAGAACATTGAGGTTGGACCTGAAGTAATTTCTGAAGCTGAAATACAGAAGAGACAAGGGTAGCGAAAGCTCACCAGCAACAATAAAATTAGCAAGAGTTTTTTGCTGTGGGGAGTCCTTGGAGGCCATCTAGGATAACAAATGTCAGCCCATGGAGTGATGTACTCCAAAAAGGTTTAAATCACTGTTGCAAGGATCCATCAGACAGAATCATACTGCACAGGTATAAATTAGGATTAGCCCTGGAAGGCATTTTTACAGAAAAAAGGACTGCTACAGCAAGACCTGGGTCAGAGCCATTCCAAAGTCAGGCTTATATAAGCAGAGGAAAGCCAGATAAAAATTTAGAGCAAATGAGCACAGATTGAAGGGGCGCATACAGAACAAGAGCTCCTTCCAGACAGCTTGCTGTTGTCCAATATATCTGGAGGGTGCCAAATTAAGGAAAGGTGATATAAGACAACAAGCTGAATGTCTATAATAATCTGTCCTCTGTTTCCAAGTCTGAATGTCCCATGCTCACATGAATGTAGCCAGAAACCAACTCCACATAGGGATAACCCCAAGGTTACAAAAATTGTTATGGAAAAAAAAATCTAAGTAGGAATTTCCCACACCAATGTAAAAGATAGGTCAGTGACACTGCACATTGGCAAGTGGGCAAAATCTGACCACCAGTGAGAATGGAACAGAATGGATGGTAGAGGAGGACAGAGGAAAACACAGACTTAAAAAATGTAGATAGACTCATCTTGTTGTCTGGTTAGACCATCTCCTGTCTCACACTGAGAAACTAGGGCTGCCCACAAACAGATTTGTAGAAATCCAACATTTTCATTTGTGATTGGGCATGTGTCCACCCCACCTCCCAAAAAGATGGAAAACCACTTTAAGCCAATGAGGATCACAGACGCCCCGCAGTCACAGAATGCTGGCTGACATGGGGGAAATAGAAACTCGGGACACAGAGAATGGAATGACGCAGCTGGAAACATGGATGGAAATACTCTATACTACCACATTTTGTTGCAAGTCTTTCTGGTCCTTCCTTTTCTGAAAGTAAGAACTGCTGCAAGACTTCATTTTTGGTGGTGGACTTTTAGACCTCCCTGCTACCCCGGGGCCAAATCTGAGTGCCCCTCTCTCATTCCATGAGGAGTTAGCCCAATTTCAGAAATATTTCTGCTCTTACCCTTCAACGAACACTCGCAGGATGACGTCAAAGAGGAAGAAGAGTGCAATAGTGAGAGAGATGTTTCCAATCATGTGCTCAAGAGAGTGGTATCTGAGACCAACCAACAGAGATATAACCACAAGTGCAAGGTCCACAAAAATAAGCACTACACCAAAAAGTCTACAAAATGGGAGGGAGGGAGAGAAGAGAAAGATGGTCATATTTCAAATCTAGAAGTATGCAAAAGAAAAATCTACACTCGTTTTAATTTGTTGTATACCAAGCATATTGGGTAGACCTTTCCATACTTCAGCCCCCAGATCTTGCTGGACTACAATTCCATTCATCTCCAAAGAGAGGTTGATGTTATAGGAGTTGTAATCCAACATCTGTAGACCCATGGTCAGGCAACACTCTATTAGAGCTTCTGGGAGGATAAGTCTAATATAGGAAAGACACTGCACACAACACAAAGTCACAGGTGTTACATTTCTAGCAATTCAGCTTGCACTGGTAAAAGGGTCTACATGTTAAATAGGCAGAAAGGAAAGGCAAATAAAGTTCAATTATCTACAGAGCTAGACAAATTACTAATATATCAGGTCACCCAAAATATTTGTAACAGCTCAAATTCCATTTAGAAAATGTATGGCCAAGAAACATGTGTTAGCCAAAAGGCTGAAAAGCAGCATCTGCTAATGTTAACTAGCTGTAGTTGTATGAACCATACTGCACGTTTGATACAGCTCTTGGGACACCAAATCCTAGTTTTGTATGCCAAGTTTTCCCTCCTTTGCACATTCAAGGCAACAGATCATTTCTTTGCAAAAGCTTTCCATATACCAAAAGATACCCATCAAATGCAATCCACATAGAACGTGTCCCTGTGCAAACAGAGAGGTTTGCTGAACCCAGTCTAAACAACTGCTTCCAGAAACCTTCCTTCTGAGTATGACTGGGGCCCATCCCTTTGGAAGGGCCCCTTTGGAAACAAGCCTGTCTCCTTTCCTTATGCCTATCCTCTCTGGCATTACCTCCTTTCCCAGTGCTGCACACCATGGGGTTAAGGTTCGCCTGACTCTGAGAGCCCCTCTCCCATGCCCCCACCCGACACCTGAACATTTTGGCAATTCTCACAGCCTGTCTGAACATCTGGGGAGAATGGCCTTGAGATAACCGGCAATCCTGTCATCTCAAATCTGCGGCCCCACATTCCCAAGCTTCCTCCGCCTCCTCCCCATCATCCTCTGTCCCGGAATCCAGATTGGCATAACCTGTGAGTGCATGTCAAGAACGGCCACCTGCATTCCCAACAGTGGTTGGACAGGAAAATAAGTGAATCCACTTATACAAAATAAGAGCGATGCTGGTGCTCCTGATGCTGTGAGAAGACTGCAAGGGATTAGATCTATGGCTGCTACTCATCTGCTTGACTGGTGCTCACGTTCCGGTAATACTCACCTGAATCCAAAAGACATCACAAAGGGAGAAATCCTTTTCTTAATGTTGCTGAGTTGGGGTGAGGGTGGAGAAAAGTGAAAAGGGAATAATAATTAGGACTTGGACTGCTACAATGTCAAAGAAGTAGCTTTTTGTAGTAGCTACCTACCAAAACAGAAGCATGTTAGACCACCCGATCAAGTCCTTAAGTGCGGCATTTATTACCATACAACCAGCAATTTCTGCAGTCCAGTGTAAACATCCTGACATCACTGACACCCACCCACCTACTGCAGCCAGTGCTAAGCATTTTAAATTGTCCCACTGTTTCTGCAGGATGCCAGATTTCATAACTGACACATGCCCAGTTTGCACTAGGGAAGTTTTTCTATAGAATTCTGTATTCCCCTTTCCTCTTACCATTCTTTAAGGAGAGAGAGAGTCATTTCTGATTGTCTTGATCCCCATGGGGTGCAATTATGTGCAAGCTGGACCAGTAGTTCCCTTGATAGGACTTTATCGATGAGTGAAACTTGCAATTGAGTGAAACCTGCTTAGCTGCCTTCTGTGATGTGAAGCCAGCTAGGCTGCTGTTTTCAGGTTCCATCCATCAGTAAGATCCTACTGAGCGAACTGCTGGTCTGATTCTCTCATAACAGCCACTCATGGTTTTTTCAAGCCATGGATTGTCAGGGCCACACAGGAGCAAGCGCCTGCCACTTGAACTTTATATCCAGTTTTTCATGGAACCTACAAACACTTCATATACAGGTTGTGCATATGTTGCATTGAACCTGGGACAAACACCCCAGACTGACTAGCCTATCTTTAGGTGTTGGATTCAAATTTTGAGTTGTTTGTCCCTCTGTTTGTGCCAGAGCCCTGAGTTCAGAAGTCACATTGACCACTCATTGTGTCAACGACCCATTAATTACTGCAATGTGTGAGCCAAGTAGCAGTACATTTTAATTGAGTGCACACACCCTCAGTCCAGAGGTACAGACTGACTGTGCCTGTTAGACAGGAGAAGCTGCTTTCCCACCTCAAAGATATATTTATATGCACCTTTTATAACTGTCAACAGCTGAAACAGAATTAGCAGTATTAAGCAAGCAATTATTTCTCAAGAACTGGAGCCTCCCATAATTCAAAAGGATTTAAGTGTATTGCATTTTTTTAAAACTACTCCCTGCAGTTTTGCCACACACAATCTCACCTAGCCAGTCCCAGCTGCTACCATTTTGAGAAGTAGGGGTTAACTTTTCACTAGCCAGGATAAGCACCAATTAGCTTGACAAGACTACTATGAATATGATGGACCTTCCCCCTCCTTGCCTCTGATTCAGAATCCATCCATTACCCCTTTGCATCCCAGCCACCCATATGCCAAGCCCTTTCTCCCCTTCAGAGTATTCATTGCATTCATCACCATGGAAGGCTCCCCATAGAATCACTGCTCTCCACATCTACCCATGTGTTCCCCCAAGTCACTGAGCAACACACTCCTATGCGGGGTCAGCAACAGCACAGCACATACTTCTCTTTCCTTCAATACATTTAGTGTGGCTGGAACAGTCACTCAGGATGTGGCAACACAGGTCAAGGAATATGCACACTATACAGCAGGTTTTAATGCTAGATAGCTCAAACCTATCATAAGTTTGCTTAGTGTTAATGCCTGGGGAATACTAGCTCCAAACCCCACAAGCCTTCATGCTATTTCCATCAGAAAGCAGAAACTTCCAGAAAATGCTGCAATGTGACATGCTCCTGTTCAGAGTTCCAGCCAGTCATACACTTCCACAATGCTACATTCCAGTCCTCCTGCCCTGATCAGGCATACAGGCCCACTGAGCATGCTCAGTTCTCCTTGAATTGTTTTGCAGATTCCGTGCTTTTCCCTAAAAGATTTTGTTGCTGTTCTTGTACTTATGCAAATATTGTTATAAGATATTGTGAAGTTTTGTGGAATACTCAATTTGGAGCTGGCAAAATGAATATCAGAGAAGATTCTCCTAAATCATGTTCTCTGCATTTTGGAAAGCTCAGTTCAAAGAGGGAGAGAAGAGGACCAGGGCACTCTGCATCCATTTGATTTGTCCGGCAAATTCTAGAATTTCAACTTACTGACACCACAAGTTTGGATCATCATCGTCATTGGCACCATCATCAATCATAACAGTTGGCTCCGTGCTCTGTTCAGTTCTGCCAAGAATTAAAGCTGTTACATCACCATTCTCTCTTTACGGAGAAGCACTAAATCAACGAGATGAGAATGGCAGGCAACAAGCTCACCTTCTCCCTAGGACTTAAACCAGGCGTGGGGAACCTCTTTCAGCCTGAGGGTTGAAGATTTGAAGGCCATATCCCTGAAGGCAGAAGGGGTGGTGCTCAAAATAAAAACCATCAGCCTGTGGTGGCCTGGTGCCCTTACTTGCCATATCTAAGCCTTAAGGCATCATTTCAACCAGAAATGTCAGGAAACCATTAAAACAATTGGTGGTTGGAGAAAGGAGGTGGGGTCAGGGGGAAGCATGTGGCCACCTGGAAAACCCCTACATGGGCCCTGCAGGGCATGAGCTGACTTTCTCCCCACATATATCACAGTCCTACCTGAAACATCCATTTTATTGATCTTATGCAAAGTCTATTCAATGGCATCACAGAAAAGTACTCAATGGCTGTATCACAGGTGTCAAAACTTCTTTCCTCTCATAACTGTTTTGACTTTTATAGATAAACTCTACTTGATTTTTTTGTGTTCATGGCTTTTGTTTTGTACACTGTCTTAAGAAGATTCCACTAGCAAGAGTTTTGAAGCAAATTAAAAATAAATCCATAGGAGACTGAGAATTTTCATGCAAAGTGGCAAGAAACTTTACCTGGCTGCCAAAAGCTATCCCAAAATGAAACTGGCATAGTTCTACTCTTCACCATCACTATTTCTATCCAAAATCTCCAGGTGGAGGAAGTTACAATATTAAAGACATAATCCTGTGTGTGCTTAGACAGAACAAAAGTGCTGCCTGGGGAATTCTGGAAGCTGTATTTATTAATTTTAAAAAATTGTATGCCACCCAATTGTGCCACAGCACCTGTAGACCCTTTTTCTAACTAAACATAACAGGATTGGACCTTAAATGACTCTTGTGAAAGCTGCAAACCTGTGCAGACTTACTTCCAAATATGAATACACAGGGTTGCACTCAGAAAACACCTGTAGGGTTTGTTAAAATGTAAAACTGGTGGTGAGAGCACAATTGAAGATTGACCTGAAAGAGGTTTAAAATGCTTCATGAACCACACAGAGTTCTGCCCAATTCTAATCTAAGACCTGTTCATTTCAACACATCAGTGCTAAGTAGTAATACTGGATTCATCTCAAAGGAAGTGTGTAGAAATGCTTTACTATAATTTGGAGTAAGGCACATTCACACACAGTTTAGGAAGAAATCTTACAGTTTTAAACCAGGACTGATGTGAACCTTCAACTATAGTCCCACTTATATCCCATTCATTTTAACTCACCCCAGAGAATCTTCCAACTCCAAACTTTTTTCATATTTTACAGTTGTCATGTTGCTCTTATTGCTTATGGAATGAAACAAAGCAGATGGTTTCTCTACAGGGAGAAAAAAGGTACAAACATTATAGAGGACACCCAGAAAGTTCTTTCATAGGCACAAGATCTTTTATCAAGGCAGACCACACACAGTGTATAAACTGATCTGTCTACAGTGAAGCCATAAGCATGCCTGGTATGCCTCATTCAGCAAAGTAATATCTGGAATCATTATAGCGCATTATGACCAGATCAAGGTGTCCCATGTGTATTTGCTCAGTAATCTTGTACTTAAAGCAGGTCAGTATCATTACCACCCACACATTTCAGGTGATTTGGCTGAGACAGAATAAGCAGCAGCTGAGTTAAGACAACCTGGTATACTGCCCCAACCCAGCACTCTTGACATGTGTTGGACTGCAACTCCCTTCATGCCAGTTTGAGGATGCCTGACCTGGTAAGTCTGTTGCCTTCCCATATCACAGCTTAGGCCTAGATCTTACTGAAATCTCCAACGCCCAGGCTGGACTACTTCAGGTTGCAGGTAAAAGACTCAGGTGACTGAACATGCCTTCATACAAATACATCCCCCGCACAGAGAAAGCTAGCATGCCAGGAAGAAAGGTTCTAGCTTATGCACAAGTTCTCTGCAGGGCAGCACCAGCCATGCATTAGGTAGAGTACTGCAGCTGCCTGGGCAGCAGATGCTGGTGTGGGAACAGTGAGGTTCTGGTGGGCATTGCTGCTGGTGCTATGCAGCCCCCTAAGCCAACTTGCTCTGTTCAGGTGTGAACACTGGCACAGCAATGGCTTCTGCATGCAGAATAGGAGGTTGCACGATTTTATTATTCAGTGAAAGTGGCAAAACATCGTGGCTTAACCCTGCTGTGTGGAGGAAACTATTTCTAAAGCAGGGCCATCTGACACTGAGAACTGGAAAAGAGGGCAGTTGGGAAAGAAACTCTTACTGCTGAATCTTAATCATGTTTACTTGGGAATAAATCCCACCCAGTCTAATGGAGCTTATTGCCAAGTGAAAGCAGTTCTAGTGCTCTTGACCAGATCAATCAAAAGAGCTGCTCCATCTATTCTGTTGTTCCCACCATAATGGATTTTCTGCAACAAGAAATAAAGACAGAAGCAGCAGTGGGAAAATATGGGGAAGGAGTTTACAAGTAGACAAATAATTCGACTGCCAAGTTTATATTCTGTGAACCAGGCAGGAAAACTGCAAATAAAAACCTCACCTGGAACTACTCCAGTTTCTGCAGAGCTCTGAAGCTTTAACTTTGTCCCCTCCCCCCCCCCTCCTCCCGGGGCCAGCGCACGAAGTCATTTGCCCTGGCAGAGAACAAACTTGGCTCCGACCAAGCCCTTCAGAGGGGCAACTTGGCACGCGTGACCCACGGAGGAAGGGGGAGGGCAAGAGCAAAGAGCCACCCCCACACAAGCTAAGAATGATGAAAGGAAATAGGGGACTGGAGAAGGGAGATTCCGGCTGATCCGAAGACCTGAATGTTACCGAACGCGCTAGGAGTCCAAGAGGTGCAGCAATCCCGTTCGGAAGGAAAGGGTGAGCGTTTCTGCCAGTAGCCAGCGGCTCTCCCCAAAGCTCCCCTTGACGTCCTCAGACCTCTCGCGAGGCTGCCCACCTCTGTGCCCGGCGCCAACAAGGCAGCGGGGGAAAGGAAGGAAGGAAGAAAAGGGCTGGCCCCTGGGCTCTGCACCCTTCCCTGGCGGCGCCGCGCCTTCCCAGCCTCACCTCTTGCAGCCCGCGGCGTTCTCCGGTGCAGCCGCACGAAAGCCTCGCTGCCCGGCAACTGCGGGCGAAAGGCGCTCCCCGAGCGGCTGGGGAAAGCTGGCTGCCGGCCGCCGCCACTTCATGCTGGCTTCGGGGAAGCGCCACCTGCGCCGGATTCGCACCTGATGATTCCCATCACCGGCACGTGAGGCGATCGGTCGCGGCGGGCGGCCCAGCCAGCTATGCTCTTTCTGCCAAGAGCAGCCACGGTGGAACCGCCGTTGCCAGGCCACGGAGCGCCGGCCCCAGGTGACCATTATTCGAGCAAGCCGCGGGGGCACTGTCGCCAACTCTGCGCACTTCCAAGAGGGCTCCTGGCCACGCGATGGTGACTCAAAGTGGCGTCCGCGCTGCAAAACGGAGCTGCTTGCAAACGCGGCGTCTTCTGCGGTCGAGTCGGACAGCCACAGGTGGCATTAGGGGGCAGAGCCCCGCGTCTCTGGGAGGCCATCTGCCCCGCTCTTCTGCTACCCGCGGACACTTGCTGAAGGCTACGCAGCCCCTCATCCCTGCTGCAACCGATTTCCTCTGGATGAGTTGGCTTTTGGACCACACGCGTCTAACATCCTATGCCCCCCCTTGAATCTTTTGCCTGAGGCTTTTCCCACTGTTCATACATCACACACAGGGCATTCTCTTAGGAGAGAGCGACTTTTAAAATCACACACACACTTGAAAGTATTTGCAAATTAGTATATGCAAATATGTACCTTTTTTGGCTTATGGGCCTGAGCCCCAATTTTTTCAGTATCTAGCACTGCCCCTACAGGTAGTTTATTCTAAAACATAGTTTTGCAGTTGCAGGCAAGGGGTTGAGCCCATGGCTGCAATATGTGCTTGGTGTGCTGCATTGGGCTTGACAGATCCTAAAGGATGGTTTAGCGATACAGCTTAGCATGCAGAAATTAAAAGGTGAAGCTTTTCACTGGAAACAACATGGGTGGCAGTGATGCCAAAACTTCAGCTGTAGAAATATTTTGAAAAAAGAACCTCTCCCTGGTACCCAGAGGCAGGTCGGTAGCTGGGTTGAGGCCTAGGGACACCACCCAAAGCTGCCTTCTCCATAGACTGCCCGCACACACTTCTGAACAAGTAGCACAAGTCAGTAAAATGTAATGAAAAATAGTGTCATGGCCAACTTACAATCATTTTGTGTCCTGTTACTCTGCTACTGTGGAGGGGTGGGTTAATTTGCTTAAGGCAGAAGCATGTAAGTGCTTACAGCCCAAAAGCCCAATTCCATTTTAGAGAAACTGCCCAGCCACCCTGCAGTGGTGAGAGGAGCCAATGGTTAAAGGGGGTGAGGCTAAATACTGCAACATTTTCACATCAAGTGCTCGGTGTCAGTAACTAAGCTTTAAGAGATTTCAACCTTTTATAATAGGAGGAAAGGGCACAAAAGCCAGGAAACTACTCTTTTATTAGTAGAGAAAAGTGACATAACTATCTGAGGAATCCCAGAGGATTGAATTTGGTCCCTGGACATCAGTTCTGTACCCTTGGCTTAGGGTAGCAATGAGATCTGATCATGTCTACCCATTGGGCTGCTCTGAAAACTTATGAGTGTGCCTGGTGGGAAGGAATAGAAAATTCATACGGGAAGTTATAATTATGAATTGGAACCTGAGCAGCTTGATCATGAGCAACACAGTTTGGAAAATGATCATACCTGACCCACTAATTTTAGCATTCCTCACTATGCATCGGACTGAGGCTTTGTCAGTGCACTTTTTATTTATTGAGACTAATAGCATTACACAAATGCAACCTGGAGAGGAGGCCTGTATGTTAATGCCATGTATACATGCAGAACAGCCCCAACATGTACAATTAGTTGACTTTGGTGGGACTTACTTCAATGTAAAATTGTATAGTTTATACATGGGGAGTAAGTCGGTCCCATTGCACTCTGTAGGGCTTTTTTGTGATGAAATGTTAATATGGTCAGCTAGAAATGTCCAGTGTTGTCCTCCCTGCACAGTCACATAGCGCATCCTTCCTTGGCTGAAGTAGTTTGGTGTAAGCAAGTGCAGAGTGATGCATTTTATGTATATGGTAATAGATTATAAGCTGTTGGTGAATGACCAGGAAAGAATGCTGAGACTGTGGTGGGAAATTCAATGCAAATTATTATTTATTTAATTTCAGCTGCTGAGGAAAAACAGAAATTCCATGTTGGGGATATCATAGAGTTGGAAACAGTGAAGAAAAGCACAACCAAAATGATTGAGAGGCTGGAGTAATTCCCTTAATGTGGAAATATTACAACCTTTGAGGCTTTTTTTACTGAGAAAAGGGGTGAGCAAGGAAGAGATGGGTGTATTTGATTATTTGTGGTCTGGAAAATGGAGACAGGGAGAAGTTTTGCCCCTTATGGTTTTAGAACCCAGGGTCATCCATGAAAATTAAATGGTGGGCAATTCTGGTCATATAAAAGGAAATATTTCTTCACACAGTACATCACTAATTATGAAATATGCAGCCACAGGATGTCCTGACAGTCACCAACGAACTCTGATGACTTTAAAGAGGGACTAGACATTTGTGGAGGAGAAGGCTATCAGTGGATGTTGGTTCTGATTGCTGTAGGACCCCTATCCCCCCCATGTTCTTCACATTTATCTTGCCATTGCAAGCTATGTCAAGACTGGCAGTATTAGCATTCCCCCTCTTTTTATCATATTTTCTCTAAGCACTAATACAACATCTGTTTAGTCAGAAAAAGATTGAAAAAGGTCTGCCACATGTCCCTTAGCCTCCCCTCTGAGACAGATGCCCAATATCAAAGGGTCAGCCAGCCCTGATCTTTCCATGGTGACATGTATGGCACTCTGTGTTCAGAGTTTCAGCTCTGAGCTAGCAGAAGCTCCAAAAATCCTATGGGCCCCAGATACTGTTGGGAGGCCATAGGGTTGCACCCTAAGCCCCTTCTGTAATGGGTGAAGGCAAATTTGGGTGTACCCTTTGCATGTTTACACAGAAAAAGCCCTCCACCTGTCAGCATTCTCTAGCTAGCACATGGCTTTCTGGGCCTACTGTGGCTGGCTAGGGAATGCTGGGAGTTGTAGGCCTTTTTATTTTCTAGACCTGCATAGGATTGTGCCTTTTGGAAGGGTTTTGTAAATACTTGTAATAATTCTCTGCTGATAGCGCAGTGTTTATACATGTATATTCAGAATCCAGGGAGTTCAAAAGGATTTCAGCCTAAATCTGTCATTTCCCTTAAGATGTTGTCTCTTGTTCCATCTCCCTTCCTTCCTTTTCCAGGAAAAGAACAAAAATATGTTGCTCTGACCCTTTTCAATATTTTTGACATAATCTGTTGATGATTCCAAGTCTGCAGAAAGAGTTTGTTCTCCTTTACAGTCAGCAGAGGGTGCTCAAAGTGTTCCTTCATTGACATTTAAGACTTCTGTTGTTCTAAGTATGTGTTTATCTGTGATTAAATTTGGGAGGATTGTCATCTCCACTGGAAGACAGGAAGCAAAGTCTTGATCATGTGTATTCTGACTCTGAAGTGCTCAGGTGTATCAGGCTACAATAAATGAGGTAAGTTTATATTTTTCACTCGCATCCCTCTATAGTATTTTGTAAATGTTTTCCTTTTGCCCATCACTTTTAACTGTATAAAATTCCTGTAGATTTTGCTAGAGGATTATAATCAACAATTAGTATTGCTTGCCAAGTAATTAGAAGGAAAACCCTCCTTCTACATTAATTAGAAGGAAAACCTTCCCCAACCCTATACATTAATTTAGCTTTTTTGATCCATTTTAGTTGGTTAGGGTCCCCAACAGGCATATCTACCCGTGCGGAAGGCATAAACTGTAGCAGGGAAGCAGGCAGCTTTTCTCTCCCCTTGTCTGCTGCTTTCTCCCTAGCTGGGATCCCTGCCCTGTACCTTTAAGAGTTGCATCGAAGGTATGAAGTGCTGGGGGCAGGTTTCTCCTTCCTGGTGCTGTGGATGAAGAACTCTTACATAGAAGCCCTTTCACAGTCTCTGCTTTGCCCATCTAAGCTTGAAGTCATGTGGCAACTCCATCCCCCAAGCATCATGACATAAAGCCCCGCTTTCAGCTCTGCAGGAGTTTTCCCTTTCTCCCCGGCCTGGAATGAATTTTCTTGGGCCCCGGCTGAGGTGGTGTGTGTGCATGGAACAAGTGATATACGGTGGGGTTCAGATGCATAGCCTATGGTCAGGGACTCTGGGAGCATTATCCAGAACCTGTCTTCCCAAACAAGAGAGCAAGGCACCTCATTCCTGCATATCCTAGCAGCACATGCCAGAAATGGAGTGCTTATGTAGGTTTTTAAAAAAAGGGAGCGGTGCCACTCAAAACATTTTTTCCCAACTAGCATGGTAGAGAAAGTGGCATCAGTCTGCCTCACTGGACCTATGATCAACTGCTGAATGTCCTCTAAAGGAGAGCAAAAGATGGGGATAGCCTCTTGCTTGTATGCAGTGCTCTTTTTGTAACTCACATTGCTGCCAGCAGTAAGCACTCAGCGGGCAACCACACACACCAATCCCAAGCCAAGCAGCCCACAGGCACTATGTTAATGATGTTTGCTGCTGACCTACTATGCCACAGGCAATTCAAAATCACTTCATAAAATCCATTGGAAAAAAAGGTGCCGGAACACCCTTCCGGTGCCTTCTATGACAAAAAAAGCCCTGGTTGTATGGATAACAGCAGAGGGGCAGAATGGCTGAAGCCCACCCCGCAAACCAATGAATATTCTTACTATTACTAGAAAGTAACTGAGTGGAATGCCAAGCCTGCATCATTTCAACAGGTGCTCCTTTCCAGACTGAAGTTGCCTTTGTTTTTGAAATAAGAACTCAGCCAGCTCACTTCTTCTGAGTGTGCTTAAAATCTGCATATCACTTTACTGATTGTAGACTATAGCTAATGATGCATACTGATGGTTGGGAGTGTTTGTATGATACAACCCCCTCATGTGTTAAACAAATGCAGAAACTAGTTCATATAAATGCCCTTTGAGACAGAAAATCCATGTGGGATGAATAACAACATGGAATATAGTCATGCCCACTGGCCCTGATTTACGTTACTCATATTAACAAACACAACGGTGTTATGATTAAGGAGTCTGACTGATGTTGGAGGTGGCTGGGTGGCCCAGGCCTGTCCTCCCCTCCGCATGTTCATTGGCCTACCACCCAAATGGAACATGAGAGGGTGGACTGGGAAGTCCTGGGCTCCTGCCACAGATGTGTTCAGCTGGGCTCTCAGCAACATCCTTTCCATGTCCAGGCAGAAGCAATTCCCAGCACTGGGTTCAGCAGGGCCTGACCCCCAGTGAGTTTGCATGGGATTGTAGCCATTGGTCACAAACCATCTCCCAGCTTCAATCAAACATTGGCAACATGGGGGATGACAGTATTGGTCCTGACAATGACTGACAAGGTAATTTCATGGATTATCGGGATAACGTCCATGTACTTTATTCATTAATTATATTTTTATCCCACCCTTTTTCCATTCAAGAAACTCAAGGCACTTTACACAATCTCCTACTCTCAGTCTTATGCTCAAAATAGCTCTGTAAGGTGGGTTGGGCTGAAAGTCTCTGAGTGGCCCAAAGTCACCCAGTTGGTTCCATGGCCAAGTGGGGACTAGAACCCAGACAGCCTGAGTCCTAGACCCACATTCTTAACCACTACACCACACTGGCTCTCCAATTTTTATTGATTTTCCAAAGAACTGTAGAGATGTGTACTAATTTTTATTGCTTGAAATTTGCAATCAGCATGCAGGGGGCAGGGCTGGCCTCAGGGAGGGAGGGAGGGAGGGATGGAGGGGTGGGAAGGGACAGGGGCTGGGGCAAGCAACTTGCACCACATCCAAACAGCATCCCTGCCTCCTTTCCTTCCTCTTGGTGGTGCTTACCCTGGCTGGCCAAGAGCAGCCATCTGAGTGAAGCGCAGTACACAGGTTGTGGTGGCAGGGAAGCCTGTCCTTGCTGCACTTTGTGTGGTGCTCTGGATGCATGTAAGCCTCTAGCTTCAGAGACTTACATGTACTGAATGCACAGGGCATTGGATTCCTCCCCCAGTATATTCTAGCCTTCCTCAACTTGGTGCTTTCCAGATGTGCTGGACTGCAAGTGCCATCATTCATAAAAACCTTATAAATTGCTTGTCAGGCCTCAACAAGGGGCATATGGTTTTGTTCTTTGTAAGCTGTCCAGAGATTTTAGTATTGGGCAGCATATAAAAACTTTAAATAAATAAATGCTCTCCAGGAAGTCATATTCTGAGACCCAAAGAACTCGGTAGACCAGTCAAAACAACGAGAAGCAAATGTGCATCATTCAAAACCTATAAGGCCTTCTAATAAATATGGACCAAAGGTATTCAAAAGGAGGCAATGGTCATGATCTAAGACAGCACTAAAGGGACAGGCATCGTATCCCTGTAGCAGAGGATAATTGCTTAAAATGTAAAACAAGCGTGGAGCTTAAGGTTGTATAGGGCCTGCTGAATAGGGATTGGCTCAAGGGGCAGCTGACAATATAAAGAGATAGGCTGGAATGGCAATATTTATAGAAGAGTACCCAGCACATAAAGTACCTGTGTCAATTGTCTGTTCCTTGAGACACTTGGGACTTTGATCTGGTGCTGAACACTGGGCTGGCTCAGGCAGGGTGAGGCAGGTGCCTCTGGTGGCAGATATGAGAAGATGGCAGCCAAGTGTTGGTAGAGGCCTGTGTGCCTTATGCTTCCTCTGTACCTGCTGCCTTCAGGTCCTGTGGGGGATGTTGGCTCATCCTCCTTGTTATCTGCCCCTCCAGCTGGCTTTTGTACATGGAAGGGGAGGAGGCCTCTTCTCCTTTGCCTCAGGCTGCAAAATGTCTCCCCTGGCAGAACTTCTCTGGTAATTAAGAGATTTCCCCTGAAATTCATCATAAGCCTGCCTTTGTGTAACTACTTGCTTGGGGGTTTTAAAAAATTGTTTGCAAACCGCTGTCTGCTTTTCTACCTTGTCCTTAAAAGCCAAAACCAAAAACCCTCATGCTGCATGTAGCCTTTTAGTATATTATTAATTTTTCGGTCCAAGTTTCAAGCAGAATCCAAAGAGAGCTTCCCTTCATTTTACACTCAGATCATGCTGAAAGCAGTGAAATAGCTCTTTTCTGAAGGCTTTCTCGCTCATTAGCAAATCAGGATGACAAGGATCTTTTTATTTTAACATTAATCGTGAAAAATGTTATATGTGTTTATGTAATCCATATTGCTTCTAAAAGAATGAGTCGTTATTGAGTTTCTATTGTAAGAGAGCTGGAGAAGAATTCACAATACACTGCTGCTTGCCTGTTCCTGGAAAAGGGCGTATTTTTGGCAGATGCTCTTTCAAGGGGTTCCAGAGTCTCAAAGCGATTATCTTTAGAGAGAACAAAATGTTCTAAGCTTGTTTTGATAGCTTACGTATCAACAGAGTAAGTATGAGGCTACTTTATCTTCTGTTTTCTTGCTGTACGCCTAAGATGTGCTAAGGATACACCCACAAGGGTCTGTTTGCAAGTGTGTTATACATCATTAGTCAAGGAAATGTAACTGGCTTCATTTCTCCATGGGCTGTACTCTTAGTAACAAATGATTTACTTCTGCATGATGCGAGAAAGGGCCCAGAGTCTCTCTATTTATTACTGTTCTGGAAAATGCCAGTGAAAATGGACACACAGTGTGGCTGGGGAACTTCTTTGGAGAGAGGACCGGTTTTACAGTGCAGAAACCTAACCCTCAGCAGTCCTAACCCTCCGAGTATGCTCTGTTGAAATGATTGGGACTTGCTTCTGAGTAGACATTAATGGATAGTGCTGCAGGTTGACACATGCAGGGACTTATTACTTGTGAGAGGAGATAGCAGGCCAGAGGGTGCAAAGCACCCTTCATGGACTCAGTTCATTCTGTCTTGCTTCTCCTCCAGCTAGCCTCACTATGGATCCAGAATATTTGTGCAGTGGAATAGATGGTGGAAAGATTCAAATACCCTGGTCAGCAATTGTCCCCTGTCCTGAAATAGCACAACCATAGCAATATGGGTTTGAGATTATTCATTTATTTCAAATATTTCTTGCTCACCTTTCAGGGCAGGAGCCTTCCCAGGGCAGCTTGCAGCAAAGAACCCTGCATGTGTCTTGGACATCAAATCTGACTCCATGTCTCAATTTCTATGCAAGTCTACAGGTATACTACATTTCCTTGCTTTCAGAGTATATGAGGAGGGGAAGAATTCCTTTCTGGCCAGCCCTGCCATTAGACAGAGTGCTTCCAGATGTCATGAAAGGGCATTCAATTAGTAGTCACTGATTGGGCATTTTTACTGCCAAGGAGTAGGAGGAGTGATTGCGGGGCTCCACATTAACTTTGCTTGCATTGGTTACAATGCAATCTGGTAGGCTGGGAATAGGGGTAGAGGAAGCCCTTTGCTGCTCTGCCCCTAGCACTTTCTTGGGCTAGCACTTTCTCTAACATGGTGTGCTTGCCTTCCTCGAGGCTGTTTGCCTGGTGTCAAGAAGGAAAATGTCTTTAAGCACAAGCAAACAGCTTCTGTCTCAGCTTGGAAACTAGGAAACTCATTGGCTAGTGAAAGAAACATCCATGATCCCATTGCTGCTTGCATGGCAACAACATGGAAGCCGTGGGCCATTCGTTGGATGTAGATAGAAACTGTATTCACAGATGTATACCTAGTGATAAGCCCCTCTGTGTGAGACCAGCTAAGCAACCCCAGGAGAGTCATTTTGCTGCCACAGAAGATAAAAGAGTTGTTGTTTCTTTCCCATAGTTTCCTTGGCTCTGCCACATGCCCTTCATTTCAGCTTTCTGAAAATCAGAGATCAATATTGCCTGCCTATTGTTCTATTTCCATCATTATGAACTGGTTTGAGGACCATGATGGTTGAAAAGTAATATACAAATATTCCAAGTAAATAAATAAATAGGACAAGGAACACAAGGGGCTCTGGTGACAAAGTGTGCCAGCCCAGTGACTAAGAGTTGGCACACAAGAAGTTGAGTACCTGTGCAAGGTGAAGGTAAGTGCTATTTACTTATTTGTTCAATTATCTATTAAATCACTGCAGGTAAACTCCAAAATTATTAGCTGGAGCCAAGACAAGGGAATAGCAAAGGGAGCTAGATCCTAGATCTTCCAACTGTCACCTGGAACGTGATCCCAGCAAAGAGATCCAGCAGGAACTTGCAGCTTTGTCCTAACACAGATTCCCAAGTGGTTGAAGAGAACCTCAACCACATAGTTAAACTAATCTGTAATGCTGCAACCTGCTTGGAAAGTTTTGAAAGGTGGCTTAGAAATTGATTAAATATAACTACTATTTCTTCTTCTTCCTCTTCCTATGAAATGTAATACATGTTATTTATTCTTCCCCTCCCAGCTCTAGAAAATGAATGTCACAGTGTATTGGCTGCTGGTACTTCTGGTGCTGCCCTTTTGTTCCTCTTTGCCTCGGCTATCCGTACGTAGGAGTTGTTGTATGGGATGCACTTCCACGAGGGCATCTCTGTATTGCTTCTTAACTTGGATGGAGACTAGAACTCCAAAGGGCTGTGATGTCTGGACTCTCAATTCAAGGAATGTGGATTTCAGCTCTGGTGGATGCAGTTGTTTATCGAGCCTGTTTATCAAGCCATTGAAGCCTGTACTAATTTAAGAAACATTAGAAATAACATAAAAATGTAATCAACAAGTCCCCTTGCTAAATTGAGAGCACCACCTTTGTTGTGGTGTATGGAATTTTGCGATGCACTCTCATTTCAGGCTGGCCAGATCAGGTTATGTGTTGCTTCTAACTGGGCAAAGCCCCGTGTGAAATGGGAACACACGTGTGTGCACAGACCCACACACAGAAATCCACCAGGGCTCAGTACCCAAAAAATTCGATTGGTGGTCTGTTGTTTGGTTATCATGGGAGATTGAATATGGCCTTAGGCAGCTTGTTTCATTCATGGCATTTGTTTCTAGAGAACTACAAAAACCTGAAGGCAGGTCCCGGACTTCCAATGAACATTGTCCTTGTCATTTTAGGAAAGGGGCGAATGCTTGTTAGAAAACCATAAACTACGACAGAAGCTGAAAGCCCTCCAAGATGTATCCCAGTTATATGAATTCCAGCTGAAAGACCTATTGGGGAACAACTATCACAGGCAAACCAGCAAGATCTTCTCTTCCAGACAGACAGAACAGAAGGACCTTTTTTTGCCCACGACTAGTGGGAGTCTCTTAGTCTATAATCAAGGTAGATTATTTCTGTTGTAGAACCTGCTGGAAAGAGGGTTCCTGAGCGCTTTGCCATAATTTCACTCAGATATGTCCTTTTCTATTTCACTCATGAAAGAGGGGGTCAGTCCCTTTTCTGCATTTGTTCTGTGAAAAGTTTGTTGCCAGTACCACAGCTTCCAAGACAGAGATTCACTTTGCCATGCAGGTTACTTCCAGGCAGATGATCCCTAGCGCAAAGAGTTTGTGTAGTTATTGAGTCTTTTCTTACTTATTTTCCTGTGGTCATAGAAAAGGTGGAAGAAGAAGAAAAGGTAGAAGAACATGGGATGAATGAGCATGTGGAAGATGAAGTCATCTGAACCCCTCTTAAAATTCTGTGAATGAGGCAGGGAGATTTCACAGTAAAAGACTTGTCTGGAAGCAGCTACTTAAGGCTTTTTGATTTGATGGTGGAGGTGCTTCTTTCCCCAACCCAGAGGAGTCCCACAGTGTGGGGAGAGGAAATTTAACTCTTCCCTCCTGTCATGATCCTGAAAAATATGGTGCTTTTCTCTGCTTGGCAAATATTGATGATGATGATAACGATGACCTCTCCTGTTGAGTTTGGGGGCAGGGATGCCAAATCCAGGTAGGCTTAATTGCTGCTTAGGGGATTAAGTTGCTGAAGAGCCATACCAACAATTAAATGTTCATACTTTTCCCACATACTAGGAAATCCATTTGTCTGCAGTCTTGACTTGTGTCTCTGTTATTAGCACCCACAAAAATACTTTAAACTGATGTTTGGAAATGCAAATCCATCATTTAGCAATCTACAATGTTTCTACAGAAATTGTGCTGATGGACAAATAGGTATCATGCACAATGCAAAATGAAAAAGAGCAGCTTTGGAATGCATCATGTCTGAAAAATATCCCAAAAGGTTGTGTGCTGGGAAAGAGCTCATTCTTGTCTGTGTGCAATTTTTAATCCAGGATATGTCCAAATCTGTTATAGGAGAGGCATTGATTAGACCAGATCTTTCCCCATTGTATCTTACCCCTTATGAAAAATGGAAAAAGCAGAATACAAAATACTCTTCAGCTTTCCCTGCTTCTGCACAAAAGGTCTTAGCCTCTCTGCAGAATTCCCCTGGAGGTCACAGATGTGTGAACATGCTCAGCGATGTCACACATTCCATGAGAAAAATGAAAGCAGAAGGAGGGCGCCTTGTTCTTACAGCCCTGCACCTTCATTGGTGTATCTCCAGGATGGCTTCCATTTCTTGGTTGTGTGTACGGCAAAAAAGTGGAATGAAGCACAGGGAGAGGGGTAGACAGACAAAAAGGGAGGTTTGTGTAAATATTGGTAACAACATGAATTTATGGGCCAGGTCCATAAACTGGTATAATTGGTGAAATTACATAGCGCTAGTGCGCAGTACAGGAAGGGGCACAGCCTCTTTCAACTTCCCTTGTCAAAATTTATGAACCATGTATATATACTATTCATTCCTGTAGTGTGGAGCAGCTTTGATGTAGTTCCACCCACTAGCTACACCAATGGATGGGCCTGGGCCTTATTTATGTACATGAATTTAGATATATAAGAACTTATATTCTTATTATATTATTTGTTCTCATCCTTCCCTACCTAACTCACAGGGTGGTTGTTCTTGTAAGCATAAAATGGGGAGGAGGATTATATAAATTGCCTTATGTTTATTGCAGGAGAAAATGTGGGATAGAAACATAATGAATGACTGTGCACATCAAAGCCTGTCTGTCTCCCTGTCCCTGTGCTTTGTTGCAGTTCTGTGTATCTGTGATGGCCCGTGCATCAGGGTGGGCAGGTGACCTGTGGTGCCCCTGCTCGGTCTGCTGCCTGGGGCCTGGGTGCCAATGGGCAACTGTGGAGCTGACTCCCACTCCTGACGGCACCTTCTCTTTAAACCAAACTGCAGCTGGACTGTCCTCCAAGTAGAGGATGCTTTGCACAAGGGGCAGTCCTTGATGGGCCTCTGATTTCCCCCCGCCCCCACTTGTGATCAGCGGAGCAGCCCTTGCACTGCACACCCTCCGACATCTGGCTTTGCACATTGCTCCCCTTAGATTGTGCAATGGTGTTCCGCAGTGGGAAAAGGGAAAGTGCCTACTACCGAATCAGGCCCCGAGCGGACAGAGAGCCTTTCCTCGTGTACTGCGACATGTCAGATGGAGGTGGGTGGACCATGATCCAACGGCGGAGCAACGGCAAAGAGAATTTCTACAGGTATGAAGCTGGGAGTGCTCCACTGCTCATTGAATATTGTCAAGGGGGGCTCCTTATGCATCCTCTAGAAAGAGGAGACAAGGGCACAGATTTGCACCAAATGCACACCTGCTGCTTGATATGCAGAGCTGCAGCCTGGGAAAGAAGAGCATTCGGAGCATTCAAGCAGGGACTTGGCACATCTCCGCATAGCTAGGAAGACTGTGCCTGGTGGGTCCCTCAGTCTGCTGTCCACCTGCTCTCTGGCAATGTTAGCACCTCACATGCTCCCCCTTCCAAAGGTTCCTCCATTTAGATTGACTCATGCTTCAGAGAGAGGATGCTTTGAACAGAGGAGTGTCCTCTGTAAAGTAGGACATTTGTCCAACCTCGTCTCCTTATTGCTGGCAATGAAGGGAAGAGGAGAGGGCAGCCTGGCATGCAGAAACAACCATATGGGTTGAGTAGGAGTTGTGTTGACTCATGGGTTATTATTGAATAATAATTTAATTATGTGTGAATCCAGCATAGAGTGGTGATGAGAGTACCAGACTGGGGGCCTGAGATCCAGGTTCTAGTCCCCACTCAGCCATGAAGCTCACTGGGTGATTTTGGGCCAATCATTGCCCCTCAGCCTAATCTACCTCACAGGGGTGTTGTTGTGAAGATAAAATGGAGCTATGCAAGATGCCTTGGGTTTTTCCTCACAAGCAGAAAAAAGGGACATAAATGCAATGTAATAATAATTATAATACTGCAATTAATGATAATAGTAAAAACAATTATGGGTTGTTAACCACAAATACCTGGAAGAGAGCCCATGGTTTGCTGCTGTGTTGTGAATTCTGGGTTGTTCATGGTTAACAACCCATACTTAAACCATAATGCAGTACTGGAAGGGCAGAGGTGGGCAGATGACCTGGCAGTTTCAAGGTTACCTAGTGAAGATTCTCAGGCAGAACATGAAAAACAGCTCACTTTGGAAAAAGAGGGAGGCGTTTCAGAGCTGGAGGGGAATGCAATGAAGAGAGAGTTCCAGTCAGGAAATGACAGGTGAAACAAGCAGACCAATTATGAAGGGTCCTGTGTTCCCACAACATGACAGACCATGATTTTCCAACAACCCATGATTCAATGACAACCCATATTCTGGGTTGTTGTTACATGTGAACCAGACCAATGAAACTTACAAATGAGCCACGTTTTGTTTTTTCACACAAATACCTGCAAACCTTTGAATTAAACAAAATTAACCTTGTCTTTCTTACTTTTAAATCCTTGTCACACTTCAAAAAGGCACTAAGTAACAATGACAGCATCTACTGATCCTAAATTTTCAAAATTAGAAAGTGGCACTGCACACAATAGAGTTGCTTAAAATTGGTGCATTATGGTTAAAGGACTAGCAACTAACACTGACACAAAAGAAGAAAATGACTCCTATTCCCTCCCCCACTGGAAAATAGAGATTTCTCTGAAATTGAACTCTTAATTTGTGCCTTACACTCCTTTTTTTCCCAGCTGCTACCTCACTCCAAGTATAATGTAGATGCACAGAAGCTCAAGCACATGCCTCATGTCCTAGCCTAGCCTTTTGGCATTCCCCAGTCAGCCATGCTCCCTTCTGCATGCCCCAACCACCGACTCTCTGCTATTTTCCCCATTTTTGTCCAGGTTCGTTCCCTGCTCCCCATTCCAAAAGACTGGAATGCCTCCCCCAAGGCTCTGTCATTGGCAGTAAAAACTTTAAGCTAAAATACAGTGGTATTGTCGTTCTACTTCTTTTAGTTTCAGCCCAACCCACCAGTGCAGGGGCAGCCCCTCAGAGCTTCTCCAAAATGGAATTCAGCCTTTGGGTTGAAAGAAGCTCAACTTGCCTGACAGGTGGAATGGAGAAAATAATTCAGCCTATTTATTTATTTATTTATTTATTTATTTATAACATTTATATCCCATCCCTTGTTCAATCAGGATCTCTAGACAGCTTACATAAAAATGAACAACAGTAACAAGGACATCAGCAGGCACATGGAAACCTCCTTGCAATTAGCCAGTGGAAGAACTAGCATGGCCGGGTTGGTGGCCTGCGGAGAGTTGGGAGGGCATCCCAGGAAACGTGCTGAAGGCCCATGATGCAGCTGTCTCATTAGGACTAAGCAGCCTGGGCCTGGCCGGTGCCTGGATGAGAAAATGCCTGGGACCCGGTGTGGACCACTTGGAGTTATGTGATGGATGAAAGATGGAATATAAATGTAATAAACAGCAAGATATTATCATGGAAATAATAATCTGCACTCTGCAGCTAAGAGTGCTGACACTGACGGATGTCTCCTTGCAGAAAATGGGATGATTACAAAGAAGGGTTTGGACGATTCCAGTGCAAGAATGATGAATATTGGCTGGGAAATGATAAGATCTATGATCTGCTGTTCAGAGGTGAGAAGCAAATCTGAACTAACAAAACTCCAACAAGTTATCTCCTTGTGATTGTCTATTAACAGATGATTGGGCACTAGAAGGGTATAATAGCACTAAAGTACATGACTTGGATCCAGATTCAGTCAAAGGCACATGGAAATAAATGGGACTTCAGTTAGCCATGACTAGCTCAAGTCTCATGTATTCCAGTGGGTCTTCTCTAAGTGTTCAGCCCCATGGGATGAAAGGGATTCATTGAAAGTCTCCCGAAGGAGACTTTGTTGTTGCTTTCTTTTTGTGCAGCTTTATGAGGCTCTATACAATTTGAACAGTGGCACAGAGAGGGTGATGGCACTCCTGCCTCCATCCTTCAGCTCTTCCCTCCCAGCATGTAATTTGGCTACGATCATGTTACATGCATGGCCTGAATGGGCTGATAAATCCTTGTATTTCATTCGCAGTACTACTTATCAGACTGAAGGGATTGTAGCACAGTATCATTTTATATTCTAGGAGAAAACTCACTGAAAATTGACCTGATGGATTGGCACGGAGAGAGTCGATATGCAATTTATGAGGATTTTCAGATGAGCAATGAAATGGTGGGTAAGCTGTTGTGTGAGAATAAAGAAGATGGTCTATTTGCCTGTCAGAATAGGGGTGGGGTGGGGGGGATCTGAAAATGCTGCATCAGCAATCCAGGGAGTTAGCACAGTAGATGAAAGAGACATATTTAAGACTTTAGGAATATATGAATGAAAGATTCTAAGCTACTGTCATTTCAGTTTGGTTCTAGCCAGTAAAACAGTGAACCTCTGGAATAATTGCACCCAAGGGTGCTTCTGTATAAGGGTTTTATCATTCAGTCACCCTGCCTTGTGATTAAGGGTGAGCATCTTCCATTTGTTTCCTCCTCTTTCCAATTTTTTTCGTATCACAGAAAAATCTGTAAAGGAGGGAAAGATGCAATAGCTGCACAGTGTCTTCTGACTGGTAGAAGTCCTCTCTCTGGAAGCACTTTAGGTTAAGTGAGGTAACTTGAGAGTTTTAAAGACTAAGCTGTAATTACTGGAAGCGGGAAGGGAAATACTACATGCCAAACCAAGAAGTTTCATCATTTATAATCTCAAAAGAGTTTGTGCGTGTTTTCCTGCCTTCTGTGGGGTTTTGGGGCTGGATCTTCCTTAAACTGAAACAACAGAGTCAGCCTAAACCAAATGTATGATACCAGGCCGAAAATGCTTGTGCAGCTGGGCCAAATATGCTGATCCTGACATCCCAGTGTGCTATAGCATTAACCAAGACATGACTGAGGGGTTTGTCTCTGCTGATGGGAAGGCACTATGAAGAGCCTTCCTTGGGTGAATGGGTTGATGCAGAGATAACTTTAATTCCCTGAGGAATCCTTAACTATACACTGGCTGTCCCGAATGAGCTGTACCTACCGATTTCTGGCTGTTGCTGCCATTAAAGACCATTTCACTGTTGTGCGTGTTGTGAGTGGCAATCTAGATTGAACTATATGGCTAGTCATTGTAGAAAAATACAACTGTATGATATGGATATTTTGATACGGTTGTTTTAGTCTGTATTATGAAATTGCTGCAGTTCTTAAATGGATCAGAATGCTTGGCAGGCTTTGCTGTGGCCTGGTTCTGCATAGTGTGTGTGATGGACAAACGCCAGCAACTAGCAGGTATGTCTGACACACGGAGCTTGTACAGAATGGCCAGGCAAGGACAACAGAACCTCCTGCTTCCAGAAGGACAGCTCCACGCACTACCAGTCAAAAGGCACTGCTTTGCCAGGATTCTGGTTTTCCCCCTCAGAGTGTTACCTGGCATGACTACAGGGTAACCAGGGACAGGGATGGGCCTGGAGTGCCCTCTCTGTGCTGTCCAGGTTCAAAATACCTGAATAAGGTTTATCATAAGTTTTTGTGGCTTTCCTTCAGAACAATTACAGGATAGGCTTTGGCACCTTTTCTGGAACTGCTGGGGATGCTTTGTCCGGAGGGAGCAGCTTTGACAGCCAGTGGTCTGCATCACTCCATGGGATGCCATTCTCCACTCCTGACAGGGACAACGACCGGTTCCTGGCAGGCAATTGTGCTGAAGAGCACAAATGTGGCTGGTGGTTCAACAGGTGAGTGGCCTGGTGGCAGCCCCGCAAACGCCACAGGAAGAGCACCTGAATCAAGACAGTTCCTCCCCCTTGGTTTCTCTGAACATGAGAATTCCTTCCACTTAAAACTTTCCATTCTGTTCTTTCTTGGCAACTGAAGCACAACTATTTCTGCTTAAAATGAAGGCAATCTGTATGAGGGGTAAGAAACTTGTGGCCATCTGGATTTGTTGGCCTATGACTCATCAGTCCAAGCCAACATAGCCAGTAAAAGATGATGGGAGTTGTAGGCCAAACATCTGGAGGGCCACAAAAGTTGCCAGCTGCTACTGTATAAGAACTAGTAGACTGTGGGGTTACCCTTTATTTAGAAGAGCCCTATGTGGGAATAATATTTGGTCAAGGAAATGCACTATCAGTGTCATGGGTCTGTCAATGGGAAATACATGTAGTGCTATTTCTGCAATCTCCACATAAGAGTGCAGGACTAGGACTGAGGCGATGCAGGTTCAAATCTGCAGTCAGCACTGAAGATCTCTAAGTGACTTTGAGCCGATCTTTATCTTTCATCCTATGTGGTAGGATTGTTGAGAGGTTAAAATGGATGGAGTGGGGGGGGGGGGGATGAGAGAGACTGAGGGAGAGAGAACCTTATATATTGCTTTGAACTACTTAGAGAAAGATTGATATGAACATGAAAGCACACACACAACCATATTTTGGTATAGTCAGAGGAGTAATACCCACGAGCACAGGAAAAATTACATTACACTTTACTGATACGGCCCATTCAAGATGGATTGGTTGCCATTTAAAGGGAAGAAAAATATTACTTGTGGAGAGAATTACTCATGTGGGGTGTATGTAAATATACAGTAATTGGTTGTTAAGCAGGTTGTGTGTTCCATTTAGAACAGCCTTCTCCAGTCTGGTGCCCTCCAGATTTGTTAAAGACAACAAATCCCACAATTGTTATCCAAGACATCTGGAGGGCACCAGGTTGGGGAAGGCAGATTTAGAGCTGCTCTTTCAGTTGCAGCCTGAGCACAGCTCTTCTGCTTGAAATAAAGGCACCTACATGAGGTCCATGTATTTGTGGGCCAGCACACATTTCTGGAACGGGAATTGCACTTGGTCAGGAACATACAATATGACTCAGCAGAGCATCTTCTTATGGTTTTATCATGGACGGTCACAGCCTATCATTCATTTTGCTTTAGCTTAGAAAAACTGAAGCTCTTGATAGTTCCCTGATACTTAACATCAGGACTTTCACCCACTTTTTGGCAGCACTGATTAACAGCATGTATTTTTTGCTCTCCTCCTTCTACAAGATGCCATGCAGCAAATCTCAATGGATTATACCACAAGACTGGGAACTACACAGGCCCTTCTGACAATGGAGTGGTTTGGTCAACATGGCGAGGGTTGTGGTATTCCCTAAAATACACAGCCATGAAAGTCAGGCACCAATCGTTTGTGGATGGAGAGAGTGGAGATGGCGAAACCAAATAAAAGAGCCAGTGTGGTGTGACAGCCAGTGTGGTGTAGTGGTTAAGAGTGTGGGACTTGGACTCAGGAGATCTGGGTTCTAGTCCTCACTCAGCCATGGAGCCAACTGGGTGACTTTGGGCCAGTCACAGACTCTCAGCTCAACCTACCTCACAGGGTTGTTGTAGGAATAAGATTGAGAGTGGTAGAATGATGTAAGCCGCTTTGAGTTCTTTAGAAGAAAAAGTGGGGTATAAATCTAATAAGACACTTTGTTCTTGAAAAGACTATATCATGCAAAATATACCCAATATGTTCTTACCGTAAGTTTAGTTGTAAGTTACAGCACTAGCACTTCATCATTCAGAAGCTGCTTCTGAATTTGTACAAAGGAAAAACCATGCTCTTAGAAGCATTCCCAATCTTTCCTTCTGTTCTGGATTTCCCAAAGTCGTGTGACACCTATACTCACCAGGCCAGCTGGTAATGAAAAGTGATTCCTCCAAGGCACAGCGAATGTGGAGGGAAGGAGTGGGGCACCTTGCAGAGTGCATGGGGGAATAAAACCACGGCTGAGCTTGCCCTTGGAAGGAACGCTTCAGCTCAGGCAGAGCCAATGCCAGTTTGTGGTTGTTAAAAACAACCAACATGTGAGAATTCTGTACATAGAAGAAACTTGGGGGAATTTTTCCACATGAGTTCTCCTTAAATGTGTTTCCAGTACTCAAAATTGTCCCCATCATCTGCAGCAGAAAGCCACAATTAGGCAAAATGAGATGGAAAAATAAAACTGCTGGAAGTGGTGGGGGAGGAGGGTCTATGGATCCAGCCTTTGGAAAATTAATAAATCAATATTTGCTTAGCTGATGCCACCAGTACCTTTCCAGGGAAGGGTGGAAGTTGTAACATCACCATAATGGCAAAGCATGTTTTACCTTCAAGTTGGTTGTTATCAACAGACAAGAACCTGTGCTGACTGTTGGGTGTACGTGCTGGTTCACTTGCATTGTAGCGGAATCCTTTTCTCAAGTTTCCTTTTGGCTCTAAGGGCTTTCTCAAGCAGAGGAAAATAAAAAACAGTTGGGAAGCTCCAACTGCTGTCGAATAAATCAGAATTTGTATGCATTTTCACAAATGTGTTTTATTTTGAGTAAATGAAAACAAGACTTTTGAAATGGAAGCCGAAACTTTTAAGATAACATTTTAAGGAAAAATCATATATCCACTATGAGCTGAATAATGCCTTGTGATGACAAGTACTCTCAACCCTCTGCTAAAACAAAGAACAGTGATATAATACCCATGATATGAAAATGATCAAGTATATTTTCATAATCCATGTTGAATGAACTAAAGGAAGTAGCAGCAATAGTGGAAAGTGTTATGATTAAGTAATTGTTTCATATCTATTAAAATAACTACAAAAAGAGAAAAGTTCCTTTATTTTTCATCCAGTCTTCAATTTGTATATTATAGAAATACTTGTTTCAGGTGCACACATTTTCAAGACTCAGAAAGGAAACACTTTTAGAGCAGTATGCCCATCTATCATGGGAGAAAGATCAAATTTTAAACCAATTATGATTATTTTTGAACTGCTACTTCAGTGATGGCTTCTGTAGAAATGGGAAGGATTTGTTTCACTGTTTGTGGAAACACCTTTTTGAGGGTGGTTCTCTTCTCTTCTCTCTGAAGCAAAAGATTGCTTCTTACCTGGACACGGAATGTATGATGTGGACTTCTGCTAGACTTAGAAGGCTATTGGGCAATTTGAATTGCTGTGAGGTGAACAGTGGTTTAAGCAAAAGCGCCTTGCTTGGGAAGGAAAGCAGGGTACTCAAGGGGTATTCCCTCCAACTGCTGTTGCAATACCACACGAAACGTCTAATAAAAACCCAAATACAGAGATTTGAAGCCACTCCAGTGGGCTTTGGAATGTCACAGTTCCGGAATGTCCCCCAGCCAGTGCAATGGGTTGCACTTTTCAGTCGCTTAAAAGAAAGGTTGGAAATACAATCACCACTTCAGAGGCTGACAAATACTATAACGGTGAAACTAGTTTTAAGTTTTAAATGGTTTAAGACTGCACTTAAAATGCTCTCCTGTGAACTGCTTGGTCAGTGCAATGCAGCTTGTAGAATCCAGCCCTAAAAGTTTTATTTTGGGGGGAAAAGATCAGGGAGAGATACGAAGCATGAGAGCCAAACTATGATGGAGTCAAAGAGTTTTTCCAATACATGAACTGAGTGATTTCTGAGTCAGGAAATCATCTGCTTCCACACATGTGAAATACAACAAGTCAGGCCTTCTTCCTAGGGGAGGGGAAATTTGACTTCTGTTATTCCATGTTTATAAAATCCAAGGTTGTCTTTGTGGTGGTCAAATCTCACACTGGCTCACGGGGTCTGTGTCACTATGAGATTATAACTGGGCACTCAAATCACCAGATTTTCAATACTTAAGGTACTTACTTTACCCTCTTCCTTTGAGCCAAAATATAAGGGCAGGTCACTCATTTGCTGTTCCAATTCAGTCAGTCTGAAAGTAGTATTGTCATAGAAGCGGTATTCGGGAACAGATGGGAAGCTCTGGCATTTGCTCCTCCGGTACTGGGTAGGACTCAGGGCATCTCCTCTCTCCAAACTGCCATTGAGAGCTGGTTCTTTCCTCCAAGCATCCACATGGCTCAGAAAGGGGCCACTTCTGTTTCTCTTTTGCCCCAACCTATCAGCACTTAGGGAGACAGGCTGGCGGCCGCTGACCAGGTCTGGTCTTTTCCCCAGAGGTTCCCGATTGCAAAGGGGCTGTGCCCCATAGGCCAGGGATTCAGCACTTAAAGGGTTGCTGGGGCACAGCTCAAGCTCCACAGCATTCTGATTCGTGGTTTTAGATTTAAGATGAGGCTGTTCCTCTCGGACACAGTTCCACGTTCTAGTTCTGCACTGGTAGAGCGGAGTCTGGTTTGGTGTCAGGGTGGACATGCTTCTCTTTCGGAAAGGCTTGGCTTTTCTGGCTTCATGGAAACTAGCTGTTCTTCTGAACTGTGAACTTCTGGAATAGCTTCTCTCTGATGGCTCTGCTTTGTGATTTAGATACCTGGGCTGACCTCTTCCAGTTAGAGACTGACTCGGGCTCAAGATGGGATTGGTCTGCGATAGTGTGAAATCTACCCTAGAGCAGGGCCTGCTGCTGGATAACTTGGGGTGAATGCATGTCTGCTCTGAGAAAGGGGACTTGATTCTAAACTTGTTTGTTGCCACCGCTGCCTCCTGGCTTTCTGTGCTCACCGTGTCTGTCAAAGGATTCTGAGAAACATGATAAACCTTTGTTGTTTCCGTAAGGCCCTTCTTCTTCATTTCTTTGAGCTGCTGCTGTGCAAGGCGGTAGCTGAAAATGGGGGGGATTATTTTTTGAGCACTGGACTGAAAGCTCTCATTAGCAGAAGCTCCTCCTTCCCCTTCTTCTTGAGTGAAATGGAGGTTTCTCCTGAAATTCAAGGGTATCTCAGGAGGGTCTCTGGAAGGATCATCTTCTTCAGAAAAGCTCTCTTGTGGCTGTCTTTTTCGACATATATTCTCTTCATCGGAGTTCTTCCGGAAGCTGGGCGAGTGGCCAGAGTTGCAGCGCACAGGAGTGCTACATTTATGGGCCCTGCAAAGCTTTCTCCATAAGGTGATAAGGATAGTTGCAAAGATTATGGATAAACACAAGGAAATGCCTGTGACAGTTACCAGATTGTTGGTGGCTTTCTGGCCCTCTTCAGGATGCAGTGGTGTGATGGGTGCAGACTTAGTGGCTGAAACAAAGAGTAAATGTATTGGATAGCTGGCAACTTAACACTTTATTTCTCAAGAAATATACCACTTCTGTTTTAGTGTACAACTCCAACAGTCATAGCCAACATAGCCAATGATTCATGTGAGTTGTAGGCCCAAATATCTGGACAGCAACAAGTTGCCCTCCTTAACCCGGGGCATTGCAGTGTTCATTGTCAAGAGCCAGGTGGAACATCAAATCAAAAAGTCTACAGCTTGCTCAGTGAACTACATGCAGGGTAGGGCAGGTCCAGATTTCCCAACAGTATGAAATGCGGTTGTATTTGTACAGCTAGCCGGGTGTTGCTAGCACCCTGTGACCTGTAATCTCATTGGCTAGCATATTGCCTGTTATCCTGGTTATGGTTTCTTGGGCTCACACATGCCTAGCTTTGACGCTGACCTTCTTGCTAGTCTAGAGTCAGCTTTCCTGCTCGGTTCATACTCTACATGCCCCAGCCTACAGGCATGGGATGGTTCCAGCAGGATGATTTACTGGCGTTGGTCCCCTTGCCAAAACGAGTGATGATCTCACCTCTGCAGCTAACACCTCCTCTCAGCTCCATTCTCTAGCTTTTGAGCTCCTAGTTTCCATTCAGCTGGTGGTTAGTCCTCAGCTCCTGCTTAGCAGTGTCATGTCTGGGTAATAAGCAGCGCAGTGCTGCTTGCAGAAGCAACCTTAAGTTCCTTACTGCAAGGGCTGCATGCATAGGTCATTTTAAAAGCTTTCCTTAAAATATGTATTGTACTGCTGCAATATCTCTGAAGCCTATGAAGCTTGCATGGAACAAGGAATCTCCACATGAGCAGGTTGTTGGCAATTTGCTTACGCAGGCACAAACAAGGCATCCATTGCAACAGTGAACTAGCCTGGTCTCTTTAGCATCCACAATTTTGTGAAACATTTTGAGTTATGCAAATTAGGGATGCTTAAAAGAAATCAGCTGAAACCAACTCCTAACTTTACTGTCCAGGACATGACTGGCCTGTTTGTTGAGAACTACGGCAGGACACCTGATGCTCCCTTGCAGGAATCAAAGAGCAGAGGACCCTGCAAGAATGCCACTGGCAAGCATGGGCACCTACAAGGATCAAAGCGGACATTTTTTGATAAAGCTTACACATGCTACTATATATGTATAAATGCATACTTAGAAGGAATGGCTGTAAAATGAACAGATATCCAATACTTCCACCCATAGTGGAAAAGACCATGCCCAGGTGCCTTGCTCAGTCTGCTGACTAACAATTGAACTTCAAGTCATGGCTTTTCCTTCTGAGAGTTACCTTTAAACTGGATTTGGACAGCCAGTCAAAACGGATGACAGTCCTATGCAGAAAAGGATACATGGGCACCCTACTTGAGTATGAAGACCATGCAGCTCTGGGTGCAAATAATTCTTTTCTCTTGGCATGCATGCACCCCACCTTTTGTCCTCTGCCTTATGAAAAGTAACCTCTTTCTGACCTGACCAAGCCAGACCCCAAGGATTCCTCATGCACAAATGCAGTGGGACTCTTAGTGGTCTGGTGGAGCCAGTGTGCACAGGGATGTATGAATGAGAAGGGGCACAACACATTAGAAGCTTTTTGGACTGATATATCAAACCAATGTCCTTTGCTCTCTTATTCAAACTATTTTTATTAGTTTTGTCATGTTGCAGTCTACTTGAACTTTAAAAAATATTAACACAAAGCAGCATGAGAGGGCACATAAACAATAATAGCTGAACTATATCAGAACATACAGTGAACTCAAACCACAGCTACTGAGGACCAGGGTGGGGGGAATTTTGTCCACAGTTGTCTATACCCCGGAATGCAAAGCCATTTAATTGCTCAGCCCTGGTACCTTAATATATGCATCTCAATGGCAAACAGATGGATATAAGCCATTTTGAAATGACACCTCTCTGTGCTGAGATGTGCAGGTGAAGAAATCATGATCAGAACTAGGAGACCTGGGGTATCCTTCCTTCTGCCCCATGTTTCACATAGACATCTGTCCCCATACGACACACACTGGAGCAGAGAGAACTCACAGTGACATGTAAAGATGAGTGGAACAAAATAATCAGTGCCTTCCCAATACCCAGCTTACGTACTAGAGCATTCTTCCAAAGAGCATGGAGAAATGTCCTGCTGCTGCCCCACACAACCCTGCTTTACTGGGAGCAGCAAGGAATTGAGGCACTCTCGGTAACGCTCACGGAAGCCATCCCCACAAGTCACACTGCAAGGACTCCAGGCCTGCCAAAGGCTCCAGGACTCTGTGGATACATAATAAACGCATTACTGGAGGGAACCATTCTGTTAAGCACACATGTGCACACAAACTCACAGAAACTAACCTTGAAAATGGGCACCATAGATCAGTCATGTAGAAAAACCAATGGAAAACTACCACATTCTATTCATATTAGCTAGTGGATCCAGTTTTCAAACCTCTTAAGGGGAATAAGTTATCCACATGCAAGTTGGACTAAACATGGCTGCTGAATACAGTAGCAAGTGGGGTGAGGAAGATGCTTGGAGGTTCACTGGGATGCAGATGCCCATGGTAGGAGGGGGATGTTAACAGCCTGCCAATACTCCCAATCTGAAAATCTTTCTGGAAAGATATCCTGGAATTTTATTTGGCAGGGAACAAACACTCTGCAGTACAAACATCACGAGGTTTTCAACATGAACATCTTTTGAGCACTCATCATCCCCTACTCATAGTAGTTTATGAGTTCTTTGGATGACAATTTCTGTTTGTAAACAGTATTTTCTGCAAGGTTTTTTTTTTTTTTTTTTTTGAGCAAGGAAAAATGGGGTATTATTTTTGATGGTGAAGTAAAGCATGATTTCCTCTTGTATATTTATGCTATTCTGCTTTACCACAGTGCCACTTAAGAAATTGTGCAGGATGGAAAATGCTCCTATAGATGCAGGGGATTACCCTCATGTAAAACTACCAATGTGGTCCAGCTCCATTGGGAAGTTACTTGCAGCAGCTCTAACCTCTTAAAGTGGCCTTCCCTAACATGGTGCCCTCCAGATGTCTTGGACTACCACGCCTGCGCTGACTGGGAATTATGGGAACTGTGGCCCAAAACATCTGGAGGGCATTAGGCTGGGGAAGCCTTCTCTAAATGGTTTTCCGCATATGCCACATTACAATAGCTCAGCTCTGAAGATACAAAGACATAAGCACATGGCTTGGAATGCCTGGACGGGAGAGAGAAAAGAGCCTCCACTGTGTGGGGAAATTAAGCTACAATGGAAAGAGTTCTGGCTTCCCCTTGATTTTGCCTGGAGGTCAGTTCACAAGCTGGCTGATTGTTTCCTGGCTAGACAGCATGAAATGGCAACATGAAAGGACTGTACCACTGACAGATCATGGGGGAAAGGCCATAGTCAGTGGAAGGCAGCATCTGCTTTGCAGTGCAAGGTCCCAACCTTGAACTTCGACATCCCGAGCTAAGGACCAGGAGGCAGGAGATGGGAAAGATCTCCACCACAGACGCTGGAGAGCTACTGCCAGAAGAGTAGGCAGGACTGGGTAGGACAGAGCTTTCACGAGTCAGCTCCCTATATTCCATCTATGCACAGAAGTTAGACTAAACAGCCTAAGCAAGGTGTGGGTTAGGTTATGGGGAAATCCAGCTCATTGGCTGGCCCAGCCACAAGTGCTCATCTTCTCACCACAAGCTTATTTTGCTGTTATCTATGACTGATGCTCAAGATAAAAGGATATTATCTCATTAGTTAGGACCCCGAGGGTGTGAAATGGGCTTCCACGAGAGGTCGTTGAGGCCCCATTGGTGTGGGTGTTCAAAGATAGACTGGACGTGCACATGTTGGGCATGTCATGAGCGGAGCTGGCTGGTGCCGGAGGTGAGACTAGATAGCCCGGGAGGCCCCTTCTGACTCACTGTTTCTATGTTTCTATATTTAAAAGCAATTAAACTTTTCAATACCACAAATACAACTGTATGGTTGCCAAGATTTTCACTAGTATGTTATGCAGTAGTGGATCTTGTTTTGCAGTAGACATTCAAAATGCTGTTTGAAAGTGCTGCTTACTTCTTAGCAGATTTAGGATAGTAATAAGCACGTTGGAACTGGTTTCCCCTCTTGCAATTTGGCGCTCAGGCTGAAAAAGGTTTCCCTTGCCCTACTCTAGGCAGAACTGAATGGCCTGACATAGCTCAATCACAATGTGTCTCAATTGCAACAAGTAACCACTAAGTTAAGAGATATCAAGCAATAAGAACTCCAGGGCTACACTGTGCTTGTGTGAATCAGGCCTCTGTAAGCAGAGACAAGATCCAATTCATGCTAGATCCATTGGCCAACATTACTGTAGCCTTGTCTCTGGTTTTGCTTTAATTGCTGCATGTGCCACCATTCTGGACCATGTCAAGATGTTGTGCAAGTAAGAAAGCAGAGGAGCAGAAGGCCACGTGAGGTGTGGCCAGAGAGCTGATGTTAGTGGCACAACTCTGCTTGGCTCTGCCCAGCAGTCTCACGTGGAGCAGAAGGGAGGGATTCCTTTGGAGAAAGGATGAGGCACCAGTGGCAACTCCCATCAGCCTGTCACATGGCCAAAGGTGAAGGATGATGGGAGCTGCAGACCCCAGCAAGACTGGGTCCCTCACCCCTGCTCTAAAGACCCATAACAAAATCCCCTAAAAATGGTGATTGGGAACTAGCGCCAACAGCCACCATGTTCTGGGCCTGTGAGGAACACTTCAACACACAGCTGGTTAGTCCTTCATTGCATCACATCACACTTAGTGCTGGACTTTTAAGGTCCCAGGTTGGCCCCACATAACCTAGGCTTGGCAGGCTAAGACAGCCTGTCAAATTAAGCCTCTAAACCCAGAGCATGCTCTCAGGAACTGGGTCCATCAGGAGGCAATCTGCTGATTGTGTACATCTTGTGCGTCTTTTGCTACCCCCTTTCTTTTCTTTTTTTCTTTTCTGTTACCTCCTCTTCCTCTCTGTCAGAGCAGGGAACAGATCACTTCATCTAGAGTTTTGAGCTTGCAGACCATTGCTGAAATTGGGCAGAGGGCTGCAGGTTGCCCACCCAGCAGTCTAATTCCAGCTGTAACTACAAAGCCCCCTTCCTGCGCTTTCTGCAGTCCTGTTGCCTCCCAGCACTCTCATCTTGCAACACTGCATGGGAAGGTAGAGAGGGAGACTGATCAGACCAGGGAGAAACAGGTAGAAGGCAAGGTGGTCAGTGCTTGCACAGGCCCTGTTGCTGTGCCTTGAACAGCAGCCTCACACACAGAAGCAGCTGGTGAGTATTTCCCAGCCACAGAGGTTGAAAGTGGGAAATTTCACTTAGGAGCTCAGGGAGAGCCAGACTGTTCTGCCTAGCCAAGAATGGCTGACACAGATTGACAGCAGCTCTCCAGGGTTTGGGCAGGATTCTTGGAGCTCTTGGGGACTGAGCCTGGGACCTTCCCCATCCAAGGGGTATGCCCCACCACTGAGCTATTGCCCGTTTAACTTCTGCATGCCGGGTGCTAGGCAAAGGACCAGAAGCAAAAGGAAAAAAATTAGGAACCTGCAGTGTTTTAAAGTTATTGCTTCAGGGAGTAAGAGATGACAGGTCCTGACTGGGAGAAAATGCCTGATTCATTAAGAGACCTTTTTAGACACAAATCTCTTAATGAATCAGGTATTTTCTCCCAGTCAGGACCTGTCATCCCTTACTCCCTGAAGCTTTAATTCATCTTTCTGTGCACTCTTCCCAGGAGATGCTGGAGATTAGGTAACAGATACTCCATAATCAGCACGGGGAATGACTATGCCAATCAGCTGGTGCCCTGCCCTCCTGGAAAGGATGTTTTAACCACTCTTTCCAGCTGTCCACACCCTTCCAGCTGGCACTCATTCAGCCACAGCTTAGAGCAGCCTTCCCCAAATGATGCACCCCAGAAGGGTCTGACTAGAAATCTCATCATCGCCGGCCACCAGAGTCACTAGGGTTGTAATCTAACCTACTGGAAGGAGCATAGCTGAATATGTCTGGATTGGAGAGATCTTGGCCAGACTGTATATTCTATCAAGTACTTGCTTTCAACTGGTGGGCAATTCCAGCTGAAGTAGAAGGTCCCTGGAAACACGGTCCCTGGTCTGTCCAATTATATGCGATTGATCACCTTTGCAGGCACCCTCTTAGGTACTGCTGCTGATTATCTGTGCAGCATGTTATGAGATTTAAAGTGCCTTTTAGTTCATTTCTTCCCAGGAACTGTGCAAGGAAGACTTAAACTGTGAAACGGGCATGCTTCGCAGCAACAGAAGCACCTATTTACACTTCCTACCACAAATTCTGAAAGGAAGAAGTGCATCTTGGAATATGTGCATGTGTCAAGGAGCCTGTGGTAGATTTCAGTTCCTGTGCACATTTCTGAGTCTTTGGGAACTCCTTTTCACATCAGATGTGTTTGCTGTAGTGTGTGCTGAATTCAGGCTCCTGCATTCAAAAGGAACTAAGACATGGCTTGTCCAAGGCCATCTGGAAAACTGTTTAGCCTAGCAGGGATTCAAGCCCACCTTCAAACCCAACAACTCAGCCTTATTTAATTTAGCATCTTGTTTGTTTTGGCTAGGTTTGAATCTATGCAGAATCTGGAATCATTTCACAGGAGTGAAACAAGGTAAGAAAGCTGGGAAATACAGGTTGAAGATGGAACAGAGCAATGAAGGGACTTGGCTTAGAAGCGATAAGAAAGATTATGCAGGGTTCACAACATGGTGAAGACTTCTAACACAACAAACAAAATGCAGCCAAGATTACTTGAATCAAACCAGTCTGCACAATCTCACAGTGCAGAGTTGCATGCATGGGAGAGGTTTTCTGTAAGAGACTGCAGAATCTTTTCTTCTCTTCCTGCCAGGAACAGCCCATGCTGTTCACTCAGCTAAGGGCCAGTGCAAGCACTCTGTCATGCCTTATGGGATCCCATCCTGTGTCTGTAGCTCTGCACTGGGGCAGAATTGTGCCCACACTAAGGGAGGCGGGCTATGCTGTACAGCTTGAATCCTATTCTAGATTCCACCATGCATCTGGTCAAGCAGGCACTGCAATCTTTCAGCATGTCATATGAAGCATTTGTGAAAGGTAATACAAACCAATATTCCTTTGAATTAGTACACATTCTTTTGCTCTCGGGGGAGAATCAACTTGGTTTGAATGGCTAAATTCAAAACAGTATTTATTCGTGCCTTTGTCGAACAACGTGCAGTTGAATTCTATCCGATCATCGTCTGGCTTCATGGCACTTTTATGTAGCCTTACATGACCAAAAGGCCCCAGATGTTCTTTGAACACAGCAATGTGCCCACCAGAAGATGTACAAGGAGGTGGAATGACGGAAACTACAATGGACGATTCACATACTGCTTCTTCTGCCACAACTAACTTGTAGCCAAATTTATGCACAAGATCTACAGGTCCCGTTGATGCAATAATTGATTTAGTCTCTGCTGACTTCAATATTACAGCAATATATGCTTCTTGACCAACCAGTGGACAGTCAAACTTCATCCAGTGGGCACTAAAGAGACTAAGGTTTTTGCTGGTTCTCAGTCCCACAGACTCATTTGAGATCAATGTCCCTAGTTCATATAAGCTGCTGGTCAGTATTATATCAAGAGAAGCCACAGTCTTATTCATTGGACATAAATATTCATCAGTAAACAACTCAACCTGAAGGGCTGTCCTGAGTCCCTCCGAGGTCCTCCTCAAATCCAAGTGAAATACAGGCCACTTCACAGTCAAGGAGATATTCTCTCCATTCCACTGGGGATTGGTGCCATGGATGATTTCAGGAGCCATTCTGAACCAGTAGTTCCCAGCACTCTTAAAATGAATACATTCAAAGACAACAATACCCTCGTACTGGTTTTGCTGAAGGTGTTTTTTTGCAATAGTTTGGTTTGTGCTGGCATCTATTAGCAGGATGAAGGTATTTTGCAGTGTCACGTTGCCATCATAATTCTGGACGCCAACAGACACTGTGCTGTTGCTTAGAGCTACATGAGTTGGTTGTTCCAGGAGAATATATTTCATTGTTCCAAGAACTAAAAAAACAACAAGTTGAACAGTAAGCAGAGATAATCAAGGGGGTGGAGAAAGAGAAGAGTATTCCAGGAAATCTGACTTAACATCCATCTGTGCTAGTGAGTGGTTCCCAAACCCTTCTTCACCTCAGCCTGTTGGAGGTCAGTTTCCCCAACATTATGCAGCAGTTAAAAGAGGAATTAGAAGACAGAAGCTTTCCTGCATCCACAACGCCCTCGACCCCAAGAACTATCTCATTCCCTGGTAATTCTTGAAGAAAACAAGTGAATCTCTTAGCTGCAAATAAGTTGTTCATGATATATAATAAAACAGGGAAAAATGAAATAATAGTTAATTCAATTGACAGAAAAACAGAAGCTGCAGTTGCTGAGAGCTCCTTTGCAGAAGAAGTAGATTACCTCTGCATGCCAAGCTGATGCTCTTCCTTGGGGAAGAGTCCAGTATCTCAGCAGTAAAACTAGCATGTTATGCATGTAAACTGTAACCTCATGTAAACAATGGGTTGGCTACAAGGTTCCCATGAGTGGAACTGTGCACACAGGGCAAGTCCACTGGAGGAAAGTCAGGGAAGGGATGCTCATCAGTTCCTCCTGCCCCTTTGAAAGTGCTCCAGAAGGTTGGGGGACCCTCCAGAAAAATGTGGGAGCTAGTGTGGAATGCTGCATGAGGAACTGGAGACAACTGTCTCCCCTTGCTTCCTCTGGTGGGAGCACCTGCTGAATCCCAATCCCCAATGGAAGGGTTGTTCTGAATGACACCTAGTGGAAATCCCAACAAGCCCCTATGGAATGGATTTTTAAGAGTTCCACACAGACACACCAACTGTTAAAATTATATCACATGTCTAGACAACATATCAAAATATATTTATACAGACACTTTGGTATAATATCAATGATGTGGAATTTCTGGAGGAGAAGAGAGATTATGATCTGATTTCATTTTAAAAACTGTGAACCTGTACTGATCAGCTGATCGGGCTGATCTGTAAGAGAGCTGATACTTTTCCCATCTTACATTTCAGTGTAAAGTTAAGGCAATACGCATTTGCTTGAGGGATAGGCAAAATAGTACACTAAGATATTTTGGTTGGCGCTTGCATAATCTCTGACCAATAGCCATGCTGGTTGGGGCTAACGGGAGCTGCAGTCTGAAACTGCCGGATGGCACCAGTTTTTTGTTTGTTTGGTGTAATAAAACATTATGGACTGTTCTGCCTTTCTCTTAAATGTTATGAATTTACCCCACAATATAATCCATCCCTGGAGCAAATATAGAGGGGGGTGTTTTCTAAAGTGCATTTGAAAGGACTTTGCAGCCACTATTTTGAACTCTACTTTTTTGAACACACAAATGCCCCTTAGTATTGAAAGATCACCAAAGGCAAGACTTTCCAAAAAGCATGAAGAGGCTTGGAACATCTCCTGTAATAGCTATGCTGATGATGTATATGAATGGTGTGTGCATTTGCTCACTTCCCTCTCAAATCTTTGACCAGCACAGGCAAGAGGAGACTATCTGAAAGCTTTGTGAACAACTGGGGGGCCCTGAATTATAAGCTATCACAAACCTTGTCATCACTAATACTTTATTGATATTGCACCTTAGCTAAGAAAGCACAAGAAAGGGAGTGCTTTTGAAAGACAACTCTAGAAAATACCATCCAAGTTGAAAACGCCATGGATACACTTAAAAGGCTTGTTTCATGGGAGAACTTACGGATCTTTCATTTAGTACTTGTGTCATAGAAAGAAGGAACAAAAGAGGGAAAATGAAACCGAGAATAGTTAGACATAAGGGTCCATCTCCCTCCACTCTGAGGCTGGACCCTCCATAGCTATTCCCTGTGATACCCCACAGCCACTTATCCTGTCCTCTCTCTTACTCAATAGATAAACTCTGAGCTTTTGCAACTGGGTGTATTTGGGCCAAGTTTGTTCCAAGCACATGTTCTTTTGCTAGCAGGGGAGCAGGAAGAATTGATATATTGGCACCTGCTCTCCCATGTTCCAGTTGTATATTTGTAAGAAATGGGTCAGATCAGCCACAAAATGTTGCAGCGTACACTGTTTCTGTCTGGGGTTCCTACCAGCCTTACCCTTTCCAGGATAGTCCTCCAACTGTCATGAACATTGACAATGCTCAGTCCTGTGTAGACTGTTTGGTGTCTCCCAACTATCACATTATTTCTTCTAAATAATTGTTTGTACTTCAGGGTTCTCCACAAGCCTGCTGACACCATGGTGGTGTTATTTCAGTTACATAAAAATCCAAAGGTGGAGTGTTGGTACACAGGAGTGGGTATCATGGAGATGTCCTAGATCTCTCCTCACAAGGTGCCAAAATCTTGTGGCTACAAAAATCCTGTCGCTGAAACCTTCAACTGCTTGGAAAAGTGAAGAATAATGCACATGAAACAACATTTAAGGCCCATCTGGGACATTTTTAGAATGTTGAAGGTGGTTTGATTGAAGGAATGCTATTTATTCACTTTTGTCTCAGATAAACAGCTTTTCAATTTCAAACACCTCATGGAAATTTTAGCTATAGGCTCATAAACCTATGAGACCAAATAAATGAATAAAGGTACATATGGAACATCTTCCAAGCCACTTTTAAGAATACTTGGTCTGTCTCCAGCCTTAGAACCCATGATATGGCACAATGGTTTGAGTATAGGGCTGCGACTGAGTTCTAGTCTCAACTCAGCTATGAAGTACCCTGGGTGATTTTGGGCCAGTCACTGACTCTCAGTCTAACCTACCTCACAGGGTTGTTGTGAGGATAAAACATAGAGGTGGAGGAATCTGTAAGATACCTAGGGTTTCTTGCAGGGAGTAGGTGGGATATAAATATAATCAATCACTATAAACTCAACCTAGTTATTGTCAATATATTATTTTTTGTCAAATAACTGTATTTTTCAGTACTGCTTGAGCCTTCTATGGTCTATTCTATTTTGGATACAACATAAGAAATGTACAAATGCAGTAAAGAGGGAGAGGCTGAAGAAATTAAGGTCTGGGAATGCCTAGCTGGAGGTGAAAATCTTATTTGCCTAAAAGAAAATGCAACAACTACTACTAAGCTGAGAAAGGCAAAGTATTACATTTGTTGATTTATGACTGTGCTTATCTGTATTTAAGATCAATATCATGCATCAAACACATAGACTGAGTAATCCATACTTATACATTCCAAATTTACCTTTGTAAAATACCTCCAACTATTTATGCTACATACATACCATAATCACAGAGCACAATGAGAAGTAGATTTGAAAAATCTGTCAACATCTGTTTCATTCTGATCTGGTGAGCTCCCAGTTCCTTTTATACCTCATGTCCCATTCCAGGTATAATGCATCCTGACTTTCATAAACACCTGAAAATGAAAAACCACCAAAAACATTTAGCATGTCCTTTTAAATTTCACTCAAAAGGAAATGTATTCTAACAAATAATCTTTCTCCCCTTTACTAAGCTTTGACCAACTTCAATTCTATAATGCCTCTGACGTTATCACACTGTGAAAGCACGTGACTTCTCAAGTTTCTTTTGCACAAAAGCAGTTGTGCACTTACGCAGGGTCTTACAGTTTTAGTGCATAGTGTTCTTAACTGCTTGCTTGTACTATAAAACAGACCCTCTATCTGAGAATACTCCTTTCTTATCAGATCACAGCTGGTCTCATAAGAAACTATTGATCACGCTACAGGTTCAGTGATAAAGGATTCACTCAAACTTACAATGAAGTGACTTCAGTTTTATCACCTGGGATCCTGTAACTTTAAACTGGTTTTGTGAAGGAGTACACACCCACACCATTCACATATCAAAATCCTAACTCTAACCATGAAAAGAGTCCACTACAAAACATCTATTAAACTTATAACCAGGTACTTACAATGGCATAAGGACAATAGGGAAAGTCAAACTGAATTCAAGTTTTGAGCAGGTTCAAGTTTGCTTGTCCATGTGGGCATGGCTATGGGTCCATTTTGGGAGTATCAAATGCTACCCATTCTATTGCACTAATGGAGCAACCTCCCCCTCACCCCTGTAGACCCTTGCATGTCTGTCACATCTGCTCCAGAAAGCTGGAGGAAGCTGTTGCAGATTTGGTGAAGCAGGTGGAGAGGGAGGAGGGCAAAGAGAAATTGCCTTCATGAGCTGAAGTTCTCTTGCATGCTGTTGAATGCAGCCCACTGACTGGACACAGTCAGACCTATTCCAAGGAAAAATGCTTGGGTTTACCATATCACTCTCTACTGCCTCATAATAGATGGACAATAGATGTTGCTTGTAACAGGAATTTCTTATCATTGCACCACCAATGTTGCATCATCATGTGATGCAGATGTAATATTTTGGTGCTTCCTGTTCTGCAACAGGAACCTTTAAGGTCAAACTGGAGAAGTTCAATATGAATCCATTTCCTCCTGTTTATTTTTCCCTCTTTATGACAACATGCATACAGAAACCAAGTTCCTTGAGAGAACATTTTCTAATTGTTGCAGATAAGTGCTAGAGAAGTACAAGCTACTGCTGTATTTTTAGGACATTGTGAAAACACATTGAGAAAACACTGACTCATCTAAGGGAAACACTTATTTTAGTTTTTAAAAGACACATTAATTTGGACAAACGAACGCATCTACAGCTGAAATTCCTTCCTCTTGGATGGATAAACTAGATTTTTGCTGGCTCTACTATTAGTTCAAATTCCCACAAACTGAGTATGCATCCAGATGAGGCTTTTATTCTGCAATGGCACTGCCTCATTCACAGGTTTCAAGGCATGGGAAAGCAGACACAGACTTTTCCAAACACAGACTTCTGGGTTTTTCCACCATTGCTTTTTTAACAGAACAAAATCCATTAAGGAAGAAAAGATGGAATAGGTGCACAGTATTATTTTATTGCTGGCATTTAGTAGAAGTAGTGCTACTAAGGAAAGGTTAGGTCCATCCATTGTTTCCAAAGGGAAGTACAAGCGATGCAGAAGAATGGAAAACAAGCAACCAAAGTGCCTGCCTCTCGAGCTGCGACATGTCAGATATTGCTGCTGCTGCTGCAGAGAGTATTTGTTCATGTAATATGATGTTAAATCAAAACCCAAAGTATCTCTAGGTGACAATTATAGAAGCACCACGTTTTACAATATGATCCACTGGAATGATCAGCACATAAATGCAGTGAAATAAAAAGGCACTATCATTCTATGAATTCTATGTGCAAGAATATTAACTGTAATATACATACATAATACTATAATTGTATATCATAGATTCTATGACTTAACTGTGTTAAATGGTTTGGTTATATGTTGCCCAGAGAACCTGCACTATTGAGGGACTAACAGATACAATTAATTTATATAGAAAGGAAGAAAAAAAGAGTTGAGTGGGAAAAAGACTACATCTTAAGCGGGAAATTCCAAGTTAGAAAAATTCGAAAATAGGCAATAAAATTACTTATTGCAATTTTTAACCACACATTAACAGTCTCATCAAATGGGTCAGACTAACAATACACTGTAAGTACAACTAAAGTAAAACATAAAATCCAACAAATATCTTACTTTTATAGTAGACCAACTGAAATGACTTAACGTGCCCTATTCATTTCAATAGGTCTTCAAGTAGCGATTACATAAGATTTTACTCACAGATCTTATAAAATATAGTCGCAAAAACAGATGGATTAACAAAGCAATCCTGCACATGTTTACTCAAGCTGTAAGTTGCAGTACGTTTAACAGAGCTTATGTGCTAGTTACTCTGTTTTAGAACCGCAGTCTCGAAGTTACTTGGAGTTTTTTAAGGAGCAACCTATGAGCTGATGGAGTTTCTCTTGTTCTTCATTCCTGTAATTATGTAATCGATTAGAACTCAGTGTATACTTACCGCGCTCAAAAGTATGTTTTCTTCTAAACTGTGTCCAGGAGCATTAAATGCTATGGGAAGGGAAGAGAAGGACCGAGGGAGATCGCGGGAGACAAGGCGTTTGTCTTTTTTTTTTTGACACCTGGCCTCTTGCACTGCACAGCGCAAACTCTCCGCAGGAAAGCGGCTGCGACGGAGACCCTTCCTCTGGCAGGGGGCACTCGACCCTCCGGGGCGTGCAAAAACCGCGAGTGGCGTCAGGTGAAGGCGTGTGGCGTCAGCCCTCGCCAAGGGTCCCTCGCCAGCTCTCCCTCGCTTGAGAGGCGCATGTCTGAGCGGGAGGGCGCGGAGACGCCCCCGGCCGCCGAGAGAGACGCGTGCGAGGCGCCGGCGAGGCACCGGCGAGCCCAGAGGTCCGCCCGGCGTCGCTCTCGCGGAGGTGCGTCTCCCGGCCCGGGCGTGGCACGCAGCGAGGAACGGGAAGAGCACAAGCCGCTGGCCCGCCCTGTTCCTCGAGCGCGCCGGCGCAGCCGCCACATTCTGCCTTGGGAGGCGAAGCGGGGCGACCGTCCTGCTCATCCACCGCCCGCAAGAAACGGGCGGCCTCCAGCGTGCGAGAGCTGCTCCGCCAAGGACGGTAGGGTGGCCGCTTGCGGGTCGGCCGAGGAAGGGTAGGGACTTGCGTCACGTTGCACGTGCCGTTCCGTATAACCTTTATACACGCCTTCAGAACGGGTATAATTTAGGCAGAGATACAGCGGCGTGCAACAGTTTCGTATTGTTCTTATATTTACATCCCGTCCATTTTTCTCTTGTGAGGAAGTCAAGGCAGTTTACCTAGTTCTCCTCCAAAGTCACTTAGGAAGTTAGATGGACTAGACCCCAGATCGCCCGAGTCCCAGGCCAACGCTCTAATCACCAGCCCATATAGGCTGTCTTTAATTCAGTCTAAACTGGAACTGGACTGGACAGTTATTCCTTTTCCTTTCTGTTAAATCCCATATGCATTCATCTTCCCCACCGGCATGCAGAGCAAACACACATTGGTAATTGTGCAAATGCTCACACCCCTCCCAAATGCACAGAAGACTAAGCAAGCAGCAGCCAAAATTTCCCCATCCCAGCTGCTTTTTAATTGATATGCCAGAATTAGGAAATGGTGAAAACATCAGCTTCCATTTACACCCAGGGGCAGGCCTAAACAATTCCCAAGCTGCTTTTGGAGCCAATCCAGTTTGAAGAGTTCCTGACTTACACTGAAATGGCTGGACTTAGTTGAAATTCAGTCCAAGAAGACAGATGAAGCCCTGATGCTTCATGAAGCATGAGTCACAATCACTAATATATTCTCTCGTTAGTTTTCGCCAAAGACTGCAAACCCCTTTATGGTTTCTTTATGATGGCACTGTCAGTGGGACACATGGCAGATTGTGTGAAAATCTGTTCCCCTCACATTCCCTGCATGCCACTTGAGTGATATGAAACTGACTATTATGCTTTGCTTGTACAGCCAAGGAAAGCTCATTTTCCTAATGCAGAACTGGTCAGGTACACATGACACAGAGACCCTCACATGAATACTCATTTTGCTAAGTTCTCCTTCAACAAAGTTTTAGTATCTTCACAAGGCCACAGTTGTCAGCATTTCTTGAAAGAAACAGTGAAAAGGCCCTCAATTTCAAAAAGTGAGTATTATTTCCATACTTGTGAAGGACCAAGTGGAATGTGTTTCTACACAAAAGAACAGCTTAAGCTTTAAAAAGCGGGGGGCGGGGGGGGGCAGGAGGCAGTTGTTTTTCATTTGCAGTTCAGTCCTTGGGCTTCTGAAGAGATAGCCAAGAAAAGCCTGGAACTGCTTCCTCGTGGACAGCTCCTTGTCCAGCCAATCAGAAGACAGTTCATCTTTTCTTTCTTAGCAAGACTTTTAAAATTATTTTTATAATAAGCTAAAATATAAATAAGAAAAAGAAAAAGGATGCCAAGGGACCTTGTACAAATATTAAATATACTATCAAGTTCAAAAAAATTTACAAAAAGCCAATAATTGTTATCTCTTCTAAATTGTTATCTCAGTTTAATTAGTACTTAATTAAAATGCACAGAGCAATTGTTCTAATTTATTATTAATATTAACTTATTTTCCATTCCTTTAAAATTGTAAGTAACAACAAAACATTTGTATCAAAATTATAACTAATGATATTTTTACAAACTTTATTTTCATTAAGTTAATTGTGTATAATAAGGTTATTGTGTATAATAAGCTCTTATAAATTCTTCAGCTGGTCTTCTGTTTATGTAACTTGTTACTTTTGCATTAGTGCATACTCAGCTAGCTTATTTTTCCACTCTTCTCTAGTTGGGTCGTCTTCTGCTTTCCATTTTGATGCATCTATAACTCTAGCTGCTGTTATCATACATTTAAATAGCTGTACCATATTCCTTGGCAGAGTTTCTGGTACAATACTCAGGAGCATATTCTTAGCGTTCATAGGAAAGTTAATTTTCAAAATTTTTCTGTATTTCCGTCTGTGTGTACTTCTTTCTAAAAAATTTTAACCACCACATATGGTAAAAAGTCCCATCCACTTCTTTGCATTTCCAACTCTTTCCATTATAATTCTTGCATTTTCTCAGTATCTTTTGATGTAAGATAACAACAAAAAACATATTGTACTAACTTTCTCTTAATGCTTGACTAGCTGTAAGCTTTATATCTTTCATCCACAGAGTTTCCCATTGATAGAAAGGTATTTCTTCCTCCAAAATCCTGCATCTAACTTATCATACACATTTTAACTTGTTGCATATCAGCTAAAAGACTAGACTAATCAGTAGTCTTTTAGCTGTGTCATCAACTTTTCAAATTCCAATCTCTCTCTCCATATATTATAAAATCATTGCTTTTCCCTAAATGCTTATCACAATATCCTTCTTTTGGAGACATCAGAGGAGAAATTGGAGGGCTAATTCTACTTCTTATAGAATACCAAGTTCTAATTAAACCAGAACTAATTGCATGGCTAATGTTTTGTGTTAATTTTTTTTCATTGATTAACCCTCAAATAATTATGCATTTCTTCTTCCAAATCTGCTGATTCCAATTTCACTAATCTTTCATTAGGATTTATAATGCAATCTGTAATCCAGGCTAGCATCATAATATAACTTGGTATTAGGTACCAAGACTACCAAGACTCCTCTCTCTTTTCCATCTTGTAGGACTTTAAATCTAATCCTTGGTTTTTACCATTCAAAATAAAAATATTCAATTGCCTTTGCCATTCTTGAAGGGATTTTTCCCCTATATGAAAATTGGTATTGTCTGAAATTAAAAAATAATAATAATTTGGGTAAAACATTCATTTTTATAATGGAAATTCTTCTCAACCATGACACTTTTAATTTAGACCATCTTTGTAGATCTTTTTGAATCTTCATACACTACTTCAAAACATTTGTAATTCTTTTGAAGTAGTGTATCATTATGTCCAGTCACATTTTTCCTTGACAAATTTTCTATTGCAAAAAAGATGGAAAGAAGGGCAGCGCTACAGATGGAGGATGTCATTGCTTGAAACACATGCAAAAGTTTATGAATGAGGCAGAACAATTGTACAGTGAAAGCCTTGTTTCAAAGCATACTTGGTTAATGCAATTCAAAATCATTTGCGATAGGAAGGTAACAGAATGACCAGCCTAGGATGTCAACACTGAATGTAAACTAGTTTCTTCCTGAACAAAAATGCAACAGTCAGCATGACTGAACAATGAAATATCTATTAGGTGTTTTGCTAGAATGGAACTTCATATATCCTGGGAGCCAGCTGTATCTCCCTCACAGTCTAGTCTTTATGGTAACAAGGCAGTACAAACCTATACGTGTCTATTCAGGAGAAAATCCTATGTAGTTCAATAAGGCTTACAATAGGTTTCCCCAGCTGCTGGTATACATAGGCATACTGCCATATCATTATTAAGTATATCTATATCCTGCCTTTTTTTCCTTTTAAGGAACTCATGGTAGCTCACATACCTCTCCTCCTCCTCCCAACAGCCATATCCTCACAACAGCAGCCTTGTAAGGTAGGTTGGGCTTAGCATCTGTGCCTGGCCCAAAGTCACCCAGTGAGCTCCATTGCTGAGTGGGGACTAGAACCCAGATCTCCCAAGTCCCAGTCTTGCTCTCTTAACCATTGCAACACATTGCCTTCTTCCATAGTGTATAGCCATCAAAGCAAGCAGCCATTAATAACCATATTCTATGTGGATTTGTCTAATCCCACTTGGAAGATGTCAGCATTTGCAGCCATCATTGCAACTTGTGGTAATGGATTCCACTGTGTTTTATGTGGAGAAGTAGTTTTTTCACCTGTCCTGAATCAGCTTCATGGGGTGAGAAAAATGTCCCTTTGCACTTTCTTAACACCATGGATAATGTTGTGTACGTCTATGTTTCTGTTACCTTTTGACTAAATGATCCCAGACATTGTAACATTTTCATCTCCTTAATCATTTTGATTGGCTTTTCTGCACTTTCTCCAATTTCACTTTTTGAGGTGCAGTGACCAAAACTGTAGAGAGTTTTCTAAGTCAGGCTGCACCACAGCTTTGTATAAGAGCATTATGATATTGGCAGTTGTATTTTCATTGATTCCCAACATAAATTTTGCCTTTTTCAGCAGCCACACCCTTGGCCAGTTTGTACAATGTAGTAGCCTGCTGAGGATTAATTAACCATCAAGGAGGTGTGGTGCACACTGGCCACAGTTACTCACATCTGGGGTTGTGTCATGCAAATGTGACCAGTAGGACCTCTTCAAGGACTAAACAACCTTCGCTTAAGCCTACAGCAGACCAGGGATTATACAAGGGTTGTTCAGCCCTCAGGTAAGGTCACTGTGACTTTTTCATCAAGCTGTCCACCACAAGCCCAGCCTCTCTTGGTCAGTCACTGCCAAGTGACTGCTGGACACCACCAGCATATCAGTGCAGCCAGGGTTCCTCAGCTGCCCATTCCTGCTCAAACAGATTCACTGAGATTCACAGGAATATTTTGAAGTGGCTTGTCAACTGTATCCACAGAAACATACTAGGAAAACTTTCCTAGTGGAAATAAGTTTCAAAACCAGTTTTTCAGAATAGAAAATTAAAAGTATCCAAAATACACAGCAGAATTGCAATTGCTCTAGATGACCGTTAATACAAGGCTAATGGCAGCAAGAGGTGTGACAGGAAGAGTTGCAATTAACCATAACCAATTACTATTTCAGCCTTCAGGGCACAACAAATCCCTTTTAGGCAATCCCTGAGTTACGAATGTCTGAGTTACGAGCAACCCATTCTTATGAAATGTCATAAAGAATCTTAATTTTTAAAAATTACTGCAGAAAAGCATCATCACCAGAAAGATGAAATAAAAAGGAAGGAGAGGGAGGGTCCAAAGCATCACCATAGAGAGAAAGTAAAAAGGGGAGAGAGGGAGGCCTCCGAAGCATACCTTCCTGCCCTACCCATCCAGAGAGAGAAGTCTCAGGAATATTTGTTGGCTTTCCACTTTGATGGGGGTCCTGCATCCCTAACCCCTACAAATGTGGGGGGCTGACTATACGTGATCCAACTTACATACAAATTCGAATAATTTCCATTTTCTCAGGAATGGAGCTTGTTCATAACCTGGGGACTGCCTGTATTGAATTCAGTTGGAAATAACAGTTGTATGTTCAGAAGAAAATTCATGTAATAAACAGAAGTTTGTGCTTGTATTTCACCCTTTCCTCTCTACGACTTTTAAATTCTAAATTTTATTAGCATTCAAACGCAAAAGTATTTTTACTGCCACCCCACACAATGACCTTTTTAACGTTGTGATTCTGTGCTCAGGAAGTGTTCCAGAACCACTGGATATTTCAGCTGCAACCCAGCAGAAGCAATCAAAGTATAGACTTGAGCAGAAATGTGGTGTGGTGTGTGAGGAAGTACTGGGTTTCCAATTTTAAGAGCATGATACAAGTTCTATACAAATCAATGGAACAGCGTAGAGCTGCAGTTAAACATTTACTAATTGATCTATCCACATTGACTGAAAAATTGAGTCCTATTGTATTCAGTAAGCCATTCATATGCAGATGGCTATGCATAGGATTTCAGGCTTATTCTTTCACCTAATTAAATACATTTGTATTACTTATATGAGAAATTTGCCTAAGGTGGCCATCAAGATTGCACACAATTAAAACAATAGATATGAAGAAAACATACTTCCTTTATTTTTAAGATGATGCACACATGTGTTGTAGCCAGTACAATTTAAAGAGACATAGTTGTGTTATGTAAGAACACAATACATGGGACCCTCAAGTTCTTCCTGTTAAAATGAGCTTGTGCTTCATGTTTAACAGTGGAAATCAAGACAGTGCTCAGATGAGCAACTATTTCAATAGAAAGATGCAAACCAGTTCACTGTACTATTTAAAAGGGCAGATGGCAGAAAGCCCTCTTTCACAGAGAAGACAAAAATAGCAACATCACAGAGCTGAGAATCAAAGAATGGAAGGAAGGAAATCTGAGTTCACATTGCTTCTTGTCTTAACATTCAGCACAAAGCAACACACACATCTCTACATTTTTTCAATAATCCTTCCTCTGAAGACAGGTTATACATTGAGCACAGAGTGAGGTTTTCTTCCTAAAATGGAGACACTTCCTGGGGAAATTCAGTAGTAACTTGAAAAAACAAGCACAGCCTATCTTATTGAGAAATCATTTGACAGATCATAGATTTGGAGCAGCAAGTATAAAATTCATGGTTAAAAAAAAGAAATAGGGAAAATAGAATTAGCAAATGTGTGCTTAATGCTGCGTTTCCCTGCAGGCAGACCACAGGAACATTCCTCCTTTCCTTTCTTCAATCACTCCACTTCCTTCCTTCATATTTTAAGCAGAATGTCAAATCATTTGTTGCTTAATTTACACGTAAGACCTCAACACAATTACAATGTCATGATTTTGACAAGCATTTGTGGTCCTTTCCTACTTTCTGCACAGGGCCACACCGCCACCATTGGGAATGTTTGTGTATCATCAGAGGCTAGGTAAACTGTGGTATTGACTAGACAAAAGGTGGATTATTCGACATCGTTTTGCCCAGAATACACATGGCAAATGTATCTGAATGAAGGAAATAGAACAACTGTGTCATTTGCTTTGTGTAATAAATAAATTTGGATAGAATCGCAAGCCTTCTACAGAATCATCTCTGCAAAGTTGCCCCATCTTTTCAGCTAGAAGGAGCCTAGAAAAAGAAAAAAAGACACACTTGTATTATCTCAATACATATCTGAAGGAACATCTTCCATATATACCTGCCCATACCCCAAGATCATCTGCTGAGGTCCTTCTCCAGCAGCACTCTTTGAAAGAAGCTAGAAGAGTGGCTACCAGGGGAAGGACCTTTTCAGTAGTAGCGCCCTGATTGTGGGACCTTCTCCCCAGTGGTGGTGCCGACCCTTTATTCATTTCAATGCCAAGCTAAAACCGTTTTTTATTTACCCAGTATTTTAATAGTTTAAATAATTCTATTATGTATTTTATATACTGTATATTTTATTCTAAGAGCTGCTGTGGATTTTATTGTTGTTTTCTTGTCTTTCTATAAACCATCCTGAGATCCTATATGAAGGATGGTATATAAATATTTTAAGTAATAAATTAATAAATGTATACTAGCTGGGCTATTCAAAACAAATGCATTATTTATTTTAGTTACCTTTCTTTGGCTAGAAGTACAGACATCCCTACAACCTTTGCAAACTCCTCTGCTGTAAGAGATCCCTTTTCAGAGACCTAATAATCAGAAAAAGAAACAAAACACAGTAAATATTCTATGCAGCACTTTACTGTCCCGTTGGCTTTATTCTTTATGAAATACAGAGTTTCATTCCCTTTTTCAGCTAAAATCATTCACATTTTTAATATTATAAATGATAAGCAGCAATAAAGTAATTTATGGTCAATATATTGAGGTATTACAGTATACTTATTGACCCAGTTCACATATCAGATATTGATAGGGTTGCTAGATATGTGAGTGGGACTGCGCTTACTGGTTTCCACAAACACACCCACTTCTGCTGTGATGAATAACCCAGAGATGTCCCTGGGTTGTTTATGAGGCAGCCAAACCTCAAATTCTGGGTTATTAGGGGATGAAAAATCCAGTTTCAATTCATGTTTAAAGTGCTAACACCAAATAGGATATTGATAGGATATTGTCCTGTGTTTTTTTCATGCAATACAGGGAATTTATCTAATAACTGATGTAAGGGATGGCGTGTTTGACTGGATTAGGGAAACCTTGATTTAAATTTCTCCTCAGTTATGAGGTTTTTGGATACACTGAAAAACTTGCTGTCACAGTCTTAAGCTATAACCAGGACAGTGGTGAGGGGGAAAAGCTGAAGTTACCCTTTGTATAAGGGATAGCATGAGCTCCTGGGATAAAAGCATAACATATGAAACACAACTAATCAGTCTTCATTACATGTGAAAAAGCTGTCAGTTTGTTCCAATACAAATCCAAGTTCAGTGCCCCACTCCAGTAACAGGAAGCCCTTTGAAGCTAGGCCTCTGGCCCTAATCTGTGGGTCAAGTACCAGGCCTTTCCTGCTTTGCAAGAATTTAATGAGAATTTAAGAAACAAAGCCATTCAAAAAAGCACCAAGCCTTCAAAACCAAAAAGCACACAACTTAAGAACCCCCATTTAAAGGCACAATTCAGTATGGCTATTCATAACTCTCTGAACTTGGAGGGCTTCAGGCCTTCCATGCAGGATGGAAGCAGCATGGAAGCAAAGGTTGCCTTTGCACCCCTCCAGCCTTGCAAAGCAGTTTGATGGTTGATTTTGGCCATCTAAGTGCAGCACCATCTAAGGGTGGGGAGGGAGGGAGCAGAGAAGCCACCAGGATGCATCTTAGCCATGCTTGCTGGAAAGCCCTCCAAAGTCATTCCCTCAAGGTTGTCCTTGTGACCCTGAAGGAACAGCCAGCACATTGCTTTCTGAGTGAGGAAGGGAAGGTCTTTCCAGCTATGAGGTCATTGCTGAAAACTGGGAAGCTCCCATGGCTGTCTAAACCCTCTCTAGTGGCTATAGGGTTGCCCTGCCCAAGCTTCGGAAATGACAGGGGTGCACATTTTACCACTGAAAGGCTTTGGATTTCAAGAGCTCAGAGAAATATTATTTTTCCAAAATGAGCTGCCCACATGGGAGCAAGAGGCGAAAGTGGTACAGAAATTATCCATCCTTGCAGTGCTACAAACCTATTCCAATAAAAGTAGGAAATGTTAATATAGATAGAGGAGTTCCATTTCACCGGTAGTTTATTTATTTATTTAGAAAATTTCTATGCAGCCCCATTCGCCGAAGCCTTGGGGCAGCTCACAAACATATCAATTAAAACATTATACAATAAAAATATAAAATAAGTTAACAATATAAAATAAGTCGCCCTGGCCGAAGAATAAAATAAATAGTATTAACAGTTAAAATGACGTTTGAATAAAAAGGATTCATTGAGCGCAAAAGTACTCAAGGTCTATTCTTCTAGTAGGTTTAAACTTGTGTATTTCAGAGGGTATATGATTAGCAAAACAAACAGGACATTTGTGCTCTGACTAGGAAGTTATACTTGAAGTTTGACTGCTGAGGAAAATAACAAGCATACGTACTGTCTCCAATGCAGAAGCCACCATTTCCTCTTCATTGTGGGACTGGAGCTCAATCACCATTACACCACTGTCAAAGACACGTAATCTAAAGGGGGGAATACAAATCTCAGATCTTGAAATAGAAATTCCAAGCATTGCCTGGTTAGCTCAGGAAGGAACTTAGCACCACCCTACTGCTTTGGCAACGTGTTTTGGGTGCCCTTGTAGTGGCCATAGCACAAAGCTACTGAATTCTCAACTGGCAGGAGTCCTCTTCAGGATCTGTATGAGCTGTACTTCTTGCCACCCTATACTCCCCTTGCTGTCTTCTATACTCCTGTGTCAGCCCACTTCCCCTCGTTCAATAAGGCACAGCTCCAGTCCTACCTTTTTCCTTTGCTCTTCATATCTGCATCACCCATAATTTCCTCAGGTTCCTGTTTTTCAGCCTACTTTGTCCTACTTCCTTTAGCCATCTTAAGCAACCTTCCTAAAACTCCTCCACCTCTTCTAATCTGTGGGGGGCTTTGTCAGAACTGCCCCCAGGTCTGCTTCTTCAGTTCTTTTCCTTAGACCTCTGTCTGCACTTATCCTGACCTCAGGCTTTTTTGTTAGTCTTGCTTTGTTCCTTTTTTGTCACACTTATTTTGCTTCTAAGATGATCATTGTGATGAAAAACTTTAAAGAAGTAAGCTCAGTAACATGCAATTGTCTGAAAAACAATACTTTAAAACCAAACAAGTCAAGATAGACATGCCATATTTTAGGTTCCTAGTTAATGTCTACTCAGAGAGAACATCAACAAGTATTTCCTGAAACATCTTAACTATCTTAGAAGTCAAAAGATGCAGGCAAAGGAAGAGTGGAACGCAGGACCTGTTTCTATATGTAACCAAGTTCCTGTTTGTGAGGTGACGCTTGGGGAAATCTGATCTGAAGGAACCCCTTCTGAGATTTGTCTTTAGTCTGGAAAGATTCTGTTTAGGAATGATAAACAACCATAGTGAACTTTAAAGTAATCGTAACTTACTATTTTCACTTACTATTTCCCTTTTGTAAACAATCTATTTTAATGAAGATGGTTTCTAGTGGCAGTGTCAATCATATGCCTACACCACAGGAATCAGATACTTGGTTTCCTTTAAGTTGTTGCTGTGTGCTATCAAGTTGTCTCCAAGTTAGGGTCTTCATTGGGTTTTTCCTGTATTTGCTAGCATATTCTTGTTAGGATTTGGACCAATTTAGTTTTTGCAACTTGGAATAGCTCTATTGGCACTCTATCTACTCCCAGAGCTTTATTCTTTCCTAGCACTTCCAGAGCAGTTTGCACTTTCTGATATTGCAGGTCCTTTATTACAGAAATGCTCTTTGAAGGAGCCTCCTTTTATCTCTTTCTTATAGTTCTTCCATATATTCATTCCACATTTTCTTTATTTTATCCTGGTCAAATAGTATATTCCCTTCTTGATGAAGTCTCTGGTTTTTCTTTCTTTTTTGTTCTTTTCTATTTCTTTGTATTGGCCATTGTAATAGTTTTTTTTTGTCTCTGTGTGATAGCAGTTGAAAAGTTGCATTCAGGATTCTGACCTTATTTCTGTCACCTTTTGCTTTTTGCCTTTCCTTAACAATTGTCTAATTTTCTTCCATCATTCATCTAAACCTTTTCTTTCTTTTTGCTTCAGGAATGGTCTTTTGGCATTCTTCCCTAATAATGTATTTGGTTTCAGTCCACAGTTTTTTTGTTTTGGTTTTTGTGCACATTTTTTATTAAGATTTTAAACTAAAAACTAAAAAAATAATCAGTCATCAAATACATTGGACGTACTGGGTCAGTCCCCTCTAACATATCTTTTAAACATTCTATCATATTCAAATCGATTCATAAAAATTTAAAGACATCTTTAAATCTAAGCCAAGTCCCGTTTCTCCAGCCACTTGGTCTGGAGGTCCCAAGTCTGATAGAAGTCAGTATCTTCTTTCTCCTTCAATAATAGAGTCAATCTGTCCATTTCTGCACAGTCCAGAATCTTGTTTAAAATCAGTTCCTCAGTGGGTAGTTCCTCACTCTTGCAGTATTGAACAAGCATAATCCTGACGGGTTACACCCAAGAGTACTTAGAGAGTTGGCAGGGGTTCTCTCACGCCCGCTGGCCTCCATTTTTAGACCTTGTGGAGAACGGGTGAAGTTCCAGAGGACTGGAGGGTGGCATCAGTGGTCCCAATTTTCAAAAAGGGTAGTAGAAAGGACATGGGGAATTATAGACCAGTTAGCCTTACGTCCATTGTAGGAAAAACAATGGAAAAGCTCATAATAGAAAGAGATCTAGTGATGCTAGATAGGGAAGGGAGGCTGGCAGCCACACAACACGGCTTCCGCAAAAACAGGTCCTGCCAGACAAACCTTGTGGAATTCTATGACAAGGTTTTGCGATGGCTAGATGGAGGGGATGCAGTGGATGTGGTATACCTGGATTTCAGCAAGGCCTTTGACAAAGTGCCCCATGATATCCTGGTGGAGAAACTGAGGAGTTTTGGGATACACCAAAGCACCGTCCGGTGGATTAGGGCATGGTTGACTGACCGAAAGCAGAAGGTAACCATTAACGGTATTAATCATCGGGATGGTGGCCAGTGACAAGCGGGGTCCCCCAGGGCTCTGTCCTGGGGCCGATCCTGTTTAATCTCTTTATTAACGACATGGAAGAAGGGGTGAACAGTCTGCTGATCAAATTCGCAGACGACACTAAAACTGGAGCAGTGGCCACAACTGAGGAGCAGGTACTCCATATCCAAAAGGATCTGGACAGACTATGGAAGTGGGCAGGAGACAACAGGATGGTGTTCAATGGGGATAAGTGCAAGGTCTTGCACTTGGGGCATAGGAATAGCTGTCCTAAGTACAGGTTAGGTAATAAGTGGCTGGAGAGCAGCACTTGTGAAAGGGACCTCGGGGTACTGGTTGACTGCAGGCTAAACATGAGTCAGCAGTGTGATGCGGTGGTCAAGAGGGCGAACGCCACCCTTGGTTGCATAGCCAGAAGTGTCTTCTAGATCAAGAGAGGTATTACTACCACTCTACATGACTCTAGTGCGCCCGCAACTGGAGTACTGTGTTCAGTTTTGGGCCCCTCATTACAGAAGGGATATAGTCAGGTTAGAGTCAGTGCAGCGTAGGGCCACAAGGTTGGTGGCCGGTTTGCAGGGGATGGGGTATGAGGCGAGACTGAGGGAACTGGGTCTCTTCAGCCTGGAGAAGAGGAGACTCAGAGGGGATATGTTGGCGACATACAGGTATGTGAGGGGATGTCACATGGAGATGGGTAGAGACCTGTTCTCCCCTGCAGAGGAAGGCAGAACGCGCTCCAACGGAGCAAAGCTCAGGGAGCCAGGGTTCCATTTGGATGCCAGGAAGCACTTCCTGACAGTCAGGACCCTAAGGGTGTGGAATGGGCTTCCCCGGGAGGTGGTTGAGGCCCCATCGGTGTGGGTGTTCAAGGATAGGCTGGACGTCCACATGGTGGGTATGTCGTGAGCGGAGCCAGCTGGTGCCAGAAGTCAGACTAGATGGTCCGGGAGGCCCCTTCTGACTCGCTTTGTTTTCTATGTTTCTATGTTTTTGTAGCATTTCCTCAAGCCATTTATGTATTTTAATCCAATACTTTTTCACATATTCACAAGTCCACCACATATGGTAAAAAGTACCCACATCATGTTTATATTTCCAACATCTGTTTGACATATTTGGCAACATTTTAGCTAACTGATTTGGTGACAAATACCATCTATAAAACATTTTATATAAATTTTTTTTATACGGTTGCTAAAGTTACCTTATATTTCTCTCCCATAACTTTTGCCACTTTTCTAATTCAATATTATATCCAAAATTTTGTGCCCATGTTATCATAGTTTCCTTAACCTATTCCCCTTCCATTTTCCTGTCAAGTAGGAACTCATAAATTCTTTTAATCATTTTCTCATCTGTTTTTAACATCACTTGATCAAAGGCTGTTAGGTCTTTATAAAACCCCCATATTTTAGAATCTTTAGCATATCTTGATTGCATCTGCACCTTATACCACCATGAGATATTGAGTCCCTGTTCTTGTATTTCTTGATCTAGGTTCAGGCCTCCATCCTTATCCAAAATATCATCATATCTTATGATCCCTTCAAAATTCAATACATTTGGATACACAAAAGCTTCCATAGGTGAAGACCATCTTGGTAACTTATTATACAATTTTGACTTTAACTTTTCCCACACTGACATTAATGATCTTCTAATAAAGTGACTAAAAAAGTCCCATGAGACTTAACCTTCTCATACCACATATAAGCATGCCAACCCATTTACAAATCATATCCTTCAAGATACAAAATTATCTTATTTTGCAAGGTTATCCATTCTTTTAGCCAAGTTAAAATAGACGCTTGATAGTACAACATCCAATCCGGTAAACCAAAAGCCCCATTCTTTTTGGTTTCTTGAAGCATTTTCAGTTTAATCCTTGCTTTCTTTTTTCTCCAAATAAATCTCGAAATTTGAAAATTTAAATCCTCAAAAACATTTTTATCAATTTTTACAGGAGTCATTTGGAACAAAAACAAAAGTTTTGGTAGTATATTCATTTTAAACAGTGCAATTTTTCCCATCGAAGACAGTTGTAAATTTGCCCATCTTTCCAGATCACCTTTAATATCTTTCAATAATTTATCGTAATTGTCTTCTTTCAAAGTTGTGCATTTAGCTGTAAGATAGATTCCCAAGTATTTAACCTTTTTGACAATCTGCAAGTCCACTTGTTCTTGGAGTCTTTTTTTCTGATCTTGCATAAGATTTTTAACTAGAAGTTTCATTTTTTCCTTATTTATTTTCATCCCCATAACCTCACCATATTCTTCAATCCGTTGTAAAAGTTTAGGGATTGTTACAAAAGGTTCCTCTATTATAAAGACCAAATCATCTGCGAATGCTTGCAATTTATACTTTCCATCCCTAATTTTAGTACCTTTAATGTCCTCGTCATCCCTAATATTTCTATTCAAGACCTCTAAAGTCAGGATGAACAGCAGGGGTGACAGTGGGCATCCCTGCCTTGTACCGTTTTGTATCTCTATAGCCCTTGTATGTTCTCCATTAATTAAAATCCTGGCCGATTGTCTTTGATAGATTCTTGATATCGCATTCATAAATTTTCCCCCAAACTCCATTTGGTCCATCTGTTGCATCATGAATTGCCAATTAACATTATCAAAGGCTTTCTGGGCATCTAAAAACAGCAGAGCCATTGATTTTTCCGTGTGTGTCTCACAGTTTTCTAGGATATCCAAGATAGTCCTCAGATGGTTCTTCATTTGTCTTTTAGGCAGACAACCATTTTGGTCTGGATGAATAAAGTCTATTAAAAACTTCTTCAACCTTTCTGCCAATATAGAGGCAAAAATTTTATAGTCCACATTTAATAATGCTTCATTACATATGTCTTTGAGAAAGGTAGCAAAAATTCCCTCAAAAGATTTGTAAAATTCAGCTGGTAGCCCATCTGGACCAGGGATTTTATTGTTCTTTTGTTGCATGATTGCCTCTGTTATTTCCATAGTTGTTACTTCTTGATTCAATATTTTTTTATACTTTTCTGGTAATTTTGGTCAGTCCACAGTTTTTTTGGTTCACAGTCAATTCCATTCAGTAATGCAAATCTGTTCTTTATGCAGATTTTAATCCCTCAGGAATGTTATTTAAGGTGTACTTTGGTACTATGCTTCTGTAGTAATCCTTTTCAAACTGTACTCTGATTTTTTATCTCAAGAGTCTATCGTCACTACTGCAATTGGCTCCTGGTCTCGTTCTGACCGCAAAAATGTAGCTTCTCCATCTCCCAGTCCAATTAGTCTAATTGATTTCTATACTGGCTACCTGGTGATGTCCATGTCTAGTTGCCTGAAGTATTTACAATAATTGTTGGCTTCACAGAATTGTTTAAGTGATTCTCCTGCTTTGTTTCTGACCCCAAAGCCAAATTCTCCCACAACATTTCATTGTTTTGTTTCCTGCTTTTTCCTGTTCCAGTCACCTATGGTTATCAGCGTATCTTGTTTTGTTATCAATTTCCCCTAGGCTGCTTGTATGAAGTTTTCTACTTCTTCTACATCTGTTGTTGAACTGTAGACCTGATTGATGGTTATGTTGATAGGTTTTCCAAAAACTCTAACTGATATTATTCATTTGGGCTTTGTATGATAGCCCCTGTGCTATGTCTTCCCTCAGTAGTAGAGCCATTCTGTTTCTTCTGAATTTGTCATTTGTGTTGGACAGTGAAAACATCCTATTTCAGTCCACTTTACTTTGCTCACACCAAGTATGGCAATATTTATTGTTCTATTTTGTGCTTTATGCTTTCCAGTTTGCCTGGAACATGATTCTCATGCTCTAATTTTATTTGTTCTGCAGCATCAACCTTCCTTTCACTTCTGTGCATTTTAGCTTCTAGACTTCGCTTTCAGATGCTAGACTTGGCTTTCATCTAGTTGTGTCATTAGTGACAACACTATTAGTACTTATCCTTCACTCTTCCTTAGCAGCCAGCTAATTGCCTTCTGACCTGGGATTCTCATTTTCTGGCTTTATCCTGTTTCATTTTGGATTGCTTCACTGTAGGGTTTTCAAGGAAAGAAATACTCGAATGTGCTTTATTTTAATAACTATTGCCTTCTGTTGAGTACTAATTACACTTAGCTTGAATATCCCTGCTGTCATCTGTGAAAAATCTTCTGCCAGTGCTACCTTTGACTGCCACTGCTGCTTTTTAGCTGTTCTCTGGAGGTTTCTCTGTCCCCATCACTATTAGAGATATCCATTCCCTTCCACTGATGTGACTTTTACTTGGGAAGGCAGTGGATGCATCTTAGTCTGGTGTCACAGCTTTGACCATTCTGCCTTGGCTGAATGTAATGAGAGAGTCTGGCCTCCTGGCAGCAATACTCTTGGCTTCTCTGATACTCCCGAACGCCTGACCACATTAAGGTGTGCCTCCAAGAGGGAGTTCCTTTAAGCAGAGAGGGTATATTGTAGTGGCAGCAGTTAAACGATGTTACAGCTGAGGGAGCACTTCTTACTGTTAAGCTCTAATCAAGAATTTTGAGAAGAATCCAATGGAGCACATCTATCCACACTCATGCTCTTCTGGCCCACCAATTCCATTGAGCAAGCAGCCCCTACTGCTTCTGCCATTACGATTTAGCACTTCCAGGGCAAACTAGAATGGGTAGAAATGCTTGCCCTGGAAGGAGGCAGGTTGGCAGCATGCTAACAGTGAGGGTTGATTGGAGTTGCATGCCAAAACATCTGGGGGTCCATACATTAGTTACCCTGACCTAAAGGAACAGGAACAGAGCTGATAAGGAGCTGGCAGCTTCAGTCTACTTTTCTACAGCCTGCAATACCAAAGAATGCAGTGCAACCAACTCTGCTTGCCATCTCCTTGACATCTGTCAAACTAAGCAGGGCCAGCTGAGGGGATTGGCGATGGTCATAGTGTGCAAGAAGAAACTTTTGGAATGTAATTGCCAGTTGGGATAAGGTATACCCACACCTCATGTACATCTGCAGCATTTAAAAAAATCAGTTTGCAGGGAAGAAATAAGACAATGCAAATGCAAGGTCTTAAGTAGACATTTAATGGCCAAAACTAGAATTGCACACACAGGCCTGACTGCTCTTTGCTACTTGCTGGTTTTGGACCCTTTTCTTTCTTCAGCACATGCTTCCCTGAGAATCTCACAAAATGCATCAGGATTTTAAAAAAATGGGGGGGGTGACATTCCATCACTCTTTTTGGAAGAGGTTAATGTACATTTTGAAGACTTCTCACCTGAGAGGTAGTTTTAGCGCTTCCAGCATCTTACAAGCATTTACTAGATCTTCAGGTGAGAGCAACTAATGGGAAAAAAACACAAACAGAGGATACATTGAAGATATGTCAGGGCTAGTTCCTATAAGTCATTTGGATATGAATACCTGAATACAAAATACAACAGCAGCAACTCAACAAAGAGGGTGCTTCCAGCATGCATTGCAATCCCCATTCCTCCAACATATATTAACATATGTACCTTGAGGAAGAACGGGCATATGCATGGCATACAAGCAATTCATGTGTGTGGCTCCTGTATTTTGCACTTGGAATTTTACACCCCCATACAGCTCTCAATCAGATGGTAGCTACACATTATCAAGTTAGCACAGCAGCCCACATTGGGCAGAAAGCTTTATAACATGCCAAGTACCAGTGAGCTCATAGCTTCCACTAACATCATTCTGTTGAGGGCATCTAGTATCAAACAACAGCACACGGACACTTTGCTATGAAAATAAACACTGTGCTTCACAGATGACCCCAAATGCTACATGCTATTTTAGTTATTTGTTTCAAGCCAAGCTTTGTACATGCAATGGTTGTATAAGCCTCAATTCTGAGAGCACAAGAGTTGGAACCGACTGTTGTCTCTGGAGCAAGATCCTGGCAATGCAGTCTGAACATCTGTGCAACTAAGAATGTCTCTCTTTTGGCACTTGAGAGCTGATTTACTGCAGAGTGACTCATTCTGTTACTCTGGCCCAGTTTTGTCAGAGTGCATTGCCTCTGCTAGACATAAAGTATAACTGTTAAATCCTCTATTTATTTACTTATTCAAAGTATCTTTATCCCACTTTTCAGCCAAAATAGTCCCCAGGCTGGCTTACAATCAAATCTGTTAAGCAAGATAGTGATCTAAGATGTGGACTCATTCCATGCACTGTTAACATACAGACACCCCATACCTTCAGAACAAAGGCGTCTCTTCTGCTTCAGGCATATAGATTACACTGTGTGAGCTAATCATCTGCAGACTCTTCTTTTACCAGTCCTCATTTAATAAAAATTGTCCTCTATTTTCCACAAAGTCCTGAGATCTTATAATGCAATCCTGTGGCTTTATTTATTTATTAAATTTGTATCCTCCCTTTTGTGGCTTACATCATTGTCCTCCTCCCAATCATATTCACACAACAACCACCCTGTCAGGTAGGCTGTGAGAGTCTGTCACTGACTCATAGTCACCCAGCTGGCTCAGTGGCCAAGCGGGGATCAGAACCCAGACTGCCTGAGACCTAGATCCATATTCTTAATCACTACACCACACTTGACTCTCTTTAGAAGCAAACCTGATCAAGTCCAAAGGGACTTACTCCCAAGGAAGTGTGTGTAGAACTACTGTCTTACTGTAGTCTCCAATATTTTCTTTCATCCCCATTTCATTGATTCGTAGCACACTGTTAGATAGATACTTCAGAAGCCTCATCCTGCGTTAGCACTATCTTCATAATGTTGACTTGGATGTAAAAAGAGAACACTGAATGTAACAATTCTGTTTTTCTGCCAAAAAGCCCCCAAAAAACCACTACTAATGGGTTTGGCTATATAGGAAAACATGATTTATCAAGCCACTTTTGTCAGTTTTGCTCCTCTCCTCACCTCCAAGCCTCGAGCACGATTTACCAAACAATATACCTCCGTGAGGGACATGATTCCTCCCCGCTCCTGTTGATATAAGATCAGTTAGTAAAACAGAAATGAGAACATGCAGCATACTATAACCAAATGAATTTAACTGGCTACTTGACAAAAACATATCTAAAATGTCTACGTTGCTAAATGAAGCTGCACCTGTGCAAGGCAGCACACAGCAGTCTACGAGATGCAGGCATCCACACATCACACATGTACCACACAAACACACACACCTCTCCACCCTTGCTTATCTCATTTCTCCCCACATCTCTTTCTTCTAGTCTTGCACTGCCCTTCAGAGTAACTTAAAATCTTGTGAGAGATTTGGCTACGGGCAGTATAGAAATGTAATATACTACCACCATTACTACTAATAATGCTTTCAGAAGGGGTTTTACTATGCAACTGCACTGCCCCAATTCACAGGATTTTATGAAGGTCCATAAAATTGTACTCAATTTGTAATCCTCCTGTATTTTCCCACCACTTTGTCCATCTTATTTCTTCTGAGAAAACAAAAATCCGTTCAGTCAGACACAATGCCTTTTGGCTGTTACTGCTAGGAGCCCTCTGTCTGGAACCATCCTTGCATTTGCGCTTGCTCTCCCTATTTATCGGTAGGGCTGTGGAGGGGGCAGAATGAGCCTGCAATACAACAACTGAATGATTTGCTCATGCACTGTCAGCTTGGTCAAATTCCTCCTTGTTGTCATTGTGATAGTGCACAAAGAGAAAAGGCGAGACATAGAGAAGGACTAGAGGGGACTTGGCATTGTAGTGGATCAGACCTAGCCTGCAGACTTGATGTTCCTCAGCACTGCTGTATAAAATTGCACTGTAAATGTTTCTTAAAGGAGATTCAGGAGTTCTTTACCTCTAACGGTGCCTGCAAAATTCCACCCAACTGCTTTGCCAGTTGCATATGGTAATGCGTGCCAGATCCATGGGTTTCCCTCGTAACTGGATTAGCTATACCCATGCTCAAGAGATAGGATTTGAACCTGATGGTCTGAAAAGCATGAAAGAGAAAAGAACACAGTGAACATCCTTGTACCAGATGAATCAATAATCTATGCAAAATTGATTGTAAATTGTATTAGAAGAGCCGAATGTCCTAAAACGGAGGGCAGATTCAATCCTAGATCCTTAACTTGCTTCTGGGATATTTCACTATCTTGTTTCCTTATCTGCTTTCTGGCTTCAGATAAGCAAAATGGATTCTATTCGAAAAACACAGGGGAGGCAGATGGGTGATATATTGCCATCAGAAAGGGGGAGCTCACAAGTTTGCTAAAATTCTGGTCTGTGCTGCATCTCCCACTTCAAGTTCTCTTTTAAAATGCCTCCCCCCCAAAAAAAGAATGCCATGCATGTGTAATATCCCAGGCCCAGCACAAAGGTGACTAACTTCAGAAAGCAGAGATTCGTGGAGGAGGAACTGATGGGACTTGGCATCAAGATGGACAGAAAGCCACCAGGATTCTCTGGCTAGGGAAGAGTGGAGCAGGCTCCCTCACCCACCAAGAAAAGGAAGTGATCTACTATTCAAGAAGCTGCTCAGCCTTCTTGCCCCCACAGCAGTTCCGAGAGATTTGTCATGAGGATATCCTATCCTGGGAAAACTGCCCATTTCCGCCTACGAAATTACACAAGTGCCAGTGTTGTGTGGGTGTGCTGTGTATGAGAGGAAGAGTGTGTGTGTTCATGTGCATATTCAAGCCGTGAGGATCCACATGTGGATGTGGCAAAGTTGCTGAGATACAAGCTGCAGAGGCCACCAATTGTCCTACTGTATTTCCTCAAGCATTTTAGCAGCGCTGTGTGTGTATCAATTAATCTTAATTAACTTAATTATCAATCAATTAAGCACAGAGTGCTTTCTCGTGCAGTGTTTCAGTCGAACGCCTTGAAATATTAACTGACCTCATCTTCCGTGATGTCACCTTGTTTTTCTTTGATCTTGTTGGCAATTGATTTGGACAGTTCCACCATTTCCTTAGCCTGTTAAAGGAAAACACACAGCTGGTCAAAGAAGCCACATGTCACTTTGCCCTTCTCATTCAAGATCAGCCATCGAGGGTCTTCAGAGTGGAATGGCTTGCAGCTCTAGAGAACTGCTTGGCTGTATGAAAGCTGGGGCACAGACAGCCTGCATTCAGCCAGTCGGGATGTTCCCCTTCCCTTGGAAATGTAACAGACCATCAATAAAGCAAGATTCTGTCTTAAGTTCCTCTAGAGCAGGGGTCCTCAAACCTTTTCAACAGGGAGCCAGTTGAAAGGTTGCAGGTGCAGCAAGGCGGTGGCGGGCCCGGGCTCGGCAAGGCAACGGCTTGCTTCCTTGGAGAAGGCCATGTGGCCTGGCTGCCCCAGGCTTGCATAATTAAAAATAGATTTGAAAAGTTATATTTTTGTTACCTTCAATCCTTTCTTCGTCTTTGTCAGTCTTTCTCTTCTGCCTGCCTCAATTCTGTTTCCTGCTCTGTATTCCTGCTCTGTATATGTGTGCAATTGGGTGGGGGGAGCCAGCGCACACAGCTGAGCTGCTGCAATTTGGCACATGTGCTGGCTCTCTCTCTGCTCAGTTTTAAAGAACACCTGCACTGACTCAGAACTTTTGGACTTGCTCAGAGATCATTTTCTCCAAGAGAGTCCAAAACCTCTGAGGCAGGCCAGATAAAATGGGCATGGCAGGCTGGATTCAGCCCGCGGGCTGTAGTTTGAGGACCCGTGCTCTAGAGTTAAGTACATATGCTTAGGGCCCCAATTCACCCATGTCAAAGTGGCTCCCAAGCTATAGTTCCTCTGTGCTAACTGTAAAGCATAGCATGGCCAGCAAAGATTTCTGCTACAACTCTTAGTTCTCTAGACAGGAGTGACAAATTAAATTCAGATAGGATATCCACGAAGGGAAAAATTACCTTTTCCATTAGTTTGCTGAGGTCTTCAAAAGCCTGGAATAATAAAAACACACTTGTTAGAAATAAAATGCAATAACACAATTTCAGCTATTCTTTCAACCACTTAGCTTTCCTCTAAAACTTTTTAAAAATGCTGAGAACAATCATGCTTTCTAGCATCCTTTGACAATGGAATTAGTGTTTTGCTATCTCAGCTTTGCAATCTGAACACACTCTGCTTCTGTGGGGGAATGTGCCCCATGTTGAGAGAAGTTCTCACCCTTTCAGTAGGAAGGGAGGTCATGACCATAGATTGGCAAAACACCAAGTTGTTCAACTGCACCATCATGAAAACACTGATTTCAAGGCTTAGATATATTTAAATATTCATAAACCACAAACTCATCTGACATCTCATATCAGGAATATCTGGGAGCATTTAACAGGGCATTATGAAAGAGAGCATTTTCTCCATTATTTATTTGCTAAATTCACTATCTTCACATAAACGGAGATAATCAAACCTTTAGCATCTTCTAAAGGGTCTCAATACCCTGCAAAAAATGACCTAACCAAAAAAGAACAACAGGCCTAGATAAACAGAGAGCAAGTTGTAAATAATTCTTCCGCTAATTGATTCAGGGCTGCAGACAAAAGAGAATGTGCACACATGTTATCAGGAACTTCCTCAGACAAACAAAGAGCTAAAGGAATTGTGTTTTATCAGCAACAGCCAGCAGGTGCAGGAAGCCCATTCTGGATTTCAGGGCACCAGTTCTGAAACTAACTGATTTATAACAAGCAACAATTCACAATGCTATCCCCTTCCAGCAATCTGATTGCTTGTATCCCCTGGGAAACAGAGTGGGAGAGCAGCAGGGTGGAGCTTCACAAGCAGCATGTCTCCTTCTGAAAAGAGCAGCTCCTGTGACTCATCTCCCACCAATACTGACAACCCATGGCTTGTAGTTGGGTCTCTTTCATTCATGATGGGTTGTCAGGCTGTCTGGTCCTGGGCAACACAACTCATCATGGGTCAAGCCCAACTACAAGAGAGCTGAATGACAAGAGAGGAAACACCTGCTTGCTGCCCTTGCCAAGAGATTGTTGAAAGATGCCTCCAAATTGTTCAGGCAGTTTGATGCTTACCAAGAGATGCTTTTTCTGGCAGTGGCAGCTCAGACTGTTGCAGCCGACTCATCAGACAACAGCAGCAGTCTCCATTTCCTCTCACCCCATCCCTGCCATGGCCACTGCTAGAATGGAGGACACCCCAGTGGAGATGGGAGATTGCTTGGGCTGGCTTGTACAATCCCAGCTCCCCCATTCCATGCCATCGCTGCAGTGACTCACAACACCCCCAAGTGCCTGTAAGGCACATCATGGGCCCTTGGACAGGAAATCCACATGAGGTGCTTTGTGCCACAGGGTGGGGTGCTGTTTTAGGTGCGTCCACCCCTTTTGATGGGAGTCCCCTTGGCTGAAGTGTGGCGGCAGACAGTGGAGAGGCACTGAGCACAATGACATATCTCAAATTCTCTTTCATTACAAGTCACTGCATAGGGTTTGGAAGAAGAAGACACACCCCACTGTTATACTTTGTAGTTCCATCTTGTAAAAATATAGCAGTCACTGAATCTAATGATATTCCTGTCAATGCACTGCATTAAAAACTATTAAGAAATTGCATTATTATTTTTACAGTATTATGCAAAATATGTTGCAGTCATCCATTCAACAGGGCAAGTGTGGCTTTCCCATAGTTTAATATGATGTGCACAACCAGGATAGAGTTGCAGTGAGTCTTGAATTCACACGCTCATCCCTCTCTTGTTCCTCTTCACTGACGCCCTAATGAAGACTCTGGGTCCACACAGCACCCCCTCTCACCACTGTGGCACTGGCTTGGCATCACAACGGATCAAACACCTGGTCCAGCCGCCTGCCCAACACAGGATCAACTGGAGGCATCATCTCCTGCAACAGTTTTTTCTACCAGCCTCTCAAAATTATTTGTAGTTTAAGTAGAGCTTTAAAACAGCTCTGGCATTCAGCATGTAGAAAATCTTTTTCAGAGTGCACATACATACACATGCCCCTCCGGAAATGAGCTGTGTTTCTTAAAAGGGACTTTTGAATGTAATTTTTTAACATTTTTAAAACATGAGTACAAAATATGCAACTGTTTTCAGTTAGAAGAACTGTATCAATAACTAAAGGAATAATTCATGACTGTAAATAGCTAGGACAACTTTCCAAAAATGGACATGTCAAGATTACTTACTTCAGAAATGTTTTTATCCATCTCTTTTCTTCTTTCTTCTAATTTCCTCTCGATACCTACAATTCCTGCAGCTCTTATTCTTCCTGTCTGAAAAAGAAAATACATCACATAAAAGTGTTTGTGAAGGAAATGCTTTAGAGTTCTTTCACCATTACTCTGAAAGGAAGTCAAATCTGTACTTTGTAACATCAATATTTGGAACATTGACTGAATTTGAAAACAATGCTAAGCTATGATTTAGCATTACGTGTACAATCCTTGGGCTCATCAGCTTCCCCCTCATTTTGTTCAGCTGTAAGAAGACTGGAAGCTTTCACTTTCAATTAGCTGTAGTTTAGAATGACATCCAAACCCTAAATTGTGGATGCCCTTAAGAATGGTTTATTAATGTAAGTAAAATTCATAAACTCTGGTTTGAAGTTGGCTCATTTCAGTAAACCATACTTAAGGTGTTTTGGCCAACAACTCCCCTAAGCCCTTGCTACTGGCTAGGGATGATGGGTGAGTTGTATGCCAAAATATTGGAAGGGCTACAATGTACCTCCCCTTGCTTTAGGGGTATCTCTTCTGTACTTTACTAGTATAGAACCCTCCTACTGCTTTACATAGTTGAAGAATCACATTCACACATGGCTCTGATAATATGATCTCTGTTTTTCAGTCAGCAATGTGTTCACTGCAGTAAGGTCTAATAATGCAAGAAGCTGAATGAGACGCTCATGACCTTTAAAAATAATAAGCGAACTATGGGATGGATAACCACAGGACAACTAGCCTGAAACTGCAAACTCTGATGAGACTAAAAATAATCTTAGCAATCTGCAATCTGCCTAGCATAAAAAATAACAGAGACCATCCACAATGCCCCATTAACACTACCCCGTTATTATGGATGTCAACTCATAAAAATGGAGGTTGGTCATGTTTGGAAAATAAAAATTGTTGTTGTTAGTTGCGAAGTTCTGTCCGACCCATCGCGACCCCATGGACAACATTCCTCCAGACCTTCCTGTCCTCCACATCTCCCGGAGTCCACCCAAGCTCACACCAATTGCTTCAGTGACTCCATCTGGCCACCTCATTCTCTGCTGTCCCCTTCTTCTTTTGCCATCCATTGTTCCCAGCATTAGGCTCTTCTCCAGGGACTCCTTCCTTCTCATTAGGTGGCCAAAGTATTTGAGTTTCATCTTCAGTATCTGGCCTTCTAAAGAGCAGTCAGGGTTGATCTCCTCTAGGACTGACTGATTTGATCGCCTTGTGGTCCAAAGGACTCGCAGAAGTCTCCTCCAGCACTACAATTCAAAGGCCTCAATCCTTTTGCGCTCAGCCTTCCTTATGGTCCAGCTTTCACAGCCATACATTGCAACTGGGAAAACCATAGCCTTGACTATACGCACTTTCGTTGGCAGGGCGATGTCTCTGCTTTTTAGTATGCTGTCTAGATTTGCCATAGCTTTCCTCCCCAGGAACAAGCGTCTTTTAATTTCTTGGCTGCAGTCCCCGTCTGCGGTGATCTTGGAGCCCAGGAAAATAAAATCTGTCACTACCTCCATTTCTTCCCCATCTATTTGCCAGGAAGTGAGAGGACCGGATGCCATGATCTTAGTTTACTTAATGTTGAGTTTCAAGCCAACTTTTGCGCTCTCCTCCTTCACCAGCATCAAGAGGCTCTTTAGCTCCTCTTCACTTTCTGCCATGAGAGTGGTATCATCTGCATATCTGAGGTTGTTGATATTTCTCCCAGCAATCTTAATTCCAACTGGTGATTCATCTAGCCCCGCCTTTCTCATGATGTGCTCTGCATATAAGTTAAATAGGCAGGGCGACAGTATACAGCCTTGCCGAACTCCTTTCTCAATTTTGAACCAATCAGTGGTTCCGTGTCCAGTTCTCACTGTTGTTTCTTGACCCGCATATAGGTTTCTCAAGAGACAATAAGATGATCTGGTACTCCCATCTCATTAAGAACTTGCCACAGTTTGTTGTGATACACACAATCAAAGGCTTTAGCATAGTCAATGAAGCAGAAGTAGATGTTTTTCTGGAACTCCCTAGCTTTCTCCATGATCCAGCATATGTTGGCAATTTGATCACTAGTTCCTCTCCCTTTGTGAAATCCTGCCTGTACTTCTGGTAGTTCTTGGTCCACATACTGCTGGAGCCTAGCTTGTAGGATTTTGAGCATAACTTTGCTAGCATGTGAAATGAGTGCAACGGTGTGGTAGTTTGAACATTCTTTGGCATTGCCCTTCTTTGGGATCGGAATGTAAACTCACCTTTTCCAATCCTGTGGCCACTGTTGAGTTTTCCAAATTTGCTGGCATATTGAGTGTAGCACTTTTACTGCATCGTCTTTTAAGATTTTGAATAGCTCAGCCGGAATACTGTCACCTCCACTAGCTTTGTTGCTGCTCAGACTTCCTAAGGCCCATTTGACTTCACATTCCAGGATGTCTGGCTCGAGGTTATCTGGGACGTTAAGCTCTTTCTTGTATAGTTCCTCTGTGTAATCTTGCCATCTCTTCTTAATCTCTTCTGCCTCTGTTAGGTCCCTGCCATTTTAGTCCTTTATCATGCCCATCCTTGCATGAAACGTTCCCTTCATATCTCCAATTTTCTTGAAGAGATCTCTGGTCCTCCCCATTCTATTGTTTTCTTCTGTTTCTTTGCACTGTTTATTTAAGAAGGCATTCTTAACTCTTCTCGCTATTCTCTGGAATTCTGCATTCCATTGGGTGTATCTTTCTCTTTCTCCCTTGCCTTCCACTTCCCTTCTTTCCTCAGCTATTTGTAAAGCTTCCTCAGACAGCCATTTTGCTTTCTTGCATTTCTTTTTCTTTGGGATGGTTTTAGTTGCTACCTCTTGTACAATGTTGCAAACCTCCGTGCATAGTTCTTCAGACACTCTGTCTATCAGATCTAATTCCTTAAATCTATTTGTCACCTCTACTGTATATTCATCAGGGATATGATTTAGGTCATACCTGAGTGGCCTAGTGCTTTTCCCTACTTTCTTCAATTTAAGCCTAAATTTTGCAATGAGAAGCTCATGATCTGAGCCACAGTCAGCTCCTGGTCTAGTTTTTACTGACTGTATAGAGCTTCTCCATCTTTGGCTGCAGAGCACATAGTCAATCTGATTTCTGTGTTGACCGTCTGGTGATGTCCATGTGTAGAGTTGTCTCTTGGGTTGTTGGAAAAGAGTGTTTGCTATGACTATCGTCTTCTCTTGACAAAATTCTACCAGCCTGTGCCCTGTTTCAGTTTGTACTCCAAGGCCAAACTTGCCTGTTATTCTGGTTATCTTTTGGCTTCCTACTTTAGCATTCCAATCCCCCATGATGATAAGGACATCATTTTTTGGTGTTAATTCTAGGTGTTGTAGGACATCATAGAACTGGTCATCTTCAGCACCAGTGGTTGGGGCATAGACTTGGATTACTGTGATGTAGAATGGTTTGCCTTGGATTCGAACTGAGATCATTCTGTCATTTTGGAGATTGTATCCCAGTACTGCTTTTCCTGATATACCTGGTCATCTGAATTAAATTCACCCATTCCTGTCCATTTTAGTTCACTGATTCCTAAGATGTCGATGTTCCTTCTTGTCATCTCGTTTGACCACATCCAGCTTGCCTTGATTCATGGATCTTACATTCCAGGTTCCTATGGAGTAGAGATCTTTACAGCATCGGACTCTCCTTTCACCACCAGATACATCTGCAACTGAGTGTCCTTTCGGCTTTCTGGCACTACCAGTACTAGCCCTCTGCTCTTCCCCAGTAGCATATTGGACACCTTCCGACCTGAGGGGCTCATCTTCCAGCGTCATATCTTTTTGCCTTTTGGTACTGTCCATGGGGTTTTCATGGCAGACATACTGGAGTGGGTTGCCATTTCCTTCTCCAGTGGATCATGTTTTGTCAGAGCTCTCTGCTATGACCTGTCCGTCTTGGGTGGCCCTGCACGGCATAGCTCATAGCTTCATTGAGCTACACAAGCTCCTTTGCCACAACAAGGCAGTGATCCATCAAGGAGAAACTTGCAATGGGTAATTGTCAACTATATAGAAACCTCTACATCATATTTCAAACCATTTTCCATAATAACTCTCCAACCATGTTTCATGACTGTTTCAGCAAATTGTTTGATACTGCATATGCTTATATGATTGGGAAAATTTTAATGAGATCTTCAATTACTGCCTGGACAGGAATATACCAGTCCCTAACAGGAAGTAATGGTGAGATTCACACTTCAGACCTACATGTCAGAATCTGGCCTGATTGACATGGAGGATATTGCTTCTGGATAAGAGGCTATTACATTTTTGTCTTCTGTCCACCATAGTCATTTCCAGTTGAATAACTTTTTGATTTCCACATTCTTGTTATGTCAAATCAGAGACTGTAAGATTGAAAGGTTGATAATACCAAACCTAATTTATATTTTGCATGACATTCCTGTTTATGACTGACAAGTATTTCCAGAAGCTTAATGTTTTGTTTTCTAAAATTTTATGGGGTTGCACTCCACCACAAATATCCTCAAAAAGAATCCACCTTTCACTGAAAGGGCATGTATTTGGCCTCCTTGATCTTTCCTTATACCATTGGTCCTATTTTGCTGATCTGCGCTAGATCTTCCACCCTCTGGAAACTTTGTGATGAAAAGCTCTTTATTATTTAAGGATACACATATTATCGTGAATTACCTACATAAAACCGACATAAATGGGTTCTCTGTACCTTTTTGACAGCTAAGACTATTACAAGATTAGAAGGCTAAATGGCCACCTGCCAAAACACAATAGATGAAGGATTTAATGAAACTTTTGATTTCTGAAAACATGGCCTTTAGGGCTTAAATTAGAAATGAATTTATCCAAACTGTCCAAAGAGCTGACTGGCTATAGACATGGTCTAGAAATGTTTAAAATAAAGTATTTGGCTGCCTTTATTAAAACATATGCATAATTTTTCATAACAGTAGTATGTGATTTACTAACACATATGAAGATGTAGATATGTGGATGCAATTAGTGTTGTTATTTTCAGTCTTAGCCAAACAATTTTAAAGTTCTGGTTTACTTGATTCTCTTTTTTCCCCTTTAATCACTTTGGTTGTTTTTTGGGGCAGGGGGGGAGAGAGCATTTCTCCCTAATATGAAAAGACCAAAGTCTAGCATGTCTGAGTATCAGCCAAATAGTCCTTCTACAGTAATACCTAGGTTCACAAACAGAAAGTATGGGAAAAATTTGCTTCCATTTGCAAACTCCACATCGGGTGATGAACACGATGTGGCCATCTTCCCTGCTCTGACACGTGGTCACAGCTTCCTCTAGTCGAGATTGCAGTTGCAGACTCTCCCTCCAAACAATAACCTCTTCCCCAACCACCTTCCTGTCCTCCACTCCAGAAGTTACCTCAAGCAAGGTTAGTGTTCTCTCTCCATACTGTACTTTGTTTCATATTTTTGTGGTTAAAAAAAATATGGTTCAGATCGGAGTAACTTATTTACATTGAAGCTTATGGGAAATTTGACTTGGTTCGTGACCAATTCAGTTTGCGACCAGAATCATGAAACGAATGAAGTTCATGAACTGAGGTACCACTGTATTTTTTTAGCAGAAGTCTTCCAGTTTCAATGTAAAAGGAATTACAGTGGTGCCTCATACTTAAAACTTAATTCATTTCAGGAGGCTGTTTGAACTCTGAATCCCCCATTTTAGTATGTAGGGGTTTTATATATATAACCAAAAAAATAAAGTGAGAAAAGTCACTGAAAACATTCAAGAAGGCACACACTGAAAAGGCACAAATGCAAGAGATGCCTTCCCAGCAAGAGATGCCTTGGACACACAACAGATGACATTTCTGCCGTGACCACATTTTTTTTGACTGTGCATACAGTTCAAACTTAGAAGCATTGTTTGAACTTTGGAACAATCTTATCTCGATTTTAGCATTTGAACTCTGAAGTATGAGGCACCACTGTACATTGCATTCAGTTTTGCACACTAAACTGTATGCTTACAGGTAAGAGAAGACCATAAGGTAGGAGGTCTCTGCAATAAGAATGTGCATGTTTACCTTGAAAACTCATGGAGTTTCTATCCAACTAAGAATGAACATTTATTGTAACCAAAGTTGTCTTTAAGAACTTGTCTTTTAAAAATTACTAGCAGCAAACATTACAAATATTAATTTCTACTTTTTATCCATTCAATATCTCCTATATACACAAACATGTTTCTAAAAATAGGGATGGCAGAAATTTTAGACACAAGTTTTATAACACTGAAAGTTAAAGACAATTAAGAGAACTCAAGAAAAGATATACACTGAACAGTATAGTTAGTACCTATTGCTAAGATTTGAAATCACAACTTCAAACGTGTAAGTCTGGTGCAGATGCACAATCCTGTGCTCTCTCTGTTGCCACCACAATCCTTAAAAGGTTATATCTGCTAACTAGATAAGCTTCTTTTCCTAATTAAAGGGGAATTAGGTTAGTGTTACCCATTGTTAAAGCAAGTGCAGATGTAATTAAGGGCACTGGAGGGTAGGCAGGAGGAGGAGGAGTTCCATAAGAGTATGTGCTATACCCATGATTTCTTAAACATGGTTAGAGATGGGAGCATGATGTCTGCATTGGGCTATATTCTGTATTGTTATTCTTTGCATTGTTCTTTTTGGTGGACAGAGTTTTTACGCAGTGCACTGTTCTCCCTGTAGATGTAGCCCATGCCTTCTTCCCCCAATTCTCCAAGCTGCTCAAGTGATGAAACACAAGGGCTCTGTTCTTTCAGTATATCTGGCAACTTGGACACCTTCTCATGTATGCGGCGGGAACGTCTCACAGGAGTCAGAAATTTCAGATCCTTAAGAGCAGAATCACTAGCTTCACTCTGCAGTTTTTTCTTTGTGCTTGGGGATTCAAAGAGAGAGCAACCATTTAAACAAATCATTTACATTTGCAGTGCAGCTTGTTAGAATGCAAATAAAGATTAGATTGGCACTGAATATTCTTCAACATTACAAAGGAAATACTTTATTAGGTAATCCGATCAATGCATGAGGCACCTCCTGATGACAGACCACTACCAACACCATCACATAAATCTGAAGCTTACCTTTCCAAGTAAGGAGTTGTTGACAAATTATACTTAATTAAATAGGAGCCCGCGTTATCATTTTCAGGAGTGTTAATCTCCAGGATGTGATCTTTCTTGGCATTGCCACAACCCTGCTCTTCTTTTTTAATGGTATGTTTCTGTTTATGGTCTTTATTTCCGTGTTTTTTTTGATCAGGAATGCTTTCTTGTTCTGATTTCAAACATGCTTCTGTTGCTTTTTGAGAAGCTTCATCATTGCTAGATCCCATGTTTTCACTGGGTAGGACTTCCTTGCAAGCATTTTCTTTCCTTACTTCATCAGAATTAACTTCTTTCTCATGGTTTAGAGTGATTTCCTTCTTCACACATTCTTCTGAAAAAAAAATATATTGTCATGATTCCAGGCAACTCAGAACTTTTTCCTGCGAGAAGTTAAATCCAAGAGTTAAGCTATGTTGTGTAGACCAGTACCATCACAATCAATTAACAGGTAGATTTTGTAAGGCACATTTACTGTGGTCCCCATTTTCTATTATATTCATGCTGATTTGCTGTGGTAGAAATATAGCATAAATGAATATAGTTCCAAACTACAGAGGTTTGTCTTCAAAATCGACACCTTGATCAAAACTTCTAACAAGCAGTCATATTTATCAAGGACAAAAACAGTTTTAACAGCATGACAGCCTTGTTATTTAACCCCAAAATGCTAGCAGCCTACAAAAGTTTTTACTGTTACTTAAAAGAAGAGCCCCTATTCTTTTTCTTGCCTACTCACCTCCCATGCATGCATCTGTATGGAATTGCAAGTGGTTAACAAGGCAACAGTAGGATGATAGGATGGGAAAAATCCGGAGAATGCTTACCATTGGATGTGGATAGATTTTTGAGAGCTCTCATAGCATCTGCTAATGCCCGACGTAATTCATCCTTAGGCTGAAATGAACACGATTTGGTTAGTACCCCATCAGGTCAATTGTAATTAACCAATGTGTTGTGGTGATTAGCATGTTAGACTAGGAAAACCCAGGGTACATCTGTGAAGCTTACTGAGTGCCCTTGGGCCAGTCACTATATCACAGGGTTGCTGCAATGAAAATGGTGGGGGAAAGAGAACCATGGCACCTTGTATTCCTTTGGCAAAAGATATAACATTATGACCTGGTTCACACAATTATTTCTGAGTGTGCACAAGCACACTGCTTCTCATCTGCTTCCCTAAACAACCTAAAGTGTTAGGGTTGGACATCACAACAGCCACCAAGGAATAGGGATGTTCCTGGGTTGTTTAAGAAATTAGAAATGATGAGCATTGTACCACAAATAAATAGGGTTAAACCATGATTGGCTGTTCTGGGTCCTGAAAAATGCTATGAGATAATCTATAAATAGATTATTGGATTGTAAAAGTTATACTTCTTATTTGCAGAATGTCTAAAGGTGATTTTAGAATTAGATATAATTGCTGATAAAAGTTAACACCTTAGAAGCTATGTAGCATTTGGGAGTTCTTACCTGAGCTCCTGCCAGTATTGCATTTTCAAAAATACCAAGAACCTTTTCAGTGGAGTGAAATTGTTCAAGACGCATCTGGCATATCCAGTACTTAGCAAACTTTTTTGCATCTGGTGCCATCACTATCAGCCTTTCCAAAGTAGACTGTATCGTATCACCTGGACAACCCTGAAGAGAGGTATAAAATGGCAAGGAGAAAGTATACTGGCAAACATATAAAAGTTATTATTTAAAATAATAATCAGAGGGATGGCCATGTTTCTGCTGCAAAAAGCATAAAAGTTTTTATTATATGAGCTTTCATAAACTCCTGCTAAACAAGAGTCAAATCAAGGGAAAGACCTAGCAGGCAAAACACTGCCTCTAAAACATATTGGTTATGACTGCATCTTGCCTCCAGTGGTTAAAAGCAAGGTTCTTCTATATCAAAGCTACCTGTGCTCCCCATAAAAGGTACAGGTTTCCACTTGATGTTAAGTCTAGTCATGCCTGACTCTAGGGGGCAGTGCTCATCTCCGTTTCCTAGCCGAGGGAGCCAGCATTTGTCCGCAGACAGTCTCCGTGGTCATGTGGCCGGCATGACTAAACACCGAAGTGCACGGAACGCTGTTACCTGCCCACCAAAGTGGTACCTTTTTATCTACATGCATTTGCATGCTTTCGAACTGCAAGGTTGGCAGGAGCTGGGACAGAGCTACGGGAACTCACCCTGTTGTGCAGATTCGAACCGGTGACCTTTCGATCTACCAGCCCAGCAGCACAGTGGTTTAAACCACTGCGCCACCTGCAGTCCCACCCCATACCTGCAGTCCCATAAAAGAAGTGCCTATAATAAGTAAAGATACAACTCTTCTATCTATTCTCTTCAGGATGACTTTGTCCAACCCTCCTGCTTTTAGCTGAAAGCCTACTATAAGCAATAGGACTTTATCATTAGGTGGCCTAATGATAAATATTTAAAATTTTATCCATTATGTGCCAAGATGCTTCAAAACTGAAATGGCCTTGCCTTGCTTCAGTTGGTCCTGCAGAACTGAATAAAAATAATGGAACTTGAATGTCTCCAGACAAAACAGAGTAAGTTCAGGGGAAGACAACAAAGATAATCAGGGGCTTGGAAACAAAGCCCTATGAAGAGAGATTGGAAGAGCTGGGCATGTTTACCCTTGAGAAGACAAAATTGAGAGGAGATAGGATAGCACTTTTCAAATACTTGAAAGACTGTCACCCAGAAGAGGGCCAGGATCTCAATCATTCCAGAGTGCAGGCCACAAAATAATAGGCTTAAATTACAGGAAGCCAGATTCTGGCTAGATATGAAAATAGTCCTGTTTGAACAGTGCAACAATGAAACCAATTACCTACTGAGGTTATGATCTCTCCACACTGGGGGCATTCAAGAGGCAGTTGGAGAGCCATCTGTTAGGGATGCTTTACCTTGTGGTCCTGCATTGAGTAGAGAGTTGGACCCAATGGCCTTATAGGCCCCTCCCAACTCTACTATTCTATGATTTTATATAGAGAGCCAGTATGGTGTAGCAGTCAAGAGCGCATGACTGTAACTCAGAAGTGTGGGTTCTAGCCCCCACTCAACCATGGAGCCAACTGGGTCAATTTGGGCCACTCTGAGTTATTTTAAAAAGCTTTATTAATTCTAATAAGTAAATGAGTGAGTTAGTAAATAAATAAAGTGTATTGAATAAAGACTGTGGCTTAAGAGATGCCTCACCTTTTCAATTAGGGACAGACATTCCTCAAGTGTTTTGTTGACTTTGTCGCTAACTAATCCTTGCTCATCTTCTTCTGCTATAGCAGCCCAGAAGGATTCAATTGGTTCTTTTACAGTTTGCTGAGGTGTCTCAGTTTCAGGCTGAGTATCAACATACATGGGAGCAGGCGGTTTCTTTATTCCCTTAGATCTCTGCCATTCAGATAGTTGAATTCTGCACATAAACAGGTTGGTATATTAATAAAATTATCAATGTGTTGCTCCTTAACTTAGAAAAAATATAAATCAGGTAACACAGAGCAGATACAGAGCTAAGCCAACTGCCTAAATACCTAAACCTCATTAGGAAAATGGGAACTTCCCATGGGTTAATGTGCCCTCCCTCCCCAGTCACTATTGTTGATATTACCTCTCCTCCAACATTGACATTGTCCATAATACAGAAACTCACTACAAAACAGCAGTTTCATGTGATGGTTTGCGCTAACTGTGGTTAGCAGAAACACAAGTGGGGGTACAACCAGTAGTATAACCAGGACTTCTGAACAGAAACTAAGGGGAAATAGTCCAACAGGATAACTCAGAAAGAAGCACACAACTTTTTAGGGTGCGCAATTATCTCCTAACCATGGTTAGGTGATTAGGTAACAATATGCCTGCATCAAGCCAGAGCAAAGGAAGAGAATTATGTATTATTATAGACAGAGGAATCCTCAAGGAACTGCACAGCAATGTTAGAATGGACAATTAGAAATTTCCACCAACAGTGGTAGACTGCTGAGTATTATGTTGCAATTGCCTCATCCATACACCGATTCAACTCTAGATGAGTTGGAGGAGGTTATTTAGTCCAAATCCCAGAAAGTACAGTGCAAGGTAAGGAACATAAGATGCACATATACTTTCTATCCTTCCTAGCTATAGCAAATCTGATCAACACAGGACAAATGAACATGTTTTTCAAGAGATTTTCCTTAGCATTCATCCATAGTACCATAGGCCTACAAAACTGTTCTCCCCCCACCCTGCTATCAAGCAGTTTTATTTACAAGGTTTCATCCTTCTTGCTGGCTGGCTCTGAAGTTTTTGCCTTGAAATTAAAGGCCTTGTTGCCTTGAAATTAAAAGACCCTACATGGTATGTATCAGTACCCTGGATCTAGAATGGTAAACAAAAGGGCCACTGCAAACATCACATGCAACCTGCTGCGCAGTGATTCTGCCTGCTTGCAAATAGCTTATTTGTATATTTGAGCCTAAGAACATGTGTGTGTGGCAAGCTAGTACAACAAAAACACATCAACTTACACAAGATGAGATTATTATTTCCATTACCTTCTCACTTCTGCAGGGTTTGCCAGAATACTTTTTCTGTTGTCAACAGATTTTGAAGCTGACATGGTACCTTGAGTTGCAGAAACTGGTCCTACTAAACTTCCTGTTATGGTCTTGGGTGCGAGAGGTTTCTTTGTTCTATACACAGAATTACTAGCATTGGGTAGGTCATTCTTTAGCGGTGGCTTCCAATTCCTCTCAGGGTTTTTCTGGGATGTCCCTTTATTTACTGATATCTTATTGATCGATTGTTTCTCATGGTTCACAATGGGCTTGGGGTGGCTAACAGAGACCTTTACAGGAGGCTTTGTTTGGAGCACTGTAGTATCTACACTCTTAGAAGTACTAACTGTGCCAGGGACTCTGGCATTCTTTATATCTGTACTACTCCTTGCAGCTGCAGTCCTCACAAGCAGCTTAGGAGAACCAGCCAAAGAGTATCTGGTACCATCATTTCCTGGTATTTTTCTGAAGGAGTTTACCTTAGATGAGACTACCCTACCACGATATGCACCAAGAACACGCCTCTCTGAAAGGCATTTGCCAGAGTTAGGGGGAGCTGTTTTCACCTGCTTCTCTTTTGTGTTTTTTTTGAGTAAGACATTCTGACTGATCAACACGCTTTTGTTTTTCGCTTCAGCAGGTTCAGGAACAACTGCTGCAGTACTGGCTAGAGGGCTACAGTTTACAATTATAGTGCTTTGCTTCACTATGTTAGGAGACTGTAAAACCTTTGGGGAAGCTAAGTTTTTTCCCAGAGGACTGTCCATATGATTCCATGCAGATCCATTAGCATTTTCTTTATCTTCCTGAAAAATTAAATTAACATTAGATGACTGACTTTTCGCTTTCCAACATAAAGGCAGTGCATAACCTCTGTACCAAAATACACAATACTGTAAACACTACTTAGATGTAGTGCACTTCTTTTACAATTGTCACAAAGGTAAACAACATTATCTTCATTTTTCTTTCATTATAAGACCTTTTAAAAAGAGTAGCTTTAACACAGAAGCAAGAGAGCCAAGTGTTTGGGCAAGGTCAGTCACAGGAACAGATCTACCCTGTGCCTCTTCCACATTTTCTTTTATATTCACTGCTTGTGGAAGAAGAAATCAAGAACCGGGAAAGACTGGGGACAGGAGAGGATAATACACCAGAGCTACTCTTTCATTCATTTACTTGGCAAAATTTTCAAAGTCATATTGTTTGGACTGTGACCTGGAAGTCTTTGTTCCCATTTCCCTCCATATAGGTGAATTTTAAGTCACAGATTTTTAGAAACAAAGATTCTTTACTCCTAACTGCAAAATAATTATAATCTATCTTGAGCTCAAATTTTAAGTTAATACCAAATAATATACAGTGTACAACTTACCATTTTTGCCTTGCCAATAAAATTACGTTTTGCAGCAACACTTGACTAGCTGTTAAGGAAATAAGAACAAAGAATTCAGATGGGGCTTGATCTGATTTCGTCTTACATTTATAAGTTGTTGTTTGGCAAAAGCAATCCCAAAGCATTTTTCAATAAAAACAGTATCATCAAAATTCAGAAGAGAAGGACAAAAAATAGCCACCAGCAGCTGCTCAATAAATCAGCACATAGACATGAAGTTATTAAATAGAGATCTGACTAAATGGGGCTAACTTCACCAATTGGTGAAAAAGAGGGAAGAGGAAAGTGAGTTCCGAACTGTGGACACCAGAAGTAGAAAAGCTGTGTCCTGAACGCCAAACCACCGTACCTCAGATGGAAGAGGACATACTCCAGAGTCTTCCTGGCTGATCTGAAAGTGTGGAGCAGGTAGTCCCTTAGCCTAGTTTCAAACCATTTAGGGCTACAGATATAGTAAACAGTACAGTGGTACCTTGGCTCATGAACTTAATCTGTTCCAAGACTCTGGTAGTGACTCGAATTGGTCGTGACCCAAGTCAAATTTCCCCATAAGGTTCAATGTAAATAAGGTTAATCCGTTCTGTAACCATTCTTTTTATTACAAAAATTTGAAACAAAGTGACAAAGAACAACAAAGTAACAAAGTACAGTAGAGAACACTGTACACTAAAACACTAGGTGGTGGTGGGAGGTTATTGTTTGGAGGGAGAGTCCAAACGATAATTGTGCAATAGCGATCATGCTCGGGGGTGGGGGATGGCCACGATTGTGCTCATGTAGGGAAGACAGGCGCGATTTTGGTCGTGCTTGTGGGGAGATGGCCACAATCACGGTAGCCCTCATTCAGGGAAGATGGGTGCAATTGCAGGCGTGCTCATGCAGGGAAGTGAGGCATGACCGCAACTGTCACCCAATGCAGTTTGCGACTTGAGGCAACATTTTGCCAAAATTTCTGTTCGCGACCCGATTTGGTCAAGAACTGAGGCGATTGAGAGCTGAGGTACCACTGTATCTCAGTGTTGTCCTCGCTTAAAAGCTAAGAGCCAGCTCATTCCAGAGGTTAGCAGCTTTATAAGATGAGCATCCTAAATCTCCTCCATGTTCCTTTCTTTTTAAGCTACTTGACTTATATGTACAGGCAACAATGCCTGGATTCCCCAGTTAATACTGAACTGTTGATAATGTCCACATTTTTTTAACATAAGAAACAGAACTTAACTTTGCTTACTGAATTATTAAGAAACAGCAAGCAATCCTCCACTTCTTTTAAACAGAGATTAACTGTTGTTTAACAAGTAAGACATTGGGGAAAATGACAGCCAAACTAGGGAACAATATTCTGGGGGGGGGGAATGTATGTTTGCTACCAAGATGTGCAACATGAGTAAAGAAAGCAAAGTTAGTGAATATGCAGAGCACAAAGCAGACAATGACAGAATAACTGTTCTGAGAAACTGAGATCAGGCACCCCACAACTGGGCAATGTATAGCACATAAAAATATTCAAATAACCTTCCCATGGCAGACTGGGAGAGGATTGGATTGGACAATACTCCCACATTACAAGCATATTCTGCCAATAGCATAGGAAGCATGCACACTTGCCCTCTTTATCCTGCAAACTATATCTAGATGGATAGACTAGCTGCATATGAACCACAAGCATAAAAGTCTGTGTGCATAGGCCCCAGATCAGGCCTATTATGAGATTTTCCCTTGTGAAATCAGGTGCACAGTTTTGGCCTCTGTGTGCATGTTGTATGGAGAACATACAGGAACAGCCAACCAGGTGAGCTCTTGTGGGCCTCTACATGATGGGTTGAGCAAAATCCAGGTGGGTGTAGAGGTATCATCCTATCTGGGAAGAAGCTAAAATTTATTCATAGGGCAATACTACTTTTGAATCTAGTAACACATACTCATAACTGTTCCAATGAATTTCTCCAAGAGCATTTTTTCTTATCATAGTATAAGTAACAGGGAATGCTGCAATTTGTTTGCATTTCCCTTCTATCTATCTTGCAGAGGTACAGGAACCCTTATAAACCTGGACTTGAAAACCCCACGTTGCTTGGACTTCCAGTGCTTCCTTGCCTGTTAAGAGTGGAGCAACCACCCATTTTCCTGGCTTTAGTCATGTGCCTCAAATAACAACCTTGCACAAATTAATCAGTGAAACCTTATCAAGACAAAGATAGACAGACTTCGGGGCAGAGTCTACTCCCCAAGAACAGGCAATCCTTCTTGCCTGTTCACAATTTTCATCTTGTGATAATTTCTCCAAGCTCAGGTGGTCTCTGGAGAAAATGGGGAGCATGGAAAAGGACTTCCCACACACATTTCATAAGATGGGAACACAAGTTTAGCACACCTGTAAACTAAGCCAGCCTTCCTAGTGTTTTGAATTTCAAACCCCATCATGCCCAACCAAATTAACCAATGGTCCAGAATGCTAGGAATTATAGTCTAAACATCTAAAACAAAATAAAAGCCATTTTAGTCCTCTTTCCCATTACCAGTGACTTGAAAGAAATCTTCCCTAGTCCAATTGCTGAGAAGCCTTTATGGGTACAGAAGCCTATACGGCTTGCATTTTTGCAGATATCCAGGCTAAAGAGTGGGCATTGGGGATCCAGGTTAGTAGAGGGATCTCCCATCTCCTCTTGGACATTATACACGTGAAGCATTTCTGAAAAGAGGCCTCCTGTTCCTTTAGAAATCCATTTTTGTTTACATTTGGTTTATTTATTATACCTATATCCCACCTTTCTCCTTTCAAGGAACTCAAGGCAACTGACATAATTCTCCTCATCTCATTCTTTACAACAGCCATTCAGTTAGCTGCATGCCTGAATGGGAACAGAACCCAAATCACCCAAGTCTGTCCCACACACTTAACCACACTGGCTCTTCAGCTGGACAAAAGCAAGAGCTGTCCACAAAAACAGCAGTGCAACCTAAAATGTTAACATAGCTGTGATTGGGCAGGAACATGCCCAGACACTACCCCCAAGGTAGCAGCAAAGAGAACTTTAGATTGCATAATATTATGGATTCCTGTTAATTTTACCTACCTCTCAACCAAATTGGGATTACTGCACTGACCATTTATTCACATGTTTCCACTAGGTTTGGTGCATCATAGTTCAATAAGAGTATTGGCAAGCTAATAAGTATTCAGAAGTGAATCAGAAGGAGCACAATTCCCTTTTTGGTCACTGCCCCTTCACATGATAAAAACCAGAGATCTTAAAGTTGTTGTGTGTTCACTTTTAAGCCAGAGCTTTTCCTAGAAGCAAAAATGACAAAGCTGAAGGTTTCATATTTTGGACACATCATGAGAATGCAAAACTCACTGAAGAAGCCAAACATGCTAGGAAAAGTCGAATACAGAAGAAAAGGAAGATCAAATGTGAGAGGACTGACTCCATAAAAGAAGCCAGAGTCTTGACTTTACAGGAGTTTATCAGGCTGTTGTGGATAGGGCATTTTCACAAAATAGTGGAATTGGAAGGGGACAGAATCATAGAACAGTAGAGTTGGAAGGAACCAGAAGGCCATCGAGTCCAACCCGCTGCTTGGTGTAAGACACCAGGTTAAACCAGACCTCTTTAGAGGTCTTTCATCGTAGGGTCTCCATAAGTTGGAGACGACTTGACGGCGCATAACGAAAAAAATACAAAACAAACTTTCTTTTATTGTAAGAAAGCACGGGCGAATCCTCGCCAACTCTGCAAACTAAGCGTGCATAAAACATAACCTCCCAATCCCGCCTCACTCTGCCCCTCCGGCTCCACACTCACCTGCCTAAACTGCACCCGAAATTGCCGAGCCGGGGGTCGCCGTTTCGCCTGAAGCCGCCGCAACTGCCACCAACACCCAGAGCAGCTCACCCCGTTTGAATTGAATCACGCGCGAGGGGAGCACGCAACCTAAGCGCCCCCGCTGATTGGTCCGTGCACAGACTTGAAATCAACCAATTAGAAGGAGCCGGGCTACTCAGCCGAGGTGGGGAAAATTAGGAAAATTGCGCACGTTGCTGCTTGCGAGCATAGCTCGGTCGTCGCGGAGTTAGGGCAGGATGTGGGTTGTGCTCTCTTTGCGTAGAAATGTTCTAGAGCCTTTCTAGGAGTGATCGCATTGAACTCAACTGAATAGATTTGCATAGGAGTGCACTGCATTTTTAATCGTATTTCCCGGTAAAGGATTTCTGCTCTATGAGAGGAAGAAAATAAACGCTATTTTCTTTTAGGGTTGTCACAGATTGTCACTTCTTACAGGAGCCCATGTTATTATCTCACCTTTTTACTTTCAAGGAACGCAAAGCAACTTCATAATTATTCTCCTCCTGCTCTCAATATTATCCCCACAACCTCAACCCTGTGAGTTGGGATAGGATCGGGCTGAGATTCTGTGACCGGCCCAAAGTCCCCAGCTGGCTCCATAGCTGAATGGGGACTAGAAGCCAGATCTCCTCAGTCCCAGCCCTGCATTCTTAATACCATGCTGGCTTTCTGATAAGCTTTTACTGAACTCTTTCCTTGGAAACTTCAAAAAGTCTGGATCTGCAAATTGGGGAGATTCTTAGACTTGCAGTCAAACCATCTTACTGGGTTGTTGTGAGGATATGATTGAGAGGAGAATTATGTAACGTGCCATGAGTTCCTTGAAAAGAGGTGGGATATAAATCTAATACAAAAATAAGTAATACATCAGCCTGTCTGCTGGGAAGTGCTAAGGCTGCAATTCTAAGGCCAATCCCATTGAGATCAATGGGACCTTTTTCTGGCTAATGTATAAGGTTGTACTATATATCCTATTGAGTTAAAATGAAAATGAAGTTGAAATTCTAGACCTGAGAGTAAGTTCCATAGAAAGCAGTTATGTAGGTCTGCTTGATTTTTTAGGCTTGCTTCTAAATAAACAGGCCCCAGTAAATTGGCTTTGAAGATCAGCTGGGATCTGGTTAGTTTGGCACTTGGCAGTTTTAAAATGTATAGTAGATGGGTATTATGCTCCAGGGGGATTTCAGCTTTTGCTATATTTTAATTCAGTGAGTTTTACAGTGCAATCCTACACATTATCCAGAAGTAAGTCCCATTTTAATTGTTTCCTTGCAACTGCAGATAGGCTTCTTTTACTGAAGCGTTTCCCTGAAAAGTCTGGACTGGCAGCCTCCCTATGCAAATATCCATCCCCTGGGCAAACATCCTCAGAATTAAACAGTCCAAATATTAAACACTTATGGACATGAACGATGGTGATTGTGTCTATTTGGTAGTGGCCAGATGAGGGTGCAAGATGACATTCCACAGTAACAAGCGAAGATGCTAGGACCCAGTTGCCTGCCTGTATTAGCAAGATCACCTACCTTTGGAGAAGGAAGAGAAGCAGGCAGCTATACTCCAGTTGCTCCCCGTGTTGTGCTTTCTCAGACATATTGGAGACTGTTTGGGGGATGCCTTGCAAATGTGAAACAGGGTTCCTTTACTTTTGATGATTGTATAAATAAGGGTTCTTCCCTAGTTAAACTTGTCACATAGGAATGGGAGGAAGAAAGGAGAACCTGTTGAACTACCTCCCTTAGATGGTTTGGACTGTAACATCCATAATCCCTAACTGATATAAGACTGTGGAGTATTGTTGTCCAATGCATCTGGAGAGTCTGTTTTGTACGGCTGGGCAATGTATCGCCTTCCAGATTATTAGCCCAGCATCTCTCACTTTTGATTATGCTGACTAGGGCAGTTGTAGGCTGAAACATCTGGAGGGCCATATTGCCCACCCCTGCTGTAAGGTAAACATACTTACTTGGAAATAAACCCCATGGACGCTTGACTAGGATTAGGTTCTAATAACTTTGGAACTTTATGCATGTTTAGACATTTAAAAATTCTACAACTCCCAGTATCCCCCAGCCATATTTATATTTTAAAATGTTCAGATAGGATAAGGGTACACTCCTATACACAATTACTCAGAAATAATTCCAGGGACGTTGAATCTTACTTCAGTACAGAGGAGCTTTCAGTGACATGTGCTGAGCCATTTAAACAGCACACTTGTTATATAGTCTACACAATATTTAAAGAATATTGTACTGCAAGTCATGGGGGTTCAATTATGAGGCTTAGGATGCAATGCTGTGCATGTTTAGAGAGGAAAAGGGGTATAATATACTTCCAGCATGCCCCAACATAACTGGCTGGAGTGGGCAGGAAATAGGCCTTCTTCTATCTAAATACATTTAGGATTGTATCTTTTATTAAAAAATCTGATGCAAGAACACATCTCAAAGATCCTAGATAACCACTGGGTTACTTAAGAATTTTCTGATACAGCAAATTCCAACCCAGTTATTGCTCAATTCTTTCCAGGATGGGAAGGGGATTTTTCTCCCAAGATAAATAATACAGCACACAGTTCCTATTTATTCTACTCCCCTCTCCACCAGAATGTGTGTTGTAAATTTCTGGTTAAGTTGCAGGGTACACACATGTACCCTTCCTTGTGGCACTGTGTAGTGGCTTAAGCATGTCACCCCATCCTGTGCATGTTTACTCAGAAGTAAGTCTCATGGATGAAGGTTAAATTATGGATCAGAGAATTCCCAGTTCATAGTACAGTAGAGTTGGAAGGAGTCAAGAGGGTCATCTGGTCCAACCTCCTGCTGTTGCAGGATGCCAGTTTACACCATCCCACTCAGATGGTTCAGGTTCTTTCTGAATGTCCCTAGTGTGGGAGAGCCCATGACCTCTGACAGTGAGGAAACTTTTCCTGACTTCCCAGTTAAACCTCCACAGGGGACAGAATCATATTCATATTTAGGCAGAAATTATACTCACAGTTCCCAGTGTAGTTGTGGGAGAATACTAGTTGTAGGCAGCTTTTCTCTAAATATGCACAGGATTGCTCCTTAAGTGGTTTCAGAGGAACCACTTCCTCTCAGCCCCATTCCCCTACTTCTGCAACTGGAAGAGAATAACAATGACCTTCCTTATAGGATTGTTACAAGGATCACACGGCAACCAAACAATATAAATGAAACATTTGTGAGTGATCAAAACATTCGAGAAAAAATCTGCAGCCATTGAAATATATTCGACTTTCCTTCCCAGTAGTTTTCCCTTTGTGCCTGTTACACTGTAAGCCTGAGGATAGCCTATATTTATTTACCTATTTGCAGTACGCGCTCTGGGAGCCTTTCTGCACTACAACAGGGGTAAACGCGTTTCAAACAAACGCACGAAGCTTGCTTTTTATTCATCCGACCGGAATGACAGAGCCTGACGTCAACCCCACTACTAGCCGAGGATTTTTTTTAATCCTCTCCAACGCGGGGAGGCGTCGGAGGCGGGTCCTGCCAGCCCGGCTGCCGGGTGGAAGGGACGCGCGCGTAGCGGGCGCCATGGATCGTTTCGCCTGGACCAGCGGCCTCCTGGAGATCCACGAGAGCCTCGTCACGCAGCAGCGCGGCGTCCGCCTCTACGATGGCGAGGAGAAGGTCAGCGCGGCCGGCGGGCGGTCCGGCGCGTTGGAGGGAAGCGCCCTGCCCTGGCGGGCGGGAGGCTGCTCCCGGGCCCGGCGCTTTCCGGGCCCGGCGCGGGGTGGGGCCTCGATGGCTGCGCGCGGCCCGCGGGCGCGCGGCTCCTGCGCTTTCCTTCGTCGGAGGTCCGCGGAGCTTTCCGCTTAATGAGAGCGCGCTTCCAGCTCGGCCCAAGCAGATCGTCCACAGCTAAGGGATGCGAGGAAGCTTGAGCCCTTGCGTGTCGTTGCTGTGTTTTTCTTCCGGTTTGCATGTTTACACGATGTTTTGCCTACTTTGTTCCGGTTATCCAGGGTGGGCGATTGTATCCTTGATGGATTTCTGCCTTGGACATTGCTAAAATCTGCCATACGCACTAGGTTTCTTACTACATCCTTTTAAAATCGACAGGTGGAGGCGAGTCGCTCTTTACACAGGCAACTCAGGGTTGCAATCCTGTGCATGTCCAGGAAGAAAAAAAAAAAAAAGTCCTACAACTCCCAGCACTCCTCAGTCAGCCATGTAGGAATTGTTTTTGTCAAAGCACGAGATTTCATAGTTTTCTAAGGCATGATAGGTTGACTTTCTTCCCTAACCCCCACACTCATTTTCTTCTTGCAGGGAGTATTTTGCAGTTGGCCAATCCCCCACCTGCAGTCTAAAATGATCACCCAGCAGCAAATCCAGTGGGTGGGACTTCTGCTGATTCTTTTAGCTGTCACAGGTACTGAACTGAGACTAGAGATGGGCAAAAAAGATTATCCATATTATTGCACTTCTCAGAACCAATTTGTGATGGGAACTCCATATATGTCTAAGCTTGTAGTGTATTCCATGAAAAAAATGCATGCAACAGCATGCACATATATGAAAAATACACAAAGACAACTACATACTATTGGGGTTAGAGCTAGAGTTTATAGGGTATTACAGAGTTACCTATAACAAATGGTTGCACACAATCCAACTACAAGCTGGTTCATTTAAGCCAGCATTTGCCTAATCTGCCCAGGCACAGCATGCCAGATAACATTCTTTAAGCTTGTTCTGTTGTCCAAACCCAGGTAGCAAAGTTTTGTTAGAGATGAAAACTGCCCTCAGATAAACCAACAAGCCACTGTGGCTTGTTTAAGTTGCAATAATTATATGAACTCAACATACAGAGAGGATCTAGGTGGTTGTTGAATAATGATTGTTGGCAAATGGTGTGTTGTTGCTATGTGCAACCTCCACAGTGTGGTTTTATTCTAGGTTGTTAACCATAAACAATCCAATAATAGAGCCCATGGTTTGTTGTTGAGTTGTGAATTCTGGTCCCATAGTTCAATCATAGTACACAGCTTGCACATAATAGCAATTCCTCCTGTAGCCTAGATAGTCATTAAATGCAAACCAAATCCATGAGTGAGTCTAAGTCTTGTTGCTTTATATAATTCCTCTGTGTTGTGTTTGTTTCCACACAAATCAGTCTGAAAGCTGACCTATGATGTAAACCACTGTCTTAGAAGTGGACCAATTTTCTCTCATTCTACAGTTTTTTGTTTTGTGAACTCTGCTTCCTGTTCATAAAATATTTGCCTATGCATAAGTAAAAAGTACAGAAATCTTGTCAAAAATCTTAATTATAAGACTGTTGTAGTAGCTATGTAAATGGAATACCTGAAAATAATTCCTCCCCCCTCCTTCTTACTAGGTGAAGTTTGATACGGGGGTATTGCTCCTGAGTACTCACAGATTGATCTGGAGAGATCAGAAAAATCATGTAAGTACTGCTACTGTGTTTACAGTTTCCATGTAATATGTGATAGAACACTTATGTCAGTTTACCCTCAATCATTGCATGTGAGCCCCATATTCCACCTTAAGACATTTTTTTAGTTTGTTAAATAAAAACTGCAGCACATTTAAAGGGATGTTAATGTGACAAGTAGAGATTCCTTAGAAATATGTTGCCTTTAAGGAGTCATCCCTTGCCTCTCAGCAAGAGTGACTATTAGTGGCCATACAACTGCAGACACAAAGGGAGGGCGATCTTACCACAACAACTGGGACCAAAGGAGCAAGCACCTCTGGGAGGTTGAGTAGCTCTTCTTTCCCAGTAAGTGAACGATCAGCCTCACCACAGTCATCATGCAAACAGAGGACTAACCATTGCAGAAAATTTGCATTCTATTTCCTCCAAAAGAGAGGTCTGTTTTAGTTGTTTTCTGTCTACAGAAGCAGTAGGGAAAATAATCTAGTCTAGCATTTCTAGAGGAGCAAAGGCTTCTGGGAGATTGCACCTCCTTCCTCCTAGCAATGTTGCATATATCACCTGCTCTCAGAGCACCTACTGCTACAAAATAATAGTTCAGGTGTTCTATACAGAGTGCTATATTGTTTTATAGTTGTGGATCATCTCAGAAGTCTCAATATTAACAATATTTCAGCCCAAAACAAGCTGTTTGGGAACACCTGAGCATTAGTAATGTCCAGACATGGGTAAAACTACACTCACTTTTCAGGAAATAACATGCAGCTTTTATTCTTTTCAAATGTGGACAATTCAATTCTGTGTATATGTATAAAAGCCCTCAGAACTTAACTGGACTTAGAGTGCCTTCAGATTAAGCTTTCACTGTGAATTTGCCTGCATTATTCATAGAAATTTTCATGGGGTCCAGGCTGCATCATCTTCAGTGTGCAGCTCTTCTGTATTTTCTCAGTGCTTCTTCAGTTTTGTTTCTTACCAGGAAAAAAATCCGCTGGGGGGAAAAGACTCAGTAGTTGCACAATGTCTTTTAATTGGCAGCTCTAAGATGTCTTTATCTGGAAGCAGTCTTACTTCCAAGTTAGCATGCATAGAATTACAGTCTTAATTTGAATACAAAAAGACATGAGTGACAAGCCCTCGATTAAAGCACTGATCTGATTATTGTTATTGCTAACAGTATGATTTCACAGGAATGCATCCCAAAAAGATCTTTGTATTTGGTATCCAGGAGCATTTAGGCTGAAACAGTGGCGTGCAACAAAAGTCCTAACTTTCTTAACCTTAAAAAGAGTTTGTTCCTTACTGCCCGGAAGAGACTTTGGGTGGGCTTGTATGATATGACAAGCCACAGCACTCTTGTTGTTTAACTGTTGTTGTTCTGTTGCATCATCTGAACCCCATCAGGTATGTTCAGCTTTTCGAAACCACAAACGAAAACAGTGGTGCCGCAATGACTTGTTGTTTCAACTGAACCTGGGAAACACAACTCACTGTGGTACCACAGCTAGAACCAGAAAGCTGCCTGGCAAGTGTAGCCTGTTGCTGATCTTGCCAAGCAGCTAGCCAGAGAGAGCCCCCGATGGCTGCAGTCTTGCAAAACTCTGAGAGGTGTCCCTGCACCGCCGGTCTCCTGACCTAAAGACTCCTTGGGGAAGCAGGTGGCAATCAGCTGGTTTGTGCCGGGGAAGGAGCAGCTGATTCCCAGCTACCCCTTTCAGGTGTGCCAGAGGTGCAAGAATCAACTGCGTAGCACTGCCTAGTTGGGGGTGCCCCACTCAGCTGACCCCCCTCACCGCCCTTGCACGCACTCCTCTGAGGGAAGCCCCTCTCTGACACAGGTGGTGGGGGTGGCCAATCAGCTTGGGGGCAGTGCCTGGTTGGGTGCTGCACCACTCACCTGGTTCCCCCCTCAACCTCCATATTTGGGGGTACCTCTCCAGCAAGCTGGAGTGAGAAAGCAGGGTGAATGCTGCCTCCCTGTTTTCTTTAGTTAGAAAGGTGCTTGGATGGGCACTGGGTTGGGGGTGCCCCTCTCGCAAGAGAGAGTGAGAAAAGGGAGTGAGAAAAGCAAAAGCCTGTTGCTGCTTATACCTGCTGCCATCCTCGTCTCTCATTTGGCCATGTTTCCCAGGTACCTTCACCCATCCTCCTTGACCTCACCTTGCTCTTTGAATCTGACTGCCTTTCTGGTAGTTGACCTTGGACTGTGTGTTATTGGATTGTACGCGTGTCTGAACCTGCTGCAGGACTCCACCTTGCACCTGTGCCCTGGTCCTGGAATTCCAACCTTAGCTACTTGTGGCCCATTCCCCAGATCTTACAGAGATGAAGGTGCCTGATCAGCTCTTTGTATTTTCTGCTACACTTCAGGGCATGAGCACTGTTTGCATGACAGTTTGAAAGCCATGGAGAGCCAAACTGCTCACAACCTTGACTGTCAAAGAGAGGAGTCTTGTTCCTCCCCATGCGGCCTCCTGGGATACTGCCTGGAGGACTGAGAGGGAAGGAAATGGCAGGAGGAGAGTCACCTGATTGTCTGTCAGTCACATCAAGGGAAAAAGGAAATTCTGGGAACCATGCAAGGTTCCTTTTGTGACATGTGAACCCAGCTTTGTGTCCAGACTTAACCCAATGAAGGGAATTTGGTTTGCTTGTGAAATATAAGCAAGTCTAAAATAGGATTTTCACAGTGCAAGCAAGAGGGATCATTTAAAGTTGTAGTATTCAAATATTTATATGGTAACTTGTGTTTTTTTTTTTTAAAAAAAAGTGATTATTTTGCTCTGCAATTAAATGTCTAAGACCAAAGTGAAAACTTTCTTTGGATGATCCCTTGGAAGAACCAAACGATCTCCTTCCCAGCTTTAAAAAAGTATTCCAGCTACAGGAGAAAGAAATGGTTAAAACAGATGGAAACTAAGAACATAATATGCATTCTTTATTTTTTAAAAAGTAATGGGGATCACCAAATGTTTGCTGATGTAAGCCCCAAATGCTCACCACTGTGTTGCAGTATTTGATAGTGGGAAAGGTCAAGGCCAAACCTAGCAATCAGTGATGGTGAGGCAGTTGGAATGCTAATTCTCCCGTCCTGGTTAGGTGCTGGATAGAATGGCAAGCCTTTCATAGTGTATTAAGTGGGGCCTGGCTCTGCATGTTTTTCTTCATCTGCAGATCCCACAGGCATGAAGCTAACCATTATAACAGTGGAGCTGTGCATAGCAGAGTTTTGTAGAACTAATTTTAGAGGGTCCTACAGAAAAACAGAAATTAATCAATTGAGGTTATTTTTTCCAAATCCTTTCCATTATCTCTGGCATTCAAAGCTTGTTTTTTGTATGGTACCACCATGCAAAAGTATTTTCAGTGCTCCATCTTCAGTGAAAACATAACTGAACTGGATCAACATCAGTGGTTTATCCAGGCACCTTATCTGATTAGGCACCTTATCTCAGGAATACAGCAAATGGCTGTGTTTTCCAAAGTGTCAAAAGCTGAATAAATCTTCCACTTTGGCAAATAGTCATTGCTGAAGCAGTCTGTTATAACCAACAGTGGGAAATAAATATCGAAACAGTCTTTGATCTTGGGTTATGGGTGGAACAATCCTGTGGCCTCCAGAAAGTGCCCGAGGGTGCATAGGATACTTTGGAGCCACAGATCCATGGTTGGAGACACTGCTTTGACCTCAGGGAGAGGAATCTGTGCTTGGATCCTGGTCTCCTTCACAGCAGGTGCAGAACTAATCGCATCAGCTGCCTCTCCAAGTCAAGAATGCTGCCTTGAAGAGGGAGAAAAAGGGAAATCTTAGTGAGAGCGGGGAGGGGAGGGGTGGTGCCAGGATCAGAGCAGCCTTGTGCTTTTCCAGGTTCCCCCCAAAAATGCAGGGTGGAAGATAAATGGACATATGAAATTATGAGTTCATAAGATTGTGCCCTCCATCACTGTTGGTAGTAATTATATTTCTATGTTTCCAGAGTTGCTTAGACAAAAAATCGCAGTGGTTCCTTTTTTATTTGTTGATGGTTTTGCTGTGTGCATACCTTTGTATAAAATTAACACAGAAGCACTTCCTGGTAGAAATTGTTGCAAAAACAGCACTGACATTCTGTAGTCCATTAAAATAAGTGCAATATTCAGTCAAAACTCTCTGTCTTTGTCTGTTCTTGTAGGAATGCTGCATGGCCATCCCTCTTTCCCAAATTATCTTCATTGAAGAACAAGCAGCTGGGATAGGGAAAAGGTAATATGTCTACAGTAAAATCTGTGTTGTTGGGCACTGTAGCTTCCCTAGTTTATTTCAGATATCTTGCAAGCATCTGTTCCATATCAAATTCTCTGTCTTGGAACCTCAGTCAAGGTTGAAAGTAGAATCATTCAAGAAATGAATGTCGCTTACTAAATAATAAAACTATCTGCAATATTTGTACAGCTGCCTGCCATACTTGCTGTGTCTTACTGTGGCCTTTGTTTGTGCTGGCTACTCAGCTTCCACAGATCTTACCATGTTTGGTGTCCATCAAGTGTGCAGCTTTCCTCTTGGGGTTTTATTCACTGGTGGCTGGTCAATGCAAACCAAAAAATACACAAAATTGGAGTTTAGAAAATGGTTTGCCTTTTTACAGGTTCCATCAGTGACTTACCCAGAAACTCCTAGACAACAGTTTGGAGTGTGCATGTAATTTTCCATGTCAGACCATGTGTGTGCTTTCTCCAAGCTGGTTCTCTCTAGATGTTTTGGCTTCCTATTGTTCACAATCATTAGCCATGGAGCTGATGGGAGCTGAAGCTGAAAACAACTACAGAGCACCACATTGATGAAGACTGATGTGGAGTCAGGTGTTCTGTTTATAGCAACTGTGTCTTTTTTTTATTGTTCTTACAGCAAACCAGGTACTGTTAAAAGTTACCCATTTTCCATAAAGACCTTAAGAAGAGCGTACCTACTGGATCAAAGCAAAACTTTATCTAGTCCAGCATCCTGACTCCCTGTTGGTCCACCAGATGCATATGAGAAGTTCCAAGGCAGGACATTAGAGCAGTAGCCCACTCCTCCTATTGCTTCCCAGCATCTGATAGTCAGAGGATGGCTGCCTCTTTTCCTGGATATATCATATAGTCACCATGTAAATCAATCAACTAATTCTTTTTCCAAGTTGTCTGACTTGGTGGCTCTCACTACATCTTGTGCAACAAATGCCATAGCTTAACTGCACCATGTGAAAAAGCAACTTTCTTTGGTCTGTCTGGAATCTCTAACCAAATAGACTGAGATGAAATAGTCTCCTTGAGAGATAGTTAATGTTTATTTTATTTATTAAAGCTCTTGTGTACTGTCTACATGAGCCAAATGGCTCTCTGAACAGTTTACAATGAAAGCTAAAAGAAAAAAACCAAAATGATAAACAATACAACATAATATATATAAATATGATATGGATCATAATGCAGCAGTCCCATATCTAATTGAATACAGACAGACAGACAGATGAACAATCCACAGCAACCCAATGACAGTATAAATAAAGTATGGCATAAAATAGCATAATTTTTACAACAAAAATAGTTTTTTTGTAGTGGGGGGAATAAAATGCTTTTAGTCTGGTGGCACAAGGCATAAAGAGTCAACACTAGGCATACTTGTCTGGGGAACTGATTCCACAATTGGGGCACCACAACCAAAAAGGCCCTTCCCCTTGTGGCCCTCTTTCTTACATCTTTAAGAAGTGACTCCCGAAAAAGGACCTCAGTGGATGATCTTTTTTTTTTTAGAAAGTTTTATTAAAGTTTTAAACTAATACTAAAAACATCAATTCTCACATACATCGGATTTACTGAGTCAACCCCTTACTACATATTTTTTTAACCTTCTATAATTATATTCAAATCAGTTTATAATAACTTGAGAACATCTCTAAATTTACGCCAGGTCCCGTTTCTCCAGCCAATTATAGAAAAAATCCCAAGTTTGATAGAAGTCAGTGTCTTCTTTCTCCTTCAGTGATAAAGTCAATCTATCCATTTCTGCACAGTCCAGAATCTTTCTTAAAATCAGTTCATCAGTGGGTAGTTCCTCACTTTTCCAGTACTGAGCAAATGCAATCCTTGCTGCTGTGATTAAGTGTAACATCAAATACATTTCCTGTCTGTTAATATCTTCCGGTATGATGCCTAACAAGAAAACTTCAGGTTTAAAAGCTAAGGGTTTTTGTAGTATTTCCTCCAGCCATTTATGTATTTTAATCCAATACTTTTTCACATTATCACAGGTCCACCACATACGATAAAAAGTACCCACTTTATGTTTACATTTCCAACATCTATTTGACATATTTGGAAACATCTTGGCTAATCGGTGACAAATACCATCTATGGAACATTTTATATAAATTTTCTTTATACGAAGTTGCTAATGTTACCTTAATATTTCTCTCCCATAGTTTTTGCCACTTTTCTAGTTCAACATTATATGTGCCCATTTTGTGCCCATATTATCATAGTTTCCTTAACCTGTTCCCCTTCCATTTTCCTGTCAAGTAAAAAATCATATAATCTTTTAATCATTTTCTCATCTGTTTTAAGCATCACTTGATCTAATGCTGTTAAATCTTTGTAAAACCCCCATGCTTTACAATCTTCAGCATATCTCGATTGCATCTGCACCTTATACCACCAGGAGATATTAAGTCCCTGTTCTTGTATTTCTTGATCTAGTTTCAGGCCACCATCCTTATCCAAGATATCTTCATATCTTATGATCCCATCAAAGTTCAATGCAAAGTTCAAAGCTTCCATAGGTGAAAGCCATCTTGGTAGTTTATTATACACTTTTGACTTTGATTTTTCCCACACCCTCAGTGGATGATCTTAAGATCCAGGTACACATATATGGGAGGAGGCGCTTCTTCAGATAGCCTGACCCTAAACCTAATATTGGCTTAGGCAATAATCAGGCAAAATGATTCCCTGAAAATTCCAACATGGGGTGGGGTTGTTGGTTTTTGCTTTTTTTGGTCCCATGTCACTTGATAGAAAGCTAAATAAAACATCAAAAATGTGCATATGTTGTTTTTAGAATACCAATTTTAGAGCTATTCAAGTACATCATTCTCTTTCCTCCTTTTTCCTTCTCTTCAGTGCCAAAATAGTGGTTCACCTTCATCCTGTACCTTCCAACAAGGAACCTGGTCCTTTCCAGAGTAGTAAATACTCCTATATCAAGCTTTCTTTCAAAGAACACGGTCAGATTGAGGTATGTATATGTGTTGGCTGAAGGAGCGTGATTATATTGGAGTGGCTTTACAAATTGCCTTTGTGTAATGGTAGAGCCTGCAGAATTGTAAGTTTCAGTGGAGGTCTTGGATGCTTTAATGCCAGGATCTCCAGTGAGGTGCCTGTGGGCAGCATGTACTGACCAACATGGTTTTTGATACCTGTCAGGCTTCCTCCCTTTCCTGATATTTATTTTTTTTTCTTAAGATTTTTTTTAACTGGGAGGCTAGCAGACTACAGAGTGAAGTGCTATCTTCCAATGATATTTCTATCTGGATTCAAAAGAGTAGGTTTCCATTTTGGAGCTCAGGCCATACCTCTGATTGAGTTCCTTGGGCAGCTGGCTTTTATTTCTGTCTCACCAGTTTGCCTTCTGGGAAATGAGTGTTCCGTGACTGGCCATGTCCATCTTAGCAGCTGTTATATGAATAGGCCACCCTCCCATGGCAGCCATTTTGTGAGAGTATTCACAACGCACTCTCAAAATTCCAGGTGTGCCCACCCACCCAAAATGGTTGGGACCTCTGCTTTTCTGGGTGTAAAGGGAATCTATCATATAAGTATTGCAGGTGATTGTTGTTTATCTTTCTTTGTAACAAGCTGACTTTGTTGCAAGACTGCAAAGTTTTTGTAACCTTTAATGATGATTGAAATTCAAATCTCTTTTTTGTATTGGCCTTATGCAAGCAGTTACTTTTATTAACAAAACGCTAAAGATAACTGAAATTTTGATGCATGGTTGAATAGACTTCTTTTTGGAATCTGTCATCATACAGTTCTACAGGAGGCTGTCAGAAGAAATGACTCAGCGGAGATGGGAAAACCTGTCTGCTTCTCAGACCATAGAAGTTAATAAAGGTTCACAGGTATTTGTGCAGTTTGTCATGATTAGACCCCTCCTTTTGCAAACAAGGCAGATGTTCTTGGACTTGCTAGATTTCAACACATAGGCTATCGAGGAGCAGGCAGCTTCATAGGGTCATGAGAAATGCTGCTGCAGTACTGTTTGCAACTCAGTACCCAATGCAATAATTCTTAACATTTTGGAAATAAAACTCACTGTCTTACAATAGAACCTTATACATATCTACTGAAAAGTGAATCCCATTGAGTTTGGCTGTGCTTATTTTTATTTCTCCTTCATGGATCACTGCCTTGTCGTGGCAAAGGGGCTTGCATAGCTCAATGAAGCTATGAGCTATGCCATACAGGGCCACCCAAGACGGACAGGTCATAGCAGAGAGCTCTGACAAAACGTGATCCACTGGAGAAGGAAATGGCAACCCACTCCAGTATCTTTGCCATGAAAACCCCATGGACAGTACCAAACGGCAAAAAGATACGACGCCGGAAGATGAGCCCCTCAGGTCGGAAGGTGTCCAATATGCTACTGGGGAAGAGCAGAGGGCTAGTACTAGTAGCATCAGGAAGAATGAAGCAACTGGGTCAAAGCCGAAAGGACATTCAGTTGCTGACGTATCTGGTGGTGAAAGGAGAGTCTGATGTTGCAAAGATCTATACTCCATAGGAACCTAGAATGTAAGATCCATGAATCAAGGCAAGCTGGATGTGGTCAAACAAGAGATGACAAGAATGAACATCGAAATCTTAGGAATCAGTAAACTAAAATGGACAGGAAAAGGGGAATTTAATTCAGATGACCATCAGGTATACTACTGCGGGCAAGAATCCCTCAGAAGAAATGGAGTAGCCTTCATAGTCAATAAAAGAGTAGGAAAAGCAGTACTGGGATACAATCTCCAAAATGACAGAATGATCTCAGTTCGAATCCAAGGCAAATCATTCAACATCACAGTAGTCCAAGTCTATACCCCAGCCACTGGTCCTGAAGATGCTGAAGTTGACCAGTTCTATGAAGACCTACAGCACCTTCTAGAATTAACTCCAAAAAATGATGTCCTTATCATCATGGAGGATTGGAATGCTAAAGTAGGAAGCCAAAAGATAACCAGAATAACAGGCAAGTTTGGCCTTGGAGTACAAACTGAAGCAGGGCACAGGCTGGTAGAATTTTGTCAAGAGAAGACGATAGTCATAGCAAACACTCTTTTCCAACAACCCAAGAGACAACTCTACACATGGACATCACCAGACGGTCAACACAGAAATCAGATTGACTATGTGCTCTGCAGCCAAAGATGGAGAAGCTCTATACAGTCAGTAAAAACTAGACCAGGAGCTGACTGTGGCTCAGATCATGAGCTTCTCATTGCAAAATTTAGGCTTAAATTGAAGAAAGTAGGGAAAAGCACTAGGCCACTCAGGTATGACCTAAATCATATCCCTGATGAATATACAGTAGAGGTGACAAATAGATTTAAGGAATTAGATCTGATAGACAGAGTGTCTGAAGAACTATGCACGGAGGTTTGCAACATTGTACAAGAGGTAGCAACTAAAACCATCCCAAAGAAAAAGAAATGCAAGAAAGCAAAATGGCTGTCTGAGGAAGCTTTACAAATAGCTGAGGAAAGAAGGGAAGTGGAAGGCAAGGGAGAAAGAGAAAGATACACCCAATGGAATGCAGAATTCCAGAGAATAGCGAGAAGAGTTAAGAATGCCTTCTTAAATAAACAGTGCAAAGAAACAGAAGAAAACAATAGAATGGGGAGGACCAGAGATCTCTTCAAGAAAATTGGAGATATGAAGGGAACGTTTCATGCAAGGATGGGCATGATAAAGGACTAAAATGGCAGGGACCTAACAGAGGCAGAAGAGATTAAGAAGAGATGGCAAGATTACACAGAGGAACTATACAAGAAAGAGCTTAACGTCCCAGATAACCTCGAGCCAGACATCCTGGAATGTGAAGTCAAATGGGCCTTAGGAAGTCTGAGCAGCAACAAAGCTAGTGGAGGTGACAGTATTCCGGCTGAGCTATTCAAAATCTTAAAAGACGATGCAGTAAAAGTGCTACACTCAATATGCCAGCAAATTTGGAAAACTCAACAGTGGCCACAGGATTGGAAAAGGTGAGTTTACATTCCGATCCCAAAGAAGGGCAATGCCAAAGAATGTTCAAACTACCACACCGTTGCACTCATTTCACATGCTAGCAAAGTTATGCTCAAAATCCTACAAGCTAGGCTCCAGCAGTATGTGGACCAAGAACTACCAGAAGTACAGGCAGGATTTCAAAGAGGGAGAGGAACTAGTGATCAAATTGCCAACATATGCTGGATCATGGAGAAAGCTAGGGAGTTCCAGAAAAACATCTACTTCTGCTTCATTGACTATGCTAAAGCCTTTGATTGAGTGGATCACAACAAACTGTGGCAAGTTCTTAAAGAGATGGGAGAACCAGACCATCTTATTTGTCTCTTGAGAAACCTTTATTTATTTATTTATTCATTCATTCCTTCCTTCATTCATTCATTCATTCATTCAGGAAGCTACTATACCAATCCATTCGCCGAAGCCTTGGGGCAGGTCACATAAATAAACACAATATAAAAATACAATTTGAGTCGAATGTGGGTCAAGAAGCAACAGTTAGAACTGGGCATGGAACCACTGATTGGTTCAAAATTGAGAAAGGAGTTCGGCAAGGCTGTATATTGTTGCCCTGCCTATTTAACTTATATGCAGAGCACATCATGAGAAAAGCGGGCTAGATGAATCACCAGTTGGAATTAAGATTGCTGGGAGAAATATCAACAACCTCAGATATGCAAATGATACCACTCTTGTGGCAGAAAGTGAAGAGGAACTAAAGAGCCTCTTGATGCGGGTGAAGGAGGAGAGCGCAAAAGTTGGCTTGAAACTCAACATTAAGAAAACTAAGATCATGGCATCCGGTCCTCTCACTCCCTGGCAAATAGATGGGGAAGAAATGGAGGTAGTGACAGATTTTATTTTCCTGGGCTCCAAGATCACCGCGGATGGGGACTGCAGCCAAGAAATTAAAAGACGCTTGCTCCTGGGGAGGAAAGCTATGGCAAATCTAGATAGCATACTAAAAAGCAGAGACCACCCTGCCAACAAAAGTGCGAATAGTCAAGGCTATGGTTTTCCCAGTTACAATGTATGGCTGTGAAAGTTGGACCATAAGGAAGACTGAGCACCGAAGAATTGAGGCCTTTGAATTGTGGTGCTGGCGGAGACTCCTGTGAGTCCCTTGGACAGCAAGGCGATCAAATCTGTCAGTCCTAGAGGAGATCAACCTTGACTGCTCCTTAGAAGGCCAGATCCTGAAGATGAAACTCAACTACTTTGGCCACCTAATGAGAAGGAAGGACTCCCTGGAGAAGTGTCTAATGCTGGGAAGAAAAGAAGAAGGGGACGGCAGAGAATGAGGTGGCTAGGTGGAGTCACTGAAGCAGTTGGTGTAAGTTTGAGTGGACTTCGGGAAATGGTGGAGGACAGGAAGTCCTGGAGAAATGTTGTCCATAGGGTCGTGATGGGTTGGACACGACTTCGCGACTAACAACTGTCAGAAAACCCCAGAATTTCAATTTGTGAGAAGGAAATAAAACTTGGGTTCGTGGGAAAGATCAAGCGTCCAGACCATCTTGGCTTTACTGTATGACCCAGGTTCCAGCGGTAGACTCACGATAATGCATTACCGGGCAGGCAGAGGTGAACTGCTGCAAAGCTTCAATACCATTACAGGGCATTATACCCTCCCAGTCACGTCACAGGTACAGGGCAATTGATGACAGAATACAGAGATTAGAATAAAATTCTGAGGTCATCACATACAGAACAGATAAAGGAATGTCAGTCAATCATACAGTAACAATGAGATTACAATATTTCTAATTGCAGTGTACTGACACTTTAGTTGAGTAACTTGAATCCATCTCCAGGTCTGCTTAGACATGTAAATTCAAGCTACTGAGAAACTATCCATGAACTCAGACCCTTATCTAGTCTCTAGACATTTTGAATGACCAGGGCACATGAAGCCCTCTGGGCTAGCAAGATACTTCCTGGTAAACTGAATTCCAACAATGATTATTTAACAATTGTGAAGGTATATAATGCATATTTGGATGGACTGGTCTGTCTGCTGTAGCCCACAGCTAAAGGTGAGAGAAAGGAATGGGGGAGGAATGCCATTTGAAACAGTGACTTAGCTTGGTTTGAGAAGGGAGTACAGGATTGATTCTACAATTTCAAAAGCACACAGAAGCAATGCTTTTCTGACAGGATTTATCCAAATTTTCCCAACACGACAACAACATTGTAAATTTACATGAATGAATTTATAGTTGCTGTCAGAGAACTAAGAAGGCCAAAAGATCAGATAAGCAGCATGTATTTCCTGCATGTCTGAATAAACTAAATGTTCTTCTGTTTGGACCCCGCCCCCCACCCCAGACTCTGGTTTCTCTTGTCACTATCAACCTCTCCAATGGTACAGTATGAGCAATATTGTGCCCAGAGAGAGGCCACACATAGCTGGGTTACAATAGAACATATCCTTTATCTGCAGCAAATCATCTACGCAGCAGAGTTTCTAACTTGTTTTTCTGGAAAGGCTTCTGTTCTTTTAACAACTGCGTGACACTAACAAGTGAAGAATTTTCCTGCAAGGTATTCTTACTAAATGTGTACCTAGCACTGTCATTCCTAAAAGGGCCTTTTCTGCATACTCAAGCCCGCCCCGTTTCAATTCATGCCTCTTGACCTCCCTTTCTCGGACTCCAGTTAACTCTACAGATATATACATTTCTGTTACATAGTAAGAAAACACGAGTTTGCTAGCAAAGGTCCAGCCGTTCTCCCTTTGAGCCAAAAGGAAGGTTCTGCCCTCAAACTAGGTTTCCAAAGGGTCGGAGCGGCTCTGACACGCCTAGCTCCTAGCGCAGAAACAACTCTTAATTCGTAGACGCGCAGCGGAGCTTCCGTTGCTCCGCCTCCTCTGCCCCGTCTCCCAACTGGAATGAAGCTCCTTGGACGGGACTAGTCCGTCCCTTTTCCCGCCCTCTTTCCTCATCGACTGGACTAGTCATTATGCCAGTGTTTTGAGAGCCGGCCTCGGTGGGTGAAGGCGGAGACGCGGCGGGGGTAGGAGGCGCAGGGAGCACGGGTGCGCCCCAGCTGTACACACGGACCCAAACAAAGACGTGCGCCCAAGTAGCAATGCGACACGGTAGCTGGGTGGGTAGAGTTTATCCTCGCCGCTTGCTTGGTACAACGGATGAACGGGCGCTTCTTTATTTCTGGCTTTGTTCGCACCTCTTTTGCTTCCTTTTTGTTAAGGTTCCAGTGCCGGATTGCTTGTGCATTCCGATTTTCTTACTGAAAAACAATCGTGTACTGTGTAATGTTTATCAGTTGATTTACTTCGCTCTTCAGCCTGGCAAGGTTTCCACGATGCCTTAAAAAGGCCAGTAATAAGACAGCCGCTGGACTTCACTTGAAACATCGCTCGTTTGAACACAAGGAGTTCCAAAGGAAGGCATCACCCCCTCCCACCCCCGCTTTTCCTTCTACTTGTCCTCCAGTTTTCCCCCCCCGAAGAAATCGTCTCCCTCCCCCCCTCCCCCCATGCCCTTTACCCTGTCTGTGTTGCTCCAAGGTATCTTTTCATGCCATTGCACTTTGGACTGGTTCACACAGAGTACTCTACACATCTGAGGTGTGAGAAATCTCTGTGTTTGAATTGTGTCTGCTTGGGTGTATGGTGTGGCTTGAATGTTTAGGGAGTGGGTCTTTAAACTTTACATCCATGTGCAGTGTTTAAAGGTTTGCTTCCATGTGGATGAGGCAGATCTTGAACACAGCAGCCTGGTGTCAGAACATAGCACAAGTCTGCATGATCACATGACAGGGAAAATAAGGCTCAGTGGCTTATTTCTCTTACAGGGCATGCAGATTGAAAATCCCCCCCCCCCCCCCCACACACACACACACACACACACACACAAAGTTACCATAGCGAGACAGAGCACAGGAATCTTCGAAATCTCCAAGTAGGAGCATCTGAGGAGTTGAGGTGAATTCTAATAGCTGTGTAAAATTTTAATGTTTGATTAATATGTTCAGAGACAAGGATCACTGGCAGACGTAGCTAGGATGAAACTGATGTGTTGTTTGCACCAGCAGTTTTCTTAGGATATGGCAGGGGAAGAGTGGAGTGGACCGCATAAGATTTCTCATAAAAATAGTTGCTAGTTTTCTACTTCCAAGTTGCCTTGCAGAGGAACCCATCTTTAACAAGAGCCATAGTTTTGTGCACTATCTAGATAAACACTGGGGAAACACAATCTTCTAGCTTGAAAGAGTATCCTGCAAAATGATCTGTTCATGAGTGAGACTCAGGGTACTTCATTCATGAGCAAGTCTGTGGATGGGCAGAAAGATTCCAGCTTCTACAAATTCAGACCTTTCCAGGAACTGATGTCATAGCTACAAAGATCATATGATGCACATCTGTGTATGGATAAAGACTTTGGCTTCAATAGTAGGTCTTAAGAATGTGGGCTTGTGCTGTTTATCACTGTTTCTATACCTAAGCAGAAGTTCAAGCAAGAAGTTGCAATCCAGCGGAAATACCTTTGTACTTTTTAACACTCAGGCTTTTTAGCCCATCCAGCAAGAACACTTCAGAAAAGGAGACAAAGGGGTTCATGATAACTGATATCCTGGCCATTGTTTCCCACTCCTTGCCACCAGAACACCTTTCTTCCTCCTCAGAGGTTGATCTTTGACCTCAAAGGAAACCAGCATAATTCTTTCTGCAATATCTGCAAGGGGATTTGGGCAGATGTCTGACTCCCCCTTCCAAGGTCCAAGTCCTGTTGCTATCCTTGGAGGCATTCTTCCAAGTATTCCTATGGTCCCTGGGTACTCTCCTGGGAACCATAGAATTGCTGTTGAAATGACTTTCCTCAGAGTTGCAAAAGAGTGTAGCAATCATAGGATCATTGAACTAATTTCCCATACAATCAAAGTGATGCTCAAATGGTTGCAACAAAAAATACTAACCTATATGGAAGAGGCACTCAACATTATATAGTAAATATATATCAGATACTGCAGCACACCAAAGAATTTCAGAAAAAGATCAGCCTATGCTTTATAGACTGTGGCAAAGGCTTTGCCTATGCGAACCATGAGAAATTATATATGGTCCTGAAAGAAATGGGGGTGCCTCAGCACTTGATTGTCCTGAGGTGTAACCTCCTTTGTGGACAAAAAGCATTATTGTGCAAAACAGTAATGTATTGAGTGTATACAACACTGAGTCCTGTTTACATTCTAGAAAATGGAATAACTCTGTACAGGTCTGGACTATATCTAAAGGTTTAGGCCCAGCTGTGATAGCATATTTCTACTGAATATTTGTACATAGTCCAGTTTCTACCTGTAATCATGATTTTTGTTTTCTTAATGCTCAGATTCTGTCCTGGTTTTGCACTTTCTTCACATATAGAATCAAGTCTAATTGTCATTGTTCTTGTTATTATTCATTGCCTTCAAATACGAAATACAGAGGGAGAGGGACTGCAGAGGTTTGGAGAGACACCTGTAAGCATTAAAGCAGCTTGATAACCATGGAGAAATACAGTATGCTGATGGTACTTGGAGAAGGATCATTTGGGAGAGTTCTTCTAGTCCAGCATAAAAACAGATGTCAGAAATATGCACTTAAAGAAATAAGACTTCCAGAGGTAACTATTATTCACAAACAACCTGAGAATCCATTATTTAAAAATCTCTTCAGTCAGTGCTAAAGAACAGATCACTGCACAGAAAGTCTAATTGGATGGCACACAAGATAATGTTCTGTTTAAGGATGTGGGGCAAACTAAACATCATATACTTACCAACATAGGAGTTTCTCAGTAAATAAAACTGTTTAATGTACTTGAATAAACAGACTTGGATCACCAGCTCAAGTTAGTCATGATGGACAGAGTTATCCCAAGCCCCAGATCCAGTGTGCAGGAGTGGGTTAGAACTAGGCAGGTACGGCCTATTCTACTGGCTGAAGGGGATTTTTCTACTATGTCCATAGAGAGTTCCTTGGGCAGAAAGCTATGAGGAGTGGAAGGTAGCCAGTGGTAATTTTCTGCCCTGGGATCTCTTCACTGTGGAGCTTCTGCCACTTTGGACCAGCTGGATCCAGGAGCCTCAGCTACACCTGACTGGATTTGACACAGGTACTTGAAAAGAACCCAAAGTTGCCCAGGGTAAAAAGCCTAGCAAATCTACTACCTGCTACCCTGGTCAGCCCATGGTGGCAGGACATTGAAAGCAGCAAAGGATCTATTGCTTCAGCCTTTTCCACAGCTACCTGCCACACATCACACCCCAAATTTGCCCTCTGAGCTAACTATCTGATTTCACATTTAGTTGAGACCAACTTCTGTGTAGTGCAACTCACCTCCTTTGGACTGTTGGTTAAGTTGTGAGTAATTTTGGTTGGATTGGATTTCCTTCAATCAAAATCCAAGGAAATATTTTCAGATGTGCTTAATTTCAAAATCTTATATTAAAAATCAACATGTAGCTTAATTTTTAGAGGAAACCTGAAGGGCTTCTGAACTAGATTAAATATTAAACTTATTTGCTCTTTTAAATAGTGATATTGTACACTGTAAATTTAAAATTTGAAACCTTTAAATTATTCTTAAAATACTTCCATTGCACAATTTCTATGGAGCAGGAGTTAAAAATATTTTTGGTTGCTCCTAGAGAAATGAAACTAATAAATACCTTTTAGATGTCTTGCATTGCACTTTCAAAATTGCAAAAACCTTGTATGCTTGCTAACTAGCCATGTATTTTCAGTCTGTCTTTGATACAGAGAAGTCTTGGAATGAATGTATTCTTTTGGCTAAAATGAAACATCCAAATATTGTTACCTATGCAGAATCATTTAAAGGTAAATACAGGCATTTAAAAACCGTTGCATTTACATTATTCAGTGGAGAATTCTTATGTTCCTAATCTTGTACACTGTTCATGCTATCTAAATATTAAGATATTAATAATGCATTTTCTGTTAAGCTGGCATTACTAACAAATCTTAAATTCTCTAAACATTAGCAGATGGACATCTATATATAGTGATGGAATACTGTGATGATGGAGATCTGATGCAAAAGATTAAACTTCAGAAAGGAAAATTTTTTCCTGAAGATACGGTAAGCGTATCTTTGGCTATTCTTTTCCATTTGTGGGGTTAACAGCTGGCAAATAGAGTAGCTGTTAACCCCAGCTTGGGTCGATGTCTTGTTTAAGCTGCATTTACATCTGGCACTGTGCTGCTGGTGCCGCCGCTCCCACTGTTAGCCTCCTCCTGGCTTACATGGTACTGATGCTGTAATGGGCTTGAACCAAGTTGAAACCAAATAGTTGCTTGGCTCTGGTCAGCCCCAGGCATACACCAAAGTGTTTGTGGGGGAACAAACGTGCAGCTGCCAGTATATATACCATTCATTTACCACCCAAGGATACATCCCTCCCTTCTCCTCCACCTTCCTACTCCAGCCTTTTCCCCTCCCCCAACCTGTCCAAGGTCTATTAATAGTCACCCCCATTATTTAGGTCCCTCTCCAGCTCCTCACACCTGCTCCTGGATTACCCCATAGCCTTTCCCCAAGCAGGAAGCAGTATTCCCTTCCTTCTTCCAATTCTATTTAGAAGTTTCAGCCTGCATCTGCCTTCCATTATCTTGCTCTATTTTCTTGTTGTACAAGCACAATACAATTCCATGTGCTAAATCCTTTTTCCCCTCCCATCCCCATATATTTAATTGGTTTGCACAGATATGCCTGGGTATGAAGTACATTCATGATCAACGTGTATTGCACAGAGACATCAAATCCAAGGTGACTGAAATGAAACCTGCTAAATGACAGTTATCATAAATGTTAACATTTCTTTCCTGCTTAACAAATGGAAATCCTTGGGGAAGCAATTTTTTTAATTCCGTGATTTTGTATTTCTTTATTTGACTATATAAAGCAAAGTCTTGTTCATTCTTAATAAAAGATGCCATATGCCATGTTGCTTGTACCAAGAGAGCTCATAGTCAGATGGGTCCAATGTAATATCCTATGTAATATTTGTAATATACAAATATTGTAATAATCACCAATAATAATAATGGCGATACTGACCTAGAGAGTGATAGGTTTTGCTGAACTATTTTGTTGTCACTGCAACATGCCATCATGTAAGGTGACCCTATTAATGAATGCCCTCTTCTTGTTCTTCACTGCTATGCTTAGCTCAAGGCTGTGGCTTCCTTTATAGAATCACTCCATCTCATATTTGGTCTTCCTTTTCTTCTCCTTTTGATTTTTCTTAGCTTTGCCTTTTGCAGTGAGTCTTGTCATGATGTGCCTGAAGTATGACTGCTTTTGTATACATAAACACTTCTTTCTATTTAATAATACAGAATGTATTTCTCACACAAAATGGGAAAGTAAAACTGGGAGACTTTGGATCTGCAATTCTTCTTACCAGGCAAGTGAATAACATATTTGAGCTAGGGGCTCAGTTGTTCCATACTGAAAAAAAGATTAGTTGCGAACTGCTGTATAAATGTTAGTCTGTTGTTCCTAACATTATTTGTTTTTGTTTTTGGACAAGCCCAATGGCATATGCTTGTTCCTATGTGGGAACTCCATATTATGTGCCTCCAGAAATATGGGAGAACACGCCCTACAATAATAAAAGGTAAAGATTAATCTGAACCTAGAAGAGCTTGTGTAATATTAGATAAATAATGCAAAAAATGGTGTATGCATCATCTGGACAAAATTGCTTGATTTGCAAATTAAATTCAGAACCTAGAAAAGATTTTTGCATTCCTGGCAAGGAATAGCCTGAGTATGAAAGAGGCAATCAGGATGTATGAGCTGGGAAAGTGTATTTGAAGCACTGAACTCATACATAGCAGCCAACCCAGTCTATATGCAGAGGCAGAATTCAATAAATAAATGTGCTATACCATTTGTGCAAAACATCACTGCACAAAGGTTTCTTCTAAAAGAAAATCTGATAATTCATGTAGAACTATATGCCTTATCTCATAGAGAAGGCACCCTGATCCCCAATTCACACACAATGAGAAACCACAGTGGGTGGATTTTCCTGTGGGACTCCTTTTTGCAGTGGCTACTGCTCTTCTGATATTTGAGCCATGGTGAGGACATGCCATAGCTTCTTGTTGTAAGTGAACCCAGTGAGGGTGGGTTGTTGGGATGGTTAACAAGCCACCTGAAACTCTAAAACGTCCTTTGTGTTCTGAGTGGCTTGTCAGCCACTCCAACAGCTCACCCTTGCTGCATTGCATGTAACAGGAAGCTACAGAATGTCCCTGCCAGCTTGAATATTATGTTGTGAGCCGCCCCGAGGCTTTGGCAAATGGGGCGGCATGTAAATGTTTTAATAAATAAATAAATAAATATTCAAAATGACAGAAGCTACCATGACAAGGAGCTCTTTAGAGAAATTCACCCATGGCAATTCCTTGTAACATGCAAACCAGGTCCCTGTCTCTACAACACATGCAGCTTTCTCCTTTAAAATGCTTAACTTTGGCTCTCTGTATCCTCAAAAGAGGTGGGAAAGCAGTATCTACCTAAGAGGTAGGAACCAAAGGATGGGACCTTCACTTTAAAAACATCTTTTTGAAGTTTGTGAGATACCACTAACTCTGTGAAAGTGAAGTTGTTTTACATTCCAGAACTCTTTATACTAGCCACTGACAAAAATAGTACAATGTCAGGGTTGCCATTGATTACTATAGATCTTGGATATTATATTGGTACATTTATTTCCAATAATGACTGCTGTCTAAAGAAGTTCATGCAAAGAGCTTCTGCCAGCCCAGTGGAATTTTTGGTAGTTTGCCTTGAATAGCTCACTCCTGTGCCATATTGCAAAATGCTTTTAAAACTCCTGTGAAAGCTAAACCTTACAGGGGCAGACCTGCATGCAGAATCAAATCTGTCACCGCAGATGGTGGTGGAGAGGGAAATTTAAAGTGCAGGATCTGCTAGTGGGTGATGACCCTGTCGTTTTTTTTGTCTGAAATTTCTTTCTTAAAGGCCATTATTTTCCAGGCAGTGCTCTGTGACTGAAAGAACCCTGTCAGAATTTAAACAGCTTTTTAAAAATTCTGCTGAAACTCTGCCCTCACACCTATGCTACACTTTAAACTGATACAGTTTCAAGGATACACTGAGCAGCCGTGATACCTTTATCTCTAGTTATGTCCCAGGTTTCAAAAGTTTGTCCTACAGCATGTTGGGCTTCTGTTCAAGAAAAAACAAATTTAAATTCCCCATAGAGGTCATAGAGTTAGTTTAATAGTTATTCAATTCTGCTTCTTGTTTTGTTGATGTTATCTTCCAGTTTTTCTCACTGACTAGTTAGGCTTTAGCAGGCTGGAGGAAATATAAGGTTTTGTGTATTGGTACAACACCTACCCCCTCTTTGTTTTTTTCTAAGACCATTTAATTTACTGAATAGCATTTTTTGCTTATTTGATAACTATAATACTGTAACACAATTGTACATATATTCACAGAAACAGTTATTTTTAATAGTCTGTAAATCATCACATACTCTCAGGGCATTTCATTTATAGTAAATAGGACACTAAACTATGACCTTTAGCTAAGTTGTTCTTCAAACCTGTCTTTCAGTGACATATGGTCTCTAGGATGCATTTTATATGAGCTGTGCACTCTTAAACATCCAGTAAGTACCCATACTTACATTTATTCTTATTTTTATTAATTCAAGGAATTGATTCAGATCCACTTTCTGTGTTGTTTTCCTACTCAGAGGCCCACATTTGGCTTCTTGGCATGCATAGTTAATTCTACTGTGGCACAGCCATTCTTACACATGCATTTGTATATATTAGCTTGGAGTACATTTGTGTTTATTCTTATCTTACATGTGCATTTGTGTATATTCTTATCCATGCACTGTGATAGTTGACTCTGAGGGTGCTTCAAGATGGAGGGCTTCTAGCACTATTGGTCAAAAGGTATTGTATATGTATTGCAACTTTAACTCCTTAACAGGTTGTTTTTTAGGAAGAAAAAAGAATAAGTGGTGGGTAAAGATGAGGGTTACAAATGGAAGTATCGGTTAGACCTCCTGCAAAATCCTATGGACAAAGCAGAGCGATCACACAAGAAAAGCCTACGGTCCTTTAGGTATCCTGGTCCTAAGCCATTTAGGGCTTTATAGGTCATAACCAGCACCTTAAATTGGGCTTGAACCTCAGTGGGAAGTCAGTGGAGCTGATGGAGGACCAGAGTTATATGAGAGTAATGACCAGACCTCAACAGCATCCTGGCAGCTCTATTTTGCACCATTTGAAGTATCCAGACTGTCTTTCAAGGGCAGCCCCATGTAGAGCATGTTACAATAGTCCAACTGGACTGTAGACAACCAGCATGCATCACTGTTGCTAGGCAGTTCTCGTGCAGGTAGGGACACAGCTGTTGGATCAGTTGAAACTGAAGGAAAGCGCTCCTCACCACCACCATCACCTGGGCTTCCAGGGACACTTCTGGATTGGGGAGCACTCCTAAGCTGTGGACCCTGTCCTTTAGAAGAAGTGCAACCCAGTCCAGGACAGGGCCAAAGTAACTTACCTGGAAACTTGAACCACCCACCAAAAGGACTGCCGTCTTATCTGGATTGAGCTTTAGTTTATTGGCCCTCATCCAGCCCATTACCTCGGCCAGGCACCAGTTCAGGACAGCCACTGCCTCACCTGGATTAGTTGAAAAAAAGAGGTAGGGCTGGGTGTAATCAGCATACTGGTGACTCTGCAGCTCAAACCTCCTGATGACCTCTCCCAACAGTTTCATGTAGATGTTAAATAGCAAGGGGGACAAAACGGAACCCTGTGGTACTCCATGGCAGAGTTGCCATAGCACAGAGCCATAGCTCCCCAGCACCACCTTCTGGAATCAACTGGCCAGGTAGGAATGGAACCACTGCCAAGGAGAGCCTCCTACTCCTAACCCGGCCAGCCTATTCAGAAGAATACCATGGTTGATGGTATCAAATGCTGCTGTGAGGACCAGGAGAACCAACAGGGACATACTCCCCCTGTCCGTCTCCCTGCACAGGTCATCATACAGGGCGACCAAGGCAGATTCAGTACCGTAACAGAGTCTGAAACCAGACTGAAATGGGTCCAGATAATCAGTTTCATCCAAGAGTGCTTGGAGTTGTCCCGTCACCACCCATTCAGACACCTTGCCCAAAAACGGGATATTGGCCACTGGTCTATAATTGCTGGCCACCTCTGGATCCGGGATGCCCTCTTTAGGACAGGTCTGATCACTGCCTCCTTTAAAGGGGCAGGGACCTGGCCCTCCCTCAGTGAGGTACTGATGACCTCCTGGACCCAGGTACCAATCCTGTGTTTGGCTTTAGTAAGTAGCCACGAAGTTTTTTTTTTTCTTTTTCTCTCTTCCTTACTCTCTACCACTCTGTTCCTGCCCTTCTGTTTCTCTTGCCCTTCCATCCCAGTCATATTCTTTTCTCATCCATGCATCACAGTGACAAGTCTTTGAAAAAGTCTTTCATCTGAAGCTTTTCTTTAGAGGCCTAAATGCTATACAGGGTGATTTTCAGGGAGGGGGTATCATGGCATACAGGGATGGGAGAGATCAATGATTGATGATTATTATTGTTGTTTCCCTCCCTAGCAGTAATTCAGCCACTGAAAATTCATACGCACATCACTGTGGCAATTAAGCTAATTTCTTTTTAGTTTGTTGGTGGAAGATTTTTTAAAAGCTTAACTGATTTTATCCTAAGCCCCTTTTGAAGTTGGTAGCAACAAAGTACTTGCTTTTATTTGCCCTGAATTGCCTACCATTCAGTTCCAAGAGAAGGCCTAGGGTTCTAGTATTGCCTATTTTCTCCATATCACATATAATTTTTATATATTCATGTCAAGTTCCCCCTTACTTGCCTTTTTCATAAGCTAAACAGCTCCAGACATTCTAACCTTTCTTCAAAGGGGAGCGGCTCCATTTTTTTGATCATTTTGGATATAGAATGTACTGCTAGACCATTCACAGCATTTATAGGAAATATATTAGTTCATTTTTGTATAGCACCTAGATATTTGAGGTATCTTATGAATAACAAATAATACTATTGAGCCATTTGCTTTCTTTTCTTTTCTTTTCTTTTCATTTATTTATTTATTCATTCATTCAGTCATTCATTCATTCATTCATTCATATTTATTCTATTTAGTTTCAAGCCAATAGCTGGAAACATCTTATACTTATGTATATATGTAAAGGATACTACAGTCCACTTCCATCACATTATACTTACGAACTTCACTATTTGATAAAGCAAATGTTTAAGAAGAATCCCAAGAACCGTCCATCAGCTAGCACAATTCTTGCAAGAAACTGCCTGACAAAGCACATCAGACATTTTTCTTCAGTGGAGGTATTTGCATACTTATACTCTAGAAAACTCATGCTATTTTATATAGACATATCATTATCTTTTCATTTTAAGACTTTAGGGGCATAGTTAATGCTATTTTAGTGGCTGCACATAGGAAGACAGGTAGTTGCCTTATACAAAGTCAGAGTATTGTCCATATACCCTGGTATTGTTTACTTTGGTAGCAGCTCACAAGATGAGAAAAGTCTTTCATATCACTTGGTACCTTGATCCTTCTTTAACCAAAGAGAGCACAAGAGGATCCTTCTGCATGCACAGCATGTTCTTTGCCACTGAACTATATGGTTCCTTTGATAGGAGACTTTCACTTCACAAAAAAGAGTAAATTTTAAACACTGAGGTCAGGATCCAAAGAGCTGTGCACACATACAGGGCTTGTCTGGTCCTCCCTCTCCATTGCTGCTCCTGAAAAACCAGGAGCACTCAGGGGAACTCAATGTAGAATGAGGAGCTGCAGTTGGAAAAGCAAATTGGCAAACCCTTCTCATCCTAGCAAAAAAATTAAAAAGTGCTTTTCTGCTTACATTTAGATCTGTTTGGATTTTGCCATTGTTCCTTTGTGATTAGCCAAATACTCTCTATTTTGAGTATTCATTTAACACACACTGTATTTTCTATTAATTTTAATTGCACTAAGGAGTGACTTATTATTGGAAACCATGCCTCTCTCGTGCCACTTGCATAATAGTTCATGTTCAGAAATTAATTTAAAATATTTGTTGGTTAGAACAAAAGTGCCTGGATTCTGCATTTTTTGTTTGATTAGGCTGCAGTTATATAAATGCTTACATGGAAATAAGCCTTATTGAACTCTGTGCAGCTTACTTTTGAGCAGGCTTGTATAAAATTGCACTGATGCATGATGTTTTTAAAACGATTTACAGGAGGAAAGAAGATATTCGAGAAACAAGAATAGCCATTCAGAAGCAGAAGCTGGCACCAAGAGTTTTTGTGAAATGGGATTGGAGAAGAAAGGTGTGGATAAAACAGGTATGTGGAATTCTCCAGTGATCTTAGAGGTCTGACAGTAGTTCTGTGGAGGTCATTTTGGGGCATACATCCATGCAGGTAATCTATGAATTGCTTTGCTGAAACTACAGTCCTGTTATTTACCTGACAGCCTCATCAAGCTCAATGAAGACATAACAGTTGTATTAATTTAATTTATTTTTATTTGATTTTATATTTATATTAATTTATGCCATTGTTTTATTGTTTTATAATGCATTTTAATTGTCTGATGTAAGCCACTTAGAGAAGCCATGGACAAAACAGGTGGCATATAAATGTTTTAAATAAATAAATGACTTCTTTGCAGCTGCATTAGAGCTGAGAGTTTTCTACAAGGTCTTACTAGCGGTGCCAAACAATATTTAATAGATAAAAAGTCACCACATGTTCTATGAATTTTTTTTTTAGAAATGAATTGACATTTTTTAAAAAGAGTCCAAATATAATTTACTTTATGTTGAATACAGAGATCAGATAGCATACACCATGTTGTAGCATAGCTGGAATTCCCTGTTAAGGAAATACATCTGAGGTGCATTGACCAGAACTGTATTCCAAAAATGGATGCACTTTTGCATTTGTGTAAGAGCGCTATGATATTTACAGTCTAGCGCTGATATTCACAGCACTATGATGTCTGCAGAAATGGAGAACAGAAATGACCAAAGACACCAGTGAATTTTCATAAAATGTCCCATTATTAAGTCTCTTCAGAGGCTGTTTTACAAAACCCTCACAGACAACAGTGGGAAAAGGGAAGATCCAGTACTGTGATCAACATCCTGGAAAATGCATCCTTACTTTCTTCCAGTATTACATCCAAGGAGGATACAGGTAAGATAACATTATTTTACTGGGCTGCCATTATAAATCAGTGTGGGTTGCAAAGAAGGTATTGCTGCCAGATGATTATTTCTGAACTCCCATGCCCATAATTCCTGTGCAAATTGTTGTTGTTGTTAGTCGCGACATCGTGTCTGACCCATCGCAACCCCATGGACAACATTCCTCCAAGCCTTCCTGTCCTCCACCATCCCCCCGGAGTCCACTCAAGCTCACACCAACTGCTTCAGTGACTCCATCTAGCCACCTCATTCTCTGCCATCCCCTTCTTCTTTTGCCATCTATTGTTCCAAGCATTAGACTCTTCTCCAGGGAGTCCTTCCTTCTCATTAGGCGGCCAAAGTATTTGAATTTCATCTTCAGGATCTGGCCTTCTAAAGAGTAGTCAAGGTTGATCTCCTCTAGGACTGACCGGTTTGATCGCCTTGCGGTCCAAGGGACTTGCAGGAGTCTCTGCCAGCACCACAATTCAAAGGCCTCAATTCTTCGGCACTCAGCCTTCCTTATGGTCCAGCTTTCACAGCCATACATTGCAACTGGGAAAACCATAGCCTTGACTATATGCACTTTTGTTGGCAGGGTGATGTCTCTGCTTTTTAGTATGCTATCTAGATTTGCCATAGCTTTCCTCCCAAGGAGCTAGCGTCCTTTAATTTCTTGGCTGCAGTCCCCATCTGCGGTGATCTTGGAGCCCACGAAAATAAAATCTGTCAAATTAGAATAGAAGAAATGCAAAGATTTGGGAAGGACCATGAGGATGCCAAGTAAAGAATTGGCAGGATTGGAAGGTACAACAATATTGACAGTATGGATACGTAAGTGGGCAAGGTTACCCAAGTGGTTACCCAACCATGGTCATCTTCTAGGACTATCTATTGAACAAGGGTTGCACAGTTCTCTGTAAAATGCCTGAATACTACTTGGAAATGCAGCCAAAGGCCTCCAAGCAGCTGAAAGGTACAAGGGGAAAAGGTTCTGTGCTTGACCAGTTAGGTGAGAGGTAGGCAGACTTCAAACTTGCAGGATCTACTTGTTGTTTTAGTAGTAGCCTGAAATGTACCAGTTGGAGCAAGGCTCAGAAGATCAATACTTTGACTTAAAGAATGCTGTGCTTGAAATTGGTTTTAGATCATCCCACACAAATTTCTGCTCCCAATTACTTTACCACTTCCCCTCGATTTTTCTTCATTTCAGAGAGAGATTGTGAGGCAGTGGAGGATAATTTTTATGTTGTTGCTATTATTAAAGAATTGGGAGTCAGAAGCACTTACTGATTTGCTGCACATCACTCAGAGATCATCAATAGCTCCTGATCTAGTTTCTGCCCACCCCTCAAAATTTTTTCTGCTTCATCTAGAAATACTTTTGCTGTGATTTTTGAGGATAACACCAAACAGCAAATTTGGGAGATGGATTAGAGATGGACAGAAATGAAGTTGTTTGGAAAAGCATGACAATTAAGAGCTTAGCCAAACTACCTTCCAAGTTCAGCTGAGTTTGTAATTACCTTGCTTCAATGCTGTATGTATCAGTTCCCAGTTACTGTTTCCTCTTCCTTGTCCTTTCCCAAAATAGTTGGGGAAAGTGGGAGAGAAGAGAAACTTGTGGCAGAGAAGGCTGCAGAAAGCTTAGGACTTTTAAGAAAAGTTTCCTTCTTTTTTCTTTTCCTGGTATTTGAACAGCTGTGAGGTTTTTTTAATCTACCAGAGAACTGAAAGGAGTAGGAAAGGTCATACTGAGCTGAAATATACCTGGTTTTCTCTGTTTCTAGTAATTTCACATGGTTACGTATTCATATTGGCATTAGCAATAGCATAGACAGACACAATTGTTTAAGAAATCATGACTTAAAGGGTGATAGAGTATGAGGTTGCTAAATTGGAGTTTATTGGAAAATGTGATAGATTCATTAAGCCTTAATGATTTAAGTTGGCTACTTCACACTAAGAGTATTAATATCTTACTAGCTGTGTCTTGCAAATTAAGCTTTAACTTGCAAAATTTCAGTGCTTAGCCCATTATTGAACTTTCAGCTACATGTTACTGAAGAGGGTCAATAAAAATGAAATTGTTGCCACTTTAAGTTTCCTTATGTTGGGACAGAAATAGCATTAATATACTGATTTAATTTACTGTATCCTTTTTGTCCAAGCACCTCAGAATAGTATGCATGATATCCACCTTTTTATCCTCACAAGGTTAGTTTAAGAAGTATCAACTGACTCAGTAGCCTTTGTGGATGAGCAGGGACTTTAACCTAGGTATTGTTAGTGCAAATCTAAGCTCTGCTGACTGGATCTGGTTGTAATGTCCCTTGCAAGGACTTTAAAGAACATTGGATCAAGAAATGGATCAATCAAAACATAGTTTCTTCCAGAAACATGCTCAGTATACATTTATAAAATGGACCTAATTAATTTGAATAGCCACAATCCATCACAGATTTAATTGTGCTTTGGCCCATTTAATTTGTTGAAAGCAAGCTAAATTCCATGATGGATTGTAGCCAACATGCTGTTCTATACCTTTATAATGAACTGGATTATTAGGATATGAGGTTTTGTAGACAACAACTTAATTAGCACCAAGTAGACTAAGATAATAGTTTTATGCAGAGTTTTTGCCTGAATCCTAGTTTAGAGGATTTTTAACTAAATCAATAATTTGACTTACGCTGAATTAATATGAGCACCTGTTTCAGTAATTTAATGTTTATTATTCTTGTAACTAGGTGGGCATGTGAGAAAATATGATGAAAATATAATGCGTAAGCAGTGGACCAAAGAACCACCTGAAACCTTGATGAACATTCTTCATAATGCTGGTATTAGCTTATTTTTAAAACATACACAATCTATAAAGATTAATCACAGATTATGAGATGTTGTTATGGGTCATCAAGTCTTCTCCAACTGATGGCGACCCTATGAATGAATGCCTCCAAAATGTCCTACTCTTCATAGCCCTGCTTGGCTCTGGCATATAATGGCCCCAATCCATAAAACTTGGAAAACAGAAGGGGGCTTCATGAAGGTTTCTGTGTGCAAAGGTTTCTTTGTATATGCAAACTTGCAACTGCTGAGCAGGAGTGGTTAGCATTTTGACAGCACAAATCACCACCTTTTCCTATACAAAACATTCAAACTGAGTAAATTCATTGTAGTGCTATTGCCCAGTAATGTGATTTTTTTTGAGACTTCTGAAGATATTGTTCCATTTCTCGTTGCTGAAACCTTATATGACAGTTGTAGCAATAGAAGGAAGAGGAGTCATATGCAACACTTCTCTCAGAATAAAAAACCATTCATGGTACAATGTGTTTTTTCAAATTTCTGTGGAAGATTAGGAAGGGAGTAAGCACCAGAGGTATCTAGATCACTGACAGAAAAGCAGGTACCTGTTCATGAAATACAGACTTTTTATGTGAAAATTAGAAAATGAAGAACAAGCAATGACAGAGCAAAGTACATTTCCTTTATACTGCTTTTTGGATTGAATCTTGTTTTTCTAATCTTTCATGGGAGAAAACCCTGAATGTTTCTGTTTTTAATGTTATTAAAGCCTCAGATGACTTACTAAGAGGACCCCTTAATGAAGAAACCAAAACATCTGATGAACCAGATGGTGAAACTGCTATGGAGGATAGTGAGATACTTGAACATAGATCAGATGAAGAAGACACGTATGTTAAAATACCGCTTGGAAACTTTTTTTTGAGAGTTTTAGTTTTAAATGCCTGCTTCAAAGTAAACTTCCAAATCATTCATCAGTAGAATAGAAAGCACTAGGGGAACCATTTTTTCTTTGTTGCAGTCTCTGTACACATCCCTCATATCTGCTCTAGAGGTGCTTTCCCAAGCATTTAGGAGGTGTGCAGGAGGCTAAAGGATAGTCCACTTGGTTGGCATTGAATTTAATCCTGTAGTTTCATATACTTTCATCATTACCTTCTAACTGCAGCCTCCTTTACATTCTGATAAGCCCCTTGAAAATATGGGCAATCTCCATGAGTAGTTTCTTTGTCATGCTACAATTGAAGGTGAATATGCAAAAATACCACTGTCTGCATAAAAAAACAAAGGCTTTCATCCTTAGTTTGGGGTATCTAAAAAATTCATTTTGATAGTAACATGGTTGGACAGTAGAACAATTTGTCCAGGAAAACTGCAGAATTTTCAGGACTACTTTCAAGAGAGAAATATCTCAAATATCTTCTTTAGGTCTTAGGAGTACATTACAAGACTGTGCTTCCATGTCTGTGGTTCCAAGTTGTTGTTGCTACTATTGTATATGGTTGAAATCTGAGTCATTTGCACTCATTTCTTGCAGGGATTTTGAAGCTGAAGATGATTGTGACTGGATTTCTGCACTGGAAACGATGACAAACATGAAGTCATTGACTAAATGAATAATGGAATTTTAGAAATTCTGCTATAAGATAATTTAGTGTCAATGTAAACACATTTGTGAACAATATAAGGATACTAATACCTGTATAGTGATTGCAGATCAAATTGTTTGAAAAACAAAAAATGTACACTGACTGAACTGATTTTTGGCAAGAAGCGCAATGCTTTAGGAACAAATTTGAACATACTTTTTTTAAAAAGATTTTTATTAGGATTTTTAAACTACTACTAAAAAATACATCGGACATACTAGGTCAGCCCTCTACTACATTTTTTTTTCAAACATTCTATAGTCATTATCAAATCCATTTATAACAACTTAAAAACATCTTTAGATCTAAGCCAAGTCCTGTTTCTCCAACCAGTAATAAAAAAATTCCCAAGTTTGATACAAGTCAGTATCTTCTTTCTCCTTCAGTGATAAAGTCAATCTATCCATTTCTGCACAGTCCAGAATCTTTCTTAGAATCAGTTTGTCGGTGGGTAATTCCTCACTTTTCCAGTGTTGAGCAAATGCAATCCTCGCCGCAGTGATTACATGTAACATCAAATACATTTCTTGTTTATTCATCTTCCAATATAAAGCCTAATAGGAAAACTTCAGGTTTCAAAGCTAAAAGTTTTTGTAGCATTTCCTCAAGCCATTTATGTATTTTAATCCAATACTTTTTCACATTGTCACAAGTCCACCACATATGACAAAAGATACCCAATTTATGTTTACATTTCCAACATCTATTTGACGTATTTGGAAACATCTTAGCTAATCGATTTGGCAACAAATACCATCAATAAAACATTTTATATAAGTTTTCTTTGTACGAAGTTGCTAATGTTTCCTTAATATTTCTCTCCCATAGCTTTTGCCACTTTTCTAATTCAATATTATATCCAAAATTTTGTGCCCATGTTATCATAGTGTCCTTAACTTGTTCATCCTCCATTTTCCTGTCAAGTAAGAAATCATAATCTTTTAATCATTTTCTCATCTGATCTAAGCATCGCTTGTTCAAACACCGTTAAGTCCTTATAAAACCCCCTGTAGACTGTAAAAGAATGTTTTACAGTCTTTAGCATATCTCGATTGCATCTGCACCTTATGCCAAATGTGAACATACTTCTTGAACATTTTTCCAGAAAGTACTGAACTAAGCATTTATGTGAAGGCATTTCTAAACCAGTAGGAATATAGAAACTACATACAATAGCAGTACAATTAGTATACTAAAGACACTGTAACCAGGTATTATTGACTTTGTCATAAATTAAAGTCCTTTTTAAGTGATTGACTATATTTTTATTTATTTATTTAAAGCTTTTATATCTTGCCCTTCACAATATCTCAGGGCAGTAATGGCCTAGGGTGGGATAAAATACCTAAGGGTGCTATAGCCCTTTTTTCCCCTTAAAATATGCATAGAATTGCACTTCAATTTAAATACATTTGTGTAATGGTAGTTTGCTATTGGCCTTGAGTAAGTCAACATAGAATGACATGTAAATCGGATTAATATTATTAAAACCGAAACCCATTCCATTTTTTTATACATAGCAAGTTCCTTCATTACAGTGGTGCAAAAAAAAAGTATGCCGTATTTTCATGAGACGCACCAATCATTGCATATTTTGGACAGCATTTTTATTTATTTTTTATTTATTGATTGATTTATATCCTGCCTTTTTCCTACAAAGGGCTCAAGGCAGCTTACATCATTCTCCTCCTCCATCTTATCCCCACAACAACAACCCTGTGAGGTAGGTTGGGCTGAGAGTCTGTGACTGGCCCAAAGTCACCCAGTTGGCTCCATGGCTGAGCGGGGACTCGAACCCAGGTCGTCTGAGTCCCAGTCCCATGCTCTTCACCACTACACCACACTGGCATTCCTATTAACAGAAAGCCCAAGTTTGTAAAAGCAAATTTAGTCTTCAAGGCACTTCTAAGTACTTGTAGCTTGTATTCCCAAAGATTCCAGAAAATGCTCATTTTTGCTGCATGCTGGCACAGATAAGTCTTTCAGCTTTTTGCTGTAAGTACATGTAATGCATTATAAAATTGTTTAAAATCGAGCTTAGTGGCAAAATAAAAAAAGTTTTAGGTTGCAATTCTATACCCTTGCCTAGAAATAAATTCATTTTCATCTGAGGGACCTCACTTCTGAGGGGACAGCCACACATAGGATTGAACTGTTGGGGCACAATCGATGTTTCAATGGGAAAAATTCCTACAACTCCCAGCATGCCTCACCCACCATTCCTGGGAGTTGTCGAAACTTTTTTCTTCCTGAGCATGTATAATTGGTTAAAGCAAGTCATCCATCCTGCCTCAGCAGCACAAAAGCTCTGCTTTATGTGGAAACGTGACCAAAATTAAGCCATTTAAACATTGTCGATGGTAAGATAGGATGTTCTCTACGGTGTCTGTTTTTTGTTTTGTTTTTTTACTTACGCTGAAGCTCTTACCTTTTCCTATAGGTTAGGACTACAGAATCTAACTTGTTAACCGCACAGAGAGTCTCGGCTATTGGGCGGTATAAATATGAAATAAATAAGCTGGTTAAGCTTTCCGCTTTTATCTGTCCTCAGAGAGAAGCTCGACATTTCGTCCGAGCCGTCTTTGGTCACTGTTGAACCGACCAGGCAGGGCAGGGACGCTTCCAGGGCTACTTCGAGCGCTCCTGGCTTCCCCGGGAGCCGACCATCGAGAGAGCGAGCGATGGGGCGGTGTTGCGGCGGGGAGGGTGCCCCGGCCGGGGGGCGGGGCGCGAAGAAGCCCCGCCCCGCCCCGCCCCGCCCCCTGAGTTTTGCGGGGTGAAGTTATCGCTGTTCCCGTCGGCTGGTCACCACCCAGGCCGCCCGAGCCGCTCGCTCGCATCACTGTCCCCACGGTCCGCGACGCCGGGCGCCAGCGGTCTCCTCGTGGGTCGGTGAGAAAGGCGGGCGAAGGACGGGCGAATCTGCACGTGCGTCTTCTCCGTTACCGTGGCAACGGAGCGGAGAGGGAGGGGCCGAGGGGGGAACGCGGGGCATGTGCGGGAACGGCGCGCCGGGGCGGGGGGGGAGCGAGCGTGCGTGTTTGTGTGTTTGCTCGCTCGCGCCACGCGAAGCATTAACGGCCATACTAGAGGAAGGGGGGCAAAAGGCCACTTGAAGAGTCAAGCAGCACAACCTTATGCATGTTTACTCGGAAGTACTTTCTCCGAAGTCAGGCGCACACGGGGTTGCAGCCAGAGTCCCTTTCAGACGCTGTCGGGCCATCACGTGTATGACAGCGCCTCCTAGTTTGCTATTATAGGCTGCCTGTCTGTCTGTGTTAATAATATTTGTATTCCTCTTGTGAGAACAGAGTCTAAGCGGTTTGCATGTCGAAGTATTGGAATCCCCATTGGATACTCCCCATTGGAATACTCCCCATTGGAATCTCCATTGATTACACCAACCACAAAGACAAATAATAGAAAGTAACAAAAGTACCGTGAATGCAGAATAATGCCGCTGCCACTCATCCCCTTAGTGAATGCATTGTCTCTAAGTGTATTCATATAATTTATGACCAATGCTTGAAAAGGTGGGAACTAAAATCAACTCCACCTTGTTGCTCTGCATGAATGGATAACTCACCTACAAATCATGATTAACTTGAATAACTCCAGTAAAAAGATCTTGCCCATTTATGTGAGACATACAGAAACCCCTCTCTGTTTCCTCTATATTTTATCAATATTGTTATGTATTGCATTTATAATTAGGTCAGTCTTCCCCATCTGGTGTCCTCTGGATGTTTTCAACCACAACGCCTATCAGCCCAGAATCATTGTAGTCCAATGCATCTGTAGAGCAAGAAGTTGGGGAGGTATGGTCTAGGTTTTCCTCCTTCCTGGAGCTTAGGGTGGCATACATGAGAAGACAGAGATCTCTCATGCAAGAACTGACCTCAAAAATCTGCTTATTTGTTTCAACATGTAGCTTTATCATCAACACTCAGATTATGGTCTGAACCACATCCAAGTGTTCTTTATCTTGTCTTTCACATGGACAGAGACTTGCGTCCTCTGCTTGTGAATCAGAGATCTTTCTCACATGCAAATGGAGCTCCTGTAGTAATTCCTTTGAAATAATGATACTTCTTACAATTTCTGTATTCATAACTGCCTGATACATAACCAGGCTAGGGATAATGCTTTACTAGTTGTGGGTACCAAACCCAGGTGGTTTGATTTTTGTGGGATACACTTACAAAGTCATTGGTAAAGTGGAGTTTTCCAGATGTCTTTTTTATGTGTGAGGAGAGAATGTTTATATTTTGAATCAAAGAAATCCTAAAAGTGCTTATACTTTAAATGGTCATCCCTATAATATCTTTGTTTTTCAGCCATTTCTCTAAAAGTACCATGGATAAGTATGAAATCATTAAAAAGATTGGGGAAGGATCCTTTGGCAAAGTATTCTTAGCCAAAGGCAAGGAGGATTATCAACAATGTGTTATCAAGGAGATCAATTTGACAAAGGTACGCCACTATGGTTTTTTAATCATAAATCTGCTTGCCTTTTAGAGGTGATTCTTCTGCCCCATGGCATAGTGCAGCCTTCTCCAACCCAGTGTATTCCAGATGTTTTGACTTCAAGTCTTATCATGGCCAATAGTTAGGAATACTTAGAGTGGTAGTCCAAAATGTCTGGAAGTGATTGGGTTGGGGAAGACTGGCATAATGAATTAGATATAGTATAATCTTGAATTGGTTTTTATTGTATGAAAAGAAAAATACATAATAACAAAAACTCAGCAGTCCTGATATACATAAGGCATTATAGTTTAAAACTAGCTCCTTGTGTTACATTTGGAAGCATACAGGTAGCCAGTGCAAACTGGCCAGAATAATGAAATATGCTCTGAATTTCTGGTCTCTGTTATCAGTCTGGTTGCTAATTTTGCCCAAACTGTAAAAAGTCCCATATAAAGTGTGCTGCAATCATCACCATCACCATGATCTAATCACTGAGGTTCCTGGAGCATACTAAAGCTGGTTTATCCCTGCTCAGATAGGGATGTAGATGGAGCTCAGGTGATTTCCATGGCTGCTGGCCCAAGTGACATTGATGTTCCAAGAGAACCCCAAGCTACAAACCTGCTCCTTCAGGGGGAGTGCTTGCCCATCCAGAACAGGCTGAACACCATTCATCCAACATAGTCAGAACAGGAAGACAAGTCACCTAGTTACAATCTTACCCACTATGATCACATGTGGCTTATTTCTGAGGGGAGCCTCTACCTATGACCAACTTATTTATTTATTTAAAGCATTTTTATGTTGCCCCCTTTGCAACAAGCCTTGGGGCGGCTTACAAAGCAAACTTATTGGTTCTATACACTGACCATCCAATTTCATGAACAATTTAATAGGTTTATGCACTGTGCAGAAGTAATAGAACTTGTAGTGATGCTCCATGGTGATATTCAATAAAGGGTAGGGTAAAAGATTTTATGAAATATATTGCCCACCTAAGATAAGCCAATAAGACTTAGAAGCAACATTTGAGGAATGCCAGAAGCTAATGTCTTGATGAGCTGTGTAAACCTCCTTCAGAAAGAGCAAAGGGATGATTGTCAAGAAGTTTAGGCTGCAATTCTATACTTTTGAACACTTGTGTTAGCTTGCATCCTTTTACCTATTTTCCTGCAAAATAAAGCAAAGGAAAAAAAAACTGCTTGGTCCAAAATTCTGAAAGATACCCATTGTTGAAAAGCTGATAGAGAGCTAGAAATCTGCTAAACTTTCCTCCCTTTTTTCTGACTCTCTTGATTAGTGGGTAAATAGAACTACTTTTATAAAGTATCTCTTTTTCTTTGTCATTTGGCATCCTTGGAATTTGAAAAAAAGATTGATCTACAATTAATTTGCCTTACTCCTACTCTTCTCCTTTTGTTTCTCCTCTGTTCTCAAGGACAAGCTTATGCTACATACAACTAGGAGTAATGTGTGACAGAGAACAGACTCATTAACAATTTGTTCACATCTGGTTTTCTTTTAAAATCTGACTCATCTTACAGGCTTTAGGAAGGTTCTAACTTTAGCTGCTCCTTCCTGGATCACTGCCTTGTCGTGGTGAAGGGGCTTGCGTAGCTCAATGAAACTATGAGCTATGCCATACAGGGCCACCCAAGACGGACAGGTCATAGCAGAGAGCTTTGACAAAACTTGATCCACTGGAGAAGGAAATGGCAACCCACTCCAGTATCTTTGCCATGAAAACCCCATGGACAGTACCAAAAGGCAAAAAGATATGACGCCGAAAGATGAGCCCCTCAGGTCGGAAGGTGTCCAGTATGCTACTGGGGAAGAGCAGAGGGCTAGTACTAGTAGTGCCAGAAAGAATGAAGCAACTGGGTCAAAGCCAAAAGGACACTCAGTTGCAGATGTATCTGGTGGTGAAAGGAGAGTCTGATGCTGCAAAGATCTATACTCCATGTAAGATCCAAGAATCAAGGCAAGCTGGATGTGGTCAAACAAGAGATGACAAGACTGAACATCGACATCTTAGGAATCAGTGAACTAAAATGGACAGGAATGGGTGAATTTAATTCAGATGACCATCAGGTATACTATGCGGGCAAGAATCCCTCAGAAGAAATGGAGTAGCCTTCATAGTGAATAAAAGAGTAGGAAAAGCAGTACTGGGATACAGTCTCCAAAGTGACAGAATGATCTCAGTTCGAATCCAAGGCAAACCATTCTGCATCACAATAGTCCAAGTCTATGCCCCAACCACTGGTGCTGAAGAGGCTGAAGTTGACCAGTTCTATGACGGCCTACAACACCTAGAATTAACGCCAAAAAATGATGTCCTTATCATCATGGGGGATTGGAATGCAAAAGGAGGAAGCCAAAAGATAACTGGAATAACAGGCAAGTTTGGCCTTGGAGTACAAAATGAAGCGGGGCACAGGTTGGTAGAATTTTGCCAAGAGAATACGATGGTCATAGCAAACACTCTTTTCCAACAACCCAAGAGACAGCGCTACACATGGACATCACCAGACGGTCAGCACAGAAATCAGATCGACTATGTGCTCTGCAGCCAAAGATGGAGAAACTCTATACAGTCAGTAAAAACTAGGCCAGGGGCTGACTGTGGCTCAGATCATGAGCTTCTCATTGCAAGATTTAGGCTTAAATTGAAGAAAGTAGGGAAAAGCACTAGGCCACTCAGGTATGACCTAAATCATATCCCTGATGAATATACAGTAGAGGTGACAAATAGATTCAAGGAATTAGATCTGATCGACAGAGTGCCTAAAGAACTATGGACAGAGGTTCACAACATTGTACAAGAGGTAGCAACTAAAACCATCCCAAAGAAAAAGAAATGCAAGAAAGCAAAATGGCTGTCTGAGGAGGCTTTACAAATAGCTGAGGAAAGAAGGGAAGTGGAAGGCAAGGGAGAAAGAGAAAGATACACCCAATTGAATGCAGAAGTCCAGAGAATAGCTAGAAGAGATAAGAATGCCTTCTTAAATGAACCGTGCAAAGAAACAAGAAAACAAAAGAATAGGGAGGTCCAGAGATCTCGTCAAGAAAATTGGAGATAGGAAGGGAACATTTCATGCAAGGATGGGGATGATAAAGGACCAAAATGGCAGGGACCTAACAGAGACAGAAGAAATTAAGAAGAGGTGGCAAGATTACACAGAAGACCTATACAAGAAAGAGCTTAACAATGCTGATAACCACGATGGGGTGGTCACTGACCTCAAGCCAGACATCCTGGAATGTGAAGTCAAATGGGCCGTAGCAAGTCTGAGCAACAACAAAGCTAGTGGAGGTGACAGTATTCCAGCTGAGCTATTCAAAATCCTAAAAGATGATGCAGTAAAAGTACTACACTCAATATGCCAGCAAATTTGGAAAACTCAACAGTGGCCGCAGGATTGGAAAAGGTGAGTTTACATTCCGATCCCAAAGAAGGGCAATGCCAAAGAATGTTCAAACTACCGCACCATTGCACTCATTTCACATGCTAGCAAAATTATGCTCAAAATCCTACAAGCTAGGCTCCAGCAGTATGTGGACCGAGAACTACCAGAAGTACAGGGAGGATTTTGAAGAGGGAGAGGAAGTAGAGATCAAATTGCCAACAAACGCTGGATTATGGAGAAAGCTAGGGAGTTCCAGAAAAACATCTACTTCTGCCTTATTGACTATGCTAAAGCCTTTGATTGTGTGGATCACAACAAATTGTGGCAAGTTCTTAAAGAGATGGGAGTACCAGATCATCTTATTGTCTCTTGAGAAACCTATATGCGGGTCAAGAAGCAACAGTGAGAACTGGACACGGAACCACTGATTGGTTCAAAATTGAGAAAGGAGTTCGGCAAGGCTGTATACTGTCACTCTGCCTATTTAACTTATATGCAGAGCACATCATGAGAAAGGCGGGGCTAGATGAAGCACCAGTTGGAATTAAGATTTCTGGGAGAAATATCAACAACCTCAGATATGCAGATGATACCACTCTAATGGCAGAAAGTGAAGAGGAACTAAACAGCCTCTTGATGCGGGTGAAGGAGGAGAGCGCAAAAGTTGGCTTGAAACTCAACATTAAGAAAACTAAGATCATGGCATCCGGTCCTCTCACTCCCTGGCAAATAGATGGGGAAGAAATGGAGGTAGTGACAGATTTTATTTTCCTGGGCTCCAAGATCACCACAGACGGGGACTACAGCCAAGAAATTAAAAGACACTTGCTCCTTGGGAGGAAAGCTATGGCAAATCTTGGGAGGAAAGCTATGGGGACTGGCCCCACCCCCGACCTGCTGCCACTGCTGCACACTGCGAGGCCAACACCACAAGGCAGACCACCAGACCGAGGGTCTGCTGACACTGCCAACAGAGAGACGGTGGCCACCGCGGGACCTGGGACTGGAGGATGCTGCGGCCTGACTGCGGGCCCACCATCACCCGCTGTTGCCATTTTGCTGGCAAGTTTGTCCGCCGCCTCCCTTGCCCACCTCCTCCGTCGGCGTGGGTGGCAGCAGCGCCGGATTGGGGGCCGGGCGGGGCGGGGCGCCGGGACGAGCCGCCGGCATAACTCGCCAGATGTGGCCGAGCTGGCGCCGGAACTGGGACTCCCCCACCTGCCACTGCACACCGCGAGGCTGACACTGCGAGGCTGACCACCGGACCGAAGGTCTGCTGACACTGCCGACCGAGAGATGGCAGCCACCCTGGGACCTGGGACCGGAGGACGTCGCGGCCAGACTGCGGGCCCGCCATCGCCCGCCATCGCCATTTTGCTGATGAGTTTCTCTGCAGCTGCCCTTGACCCACTCTGCCGCTGGCATGGGTGGCAGCTGCACCGGATTGGGGGCGGGGCATGGGGACGAGCCGCTGGCAGAACTTGCCGGATGCGGCCGGGGTGGGCAGCCTTGGGCTGGTGGCCGAAGGGTGACGGCCTAAGGGTGTTCGTCGCCGTTTTGGGGCCATGCGGGGGCTGGCCTGGCCAGCGACTTTACCCAACTGAGTTTGTATTGGGTGGTTAGTGGGGAGTTGTAAGGGTTTTATTGTATTTTTAACTTGTATTTTAGCTTAGTTTTTAATGGATTCATTCCTGGCTACTGCTATGAGTTTGCCTGGGGAGCGTGTGGTGCTACCATTAGGGTGGTCATGGGCAATGGTCGTTTTGGTGTTGGGGGTTTAACGAGTTGGGACAGATGATTAACACCTGTTCCCCCTTCTGGTTATTCCTCCAGCTGGAGGGTTCCAGGTAGGTTTATCAACCACCCCCGGGCCTGTCGGTGCTGTTGCTTAATGCCAGGTAATAATAAAACATCCGTCATCCATGACTTGATTGTGGATGAGGGGGCCAACCTGGCTTGCATAACAGAGACCTGGGTGGGAGAGGGGAGGATGTCTCCCTCTCTCAACTGTGCCTGTCCAGATATCTGGTGCAGCACCATCCACGCCTGGAGGGGAGGGGAGGGGGGTCGTTTTAATTTACCGAGCTTCCATCTCCCTCATGGGGCTTCCTGTTCTCTCGAGACCGGGTCTAGAGTGCCTCTATTTGGTGTTGGGCGACCGAGACAGATTGGGGATTCTGTTGGTGTACCGTGCACCCTTCTACCCAACAGAATCCCTTCCTGAGCTGACGGAGATCATCTCGGACCTGGTGTTGAGGACCCCCAGGATGTTGGCCCTGGGGGACTTCAATTTCCATGCTGAGACTGTTCTGACCAGGGCAGCTCAGGACTTCATGGCCTCCATGATGGCCATGGGGCTGTCTCAACATGTCATAGGCCCAACCCATGAATGTGGACACATGCTGGACCTGGTTTTCTTGACGGGGCAGGAAGAGGGGGATCTGAGGGTGAGGAATTTGCATTTGACTCCCCTGTCATGGTCAAATCATTTCCTCGTGAGGTTTGAGCTCGATAGCAGCCTTTCGCTCCATAAGGGTGCGGATCCTATCGTGTTGGTCTGCCCCCGGAGCCGGATGGATCCGGATGGGTTCCTGAAGGCTCTGCGGGAATTTCCAGTTGATAAGGCTGGTGCTCCTGTTGATGCTCTGGTCGAACTGTGGAATGGGGAAATGACCAGGGCTATTGACATGATCGCTCCTAAGCGTCCTCTCCCGCCTGGCAGAGCCCGTTCATCCCCCTGGTATACACTTGAACTACGGGTGATGAAGCGGGTTGGGAGACGTCTAGAGTGTAGGTGGAGGAAATCGTAGGATGAATCTGACTGAACACACTTGCGAGCTCACTATCAAGCCTATGCTGTGGCGGTGAGGGCGGCGAAGAAGAAATTCTTCTCCGCTTCCATTGCCTCCTCACAGTGCCGTCCAGCGGAGCTCTTTCGGGTGGTACAGGGGCTGGTTCAGCCAGGCCCCAAGAAAGATCCCGTACCGCCCTCAACGGCCTGCTGTGATGACTTTGCCAAGCATTTTAAGGAGAAAATCGCTCAGATTCGTCACGAGCTGGACTCCACTAGTGACTTGGAGCCCTCAGGGGAGGTGCCAATGTTGCCGTCTGGTCCAAAATTGTTGGATGAGTTCCAGTTATTGCGGCCTGATGATGTGGACAAGGTGCTTGGACAAGTACATCCCACCACCTGTTTATTGGACCCTTGCCCGTCGTGACTGCTTAAGTGATTGCGGTGGCGAGGAGCGCTTTCATTCAGCTTTGGTTGATCCATCAGCTGCGTCCCTACCTGGAGAATGATTGCTTGGTGACAGTGACACATTTATTTATTTATTATTTATTTAAAACATTTCTATGCCGCCCCATTGCAATAAAGCCTCGGGGCGGCTCACAACATCAGTAAACCATACAATAAAACCCCAGTGCCATAAAACCTCAATAAAACCACATGCATTGGTTACTTCCCGATTGGACTTCTGTAACGCGCTCTATGTGGGGCTGCCCTTGAAGACAGTTAGGATACTTCAGATGGTGAAAAATAGAGCAGCCAGGTTGCTGATGGGGACTGGGCATTATTCTCATATAACCCCAGTCCTCTACCAGCTTCACTGGCTCCCCATCGAAGTCCAGGCTGAATTCAAGGTGCTGATTATCACCTACACAGCCCCTAACAACTTGGGACCTGGATATCTAAAGGAACACCTGCTTCCATATTTGCCCTCCCGCCCCTTGAGATCAGCGGCAGAGGCCCTCCTCTGGGAATCCTCCGTGAAAGATATTAGGAGAGTGAGTACCCAGAGGAGGGCTTTCTCTGCGGTGGCGCCCCACTTATGGAATGCGCTCCCCAGAGAGGTCTGCCTGGCGCTGTCGTTACTTGCTTTTTGGCACCAGGCCAAGACTTTAAATGATATTTTAATAATTTTTGATGTTATTTATTGGTTTTAAAATATTTAGCCAGGATGCATCCAGATTTTATATGTATTTATTTGTATGTGTATTTATTTATGATGTTGGAAGCCGTCCCGAGGCTTATGCAAATAGGACGACATACAAAAATTCCAAATAAATAAAATAAATAAATCTAGACAGCATACTAAAAAACAGAGACATCACCCTGCCAACAAAAGTGCATAAAGACAAGGCTATGGTTTTGCCAGTTGCAATGTATGGCTGTGAAAGCTGGACCATAAGGAAGGCTGAGTGCAAAAGGATTGAGGCCTTTGAATTGTGGTGCTGGAGGAGACTCCTGCGAGTCCACTGGACTGCAAGGCAATCAAACCGGTCAGTCCTAGAGGAGATCAACCCTGACTGCTCTTTAGAAGGCCAGATACTGAAGATGAAAATCAAATACTTTGGCCACCTAATGAGAAGGAAGGACTCCCTGGAGAAGAGCCTAATGTTGGGAACAATAGATGGCAAAAGAAGAGGACAGCAGAGGATGAGGTGGCTAGATGGAGTCACTGAAGCAGTTGGTGTGCGCTTAAGCGAACTCCGGGAGATGGTGGAGGACAGGAGGGCCTGGAGGAATGTTGTCCATGGGGTCGCGATGGGTCGGACATGACTTCGTGACTAACAACAACAACAAACTTTAGCTGATCATAACAAGAAAAAATGAAAGTGAATGGGTTAAATACAGAAACTGGGGACTGACTGCTTGAAAATTCATGTGACAAGTTAACAAATGCTGTGGAAAGTTTGGCTGACTATTGATCTTTTGAGGATAGAGTTTTAGCTTATTAGCCCTCATCTGGTCCATTGTTGCAGCCAGGCACCAGTCTGGTGCATTCACAACTGGGCACATTCATTCTAGCACATTCATTCACCTGACGAAAACAAAAAGGAGAAACAACTGTATCTTACCAACTTATTGATGGCGTTGTACTCCAAAATGGTTTCATGTAGGCATTAAACAGTATGGGGGGATAAAATGAGCCCCAGCAGGTCCCCTTTTAAAAGAATACTTGAGGCCAAGCCACATTCCCCCTTAGCACCACCATCCTAATACGAGCAAAAGCACTGCAATGCAGTATCCCTCACTTTCAGCCAGACAGTTGCCCCAGGAGGATACCACTGCTGGTGTATCAGAAGCCACTGGAGAGATCAAGGGAAATCAATACTCTGAAATTACATTCTTAGAAAACTAAACTAAACTTAAAAAAAAACCTCTTTTGCATTATTTGTTAAGGAAATGTAATTCTGTACCCAAATTCAGGTTATATGTCACTCTTCCATTTTAATTTGAATGCTACTCTTAGATTTTATTGGACTGTATGGTTCTTGCTGCTGTGTTTCTTGGTTTTTATGATATGTTTTCAAGGTGCTTTATTTTCTTTCAGGCTAGGTGCTTGCAAGCCAAAAGTACACTTTTTAAATTAAATAAGTAACATATTCACATTGACCTTTCTTCAGGTGGTCAGGATAAAATAGCATGAAGTCTATTGCCAGATATTACTGAATTCAGTATATATGATGCTCTAGGTCAGTGTTGGACAACAACTCCCATATTCCCCAGGGGACATTGGAAATTACAGGAGCTGCAGGGATCCAGGTTGGGGAATGCTACTCTAGTCAGAACCCAGGATCCTTTCATCACTATTGTAGTAGGTAGTGGCTATTCAATAACATTGACCTATTTTACCGCCTTTTTTTAGATGTCAAGAAAAGAAAAAGAATCATCTCAGGAAGAAGTTAGTCTTCTGGCCAGGATGAAGCACCCCAATATAGTAGCCTTCTATACTTCCTTTCATGGTATCTTCTTATTTGCAACTATTCAAATATTTAAAAGATTCTGTGATAAATTATATTTTGTGAGAAGAGAGAATATCTTGAAATAATTAGTTTGAATCCTTCAAAGGAGGCTAAATGCAAGGGAGTGCAACACGCCACCTGTACAGCTCATTGTTGTGTAGGAGGAGACATTTTGGCTGGTGTGGCTTCTCATGCAGCACTACAAAAAGTTGCTCAGTGTCAAATTTCCTCTTTCTCACAAGTCACAGGAGCCCTATTCTCTTCTTTTGCTTCTAGTCATCCAAGTGTTATGGATACCTAGAATGGGGGGTGGGGGGGTGGGTAGCAAAATGTGATAGAAGACAGAGTTTCTGCACCTTTAATAGTTGCTCTGGAAAGAGAATTTCAGCAGGTGCAGCTTGTGTCCTTTTGTGCATCTCGCCTTTACTCCCGCCCTAAGTGGGAGTAAAGGCATGCCTAATCTCTGAGGCCTTTGTTTATTGGAGATAGCTGGCGCTATCTTCCCATCACAGAAACTGTGTCATGCGCATTGAAGGCCTGAGAGACTGGAGAGCCTGTAAATGAGACCAGCCTTCCATAATAGATTAACCTGCACGGTTTGTATAAAGAGTCTTGAACATAAACATTCAATTGCACATGGCTTTGAACATTCTTGAACAGTGAAGCAGGCTAGATGTTTTGAAAATAAGCAATATGCTCACTTAGTCTTTTTGTGAAGTTTGCTATTGCTGTACTATCTGTATCGAATACAGTTAACTGTTGTGCATCTAATTCAAAAGTTTGTTCAAAACTCCATCTATTTTATTATAGAAAAAAATAAGTTATATATTATTATGGAATATTGTGATGGAGGTGACTTAATGAAGAGGATAAACATGCAGCATGGAGTGCTGTTTGATGAGGATAAGGTATGTTTGCATTTTGAAGAACTCTTTTCCTTCTACCCCTTCAACTATTTATTGCAGAAAAAAGGAAACAAAGTATATTGCCATTGCCAGGTTCTTTTATTTATACTTGAGTTATAATATATTTGATGTCTTAATAATATAAACAGACTTACATATTATACATAAAAACAAGTAACATATGTTATTTGCATATGCATATGGTTTCTGTAACTTACCTTCCACAATTTAGCAGCCTCCAGATGTATTGGACTACAACTCCCATAATCCTAGCATAGCTAAGTTACTAGGTTAAGGGCTTTACTCTTTGATCAGTGTTATAACAGATTAAATACCTTATATATCAACAATCTACAACTAATCAATAATTGTTACTAAAACACCTTTTGTTTTGTGCTTTTTAGAAAGTGTGTTCATATAGCCATAATTACATATTCCTCTATCTTCCCAGCTTTTATTTTCTAGCAGACTTGCACTGGAGTAAGATGACTGTCCTTACCTGAAAATGGTTGCACAAGTTCTGGTTTTGGTTAGTTAATATGGAGAAAGCACTCCATGAGTGCATTATGGGGAAAGCACATAAATGTGCTTCCATTAGTTTTTATGTTCTAGGGTTCAGCCCACCCTATCAAATATGTTTCCAGGACACGAGCAGGGGTCCTAGGAACAAGCTTGGGCTTGAAGACAAGGGTGGTGCAGGCAGGTGGGCCTAGCCTGGGTGGGCCCATTGAAGACTACAGAAGATACGAGAAACTAATAGAAGAACTACAGCATATTGCTTGTGAGCTTCTGTTGCTGACTGGATGTTTCTGGCCTAGTAGAACACACTGCAACTGTGGCTGAGTTTTGGGTCTGTGTCTGCATTTGTCAAGAGTGAAATTTGACTCTGTTCTTAGAGCAACCCAGACATGTACCACACACACATATAAAGAATCACTATTCATTTAATTCTTACTGGTAAATGTATATTTTAAAGAAAGATTTTTTATAGCATTCCTGTGTAAATTGGAATGATTATTCTTTATAAGATTTTGGCATCTTATCTTCATCTGTAGATCTTGGGCTGGTTTGTTCAAATCTGTTTAGGCCTGAAGCATATACATGACAGGAAGATTCTACACAGAGATGTAAAAGCACAGGTAATCCTTGGAAATAGTCTTTCATCCATGGTTGATCCATAGCATCTCCTTTTACTGTGGTATACTATTTTTTATTTACAGAACATTTTTCTCAACAATAGTGGAATTACTGCAAAACTTGGAGACTTTGGGATTGCAAGAATGTTGAGCAAGTAAGAATAATTTAACAGACTCCCCATGCTGTTGTTTTTAATTGTTGTTGTTAATGCTGAAGTTGTTGTTAATGCTGAAAACAAGTTGACTGTGTACCAATCTTGGTCTGAACAGTGAAAAATCTAAAGAATGACAAAGATTGATCTGGTTCAGACATCATTGAGAATGAGATTCAGCAAGCTTGTGTGCTGGACTCTTGTAATTTGTTATAGATGGAGAAAGGGAGATTTAAAAATCACCTTTAATTTTTGAATATGCATCAGTTTCCCATTATGACTGAAAGGAAATTATTCTGATTAGTTAACAATCCAGGGGCTAAACATCATGGGTTGTGCATAGTTTCTTTGAACCTACTACAGTAAATTCTCTGGACTTTTGTGGTCTAAATCAAGAATGCAGGGCTGGCCTAAAACATTTTGTTGCCTAAGCAGCAAATGACGCCTCCCATTGTCTAAGTTAAAATGCATACTCCAAACATGCACAGAATTTGCAATGTTTAAAGGAACATTTTATTTCAGAGTAAACATAAGTCACATCATTATGCCACCTGCCTGTTTTCCCTGTTGGGCCAATGATACATGCCCCTAACCCAAAGAACCAAAATAGGCCCAAAGATAACATATAACCTATGGGTTTGTGCATGCCCTCCCCACCAGCACCTTTTTGCTGCATCTGCCCGTGAAGAATGCCTTGTGCTGCCTGATTCTATCCACGCTGAGGGGGAGGGTTTAAGGAACAGTAGCAGGGCTCAAGAGGAACAGTCCTGCTCCTGTTGGTCCTGCAAATTTGGAGCAAATTTTCATAATCAATTTTGGATTTGTGAATGAAGGAGTATTGTTTTCTGGAAAGGTCATGGCAAAGACCTATAGCCTTGTATTGATATTGGGAAAATGACAGAAAATCCAAAAGACAGTAATGCAAATATTTTAAAAATGTGTCTGTATTAAGCAGATTTGTTCTGATAAAATTTAGTGCAGCTATATCTAATTTTAAATCACAAACAAATAAAACAGTTTCACCATTTCTTGCTTTCCTTTTTGTTCTCAATCTCTAGTTAAATAGTTTTTAGTTACTAAGTACCACTGAAATATAAATGATTGCACAATATATTTAGAGGACACTGAACAGAGAGATTCCTGTTACACTCTATAACTGTAAATAGCTTCTAATAATTTGAAACAGCAGAAACTTTGGGTTTGGCAATTGGTCAAACTGGATGCCATGTTAAAGGTGTATTTGCATATAATATGACCATTTAAAAATGCTCTGGAAATGGGTGGGAGAGAATTACCCAGACCACTACAGCGCAGATGGGAAAATGAAACTTTCTCCTGTTTTACTAGGATCCTAACGAAAAGCACTCCTTTAAACTAGTCTTTTCCAGATGTGTTGGACTGCAACATCCAACATTCCTAGCCAGTATGGTGAGCGGTCAGGAATCCTGGGAGATACTGGATTGGGGAAGGTTACCTTTAAACTGCTATTCGCTTTAGAAAAGAATCCCATTAGTGTCAGCAGGGGATTTCTTCCCAAGGCAAATAATCCTTTTAAAAGTGTGCTAAATGTAAAAACACTAAAAGTTTAACATGAGTCAGAATCAAGTTGATTTTTATTCAATTTGCTGCTGATCCCCCCCGCCCCAAACAATGGTAATGTGTCACTAGAAGTTTGTATCTCTTGATTCAGTTCTGTTTCTTTGAGAAAGGATAAATTCACTATAAAATCAAAAATATTGCATGCTTAACCATTTGATGTAGGAGCTCAGATAGAACACCCTCATGCCATTCCTTGCTCTTTTCTGTTCTTTTATTGTGCCTAGTACAAAAAGTGGCTGTGAGTGCAGGTGGCTGAGCCTGCAAACTTTACCTGTTTTTATTTCTTGTGCACTTGCACTAATCCATGTAGGATGATTTATGTAAACACATTACTTCAGTATTGGCCAGCAAAATGTGAAACATTCAACAAACTGGCAACACTTCAGCATACCACGTTTTCTGTAGTATGGAGACAGCTACCATATATTTTCATTTCAGCCAGTGCAACTCAGTATTGTGTTGTGTGTGGCATGTTTAAGCTGTCATCTTAGTGAACAGCCAGCCTAAAGAAATTCTGGCAGAAGCTTGTCCATCCTCTTGGATAAACTTCTTTGTTTCACTTATTTGGATAATTTGCTGAACTTCATGGTTTTCTAACTATATGAGGAAACTTATATTTCTGTTGAACAAAAGAGTAATATTGCAGTTAGGTGACAGCATTATTCTTTGGGAGCAGTTTTAACTAAGCTTTTGAAAGAGAGTTGGGGTTTTTTTTGGTTTTTGTTTTTTGTTTTTTGGTCACTTTAGTTGGAATGCAGCAGTAGGGGGAATGTCTTTTACTTCCAAGGCCAAATTCACTTCTGGAGAGATGTTGCATTCTAGCAGTGGGCAGAATCAAAAACAAAACCAGTCAGGTCAAAATAAAAACACCTCCCCCCACCCCACCCAACACACATACAAACCAACATATCCCAGCATATTGTATCTTAATGCTTTTACTGCCACTAAGTAAGCCTTTGGAGAGACATAACATTTCAGCCTGTTAGAATAGGAAAAAAACTGTACAAAATCAGAGAAAACACCACATAATTGGTGGTTGAGGGAAAGACTGTAGGGCCAGCAGAGGGAACATAGCCACCTGGAGAATTCCAGAGGGCTGCATTTGGCCACCTTGCTTGAGGTTCATTCACCCCTGCAGGACAGCTTTTCTGTTGACTGTAGAAATATATAATATATAGGCTGGTTCTTTCTTGGGTATTTAAATAATGGCTGTTATTTCCCTCAGAGTCTAAAGTTTATCCTCCATGGGCAATTCTAGAGCAGTCTGCTCCAACCTGGTACCCTCCAATTGTTTTGGACTTCCATGGGGTCAGTGGTGGGGGATGCTAGGAAATGTACTCCAAAACATCTGGAAGGTACCGGTTAGGGAAGGCTATTCTCATCCCACTTTTCCTATTTGCAGGGTAAATTTACTGTTAAAACCATTTTCCACCACTGCTTTTTCAGTACTATGGAATTTGCTCGTACCTGCATAGGAACACCGTATTATTTGTCACCTGAAATCTGTGAGAACAGATCATATAACAATAAAACGTAAGTTTCAAAATATTCTTGGCTGATATCATGTGGGCAGCAAAAAAAAGCTACAGTTGGAACTGAAAGGAACCAAGCAATGCTAGCAAGCCTATGACTGTTAAACTATTAGCATGTAAGCAAAAAATCGTGTATCTGCTCTCTTACAAACTAAAATTATGTATATTTTGCATGGAATTTAAAATAGAATATTTATGGTCTGACTGACTTTGCTAAGCTCAAATAGCCATACTATGCAGTCCTCCCTGCCATTAATTCCTTGTGCTTCTTCTACAATTAAAATATGCATTATTCCACACAGGTAGTTCAGCAGATGATGAGTTTATCTGCTCCTTACCTATTTTCCTTTCATCCCCTATATTTCCACATTTAATCTTAAATAAGGAAATCGTCCTGTGGCATCTGGACAGCACTTTACCTCAGAGCGGGGAATAGGAGCTCCACTCTCCCTTGCATCTCATAGCTGGTGTGGGAAGAACTGCACTGTCTGCACTCTGAAGTCAGGAAAGGGACCTTAGGGAATCAGATGGATGTGATCTGATCCTGAGATTGCTTCACCTGTTTTGCCTCCATTTTCAGATGCTATCACTGGACTGCCAAAAATAGCTGTTTAGCAAAAATGCAGAGCAGGAGGCAGAAATTGCTTCCATTCCATTTTTGTAAGCCATCCTGAGTGCTTGGCGGAAGGATGGGATATAAATGTTTGTAATAAAGAAATAAATAAATTCTACTTTCTGCTCTGTTTTGGATCCTCTGAGTTTGTTGTGGGGGGGGGCACACTCATCTCTAGAGGATCACACCCTTAATTTGGAATTTAGATACTTTGGACTACCAGATAATTGTTTCCCAGGTTGTTCTTTCATACTGCTTGATTTGACTAAGGGGAGGAGAGGAAAAAGGCTGAACTTAGGCAGTGGTAACTTAAATTTAGAAGGGAGTTTACCTTCCCAGGAAGAAAATTTGAGTTGTATCCAGTTAAGTACTTCTGCAGATGGAAGTTCTTCTGACAGTGTAACAGAGCAAAGGCAATTTCCCTTCCCTTCTGCAGCCTCTGGCAGACCTTAGAAGTTTACACCAGAGGGTTGGGGAACCATTGGGTGTAGATCTGAGGAGGGAGGACATGAGGGACTGCAGTAAGAAGAGGAAAGAATATCCTGTGTGCCAATTAATGCCTGCTTGTGTGATGTTGGTTTCTGTCCTCCTGCTTAGGAGCTAGGGAAAATCAATAGGTTGTGGCAGACATAAACAAGAGTGGTGTGAGTCAGCTTTGCCTTCAGGGCATCTGGTGGCTTCTTTACACTTGCTTCCTTGGCTAGGCAGGTTTGAGGCAAAAATATTGAAGACATTTGGTGCTTCCTGAATAGCTGTTTACTAAGTACAAAGCCTATTTGGCCCCAATGGGTGATCAATGAAATGATTTTCACAAGCTTACAATGATTGACAAAGCAACTGTATGACTGCTCAATGGTATATGGAGGGCCATAGCATTTTGGGTGGCTCCAGCTTGGAAGATTGTTCCAGCCTCAGAGCTGAGGATCAGTACTCAGATTCCCCTTCCCATTCCACTGCTAGTATTGAAAGAACCACACCGGTTGCTTCTCCAGGGTCTCACAAGAAACCTTGGAGAAGAATTTTAAGCGACAAGGGAGGAGAGAAAGTCAGTACTGCTGAAATACAGCTTCTACCCTTCTAAAAACAAGTTGGCAATGCTGCAACTTTCTACCCTCCTGCTCCGAAATGCCACAACAAGGCAGCTGAAATTGCCCATCCAGCTGCTTGGTAGAGTGAGAAAAGTACAGAGGTGACTTGCCTTTGTGCTTCTTCCACTCTTCATTGAATGTCCCAAATCCTCCAAGTTACCAAGATCCCCACTGGATTGCACCCCAAATAAATAGAATCATCAGGGGAAAATGAAGTTTTTCCACATTTATTAATAAAGCCAAAATCTCATATAAATTCATTTACTGTCTTTTTTACAATCAGACTTTACTTTTTAAAAACTAATCAAATGATGTTCCCATAATAAACATTAATTAATTACAATCAATGTGTTTTGGACTGACAAGACTCCTGGTTTTACTGAGCCTCCAATTAAATAAATGAACTAACTTCTGGCATAAATCTTTTTTGTGAATTACAACCTTTTTGATAGGATTTTATTAATTTGCATACAGAGTTGTGTTGCTGTATTCAGTTTACTTTCCCCTTTCTTCTAAAGGGATATATGGTCTCTTGGCTGTGTGTTATATGAGCTCTGTACTTTAAAGCATCCTGTAAGTATGTGAACAGAATGATTATCCTTCCATTTTTGTATAAAATCCATACCAAAACTGAGACTTTTTCTTCTGGAGCCATTTAGTGGCTGCTATTAGAATCATCACCCTAAATGGAACCGGGCTTCTTGATTTGGGGTAGACTGTGGAGGAATGTCAAATTTTACAGATATAAGAAGGGGCTTTTTTGTGGGTGACATTTAATACAGGAAGATGTATTTGCTCAAAAGTTTTCTTTACAACTTTATAATTTCTGATGTATAATCAAATTCAATTAACATAGATTAGATTACATAACATAGCTCTTTGGCACCTATTCATGGAATAAGAATACATATTACTTTCCAGTCTTTCAATCTAACTGTAGTGTACAGTGATAATTCTAATCTGTTTTAAGGTATATATACATTGTCCTATTTCAATAATCTTTTTGTTGTTCTTTTTGGTATTTTGTGCTATTTTCCACCTACGTGATAAACATGTATAGATGGACATTCATACCTTGTGTATCATACTTGAGATTGTGAAAAGAGAGGGCTTCACAAATGAAGGACAGTAAAGCTGAGCTTAATTAATGATTTGGGGGTTGCTAAGAGAAAGTAAAGACTGTGCTTTCCTATGTCATCTTTCATTTTCTGTTAGCACTTTTTAAGAGCATTTCTGCTTAAATTCGTAGTTTACCATTTATGACTGTATTTTAATATAACAGTTTGAAGGCGACAGCTTTCCTCACCTTGTGTTGAAGATCTGCAGAGGCCATTTCATTCCAGTATCTACAAAGTATTCATACGACCTTAGATCATTAATATCCCAGTTGTTTAAAACCTCTCCAAAAGACCGCCCTTCTATCAACTCCATTTTAAAAAAGCCCTTTTTGGAGAAGCAGATAAGGAAATACTTGCCTGCTGAGGTAAGTGTCTGCTGTGGCAAAGGGAAGAGGCACAAGCCATTAAAAAACATAACCCATCCCACCACTTTAGTAATCTTTCTCCATTTTTTTTTTTTTTTTGTGGAGGAAGTACATCCTTGGTACTTTTAAGTGTACTAATATTTACAATGAGGTGTAGAGGAATGTTTACTTGGGGAATGGAAGGCTGTTTCTGCTTGCCCTCACCAAGAAAACATGCTGAAGGGAGAATGATTGTGTCTCTTTGCCATGGATTGTCAGAATTAGCTACCAATTTTAATATAACACTTAGTGGAACGCATCTTGGTGGGACACACTCAGTAAAGATGTAACACAGAAATACACACAATCTGTCTTACTTGCTTCTAGGTCATGGAAGAAGAATTCAGCCACACTGTTATTCATGGAAAAAGACCACCCGCATCAATATCTTCAGGCAAGCTATTGCATACTTTAGTTTTTATGAACAAGAGCATAATACTGAAGTATATGTGTGAGTTTGTGTATCTATAATGTTTAATTTAACCTGAGAGTGGTTGTGAGACATGATGCGTTTCAGAAGAGAATCTGAGAGGAGCCAGTTGGTGCCAGAGGTCAGACTAGATGGCCCAGAAGACCCCTTCTGACTCGCTCTGTTTCTATGTTTATACCCTGCAATAAGTTTGCCTGCACCTTTCTATTTGAGGAAAAGGTCACAATAAAACTTGAGTAAATAGACAGCATAAGAGGTAATATTTCAAGTTCTTGCCTTATTCTGCTGCTGCTACAGGTGAGAAGTAGGATCTGTAGGTACAATGCTTAAGATCCATGGAATAGTTTTAGCTAGGTTTAACTTCCTTACAGGAAAATGAAACATTATATATTTATTTATCGATCGATCAGTTACATTTTTATATGCCCAATATTCCCTTTACTGGAATATATTCAAGCCTCTGATGTTTATACCTGAAGTAGTGGTACAGAATCTCAGGCCTTCCAAGCAAATCCAGTCCACCTGGAATCTCAGTCTAACTCACCTGGGATCCTGAGATGACCCTTTCCCTCACCACAAATTGCTCGTTATTTTCCTGTCTTTTTGAAGTTTTGTCCCCATTCTGAAGGTTTGAAATGTGTCTCCTTACTGCCAGTAAGAGCTTTAAGCATCAACGTGCTACTGTTTTTAGCAGACTGACCCTCTCCTTTGATCTCCAGCCCTGCCCACTACTAGAATGGGGCCCGCAAAAGCTTCTCTGGCCTGGACTTCAGCTGAAAGAGGTTTCACACCACTAAAGCATAAACATGTATAGAATTCCCAATTCTCCAATAAAAGTAACTTGTTTTTACACACATTGTTCTGAAATGCCTCTTGTTCTGGTAAGCTAGGTAATAGTGGAAGGGAGACCTGTGTATGGTCAACACACTACATATACACAGTCAAGATTTCCTTGATGGTAGTGGCTGAGCAAGCTGATATTGAGAATGATAGACCAATGTTGTCCTCAGTGGAATATGAAGGGTTAGCTAAATAGAAATGGACAATGTTAAGCAGTTCAAAGAGCAATGTTTGGAAGTAATTCGTTTACAGCTCTAGTGAATGGCAACAGAATGGCACACCAGGGGGTGGGGTGGGGAAACAGAATTTACCACTGAGTGCAGTGTAGCAGTGGTTCGGGGATTTGCAGTGTCAGGTATATTTAGACTATTTAGAATATAGCATTGCTATATCAATCTCTTATATAATATCACATTTGAAATAAATAATGATCGAAACATCCTTTAATTGAAATATTAAAAAGCTCCTAAAGTTCAGAAACCAAGAATCCATAGTCATCACTCTCCAAAAATCAAGATGGAGATGCATCCCAGAAAACAAGAATTATTATATAAAAACAAATGGAACTTTCCTTCAGCAGGCCAGGATCCTATTAACCAGGTAATGAAAATACTCTGTATTGTTGGCATTTGATAATTTAATAGTATTCCTTTTCTTCTTGTGCTTTCCTTTTGTAGCTGTAGGTGGCATAATTAATTTTTGCTGACTAAGGGACAAACTTGATGTGAAGTTAAAGAGCTCTTTGATACCAATGCCTAGACTTGTTTTCCATTAAAAAAAACTTACAGGAAACTTGGGGCCAAGTCTGAATCAGGGCCCCTTGTGGCTGCTTTTAGTTTGTTGGTGATGGTGGTGGTTTGGAAAAGGAAAACCGTAAGTAGGGGATTTAGAGATGTGTAATCTTCGGTTTTTTAAACCTCTTACAATATCACAGTTTGTCCTATTGCTCTGAATCTAAATCACAGCACTATCATAAACTGTCTGGATGCAGCTGCAATTTCCTCTCCCCCTAGACCTTGGGCCAGGAAGAAGAGAATACATACTGAGAATGTCCTAAAGCATTATTCTCGACCTAATACCCTTCAGATGTGTGACAAACAATATTTAAGACATAGTGTGCATTGTTTAGGCTTTTGGAAGGCCAAAGTGGCTCATGGGCTTATGTGAGAGGAAGAAAATGAATTGAGGCTTACATACTCAAATGGTTTGCAGAATATTGTGTGCACAGAACTACCATTAGCTGCAGCAATTGATAGGAAATGGAAAAACCACTTGCTTTTTCTGTTATATCCCACTCTTCCTTAGAAAGGTCAGGCTCTCCATGGTTTCCAATCCAGGTACCAGTCAGGTCCAGAGTAACCAGTCAGGTCCACAATTTCAGCAACACTACAACATTAAGTGCCATTCACTGTGCCCAAGAAAAGTATGATGAGCAACATGGATAACAATTCATATTCAGCGTAACAGATTGGTTGTCCTTACAATGTTCATGTATATGATTGGTTTGCAGCTCTGGAGTCCTAAGCTTAAGATATCTGAGAAAGCAGAAGCTGCCAGAATATGTGGGCACTATGACCACTATTATGTGAAACTTGCAAACTTGCAGAAAAGGCCATTGGTGCAGGAGGATGGTCCACTTATTGGTCAAAGAATGGAAGACTATTATAAGCAAAAAGGACAAGAACTGCCACCACCTCCACCTCACTGGTAGTAAATATTTTCCTGAATAGAGATACCTCTGTTGATTCTGGCAAAGTAATTCCTCCTGGATATGTGAGAGCTGCTGTGATTTTATTGACTAGTTTGCTCAAACTTAAACTTTCAGTTCAATCTCACAGAGACTAGGTGTGCTTAAGAACATTGATTTCAGACTGTTTGTGTTGAGACTCTGAAGTGAAGTGGAATATGAGCAAATTTGTCTATGGCAAAAGTTGAAGAATGGGGGTTCACAAGCTGATGAATTAGTTTTCAGAAGGAGGCAGTCTGTAGTTACTAGGCTATTCATGACCTGAAACAGAGATGTGACAGGAAAAAGTTGTACTTCCAAGTTAATGTTGTACAGGGAAGTCATATACATGTTTAATCCAAAGTAAATCCCTTTGCATTCTTATTCCTAGGTAGGTGCTTATTGGTTTGCAGCCTTAATTTAATATTTATGTGAAGCACAATTTACTATGGAAAATCAACAGTGAAACTTAAAATGATTTCCAGTTTGAGGAAATCATCCATTTCCTGTTTGAGTTTTTACTGAATTTTATGTTTTCCTCTCAGGCCTGCAGAATACCTTCAAAGGCGATTCAGTGCGCAACAGTACAAATTAAAAGTAGAGAATCGTCTTGTAAGCATGTTTAATTTTAATTTATTCATATTGTAGTAGTTGTTATTATTACACTTGCATTATTATTATTGTACTTACATCCCAACTTTCTTCCTCTTGTGAGAAACCCAACATAGCTTAAATAGTTACATTTTATCTTCACAGCAAGAAACCTGTGAGGTAGGTTGGTCCAAGAGTGTGTGACTGGCCCAGAGTTACATAGGGAGCTTCTTGGCTCAGTGGAGACTAGAACACAAATCTCCTAGGTTGCCAGTCCAGCACTCTTAATCCCTGCACCACCATTTAATAGAAGTATAAAAGAATTTTATATTTAAAAGAATGTACTAGCATGAGAAATAATCTTGACTCTAGTCTTATGCATTTTGTCTTTTCTGTTGAGTGGGTTGTGGGCAATCTTTCAGGTGCCACTCCTACATTTTTCCATTATTTCGTATATCAATAGGGGTTGCAGCCATCTTCAGCTGATCCCCATTATGGTCAGATGCAGAATCAGGAGATAAAGGCAGAGGCGCTCAACACCTATCAAAAAGCTTTTGTTCAAAAAAAGGAAATGAATGAAAAGGTAAGATGTTCTGTATTGATCTAGAGAATTTACTCTGAGCATTATTAGTGCTGAAGTCAAGGAAAGCATAAGAGGAATCATACACCCTGTTATACTGCTAGTTTTGATGAATATAAACATACTTCAGCTGCCAGGATAGAATTCATATGGATCCGTGAAAAACAGGTATAGCTAAATCCATGGTGCATATATTATTCTGCAAATATTAAAGGAATCCAGATGATGTTGCTTTTCAAAAATGTTGCTTATCTCAGTGCCTGGATCAGAGCTCTCTAACAGCCCCATGTGATAAATTCTAAACAGATACATATTTATTAGATCAGAAGTAAGGGCACTTCTAACTTTTACATAACATACTGGGATATCTTCTAGTCTTACTTAGCAGTAGCATCTAAAAGGCCATTTGAAATGTGCTCAAGGACTTTAACTTTTAATTATTTAATTGCAACTTTTCAGTTGAGCAATTCCCAAGGCAGCTAATTTGGACATGGATTGGTAGGTGTTTGGAGTTCGTTTGTTTGTTTTAATTGATGAGCAGTCTGGTTCATGCTTTTGAAAATATCATTTTCTTAAGTAGTATCCCACTACCAGGTCTCAAATGGGGTGAATAGTAGTATATAGAAGTTTTAAAGAAATAAGGCATGGAATGCCTGCTATTCAAGATATACAAGCTTCTAGTCCCTGTAAGAGAAACCTCTCCCCGCCCACAATACATTGATTTAGACTGCATCCTATACATACAGTTATGAGGGGGCTGAACTTAGTGGAACTTACTTCAGAATTGAAATGTATAGGCTGGCACTATACTATGCTCTTAGTATAACATGTGTTGTTTGTAAAGGTACCTGTGTCTTTAGTTTTAAAGTTTTTAAAAAACTACTACTGTTAACAGGAATACTTAGAACGGCTGCAGAAAATTTGTCAACAGTACCATAGTGACGTAAATGAAATTAGACTTAAAGCTGAAGCACTAGAGGTAAATTAGCTTGTACCAAATGTTAACTATATCTTTCCCACACCTGTGAAGAACTGATAATGACCAGGTTCACACAACAGTACAATCTGTGACAAAACCAGGGAAAACTGATGAAATTGTATTAGAGCTGAACCCAGGTTTTTAATGGCTTAGTTTCAAGATAACAAAAGCTAGAGTACAATAAGGAAAGTTTAAATCTAAACAGGGAGGGGATCATGTAAAAAGGGGAACAGCCAAAGGAAATGCCTATTGTAGACCAAATTGTGCAGTACTACATGACTGAGATGGCAGAAAGCACATCTGCGAGCTTTTTCCTACTCAGTTAGAAACATAGAAACATAGAGCGAGTCAGAAGGGATCTCCCGGGCCATCTAGTCTGACCTCCAGCACCAGCCGGCTCTGCTCATGTTGATTTGATTTCCCCTCTATCATAACAATGGTGTCTCTTGCCATGGTGAACATACAACCTCATGAGGGAACTACTCAGCTGTAATATTCTCCTCTCAGGCAAGCAGAATTTTGCTACTCATTTGTGACCCAGACTTGTGTTCAGGTGCAGATATGTAGTAAAACTCACACAGCATGAACTGATGCTGCAGATGACATAGACATATTTCCATTGTGGTGAACTTATTCTAAATATATGGTACAATATAACTATCGCACTCTTAAAACCAAAAGTGTAAAGTACCAAAGTGTAAAGTACAATGCTGTGTAAAGTACCAATCATTCTGAATTAGACTATGAAGGTTTGTGTCAATAATTTATCACATATGTACCATATAAGAATCCACAGTTTCCTGATTTCAGTTATCATAATATATTTTGATTAGCTTTGCAGAGAAATGTTACTTTGCATGTTCTTAAGTGTGTATAGAAATGCATTTCCCACTTGCACTTGCAAATAAAATTTGGACTAGGAGTCATATTAAAATATTTTACTACCATATTTCATTTTAATTATGTCAGTAATGTCTGAATTTTATATTGTTGTAATTATCTATGTGTGCATCTGCTGTATCTAGAACATACTTAAGTTTTAAAATTGTTGTTATCTCAAAAGGAGAATAAAAACTTAAAGGACAAAACCTTTCTTGTGAAACACAGGAAGACTGAGGATCAGTCCCCTCACAGTGATATTATTCCTGGAGGCAAAGATGAAACAACTCAGGTATGGGATAGTACAATATGATAGCTAAAGCGTTCACATTAATGAGAAGAGGTACAAGAGGTTGTTTCCAGAAAATTCATCATGATGGACTGAAGACCCATCAATTTCAGTGAGTTTATTCCAGGGGTAAGCAATGTGGTGCCTCCACACACCCTATTTGGTGCCCACCAAGTTGCCCCAACTTTCCCATTTAAAAAAAAAATTACCAGTAGCTTCAAAGCAAAGTGAGAGCTTCTAACTGTTGCTGTCCTCATTTCCCATAATGCCCTGTAGCACATTTTTTTATGTGTAGGGACTCGGCCCCCTTTTCCCAAAATGCAATATTCCAAGGTTGTTACCTCAGAATCCGAATCAGAGTAGGAAGAAGAATTGGGGTTGAAATTCTTAGCTGAGATGCTAAGGCTACCATACTCCTAGATAAGCCAAGTGGCTGGTGAAACTCAGACCACCTTTGGTTCAGGAAGACACATTGTTAACAGGCAGAGCCACGGGGGTGGTGGGGACAGATCTTTTGATCAGTCCTATTGTCCAGCATATCAAAAGAAAAGACCAATTGAGTAGCATCTGATATTCCCACTATTGGGTCCATGAGCAGCGGGGACCACCCTGAAGTTGGAACTAACTCCTTTTGGTTGTGAAGAAAAGACCAGGATTCAGTGTGGAATCAACTTTTTAGCATGAGCCTGACTTTCCTCAATAGCTGATATTTGCTGGTGAATTTGGTTAATAACTTGTGCAATGCTCTTTTTGTATTACAAAGCCAGCTGGCCAGCTTTAACACAGTAAAGACTGTAATTAGAAGCCTCTGGTCTTGATCTACATAGGAGAGGGGAAGGACTGGTCTCTGACTGTGTATGTCTATGATAGACAAATGAGGTACTTGTGCATGTCATGAAGGATGGATGGCTAAGGGTGTGCACGTGTGTATACATTTGTGTATGTAAAAGAGAAAGATTTACGATCTCGAGTGAGAAAAAGCAATAGTGGGGAATGAGTTGCCTGGTAGAGGCAGAGGTGGGAGAAAAAGAGTTGGCCTTCAGTGAAATAGATTTGTTTGGTACTGAAAACTGAGTTCAGATGAGTTTGGGGAAGATGTACTTTTGGGCAGGATACTCATCCATAGGCCCAAAAGGTTGCCTTATCTGGACTACTGTAAAGAGGAATAACATTGGCTACACCCCATATTTTAACATGAGTTGGAAATAACAAAGCAGCAATCTTATTATATTTTATGTTAATAGGTAAGGGGTTTTGATTCAGTTTCCTAAAACAAGTGCTCTTTGCCCATTTACCTCACATTTGCACAAGCACAAGATTTATCTGAAATACTAAAAATAATCCTTTAAGTCCTCATCCCACTATTCAATAACAAGGTTTGAACAGAACTTTTTATTGTCTCAATTGTCTTTTCTTTTACAACAGTCTGAATAGACTGCATGAGTAGACTATAGACTGCGATATCTGTGGATGCTGTGGTAATTCTTTTTTCCTTCCAGGATATTGAGCAAAAATTGGAACAAACTGAGCTTCATAACTTGAAGGAGAGTAACATCTCAGAAGGAAAACACAAAGCAAAGGTTGAAGATACTTTCTTTACCATGTTTTTCTGTTCTTATTTCAGCTGGTCTTTTTATCTTGATAACTCTGAAAATGGGGTTTCAGCCCACTAAGACAGTACTGGTTAGAGATGTCACAGAAATTTCAGCCAAGTGGTGGACATAAGCTGCTCTTTCTTCTCTTGCCTATAAGTGTCTTACTCCCCATTTGTACTGGTCCCCATCCTGACGAACAAGAAAGAAAATATGGGAGGGTAGTCATGAATATCTGTCTTCCACAGGGCAGGAGGGCATCGCTGCATCCATCTGCCTGTGGTACAGGTGATAGATGGCTTGACGTTTTCTAAGTGCATCTCTGACCGTTGCTCTATATTTTTCCAGTTTATTAAAATGCTGAAACTTCTTTTTTTTAGGGAGGAGTGAACTTTCACATTGATCTAAAGGTTGGCATGCTAGGTTTAAGTAACTGCCAAGAAGAGAAAGTGGTATAACTTTTGTGCTATTACATGTTACATGATCTAGAGATGCATCAGAATTGCACAAGCACCAAGCTGTGCATAGTGTTCTCTTGCCTGCAAAGTAACCTTTTCAATAATTTGTTTCAGGAAAAGTGTTGTTGTTGTTAGTCGCAAATTCGTGTCCATCGCGACCCCATAGACAACATTCCTCCAGACCCTCCTGTTCTCCACCATTCCCTGGAGTCCACTCAAGCTTACACCAACTGCTTCAGTGACTCCATCTAGCAACCTCATTCTCTGCCATCCCCTTCTTCTTTTGCCATCTGTTGTTCCCATCATTAGGCTCTTCTCCAAGGAGTCTTTCCTTCTTATTAGGTGGCCAGAGTATTTGAGTTTCATCTTCACTATCTGACCTTCTAAAGAGCAATCAGGGTTGATCTCCTCTAGGACTGACCGGTTTGATCGAATTGTGGTCCAGGGGACTCGCAGGAGTCTCCTCCAGCACCACAATTCAGAGGCCTCAATCCTTCGGCGTTCAGCCTTCCTTATGGTCCAGCTTTCACAGCCATACATTGCAACTGGGAAAACCATAGCCTAGACCAGGAGTGGACAACTTGTGGCCTGCCAAGTATTTTGGCCTACAACTCCCATGTTCCCTCAGTGTAAGCTATGCTCACAAGGGCTGATGGGAATTTTAGTCCAAAATATTTGGAGGGCCATGAATTGCCCTCCCCTCCCCTGGCCTAGACTATACGCACATTTGTTGGCAGGGCGATGTCTCTGCTTTTTAGCATGCTGTCTAGTTTTGCCATAGCTTTCCTCCCCAGGAGCAAGCATCTTTTAATTTCTTGGCTGCAGTCCCCGTCTGTGGTGATCTTGGAGCCCAGGAAAATAAAATCTGTCACTACCTCCATTTTTTCCCCATCTATTTGCCAGGATGCCATGATCTTAGTTCTCGTAATGTTGAGTTTCAAGCCAGCTTTTGCACTCTTCCTTCACCCACATCAAGAGGCTGTTTAGTTCCTCTTCACTTTCTGCCATTAGAGTGGTATCATCTGCATATCTGAGGCTGTTGATATTTCTCCCAGCAATCTTAATTCCAACTGGTGCTTCATCTAGCCCCGCCTTTCTCATGATGTGCTTTGCATATAAGTTAAATAGGCAGAGTGACAGTATACAGCCTTGCCGAACTCCTTTCTCAATTTTGAACCAATCAGTGGTACCATGTCCAGTTCTCACTGTTACTTTTCACTGGTGTTCAAGGATAGGCTGGACGTCCACTTGGTGGGCATGTCGTGAGTGGAGCCAGCTGGTGCCAGAGGTCAGACTAGATGGCCCAGAAGGCCCCTTCTGACTCGCTCTGTTTCTATGTTCCTTTACCCACATATAGGTTTCTCAAGAGACAAATAAGATGGTCTGTACTCCCATCTCTTTAAGAACTTGCCACAATTTGTTGTGATCCACACAATCAAAGGCTTTAGCATAGTCAATGAAGCAGAAGTAGATGTTTTTCTGGAACTCCCTAGCTTTCTCCATGATCCAGCGTATATTGGCAATTTGATCTCCAGTTCCTCTCCCTCTTCAAAATCCTGCCTGTACTTCTGGTAGTTCTCGGCCCACATACTGCTGGAGCCTAGCTTGTAGGATTTTGAGCATAACTTTGCTAGCATGTGAAGTGAGTGCAATGGTGTGGTAGTTTGAACATTCTTTGGCATTGCCCTTCTTTGGGATCGGAATGTAAACTGAACTTTTCCAGTCCTGCAGCCACTGTTGAGTTTTCCAAATTTGCTGGCGTATTGAGTGTAGCACTTTTACTGCATCGTCTTTTAAGGTTTTGAATAGCTCAGCTGGAATACAGTCACCTCCACTAGCTTTGTTGTTGCTCAGACTTGCTACGGCCCATTTGACTTCACATTCCAGGATGTCTGGCTCGAGGTCAGGGACCACCCCATCAGTGGTTATCAGCGTTGTTAGGCTCTTTCTTGTATAGGACTGCTGTGTAATCTTGCCACCTCTTCTTAATTTCTTCTGCCTCTGTTAGGTCCCTGCCATTTTGGTCCTTTATCATGCCCATCCTTGCATGAAACGTTCCCTTCATATCTCCAGTTTTCTTGAGGAGATCTCTGGACCTCCCTGTTCTATTCTTTTCTTGTTTCTTTGCACTGTTCATTGGGTGTATTGAATGCAGAACTCTTTCTCCCTTGCCTTTCGCTTCCCTTCTTTCCTCAGCTATTTGTAAAGCTTCCTCAGTCAGCCATTTTGCTTTCTTGCATTTCTTTTTCTTTGGGATGGTTTTAGTTGCTACCTCTTGTACAATGTTGCGAACCTCCATCCATAGTTCTTCAGGCACTCTGTCTATCAGATCTAATTCCTTTTTTTTTGTAATAAGTTTTTATTAAAATTTTAAACTAACATTAAAAACATCAATAATCAAATATATCAGACATACTGGGTCAGCCCCCCACTCATATTTTTTAACATTCTGTAGTCATATTTAAATCCATTTATGATAGCTTAAAAACGTATTTAAATCTAAACCAGGTCCCATTTCTCTAGCTAATAATAAAAAGAGTCCCAAGTTTGATAGAAGTCAGTATCTTCTTTCTCCTTCAGTGATAAAGTCAATCTATCCATTTCTGCACAGTCCAGAATCTTTTTCAAAATCAGTTCATTGGTGGGTAATTCCTCACTTTTCCAGTGTTGAGCAAATACAATCCTCGCCGTGGTGATTACGTGCAACATCAAATACATTTCTTGTTTGCTAATGTCTTCCAGTATGATGCCTAATAAAAAAAACTTCAGGTTTAAAAGCTAGGGGTTTTTGTAACATTTCCTCAAGCCATTTATGTGTTTTAATCCAATACTTTTTCGCATTGTCACAAGTCTACCACATATGATAAAAAGTACCCAATTTATGTTTACATTTCCAACACTTATCTGACATATTTGGAAAATCGTAGCTAATCAATTTGGTGACAGATACCATCTATAAATCATTTTATATAAGTTTTCTTTATACGAAGTTGCTAATGTTACCTTAATATTTCTCTCCCACAGCTTTTGTCACTTTTCTAATTCAATATTATAACCAAAATTTTGTTCCCATGTTATCATAGTTTCCTTTACCTGTTCATCTTCCATTTCCCTGTCAAGTAAAAAATCATATAATCTTTTAATCATTTTCTCATCTGATTTGAGCATCACTTGATCAAACGCGGTTAATTCCTTATAAAAACCCCACGCTTTACAATCTTTAGCATATCTCGATTGTATCTGCACCTTATGCCACCAAGAGATATTAGATCTCTGTTCTTGTATTTCTTGATTCAATTTCAGGCCTCCATCCTTATCCAACATATCATCATATCTTATAATCCCTTCAAAATTCAATGCATTTGGATACACAAAAGCTTCCATAGCTGAAAGCCATCTTGGTAGTTTATTATACAATTTTAGCTTTAATTTTTCCCACACCGACATTAATGATTTTCTAATATAGTGACTTTGCTGCATAATTGCCCCTATTACTTCCATAGTTGTTACTTCTTGGTTCAATAATTTTTGATATTTCTCCGGTAGTTTTGGTAAGTCTCCATTGCGGATGTATTCTTTTACTTTCTCAGCTGAAATCTCATCCTTCTGGTATAACTTTGTAAAGAAATCTTCCTCTATTTTCTTAATTTATATACTTTGAACTTGTAGTCATCCTTCTCCATCCTTCAGTTTCAAAATCAGTCTCTTCTCTCTCTTTCTTTACTTTATAGGCTAACCATCTCCCCGGTTTATTAGCATTTTCAAAGAAATTCTGTTGGCCAATTTCATTTGTTTAATAAGTTAATTTATGTCCAAGAGATTCCATTTATGCTTTAAGATATTCATTTAGACCTTGAGATTTTTTTTGGATGGATCTTCCTGCAGTTCTTGTTCCCGTTTTGTCAGTTCCTCTACTATTTTTGCTCATTCTTTTTCTTTTTATTTATTTTTGCTGAGTATGTTGTTATCAATCCCCTGATATAGGCTTTAGCTGTATCCCAGACATTTTGTAAATAAGTTTCTTCCGCTTTACTTATTTGAAAGAATACTTGCATTTCCTTATTTATCTCTTTTGTAAATTTTTTATCCTTTAATAACGCTTTACCTAAGCTCCATCTGTGCGTCCTTACAGTTCCTTTCAGTGATATAGTTACAGGGTTGTGATCTGCCTAAACATTTGCCTCTATTTCAGCTTCTATCAAGTCTGGTACTAAGTCTGGAGTTATCCAAACCATATCAATTCTGAACCATGACCTATGTCTGTTTGAGTAAAAAGAATATTTAGCAGAGGTTGGATTTTTATGCCTCCAAGCATCTATCAATCTGAGTTCTTCAGTCATGTTAGAACAAGACTTTGGGAGTATCCTCCTGCCCTTTTTCCCTTAATCTCACTCTTATGGTCCATTTTCTTGTCCACAATTGCAATGAAATCTCCCATTACACACACAGTCTGGTAGCCCACTTGTAAGAGTAAAGTATGTAATTTTTGAGAAAATATTTTCTCATTTGGTACATATATTGCCACTAAAAGCACCTTTTTGAGTTTCATTGTAATTTCAACCATCAGGATCCTACCGTCCTCATCATCAAGAATATATTTAGGGTCCAGTTTTTCCTTAACATGTAATGCTAAACCTCTCTTCTTTTGAGACGCAGAAGATACAAACAATTTTCCAAGCTTTGAACATTCCAAAAATTTAACATGTTGTTTCTTAATATGTGTTTCTTGTAGACAAATTATATCTAATTTTTGTTTTTGAAGTTGAGCGAAGATCCTTCTTCTCTTAGACGGTCCATTTAGTCCATTAAAATTTAAGGAGAGCAACTTAATTTTTCCTTCCCTTTTAAAAGCCATGTTTAAAAAGTATTTACTTACCTACTTATTCTTCACCTTTACACGTCTACCTTTCTTCTTCTTCTTTGGCTCCAGCACCTGTACTTCTTGTTGTGAATCAGTGGTCACTATTTCTCCTTCTTCAGAGTGGTACATTGTTAATTCCATTGATTTGGCACCTTCCTCTCCTCCTTTTGATGCACCCGGTTTTTCCTCTTCAAGTATACCTTTAAATTTTTCATAGAACTCTAGATCTAATTCCTTAAATCTATTTGTAACCTCTACTGTATATTCATCAGAGATATGATTTAGGTCATACCTGAGTGGCCTAGTGCTTTTCCTTACTTTCTTCAATTTAAGCCTGAATTTTGCAACAAGAAGCTCATGATCTGAGCCACAGTCAGCTCCTGGTCTAGTTTTTACTGACTGTATAGAGCTTCTCCATCTTTGGCTGCAGAGCACATAGTCAGTCTGATTTCTCTGTTGACCGTCTGGTGATGTCCATGTGTAGAGTGGTCTCTTGGGTTGTTGGAAAAGAGTGTTTGCTATGACCATCATATTCTCTTGACAGAATTCTACCAGCCTGTGCCTTGCTTCATTTTGTACTCCAAGGCCAAACTTGCCTGTTATTCCAGTTATCGTTTGGCTTCCTACTTTAGCATCCCAATCCCCCATGATGATAAGAACATCATTTTTTGGAGTTAATTCTAGAAGGTGTTGTAGGCCTTCATAGAACCGGTCAACTTCACCCTCTTCAGCACTAGTGGTTGGGGCATAGACTTGGTCTACTGTGATGTTGATGTTCAGTCTTGTCATCTCGTTTGACCACATCCAGCTTGCCTTGATTCATGGATCTTACATTTCAGGTTCCTATGGAGCACAGATCTTTGTTAGCATCGGACTCTCCTTTCACCACCAGATACATCAGCAACTGAGTGTCCTTTCGGCTTTGACCCAGTTGCTTCATTCTTTCTGGTGCTACTAGTACTAGCCCTCTGCTCTTCCCCAGTAGCATATTGGACACCTTCCGACCTGAGGGGCTCATCTTCCGGCGTCATATCTTTTTGCCTTTTGGTACTGTCCATGGGATTTTCATGGCAAAGATACTGGAGTGGGTTGCCATTTCCTTCTCCAGTGGATCACGTTTTGTCAAAGCTCTCTGCTATGATCTGTCCATCTTGGGTGGCCCTGCACGGCATAGCTCATAGCTTCATTGAGCTATGCAAGCCCCTTCGCCACCACAAGGCAGTGATCCATGAAGGAGCCAGGAAAAGTAACTGATCTTATGTTTCCCTCATTTGGGATAAATGGGGCACTCCACATGCTCAGAAGATGTACACATATTGGAACATGTGGATTCTTGAATCAGGCTGTAAAGCTATAACTTCTATTAAAAAAAACTTTTCAAAATCTTTGCCATTAAATAATTTCTGACACTCCCTTGTGAAAGATTTTCTCTCTTTCAAAGAAAATCTAGAGAAGATTAAGAGCTCATAAAGAGAGTCCAGGTACAATTTTCAGTGATACACATCTGTGGTATGATGGAAAATAGATGTGTGGTGGATAGCTTTCATCTGCCTCTGCAATGTTTTAGTGGACTTATGGTTTAACATTTCCTCAAAGAATATGAACTAATTAAATAAGTTCTCAATAGGATTTTTGTTTGATATCAGGACAATTATAAACTTAATGGAACCTTGACTTTTGAAGATGGTGGAAACCTTAGGAAAAAACTGACCAATGTCTATGATGATTACATTGATAAAGCACTACTAGAATTATGCTGTTGGGAAACAGGTATGCCTCTTGAGATCCTTGTGCTGTTTCTCTTATTAGGAACCTTTATAAACCTGTACTTACAAAAACTGATTTAGACAACTGTAGTTGTTTTTATTATTGTCATCCATTTATTTTATTTATACTGCTTTTCCAGAATATTATGTTTAAAGGAGCTTACAGCATAATAAAGGAACAGTAGTAAATAAATTAGCAGCATTGCAAAAATACAACAGGAACAATTACAAATAGCTTTAGTGTTGGTTGATAATTACATAATAGAAATAGCAAGACACAAAATATTGAAATGAACTGTAGAAATAATCTAATAGCTTAACACTAAACATGAGAAAGCAGCATAACATAAAAAGCACTGCCTACAAGAACAAATGCTTCTCTATTCCCCAAAGGCAACATAACATTCTCTACATTTAAGTGTTTTTGTTGGCAGCCACACAACTTGCTAGCAGTGGCTTTCCTCCAGGCTTTCCCCTAGGTCTGTTTTCACATTTCCTCCCCCATCTGTCACCTGTGAAGGTAAAGAATGTAAGTCCTCCTTCAAGTTACACACAGTTTAAATATTACAGTTTATCTCCAGTGAACACCGCATTCAGCACTTATCTTCAGGCAGCAGTCTCTCTCAGGCTCCAAGGTGATGAAGTGAGACTGGTGTAAATGCTCAGTGCCTTGATGTTAGCCTCTTTCCACTGAGTAACCCTTCTCTTGTTCATTCGGTAATTCCTAGTTACCTTGTTACCATGCATATGATCAAGTTTGTACTGATTTTTTAAAAATTTTGTTAGGCCCATGGTAATAGTGGACAGTCCATAGCTCAGATGAGTTCCATGTAGAAGTTTAGCACAAGTTTCCTGCCAAAGGTCATTTGCCGGACAAAAAGTAAAGTTGCATGAACAGCCCTTTCTGTATCACACTCAGTATCAGAATTGCATTCATAGCCATTTTAAAATTAATAGATATAATCTCATCTTTCCCCTTAGATGTTGACAATGAAGATGATGCCATCATAAATCGAAAACAGTGGCAAGCTTCAGCCCCACGGACTCTCCTGAATATGCTTGAGAATGCAGATATCACCTCTGCCTGCCCTACCATGGATGAAGGTGACCTTGTGAATATTTTCCTATTTTTTTAATTGCAGGGGTGGGCCCATGGGCTACAAATGGTGATGTGGCACAATCAGCAGCATACGGATGTTTTAAATAAATAAGGTCCTCCAGCTTCTGGTATGGCCCACAACATGCTGCTGAAATTCTAAAAAAGAAAAACATGCCAAAAAAGGTTGCTGTCAAAATTTGATGGCAGATTCCCACAGAGATGTTAAAGCGACAAATTTAGTATGACTCTTGTAAGCCTCTGTACTGGCATGCCTCCAACTGCTGGTTTGTTTTGCAATTTTGGGTGATCAAACAGTAGTGGGAATGCAGTTTAGGGAGCAGAGTACCCCCCCAGAAGTTGCCCACCTTGGCAAACAGCTGAGTAAAGTGAATTGCTGACTCCACTATTTTTATTTATTTATTTAGTTGGGTATTTTTATCCCATCCAATTATGTTGCGCGTCTCTGGACAGCTTACCAATCAAACACCCAGTAAATACATATAAACCCAAATACTCCATAATAAGCCACGACTGAGCATAAAACAAAGTTAAAATATTTAAACATTGAAATTACAGGAAAATAAAAAGGTCTTGACCTGGTGCCAAAAAGCTTATAACGTTCGTGCCAGGTGGACCTCTCTGGGGAGTGCATTCCATAATCGGGGCACCACCACAGAGAACCCCCTCCTCCGAGTATAGTCTCTCCTAACTATCCACATGTCTGTATTGTTTTATATGTAAATTATATAGAGCATTTCAGAAAGATACTCTACTGGGACCTGAAATATTTCCATGGTCTCCAAAATGTGAGGTGGGCATTGCTGAGGCATTATGGGCAGGTACTAAACTAGAGGAAGTGCAGACTTTTCCTGGTCAATTTTCAGTCACTTAAGTATAGAACAAAATTCATTAAAACATGAAACAATAAAGAGCCATTTTATTCTTACTTTCATCCTGCTTGATGGCCAGATGAATTACAAAAGCTGGTAATCAATCTTTAAAACAGTTATCAAAACCAAAATACATCTAATATTGTGCCCTAATAGGAATTGGCTTCTAAGATTAGAACAATTCCTGTTTCAAAACCTATATAACAAAATGTTTTCTTTTAGGTGCCAGGTAGAAACTTTTTGTTCTTTTTGTTTAAATTTGATTAATTTAAACTGTATTTTGTTGCTGACTATTTACTTAGTTGTTCAGTTTATTTGGTTATGTCTTGTGCATGGTTCTGTATAATTTTATAATGTGGGATATATTTTAGTATTTTATTAATTTTATTGCTTTTATCTATTTCATTGACTATATTTTACATGCTGATTTAGCATTTGGTAGACCACCAAGAGAACCCTCGGGTTATGGGGCAGCATAGAACCAAAATAAATGTCACTACCCATGGCTCCCCTACCATCAGAACAATGCATTAGCCTGTCACAAGTGACTGATTCTAGGCAAATCCAAATTGCAGTCAGTCCTCCAGGTCAACAACCCTCAACAAAACAAGGACTTTCTTTCCCTTGGGGCAGTGCCAAATATTCATCTGACAGTCCTATCCTATGTGGATTCACCAACTTCCTTTTGAGTGCCTCAGTAATAGCTGCCTGCAATAAGTGGGTCCTGATCACAGTAAGGGATTGTTCTACAGATTTGACTTCCTCCCTTACATCTGCTTCTAGGTGCCCCAAGAAGATTGCTGGAGGTCTGACAGCCCATTTAGGCTTTAAGCATTGTATCTGCCAAGGACACAGTCCTATGCATGTTTAGTAGGATGTCAAGAGAAACCTGTGGAGGACTCAGTGGGTTCAAATTTCTAAGAATCTGATCTGTGCATTCTGTAATGGACCAGCTTTTCACAATTAACACAGACTGATCCCCCCATACTTTTATGCAAATTTAGCCATAGAAATACAAAAAGTGAAAAATACTGACCAAAAAGCTGCACTTCCCCCATAAGCTGAAGCTTGAACATATTTTTGAGGAATTTGCACATTTGTGATGAAAATACACGTTTTCATGATTGTGAATTTGCACAAATGCATACAAATATATTTGCACAAGATCAGATGCCATCAGTGAGGGGGCAGTGGAATGAAAGGCACCCGACAACATCAGTGGAACAGATTTTACAACTTCCCTTGCATTGCTGACTGGGGAATGTGGCGTTTTAGGACTTTTTTCTTTTTAAAGATGCATAGGATCGTGCTCTAAAGCTTGTACAAAATTAGCCAGCTCCCTGGCAAAGTGATGGAAATGATGGGTCAAACTGCTTAGCTTGTAAACAAAGGCCTTGCTAGAACATGAGAAGCTCTTTGTATTTCCCTGACCAAAGAGCAGGCCAAAACTGGAAGGCATCTTCTCCTAACACACCCTTTCATGTGGTTTACATAGCCCAGTCTCACAGTGAGTACGAGGAGGTAACCACTTTGGATGCTTTCATCCACCAATAGAGAAACTTCATTCTTCCAAAGCCAATAGCACTACCTATCCTCCACCTTTGTACAGTGGTACCTCGGCTCACGAACACCTCAGTTCACTACCAAATCGGGTCGCAAACAGAAATTTCATAAAAATTTTGCCACAGGTTGCGAACTCTGCATCGGGTGATCGCAAGCTGCCTGCCTTCCTTGCATGGATGCGACTGTGGTTGTGCTTGGGGGGGGGGGGGAGATGGCCGAGAGTGCCCATGCCTGCCTCCCCCCAGCACACCCGCAGTCATGCCTGTCCCCTCCCCACACAATCACGGGGGAGGGGGGAGATGGCCGCGATCTTTGTTGTGTCACTTTGGTTCAAATTTTTGTGAGTAAAAAAATAGTTGCAGAATGGATTTACTTTATTTACATTGACCCTTATGGGGAAATTTGATTTGGCTCACAACCAGAGTCCTGGAACGGATTAAGTTCATGAGCCAAGGTACCACTGTATATCCTTTCTGACTCCAGGAACCTGTATTTGCTAAACTTCCTGACTCTCACCCTTGGTTTCCTTGATAAGAATTTAGAGGTGGTATAAGATTCACTTGAACAAGATATAACTGTTCTACAAGGGACGTTAGGGTTACTTTTAGTGTTTTGTATGCCCATTTCTGTAGCCTTGTTATAAAACAGCAAATACTAAATTCCTTGTTGTATTTTCTGTGAAAGAAGAATGAGCAAATGGATGCAGCTTTGGTGAAGACTAAATTGCAGGAATGAACAGAATAAGAGAAAATGGGTTGCTGGAAGGACCAATTTTACATGACTGTCTTGTCAATGTACAGTGAGCTCATGTACCTTCTTTCTCAGCGGGTCAGGTAATCATACCTTCAGACTTCCCTGAAAATAGGAGAAAATGGAGCCAAGAAACACCTGGAACACTAATGAATATGTTAGCAGCAGCAGAATGCTCCGGTGATACTTTGTGCCAAGCTGAGGAACTCAGTAAGTATCGTGCATCACTTGCTACTTAATAGTCACTTCTGAGATTTATAGTGATGCAAAAACTCAAGATACCAGTGCACTTCTATATACCAAGTGTCCTAATGGGGGAAACTATCATAAAACCAGCACTTTCTAAAAGAGGCACTCAAGACCAGTAGAGTCCTAGATAACTTGAAAGCTTGCGGACACTTTGACATTTTGCACAGTTCTAATATTGCCCCAAAGTAGTATAGTTTTTGATATTTTTCCCATGGCCCAGTTTCCTTTGATGTGTCTCAACAATGTTTGAGAATTTTAAAGATCTGCTGATCAAAGTGCCACTTGACAAAGCTCCATTCCTTGCTTACAATGAGGGTCTGAGCAAGGGTTAACCCTATCAGTCTAACATTTAGCAGACTTATATGCTGCCCCATTCGCCTAAGCCTCGGCAAATGGCCACATGTTCACCAACCCACACAGAGGCACCAGTTTAAACAAGTGCCTTAATCCAAGAATAGCCTATTCCTGTTGTAAACCTGGAAACAGCCTCATGCAGGAAGAGGAGTATTGCCAAGTGAACCAAATGGCCACACATTACCCACCTTGTGCTGTAAGTTTTAAAAATGTTTACTGCTCCTTGCTTTCTAAAACTTAAATATAATCAACTAAAATATTTTCCTCTTCAGAAGTACAAGTAGCCTTGTTGACTCCAAAAACAGATGAAGCTGATTCAAAAGCAGGTTCTGTTATTGAAGTGGATGAAGAGAGATTTGATCCAAGATCTGATGACACGTAAGCCATTACATTTAATCAAGCTTCAGTTTGCTTCTTTTCAGCAACAGCATTTTGATAATTACATTTTCTAGCAAAACCACAAATGCTTAGGATGGGGAATATCAGAAACCACACCAACTGAATAGCATAGTACATCAAATAGACAAATCCAGATGCTTACAGCTGCTGTACAATTTGCTTGGCATGTGCTAAGTTAATGCAAGAATATCAGCATGTTGACAAATGTTTAAGTGATGCTATGATCAATACAGATTGAGTAGCAAGCTGAGTGAAATACTTACATAAGTGTCACACCATACTAAACTTTGCAAAAGCCTACTCAGCATTTAAACTCAGAGTTGGTTGTGTAACCTGTGAAATTTCTGTACTATTCCTACATAGTTCATTCAAGCAGTGGTCTCCCATGAAATCTTAGAGCCTAAATGCCTATCTTTGGTTCAATGGACAGGCTAGAACTGCATGGAGATGCAATTTCTTTGAACAGAAGTCTCCACATTGATAAGGTACTGCTCCAGTTTTGCTATTATGGCAGTGGATCAGGTAAATTTGCCACTACCATCATAGGAAAAGGGAAAGTCATAATCATTCCTGTTGGATTATTTAATAGCATTACAGACAGTACTTTCAGACAATTCAGCCCAACCTATGAACCTGATGAGAGCTCTTGACCCTTAAAAGGCAATTTCACATAATATGAAGCTGCCCTCAGATGTTCAGAACAAGTGACATCACAACCAATTTTGGAATTGAACACACCAACACTGAATATCCATTTTTTCCTATTAACTATACAGAAACTTTGAAGAATCTGAAGATGAATTGAGGAATGAGCTGGTAGAATCCCTGGAAAAAGTGGTAACCTTTCTAGAAGAGGAGATTTTAGAAGCTCCTGCTGAATCAGACACAGATCAACTGAAAAAGGAAAGTGTATCTAATAGTGAACTTAGAAAACCCAATGAAAATTCAGAAGACAATAGTAACATGATTGGCGATAATCAGGAAAGAGCAATCAGTTAACACCTTTAGATAGTAGCTCCTTTAAAAATTCTGATAACTCATGGTATCCATATTGACAGTCAAGACTTTAGAAAATGGGTGCTTCTTAGTAGAGCTGTTATCCACTAATAATTCAGAGGTACAGGTTTCTTAACTAAAAAACAAATTTAACCTTAGTGACAGATCTAGTTCTCACTCAGGTGATAAACCTGTATCTAGACTTTAGAGATGAGCTCAAATGATGGAAAGTTCTTCCAATTAAAAACCCTACATATACACAAAATTAGCTGTTAGGGAGAAGTGAGACTTTAAGTCCCATTAACATGATAGATTTCTGTGTGGCAGTGGTATGCTTCTATCCTGCAGTAGTCCAAGTCATAAAGATGTAGATTCAAGCCTTAATGCCACAAAAAATGATTGGAAAAGTAAAGCTCCATCTACCTTTATAGAAGAGCAAGCTGAACAGCTGGATATTTTGCCATGTAGTTTATTCTTTGGCAAGATTGCCAATTTCTTTAATTATTTCAAATCTGAGTTTGCATGTACTTGTTATACAAGCTATGAATTTGGAGTGGAAACATGCTCTTTCAAAATATCCTGGACCCCACATCTATGTCTTAACATTCTTTATAACTGAATTAGTAAATCAGAAAAACATAAAAGTATAGTACCATAATTCAAGCATGTCCAGAAACCTGTATGCAAATATTTTATTTAAATAGCTGCTCTGCAGATAATAGGAATGTTTCCTCAAATTCCTGATCAGCAAATCTCTTTACAGACTGACGAGCATTTTGCCTGATTTCTAGCCTTCTCATAGGAGACAAAGAAAAAATATAAGCCATTGCATCTGCATAGCTATCTTCATTTTCTGCTAGAAAACCAGTAATATTTCCTTCATAGGGCACCACAATGTCCAGTTTAGGCCCTCCAGAATTGTGAGCAAGGATAATTGTGCCAGCTGCCATACATTCAACAACACCTAAAAGAGACATAAAACAAACTATTACCTACAATTCTCAGCTTTTCATGAATAAAGATTCTAATGTCTACAAGTTTAAAAGCATGATGGAAAACATGGTGGGTGGGAACCCAAGCTGTATGGGCAGATTTGCAGTCATGGAAAGGCTGCTCCTGATTATACAAAGGAGGGGAAACTGAGTTTTGGAGTGCAGTAGGTGGCCCCCAGCAGCCCTTTAAATCTGTTCCAGAATAAGAAGCTAGCTAAAACAGTAAAAGAGGAATTGACAAATACTTTCATTTTCCCCATTCTTTCAGTGGAAGGTCCTACTGCAGGAATGGGGAAGCTCCTGTACAAGAGATAAATTTGGCCTGCCAGGTCTCTTCAGCTGGTCTGTGAAGGCCTCCACTGAGGTTCCATCCCCTTTGAAAAGGATGTTGTGGGGGGGGGGGGGCAGGGTTGGCAAGTAGCTTCAGACCAGGCTGCTGCCCCAAAAATTGTTCCTTGAGCTGCCAGCCTTGCCTGCTTCATTTTCCTCTTGCAAGGGGTGAGAGAAACAAAAGCATTTTCCTGTAGGCAAATGGGAACAAGAACTGTAAGCCTGGCTATGGGGTGGTTCTGCCCTCTCTAAGCTCTGACTCCTTCCATTGTGGCATGCAGCCTTCACTGCATTTGCCCACAAGCCAGAAAAAGTACCCTACACCATCTCTATTGCAGAAGACCCTTCTTTTCACAGAAGGGCACATGAGGATGCAACCCAGTGAAATTTAAAAGCAGCACAGAAGGCTACATCTGCTCAAAACCATCAAAGACCAGAACAGTTTTTCATATGCCTACTACTTTAAAAGAATGCAGACAGAAATAAGACAAATTCTAGATTAACTCAGATTCTTATGACCGTGTTTTCCAATCTTCTGCATACTGAGAAACAGTATTTTTGCTAATTTGGAAATGAGGAATACTCAGGAACCCATAACACTGAAAAAGCTGTCAATTCTGGCACATTTCTGCACTGGCAGTAATTCAATCAATCATTCTTCCTCCAATCAAAAAGGTAAACTACCTCAAAGGCCTTTGGGCCTGGTTTCTTCTCAGCGGACTCCTTAAATTTATTGCAATTCTTAGTTCTTCTATATCACATTAGTATATTTAATTTCAGATTTCTGAAAATGATTGTCCCTTACATGCTACTCTTGTGCACCACTATCCTATTGCTGCTAGACAGTCTTAGATCACATTCCTAGAGACTAGATAAGAGGTTGGAAAAGTGCTCTAAACTCATAGCTGGCTTGTCAATTTTGATGATCCCCACCAGCCTAGAAAGAACTTCATCTTCTGCACCTTAGGTCACCAAAGTAACTCTGGAAACAAGTTTTAGGCAGGAAAGAGGAGACATGCCACCACCATAATATAAAGTATTCCAGTACTTGCTTCAGCCTCCTTCTCTTAATGCACAACATTTTGTAAGGTAGAAAGGAGCATGCAGGCAACATTCACCTACATTCTTCCATCCTACACAGGCTACTTGTAATTCTCCATGTTCATAAAATATTTGGATCAAATTGCTCCCTAATTATCTTCTATCCAATTTAAAAATGCTTACCATCTGGCTTCAGTGTTTAACAGTTAGATTAAGCAAAAGTTAAGCAAAAGTTTGCATAGTTAATCAGTTGCATGACTTATTTGAGTAAATATGTTACATTATAATGGGTGAACATTTGGTACTTCAGAAATAGTTGCCTAAAGTATAGAAAATTTGAGCTTGGTGTTGAAAATTGCAATGAAGATAGAAGTCAAGAGTTGAAAATGACTTTGGGATTCTTCTCTCCAGCTATAAAGGTAGGCATGCGCTTCTTGGTTAAGTAAAAGCTAGAATTTGGTTTTCTATCACAAGGGGAGTGTTTAATGTTTCATGCTGGGACTTATTACCTCTACTTTTTATACTTAATTTGACATAGAGGAAATGGAATTTGTTGTATTATGTTCTGATGTGCCAGAGGCTGTTGCACTGGAACACAGTTTGCAAAAGCAAAGCAGCATATTTTAATGAGCATAACAGAGGTATTAGGTTAAAAGAAAATGAAGCCCTAAAATCTGCTCCTAAATGTTTTTCTTGACAATAAGGCTCATTAATTTAAAAACTGAATGCTGCAGCTAACTGGTCCCTAAGCAGAAGAGGCTTTCAAGAACTGAGTGTCTATATTGCTATGATGGAACCTCTTATTTTAATGCTGTTCCACAAAAACATGCAAAAGTTGCCATCAATCACAATTTGCACACAATTCTAGATAACAGGGCTTTCCTTTTACACATAAAATTCCTAGGAAGAATATTGGTTATTTAGGAGAAATGCCAGAGGCACATGTACTTTGAGATTGGCACAGCATAGAACAAAATATCAAGGTGTGAATAGGAACTGTTTGCAAACTATTTCATAATGCAGTTAAAATTGTCACCACATTTTGTACCCCTCAGTTCCTTCTTCAGAAAGGGATCAGATCTCTCAAACTCTCTGGCTTGTATGAATTATTACCTACTGTGGGAAGTCTCTTGCCTTTTTATGCCTGTTTGCAGGAAGATAGAACAAGGTTCCCTTTTCCCTAGGTACACTTCTAACACTCAGTCCAGATTCTTTTGAGAAATGAAAAAAGTATTACAGACCAGTAAAAGATTTTGCAACTTTTCTAATAGTTCTGGATTACTAATATGCAAGCATCTAGACTATCTCATACTTGAACAAAGAAACAGGAGGGCTGTAGCTTAGTGGTAGAGTGCTTGCTTTACATGAAGGTTCAGGTCCCAGCTAAGGCTAGGAAAGAACCCTGCCTGAACTCCAGAAAGCAACAGCTTGTCAGTATCTATAACATTGAGCTAGATGGACCAATGACCTAACTCTGTATAAGGCAGCTTCCTATATTTCCAAATAACAGGTTTAGTAATAAGACAAGGCAGTTGATGAAGGATCTCCATTTCAACATTCTGGACTAATTCCACATGGAGCTTTCATAGAGAAGTTTAAGAAAAATGAACTAAAAAGCTACTAACTAATTTGTTGAAAGGGTAATAACCAACTGAATTAGCAAATGAATGGGAGGAGGCATTTAGCAGTGTTCCAGAGAGGTCAGTACAGGATCTCACACTACTCAATGACTTGGATCTGGAAACTGCCTTCTTCAGATAGAAGTGCTCCTTCTGTCTGCAGAAGGCTTTAAATCCAAGCAGAACATTTCTGCAGATGGAAGAGACTATGGAAATGCCTTCTGCTGATTTTCTCATTCCACAGGAGCCCACTACATCCCTGAAAATTTACTTTGAAAGGTGACAAGAACCCTCTGGAACAATGTGGGGAAGTGGAATTGTGGGGCTGCAGGGGAAGAGAAATGGCAAAAATGGTCTCTTCTCCCTTTCCACTGGCCAGAGCATCTTAAACAAAACCCTACTCAGGAAATGCTCCTGCTGGCAGTAGTAAACTCTGAATACCATCAATATCTTCATTTATTATGAAGTAGGAAGTACAGAACAAATAGAGACTAGAGGGATAATGTTGCAAATAGTTTAAAACCATTAGTCTATTGCCTGAAGTGAGTAATTGTTAGTATAAATTCTGAAGTATTCACACAAAGAATACAAATACCTCTGCCGTGAACAGCACTTTGCAAAGATTTCAGGGTTATAGTGGATACAGAGAAGGTAACTGACAACTCATTCAACAGACTAGAAGTATTCATCAGCACTAGTAAGAACCCTTGTTTAAAATTCTGGGTTAGTATTCTTTGACTGTGATTTGTAGACTGTTCAAATGGAAAGGGGTTGGAGAAAACATTCAAAAGACGACTAGAATGCACTAGGAAATGAGCCATGAGACACTGAGGAAAGTGCTTTTGTTAAAATGGTTATAGGCCCTTTTCCAGCCATCTACATGATGACACAGTACTTGGAATGTCCACAATAAGAAAATCATAGGACAAATCCACTAAGAAAACTAGTTCAAAACTGAAATTAATCAAGAAACAGAAGGTTTCTAATAACTGAGCATTTAACAGTTTCCTGTATTTTGTGCAAATTTTTTCTTCCACTTCTAAAAGTCTGAAATGTGATTTCAGGCAATACCAGCACATATTAGTTTATTAAAGCTTGTTTTTTTGGACCTACCTTTTTTGCCCTTGACCCTGCCTTCCATTGGCAGGTGGACCTCAGGAGCTTTTCTAAAAGTCAATTAGTTCTTTAATTGAAAAAGGTTTCCGACCCTGCTTTAAGAAAAGCAGCTAGATAAGTGGTTCTATTTGTAGCTAAAGGCAGGCCATCTGAAAGCATGCAGCTACTTCCTGTTGTAATTCCAGTTTGGGTATCAGAGTATTTTAATAGATAATCTAAACAAATGTGGAAATTCAGCAGTGGAGCAAGCAGCTAAGGGACCTTGTAGAATCTCTTTCTATTGAAATTACCTTGCAACTCACTGGTCAGGCATTGGATGCAGGGAATTTTTTTTAGAGTATGACCATCAGCCCCTAGGTTAGCCTTCCTAACCTGGTACTTGGGTTTTAAACTTTTACTCCCATCAGCTGCTACCTGCATGGCCAACAGTCAGGGATCCTGAGGGCTGCAGTTTGCAAAAACTGGAATTCACCAGGTTGAGGAAGGCTCTATTAGGTGATTGCAAGCAAATATGTGCCATATGGAAGTAACTAATCACCTTATCAGTTTGATGGAATAAAGAATACTGGTTCTTGATCTGAAAGTTGAGATCTCCAAAACTGGCAATTACTTTCAACTCCAGAAACCAGAAATAACTTTACAGGTCATATATCTCAGCAAGATTATATGCCAAAAAAACTCACCAATTCCGAAGTGTTCATTCCACATGGTGTGAAGTCCAATGGCTGCATCTGCCAGATGCTTCTTTAGCTCTTCAAATGGAATGTTAACTTTGAATTCTACCCTGTTTTCAATGCCCAACTCTTGACAGAGCCTTTTAAGTGCATTTACACGCTGTTCATCATCTTGGTTACGACAGCCCCCTATCAGGATGAGCTTTGGCAGAAGCTGCTGCCCCACAGTCCTTTCCAACAGTTTAGCAAAGGCTCTGATCTGCAAAGCATGGTCTTTCTCTGGCCTAAACTGGCTTACAGAAACAATTGTTTGTTCTACTGTACTCTTTTGACATAGTGGAATATCCAGAAAGGCCTGAACATCACAAGGTGGATACACAATGTTTGTGCGGTCACTACACCGCCAAAGGGAAAGGATGTGATTGAGTGTCCAGGAAGAATTAACCATGACAACATCACTACAGGAACCAACTAAGCCATATATAGAAGCAAAAAGGTAGTAATATGCTAGTTTCAATTTGCTTAACAGGGGAATTTTTGTGATGATGGCTGCATTATTAAATCGAGCATTCTGATTCCTGACTACAGAGAGCATATCAGTGCTGATTGTAGGATAGTGAACATAACTGCCTATCTGACAACCTCCTAAATATTTGAAGAGAGGAAGAGTGAAGGCATAACCCATGGAGTCAATATAGATATCAGGAACACACTTCATAAGAGCTTCCCAGCCAAGAAACACAGATCCCAAGCTCTGACCTAGCAGAGTGAAATGTGGATAAAGGGAAGCTTCCACTAGATAGCGCCGCCTCAAAAACACGAACTTCACAGGTTGATTTAATCTGATGTTGAATCGTCGGTAGGCACCTTCAAGGATATTCTCAGCTGTAGCATCAGTATCACCAGTATAAACAATGTAGGAGACATCTTTGTATCTGGAAAAAGAAATAAGTGTTATTCTTCAGGCCTTGTCTATCAAAGCATTTTATTCATTGTTCTCTAGCTTTTTGGTAAATTTGAATGACTCCATGAAATCTGGCAGGTTAAGCTTTCTATCCCCATTATCAACTTGGAGGAATCGCCACAAAACAGTCATAGCAAAAATATTAAATGTATCTATGCAAAAAAGTTAGATAAGCTAGCACCCTCAACAATTATACCTTTATTTATGCATATTAACTATCAAAATTTTTGCAATTGAGGACTGTCGTCCTAATCAAGGACTTCAATTTAAAAACTTTGAGTTACTGGCAAAACTTGAGCATATCAAATTACCATGGCATTTTATAGCTTTGCTTACTGAATGTAATTCATAAAAGTTGCTAAATCCAGTCCCAATTCTTTTGAGGCATCAGAAAAATATTAAAAGCCTAAATCACTTCTGGCTACCTTGACAGAATAAGATTTGTACCAAAGCAGCCAGGGATCATGAGAGGGCAAACATCCTCCACCCCTTCAAGGGCCATATACACAATTATGCCCAGGCTATGGGAAGAAAAAGCCAGAGTGTGAGGGAGGATTATTTCCTTTACAGCTGCTGCAGAAAGCATTGTTGCAACTTCTCTTTTGTAGTCACTGTTGCAGAGAACTGGGAAAGGAAGAAAAGGTAATGGGAGGGGAAGAAACATGTAACTGCAGATCAACCATCCCTGCCTACAGATGGGTAAACATGCTAGATGAATTGGGATGCTGTCTTGCCAAAAATGCTTTTAAGGTAGAACCGAGGCAAAAATGTTTTTTTTTTTATTGCACTTGCTCTACCTGATTCATGATAGCAAGGCTTTGGATTGGCAGATGCTTCCAATCTCCAACCCTCTGTTTAAAAAAAGCATCAATCTTTTAGCTTTACATGGTTAACTTTTCTAAGTAACATTTATGCCTTAAAGATACAATCCTGTGCATGTTTGTTTACAAGTTCTACTGAGTTCAATGGGGTTTTCTGCTTAGTAAATGAACTTTAGGATTCAGTTCTAAATATATTCCTGGAACTGAATCTCGCTGAATTCAGGTCACCACAGGAAACAGACCTTTTATTTATTATTATTTATTAAAACATTTTTATGCCGCCCCATTCGCCGAAGCCTCGGGGCGGCTCACATCAATAAATTAAAATAATAATATAAATTAAAATATAAATATAAAATTAAAATACAGCAACACAGCAACACTTTTCTACACTATATTCATAAAACAGATTAACAGAATCTGCAAATCAATTTATATTAAGGGAGACAACATCAAGAATTTAAAAATGCACATGAAAACATAAGTAGGCTTATAACTGATGTGTCAGCAACTAGTTTTTACTACTAATCTTAAAGACAGTAGGTACTAAATAAAACAGATATAATAGCCAAGGGAAACAATTGTTTTAGTTGGAGTGCACTATTTTACCAAACCAGTTTGTGATTTTAATTAAGAGCTTCTAGAACTAGTAATGCAAACAATGCTATACAAAAATGAAATGTGTACTTACTTTTTCTGCAGTGCTCTTAGAGCACACCATAACACTCGTTCACCACCACCACCTGCATTGCAATATGGATGAAAAAATGCAACCACATATGGTCTTTTCCCATCTTGCTTTGGTGGAATTAGTTGATTTTTTCTTCGCTGAAGCCACAGCCGTAAACCATGCAGCAGCAGCAACAAACAAAGACATAAAACTCCACTTAGTATCAGTGCAGGGATAACCAGTGAATACAGTAATCTGAAAGAAGAAAGAGAGGTATAGCACTAATTTGGAAAGACAGCAAAAAGAACCAATGCTTGAAGTGTTTGCATGCTAAGACAAAGTAATACTTCAGATACCTGTTAACAGCAAACTTGGACAGCAGTACTGAGATGCAGGACACATGGCTATTATCTAATAAACAGAGGCTGGCTTCCTCTAAGAAAATAACCCAAAAGGATTAAGCCCACTACTCTCATGCCTCCCATCTTAAGGGGCTAAACTGCTTTCAGAAGATCCAAATACATGCTTGATTTCATTTAGTCACCCAGAGATGGTTAATCATAACTGTCAGTAGCAAACGTGTGTATATAAAGTATAATGAAAACAAAAACAAGCTAGAGGCCTTATAACAGCTGGTTCAATCAGGTCAAGAGATGTACTCCCTAAGCTGCCAGTGGCATCTACATTGTTTAAAAAAATGGGTAAGCACTTGGTCCAAAACAAAGTGAAGCATTGGTGGGAGCTCCTATTTGACTCTGTGAAGAGTTAGACATCCTTGGAAGCAGTGAAACTTTGTAGTGCTTTCTAGTCTCCCCAAAACTTGGTACAACTACAGGGATAAACTCCTTTGTTTGGAACTCTGAAGAGCAGGGATTTTTTTCAGAGCTCACACTGAACTTTAGCGTAGTCAGAAGTTGTAAAAAAACTTTCCTGTAACTAAATTTTAGTATGGATCAGAAATGATACAAACAGATCCTAAGGTGGAAGAACAACAGTATAAAAAGGGACAGTGAATTTTTGCTAGTTACCCAGGCCCACATACGTAGATCCCCAATTCCAATTCAACCATTGCTACTTATTGTACTGTATAGCAAACACCATCAACTACCATATACAGCTGTAGAGGCTTTCTGTCAGTAAGTACGCATCTTTCAGATGTACTTGGGAAGGGCTGTAGTGGTGGACCCTATGCTTTGCATGTAGAAGATCTTAGTTTCAAACTCTAGTATTTCAGGCAGGGCTGGAAAAATACTATCAGAAACACTAGTTGGCTCCAATCACCATAAACACTGGGTGTAAGGCATTTTCCTGTGTTCATTCTAGAACACAGAATTATACTGTGTGACAATCTGAAACATCACCTACAACCAGAAGTGGCTCAAAGTTAGGCAGCCACAAATGGCTTGATAGTAACAGACTTGGGCATCACTTAAGACTTAAATTACAATTGTATGTCTGAGTGGGTGGGAGCTCCCTGATCCGTTCCTGTCCAAATATCTGCAGCTAGTTAAACTGAGTCAAAAGATCAACAAAACACCTCTACAAAGAGGGAGACACGGGAAAGAAGAATGGAGCCAGCTGGTAAACACTGCCTCTTCTAAGGCATATTTCAGTTAGTCGGGATCTATCATCAATTGTGAGGGTTCAGCGAAGAGACAAACCCAACCTGAAGTTTGACAGCCTCTCATTTTGGCGGGAAAAAGTCACCTGTCAGACCGGGAACAGGTCTTCGAAAAAGGCAAGCTTCAAAGCTGCACGGATTTAAATAACTCGCAGAGACATACGATTGCAGAGGGGGGGAAAGGAGCTCCAGGGAGCCAAAAGCCGGGAAGGACGGAGCAGATTGGACCAGAGAACCCAGCAGCAACAGGAAAGAGACAAGCCCTTCGGAGTAGCGAGCGCTGCTCAGCTCAGCCTTCCTCTCGTGGGAAGCGGTAGCTGAACCGCGCCGGGCTTGGAGGAGGGGAAAGTCGACGAGTTAACAACTCGCACCTGAGCAGCGGCTCGGCTGGGGAAGCCGCCATGCTGGAAACAGACGCCACTTCCCTGTGACGGAAGTCATTTTGACTGCCCCGGAAGCCGTAGATATCTGCTTGCTGCTCGCTACTCCCACGCCCTCTGCCTTCATCTAAACAGGATGCGTGGCCGCTTCTCTCTCTCTCTCTCTCTCTCTCTCTCTCTCTCAGGCGCTTAGACTTTCGCTGTTGAGCAACACTAAATCACCCTCAGCGCTTGGCTGTATAGCCAGCTTGTGCCTTAACAATGCCGAAGTAGATTGAACCTTCTGTCTCCATGCATAAAGAAAATTGTTTAATGAATTTGAATTAAAATACATTCATTTTTCGAAATAAATCTAGGGATTGGTGCCCGCTTTCAATAACTACCGGAAATTTGAGAAAGGTGTTTAAGAAAGGTTTTTGCCCTTCCATAGTTCTATAGTCCTTCCAATTACAAATCTTTTTCCTATGGGTCGGATCGTAGAGTCGGACTGGCCAATCAGACGTGGTTATCATTTTGCTGGAGAACCCAATGAATGCCCTGAAGAAAATCAGCCAATGAATGGCCCGAAGTAATCTCGGTTTAAGCCAATCATCATCAGCAGCTAAAATTTAAAGGCTAGTTTCGCCTACCCTCAGAGTGTTTTTTTTTTTTTTTTTTTATCTGTGTCCTGCTACCTCGTGGAGCGAGAATCGGGTAAACAGCTTTTTGTCCTAGGGGTGGAAAGTATACACGGGCTCTTTGTGTCTAACCTTCTATATACTAAGTACTGCTGAAAATAGTATTGCTTTTTTTTTTTTTTTAGAAGCTTGAGTTTAAGGATAATATGTGGAAGACTTTCCCTCTAAAAGACGAACGGTTTAGATTTTATATGGAGAAGAATCATGGGAATATATATACTTAATATGGTTTTAGAAGTATGTCAAATTTCGTGTTATAAAATTTTAACTAGAGTTTAGGATAGGGAAGCTAGTAGTCAGGGAACACCATTCTCTAGGATCATCCACTGAACATAAATGGGTAATCAGTTGCTTTGAGCTCTGCAATCACATATTTTCCCAGTTCTTTTTCGATAGGGAAGTGGCATTATGAAGTCGAACGCTTGTGGGGAACATTGCTTGTACTATTCAGCACTGGTGGGCTGGTGTAAATTGGTGACCTGCAATAGCAGGGAGTTGGACACAATGGCCTTCTTGGCCTCTCCAACTCTGCTATTCTGTGATTCTCTGCTTTTAAAGATTATTGGATCTGTTGTGTGACAATATCTCACTAATTTTAGGTAAACATTCTGCAATGTAAAGAACACTTCTGAGGTTAAAATAAGGTGCTATGCTAAATAAAAATGTCTGAAGTAAACATGCAATATGTTTTCAGAATGTAAGCTGTGTGTAATATATCTGATCAAAAATACTTAGTAGTTTTGACTGTCTGTGATCCTTTGGACTGTATGTGGTTTTGATGTGGATTATGTTATGTTGTGAAATTCATAACTGACACTAATGCTTCAGTTTTGCTAAGTAGGTCAGCTGCTGTGAAAGTAGCTAATGTGTAAGTTTTCTCCACTAATACTCTTCAAGTATTTCTCATAGATTTTGGGGGTGCAATCCTGTGCATATTTAGATGAAGAAAGTCCTTCAATGTCCAGCATTTCTGAATAAGCCTTTTTCTTTCTAAATATGCATAGGTATGTGCCCTGAGGCATATAAGAAGGGGAGGAGGGAGAATGCTTATTAGGGGGTTCCTGGAAAAACACTGGATTCTTCTGAATGCAGAGGAGGCAGAGCTCAGTGAACGATAGAAAGTGAAGATCTGTGCTCTGTTCTATGGTGGTGGAATGAGCTTTGCTGGCTGGTGGTCTATGATGGCCTGGGAAGAACATCAGGTACCCTAAATTATCCTTGTGGGCATGAATTAAAAGAAACGAACTAATGGCTAAGGCCTGTTGTGTTTTCCCACTTGTCATATTTAGAATAGTTTTAGACTCTAATAACAGAGAGCGCCTTTCCTATTTTGCTCAGAATTTGCAAATTAGATCCTTTTTTTTCCCTACAGCACCATTTCGGTGCATAACATTCTACAAAGGACAAGCTTGAGAAGTTCTATCCCTGGGGCTTGTAATCTAAAAGAGACATAGAACAACAGAAGTGGAAGGGCAGTGAGGACAAAAGCAGAGGTGAACAGGGGTCATATGTCATTCCAATTTTAACTTGGCTTGCTTACAGAGAGTATAGGAAGTTGAAAGGCTTTCTGGAAGTTATGAACTTAGACAAATGAGATAAAGGAAATAAGGAAGGCATTCGTGTTTATTTTATTAGATTTAATATCCTGCTTTTCTTATACCAAACTCAATGTGGCTTACATCATTTGCCTCCTCCTGCTTTCAGTCTTACCTCACAATAACAATCCTGTGAGGTTGGCTGGGCTGAGTGTCTGTGACTGGCCCTAAGTCATCCAGTTGGTTCCATGAACAAGCAGGGACTAGAATCCAGATTACCTGAGTTCCAGCCCCATGTTTTTAACCACTATGCTGCACTGGCTCTCATATGGAGTTGTTCTGGGAAGTATTCCAGGCATAAGGAACGGAGTTGTTCTAGGGAGTAGGAAGACCTTCAAACAGCTGGGAAGGGTGGAGTTGGATGAGTTGATGTTACTGAAGTGCCTTTGTCTGGTTATAGGGAATAGGCAGAGGAGAAGGGCAATGACATGGAGAGTTTGGGGGATGGGTTTAGATAGGATGTGATTAGGATGTGATTTTTTTTCCAGTTTCTCTGATTTCTGGTCCTTTTAAAAACACTGATCTGTTTAATCTGTGATTGATGCTTTGAAATTTTTATCATGCTCCCTTGAAAATAAAGGAAAAAACTTGATATTTGTGAGTCGAGAGGGCCATGAAAGTTATTCTAACAAAAACAATCTCTGTTCAGGTGTGACTGGGGAGAAAAATCCAGAGGGGAGTTTCAGAGGTTCAGACTGAGGGCTACAGTGGTTCTTAAAGAAACAAAGCAAAGCAGCAAGAGGTGGGAGGCCATTTTTTTAAAAACCTGATCAGTGGAAAGGGGCATGATCCCAGTTTTTAAAGAGGGCTAAACAAGGCAGCAAAGATAAGTTCTTGTAAAGTGAGGCCTTTATCTCCCTGAAATGTCCCTCATGAATAGAATATCAAAATATAGTTTTAGCTCATGCATAATTCTATCATAATTCTGTAAAATTTTAATGTGAGTTGCCTTGAATCCCAGTCCTGGGACTAGTCAGAATATAAATATAACAGTATAATAACTAGGTGTATACTCCTGTTCTTCCACAGTATTGCATAGCAGCCTCCCACTGCCTGGTGTCCATTCAGTGCAGGAATTTGAGAAGTTGCTTTATCCTGAGTAAGACCCATGATCTAGCTATCACAGCATTGTTGCTGCTTACTGGCTGTGGCTTGCTATTGTGCCAAGGAGGATTCTTTCCTTGGCTTATCTGGAGATGCCAGGGGTTGAATTGGGACCTTCCTCCTGCACAGATCTGCCACTAAACTGCAGCCTCCAACATATCTGGAGTTAACCAGGTGTGGGGAAGATGCTGCATTGCAGCAAAAACAGAGCTTACTATAAAACTTGTTTCTGTACAAACCTCTCCTCCTTAGTTTTGTGGTGTTTTGAATAGGAAGAACACTTCATAGTTCAGTGTATTACTGCAGCAACAGCCAGTGTAGGTTAAATTTTCTAAGTGGTGTAGAATGAACCTGCTTGACTTTGGTGCCCCTTCCATGCAAAGTTTACTCCTTCAGCGCTCCCCCGCTGCATCCTTTAATGAGGTAGTTTTAGCTAGCCCATATAGGGCTGCCATAGGGTTACTTTTCCCAGAAGAAACAAAGCAAATTGCATAATATATTTGAGTCATTCATCTAAAACAAGAGTATAAAACATGGGTCCTCAAACTATGGCCTGTGGGCCGGATCTGGTCCGCCTCAGAGGTTTTGGATGAGCTCAAAAAAAATGATCTCTGAGTGAGTTCAAAAGTCTGAGCCAGCACAGGCGTTCTTTAAAACTGAGCAGAGAGAGAGCTAGCGAATGCCCAAATTGCAACAGCTCAACTGCGCCTGGGCAGGCGCTCGTCCGCCCCATTGCATGCATATACGGAGCGGGAAACAGAAGAGAGGCAGGCAGAAGAGAAAGAGAAATGAAGATGAAGAAAGGATTGAAGGCAGCAAAAATAACTTTTTAAATCTATTTTTAATTATGCGAGCCCAGGGGCAGCCAGGCCTGCGCCCACCGCCTCACTGCGCCCGCTGCTGCCACCTTTCGACTGGCCCCCTGTTGAAAAAGTTTGAGGACCCCTGGTTTAGGTGCCTTCTTGAGAAAGAGGGGTGCAGGCATTTTACAACAGAAAGACACATAATCATCCCTTTTCTGCCAGGATTTAGCTGAATTTTCCCAACACATGCAGTCCCCAGTCTGCCTCAAGGTATCACTGTGGTTCTCAGGCAAAAAAAATAGCACCTCACCATTCCTGTAGCAACATGCAAAGCTTTTTGATGTCCTTTTCTTTCTCAGTTAAATGTATGCAAATGTAAATTCTGGAATACAGTATAACTTCTAATAGTGACAAGCCAATAAAGTCAATTAAGTCAGTATACACATATGCACTACAAGAAACAGCAAACAAACTACTTATTCTGAATCCTGCCTTATTTTTCTGTGCAGATGTAACCATTATCCATTATGGGAGACAACACCACAATGATGGTTTGCAACAAAATTTGCTGAATTTAGTCAATTTTCAAAAAGTGCTGCTAAGGAAAAGTATTGCCAATAAAATAGCAATATTCAACCACCTCAAAAGTAGTTATTTTGAGACATTTTAGGAAGTCATCAATCTGGTTCAAACTAAATGCTAAACCATAGTTTAATAGCAATTCCTGGGGTGTTTAACATGACAGCCACACCTGAAATCTGGGGTTGTTTAGAGGTTCAATTCCAAGCTGTCAATTGAAAACGGAAGCAACACAGAAATTAGAGGCAGCGCACTGGTTACCAAATTGTCCTTCAGATTTCTAAGTTGAACTGTTGTAACCCGCAGTGTTACAGATGAGACCAGAGACCGGATGGTAAAATAAAGAGGAGGTTTATTCCTGCGGCAGGGACCACATTCATAGAGGAATGCGGCCCTGAACAGAGTTGGAATGAGGTTTTTATAGCTTCACAGTGAGCTTTCGGTAAATGGGAAACAATACAATCAGTTTTTGACAAAAATCAGAACAATGGCGACAATGGGGAGTTACAGAATCACATAAGCAGTTGAGCAAGCGATATACAGAAGCAGATTTGGTTAGCAGTAAGTTTTATCTTTTAATTTACACCTTCTAAGCAATCTTTGTCCATTACTTGTAGGTAAGCTCTTTCCACTTTCCGAGGGGAATTCTCTGAGGCAGTTACTAGACATTTGAATGGGCTAGAGCTTAGGAGAGCTAAGCCTATCATGCATACCCTGAGACAATTTGATTATTCTAGTGTTTGGCCGTGTCATGCCTATCTGGAGCCTAGAGGAGTCATGCCTATCCTGAATGCCCTGAGAAAGCTGATAGATATTTCTATTATGTCAGGATCCTGGGGAGTCAGGCATAACATGAACAATCCCTGAAATGCTATGTGCGAACCTGCTCAGTGGGTTGGCATAAGTCATGGCCTGGCATAGTCTGGGATTCCCAGAAGGCTATAGCCCTTCTCCTTTCCCCAAACAACCTCTATTGTAAGCTGCCCTGATGTTGTAAGCCGCCCCGAGGCCTTGGCAAGGGGCGGCATAGAAATGTTTTAATAAATAAATAAATAAATAAATTTCCAAGTGCTTGTGTCTGTGCCCCACCCCACCATTCTAAAAGGCTTTCCCCCAGGGTCAATTCCTGTCTGTGAGAGCTGTAAGTTAAGATATGCTGGTATTCTTGCTATTTTGCCCAATATCCAACCCACCACTGGAATGTGCCTCAAGCTCCTCTCAAACAGAATTCAGTTCTCATGCCAAAAGAAATTTTACACCAGGGGTCCTCAAAACTTTTTCAACAGGGGGCCAGTTGAGAGGCGGTGAGGTGGCGGCTTTCTCACTCAGAGATGTCCAAGCGAGCAAGCCACCACATCGCTGCCTGCAAGGCGGGTGGCAGGCACAGGAAGTCGAAAACCTCTGCGGCAGGCCAGATAAATGGGCATGGTGGACCAAATCCTGGTTTGAGGACCCATGCTGTATATGTTCTAGAAGCTTGTAATTGGTGGTGCAGACCAGGCCACACCACTATGTGGTAGCATGCTGTCATAAGTAACTGCAGGGGACCTGGGTGATCTTCCAATAAAACTGCTGGGGTTCAAGGCGATTCAATCTTCCCTGCAGGTCCTGGTGATTCATTCTCGCCATTTGGTAAGGAGGCTCTGACACATATCAGTGGGGGGGGGGGGGGACTACACCCAGTCTCTTATATCCCCATGGATATACCCCATTCATTTGCGCAGTCACCCCATTTTATCATGCCTGTCCCATTCAAAAGCACCCTTCTCTTTGCATTGAGAAAAGGGGCTATCCCCTTCTTTATGCATCAGGAGTGATTTCTCCATGGGGGACGAGACTGCAATTTTGTCTTCTACTCTTGTTTTCTCTCTGTCTGGAGGGAAAGGCTGCCCATGCAGGAAGTGACACCATCTCTTTTCTGTAACTAGATTGGCTCCCTCTTTTCAGAGCATCCTTTGTGGGGGTGGGGTGGGGGGGGGAGATTTTGGCACATCTCACAAACCAGAAGCTCAGTAAAGCAAATATTCTGCAGCTTCTGTCTGTATTTGCACAATGCAGCCTTGGTTTTAGAAAATCAAAATCAAAGAGCAGCTGTAGCAAAATCGGGCGGGAGGGAGTTATTTGTATGGAACTAAGTGCTGGCCCAGGAAAACATTTCTAGTTGATTGTATGTTTCCTGGATGAAAGATATGCAGGCAATTTATGCAAGAGACCTGTTGGTAAGTGATAGATTATATTAATTAGGCACAAGTACATTCATATGACCATCATGTGGTCTTTACTTCCTGGCTGCACAGTTGTTGGCTTTTGCTTTTCTTGTGGTATATATGAGGAAGTATTGGCAACACTGGAATGATAGACTGGTGAATGCTTTGCTTCCAGAATGCATCAAAATACGTTGGACAGAAGAAACTTTTGACTATTGGTATACTGTAAGTCAAAATGTTTCTATATTTCCATGTCAGATTTGTTATACGGTGCACTGAATAGGTATATTTCATAGTATAGTGAATTATTTGTGGCAACTAATAGCAGATTGCTGCTGCAAATGTATATAGCTTTTCAGCAAGGTCTCACTGAGCTTAGAGGAACATATTTCTCAATAAACATCTAAAGGACTGAATTAGAAGTTTTCAATAGCGATTGGACAATAGAGATGTTCCAGAATGCTGAAAAATAGTAAATAGCTTGAAGCTTCAGTCATGTAACTAAATTCTATAAACAGATTATAAATGAATGATATGGTCTTGTTGATATTAGGCCAAAGAGAATTAAATGAGCAGTTTTGCATGTGATGCCAACCCACTCTAGCAATGATCCACAGTGGGTTGGGTGTTTGCAGAACACATTGATCAAATGAATGATCTTACAGTGGATTATTCTTTCCTTCCTTCCTTGTTAGTCCTCCAGACTTTATCCTAGGAACCACCACAGTTCAAACCTCCTTGTCTCCTCTCTCCCCATCTCAATTGCAAGCCAATTTATTCTGTTCGCCCTGCCTTTTTTTCTCATATCTTCTTTTTGACAGGTGATAGCTCTGTCGAAGTGCCTGCACAATATGTTGGAGGAACTGTCACTGGTCAACTGTCCTTTTTTTAAAAAAGTTCCCTATATGTGCACGACTTTCTTTAAAATGTTTTCCCCCGCAGATTTGTGCAACTGCAGAGATGCACACTTATCGATCTGAGAAAGAAAAGTCTTGCCTGGATGCTGTCCTGAGGGTAAGGGGAGTAGCTACTGTCAGCATACAGGAGATACCAACCCTGTGCATAGACCCAGAGCGGCTCCAAATAGGTTTATTTTTTTATTTTGCTTTCCTCT